TTTTTTTTCTTCTCCCGTTCCCTTTCTTCGTATAGTGTTCCTTTTTAGCCCTTTGCAGAGCAGACCGGGCGCATTTGTCCTACGGCAAAGACATCTTGCATTTTGTCAGTTGAACCACATTGCAATAGAAAAACGCAACTTATGCCTGAATTGTACCTCTCACATTCATTATCCACTGGGGAACGGCACTTGGCTCGTTTAAAGCAGCCTGCGTTCATGCTAGGCAGTTTATCATCTTTCCATATTGACGAGGGTCTCGACATCCTAGACGGGAAGGCAAAGGAGTTCCTCAGTTTCTCACAGCATGCAAGGACTCGGTGATTGCAAAGGAGGTTGCTGATGCTGGTTGTAAGTTCCTCCAAATGCTGCACCACCCTCCTCAGCAAAAAAAAAAAAAAAAAAAAAAAAGCCGAGCAACAATGACAATTTACAATTGTCAGCCCATCATTCGCGGCTTTTATCGATCACCCCGTTCGCCTCGCCGACGATTTTTGCGAGAACAAAATACCTGGGGACGGAAATTAGTATTGTTTTCGGGCACGGCCCCGTCAAACATCACGGTATAACTAAACCTTGAAATCAGCTTCTCTTGCACAAGTTATAGCGGAATTTAGACCACGGTTCACTCTTCTCTTGCTTTCCCTCTCTCTGTCTCTCCCTTTTTTTTCTGTGTGTGTGTGTGTGTTTGGTGGCTATCAGAAGTATCCAACCCGACAATTCATCTTCGTCACGATGCACGGAACCAGCACTTTAACTAATTTTTATTAGCAAAAATATCGAGCCTTTTCATCAACGCGTAAAGTGGACTTAGGCCTAGACCATCATTGAAAGTTTTACCGGCAGGGGAAGTTAAATGCGAGGCTCGGAGTTTCAAACAGATAAGAACGAGCCTTGTCGCTCAGTCGGCTGGTTTCGATGCTGTTTGCCGCCTTCACATTCAACGAGGTCACAATGCAATTGCCTGATGCTCCGAAAGAAAAAAGTAATTCTGTCCATAAAAAATAAACATTCGAACCTTTTTAGCAATATCGAAAAAAATTGGCAAGGAACTGCTGGTCCCGAGCAAACATCCCCGTCGGAATAGAATATTCCTTCTAATTTTCCAAATAACAATATTAAGAATTCCAATGTCGAAGGTGTCCAAGGTGGTTCGAGCGTGGCGATTGCCCGCCTCAAAAACCTTCCCTAGCTTTCAATGATCAGAGTCTTATCGGCTGGCGGGTCCGGGGCCACCCAGTTCCGTAAAAGGTCCCCGATTCATCGACAATACTTCTTGGCTAGCCAATCCAATGTAAATAGCGATTTGTTCCATTGAAGCTGAGCTTTCAATCGGCCGTACAACGCTGCAACAGTTGGCCTTTGTTCCAACAAACGAAGCCACTGAGAGCCTTCTCCCAGTATTGTCTATTTCAAGATCATAATCGGCTTCCGTAATGTATTTCAATCTAATGCCTGCAGGTATGTATGAACTTTCCCTTCGACATGGATCCGTTGTCAAATAATCAGCGATCAAGTAATTGTCCAAGTAACCCTACACAGCTATATACCTATAGTCCGTTCTAGTAGACGGCATAATATAATCATGTGAACATTAGCACTTCTCGTTAACCCAAAACCTTCCATGTCTTGACGGTCGATATCGGGCCTGTTAATGACAAGGAATACCCTGACAAGGTGGACTTCACGTACCTCTTTTTTTTTTCTCGAAGCCCGCCCTCACACCAGCAGGTTGTTCTGGAAGCCTTTGGTTGCATGCTGTTATCGATAGGATGGATGCGGCGCCGGGCCTGGTTCAAGTTGATGCCGCAGTGACTTGGCATGGTCTTGGCTCTCCGAACCTCGAGTTCTTGGTTGCGGCAACACTTTCTGAGATCCAACATTTCTCCCCTGATCCTTGCATTACTTCTGGCGTTACTTCCAGGCCTTTGTCCGGTTCTTCTCATACAAACGTCGCTCTCCGAAGGGGAGTACGGAGTAGCACTGATTTTTTAGGCAGTGTTCACACATTTTCCAATGATGCCCAGAGGTACATGCAACTTTCGAGCCTCTAGACCTGCCAGGTTCTAATTTAGGATTCCCATTACCACGATACAGTGTCGGCTACTCGCGATCCCGGCCGGTATCCTTAGCTTAGCTGCAAGAATTCGCAAGAACCGTCAAGGCAAAGGATTTTGGCAAAATCCTTCAATTCTATATTATAAGCCACTATCGATGAGTGTACTGAAGAAATCTTCAGAAACCCTCATATCCATCCAATCAAATTGCCCCCATCCAAGTTCCAGAACCAATCTCAAAATGCTCGCCGAGATCTTCCTCCCCTCCTTTGGTCAAGGCGCTGTGCGGCTGAGCCTTCTTCTCTTATTATTGGTTGCGTTAGCGAACTTAGTGGCAACTATCCCCGTTGAAATACTCGAAGCGGATATCTCAAAGCTCCACAACTTATGCATGGCGTTCTTTCTCAGAGAAATGCATATGGGATTCTGCCACGAGGTCTCCTCTTTTGCATGAGCGATTTGCAATTGAGGGGCATTTAAAAAGTTTAACAGCAGTATGGATATATATAACCGTCGCATCCTAAATTTTGATTACATAGTAGTTGCGGCCAGCTTTGCGATTGAGCTAGCAAGAGGAGAGCTCATTAAACATATCCTTTAGGTGCTACGTGAGTCTTTCGGACCACAATCAATATGGTCGCCATTCAACTTCTTACCTCTTTCCTCGTGGCTCTTTCAGCTATAGCACCAAAAGCTCTATGTGCTACATTACCACATAATCCCCATACAGAGTTGGATTTCGGCCCAATCTTTGATCCCTTAACTTTCAACGACACTTCCTTCGAGTCCGGGAGCAGTGTTCTCGATGCGATATTCAACGATCCCGAAATCCCGTTTACGGAAACACCAGCTGATAATATAGACCTTTCTGGTGATACCGACCACAATAATCTAGAAAAGCGTGCGCTCAAACGATACAATTATCTTAAATGGAAAGTAACCTTAACTGGCTACATAAACTCTGTCAATTACGTCGGCGAGAGGGGCAATCCGGTCACATTTCAAGTTACCTCGGCGGACGTTTACGTCTTCGATAAAATCAGGAAGAACGCGAAGGATATTATCATCAAGTGGCGAAATCCTAATGGAGGCCAAGCCCTTCCCGGGTGTATCTACTGGATGACAAACAGAAGGCTCTACAAATTCCTCGCACCAGGAGATAGAACTGAACCCAATATCTACACTGATACTGTCCCTACGATTGTGGAAAAGAAGAATCAATTATATGCATGGGAGACCTATAGAGCAGGCAAAGATTATAATCGTTGGAATCAGTTCTCAGCAAGGTACCAGTGGTTCATAGGCTGGGGGCTACCCGATACTATCAGGAGTGGTGGAGCGAGGTTCAACTGGGCTGCTACTGGTGTGCAGAAGATGAACGGGGAGATATATGTTCAGTCCCTTGGTTATCCATATCGGCATACCTTTTACTACGCCAAGGTCTCCGGTCAGTTTCAGTTAAAGGGTTATGCAAACTTGTAAACTAAAATGTGTAATGATTCAATGAATGTGTGCATATAATAAACTATATACCCACTTGGTTTGGGCGGTATGCAATTCTAGATCTGTACAACAACCCAGCGCCACCTTTCGATTCGTACTGATGTAGTATACCCTATGTACATGTACATGTACACTAACCAATTTGAAAGGAAACCACCTACAGTCTTGATGCTTTTAGAAGTCCAATCTTCTATTATATGGTTTCCTAGTTTATGGTTATAGTCTATGAATCGCAATTGAATTGAAGCTGCTTTTGCGTTTGCGTTGATGTTTCCAAAATACGACACGGTCAACTCACAGCGACGTCATTTGTCGTTTTGTGTATCCTCAGCCTGCATTGAATGCAGTCTTCTATCTGCCACTGGATATCAATCATTCGCTTTGTAAACACCTCAAACCGTCCAGTTCCTTCCGACCACGTGTAAATGAAACATCTTTACCAGCCCCTTATATCTAGCGTAGCTATATCGCGCTATACTCTCCAATCTTCTAAACCCTCAATATACCATACGCGTTTACCCCGCGCTCTTCATCGATCAACAAGGTTCCGAACCATGTCGTCAACAATAGCGCTCCCAAGCATTTACAATTCCATATCTGTGAAAATCCCACCCCACATCCCTCTAACCCAAACCGAATTAGTTGAATTCCCAGCTTTCAAGTCGTGGATATCACGTTTAACATCATCTCTACGTTCTGATAATAATCCGGATGGCTATACGCTTCGTCATCTTGAGATTCTCAGTGTCGTTAGATTTGGATCGACTAGAATCGGGTTTTTGATGTTGAATGCTGAGGTTAGGGATGCCGATGATAAAGTTTCATTGCCTGGTACAGTGTTGTTGAGAGGGCCTAGTGGTAAGTCCACTATCTTCGAATGACTTACATCTTGATATCGGATTATGGGGGTTCTAAGATTGTGAAATATGGCGAATAGTGGGCATCCTCGCTCTTCTCCACCCGGAAGGTACACCGAAGAACAATCTTTATGTAATTCTAGTTCTTCAACCACGTCTCGCTGGCGCCACAACCTCAATGGCCGAAATTCCTGCTGGGATGTTAGACGATCACGGCAGCTTCGCTGGGGCAGCTGCAAAAGAGATAGAAGAAGAAGTTGGTATCACGATATCCGAGGACAAACTCATTAATCTCTCGGAATTGGCCATACAATCCTCCCCACTTTTGGATAAAGACCAAACCAAAGAAAGCATCGGACTAGCCAACGCACCCCCAATTTCTGAAAGTCCGAATCAAGAAACTCAGAAACAGAACTTAGATGGACTGTTTAGTTCGGCCGGTTTGCTCGATGAGGTCATCACATATCATGCTTTTGTCCACGAAATCCCTGAAGATGAGTTGGAGCAATGGAAGGGACGGTTAACGGGATTGAGAGATAAAGGCGAGAGGATTACGCTCAAACTCGTCAAGTTCGATGAGTTGTGGAAAGCTACGAGGGACTCAAAGGCTTTGTGCGCATGGGCTCTTTGGAAGGGTTTAGAAGAAGCTGCAAGACTACCGTATTAGACAATATCTTTTATGTTACTGTGATTCATTTGGACTGTCCCTCATAAGGAATGATTGTTGAATAAAACGATAGAGGTCGTTACGGTGGGATTACCGGGAGATTATTACTCGTCAGCTGAAGTATGGAATTCTGACGTCGGTACAATTCCCTTGCTGGGATATAATTAATAGACTTTCGCATTCTCTATTATTTTTCACCCAGGAACCATCGTTTATAACCAAACCGTTTAACTATCTTGATTATGATACTTTTACAAGCTAGGTGTCGAGGCCCATTTCATTTTCTATATTTGGGCGTGACGTGTGAATGATACCATTCAGAATTTTGGGTACGAAAATGCAAATATATGACGATCATCATATCCTAAACCTATTTGATAATTCAAATTCGTCAGGATAATTAGAAGGCACTATAAACATGAAAATCCCTTAACTAAATGATTCTAAATTTACGCCACCGTGCACCTTTGGGGGACTGCATATAGCATTCATGAATTTAATGGTGTCAAAATTCGCGGTCGGTGGTTAGAGAGTAACGTGAGGATCTAGGATTTATCGATAATTCTCGTACTATCCTAATCCTAGCCGTGGTTAGGATTGTATATTACTGCTTTCCCGGAAATATAAATTGTAAGAGGATCCTGAATATGTACGCCAGCCTGGCATGCGCCATGCATTCGAATTCATCAGTTTCGTAGCGTAGCAAAATTACATTAGTAAAATACATTACCGGCCTCAAAAACGTTTGAAAATCCATACTTTTAATTTCACCTTTCATAGTAGTCTCGTATCCAGTTCATAGGTGATTAAGCACCCAATATCCGGCACTAGTGATCATTCAACATGTAGCTGCGAACCTACGGTATAATTTATGACTCGCAGAGTTTACAAGCGCGTGTGCCCTCGAGTCCCCGCTCGATAAACTTCTTTCTGTGTTGTCACATACGTACGCACACAGACATATTAGGATCCTCAGAATGTTTCTGTAGGCGCAGGCACCCTATCTGTCGTCTTAAAATAAGAAACTTGTGGTTCTGAATATATACCTGTAGTGCTTAGGCTTGGGTTTTTAATAAATTCAAGTCGTGTAGTCCTAGGCCACTAATTATAAGTGGTTCCTGAATCCTAGATCCTGCGAATTAACCTCGCCGATTTCTGAAGCACTTAGGAATCTATCCTAAAAGATATGTATATATCCGATCTATAAATATACATATACACATTAAACTTAGGTGAGATCGATGATGGGATCGAATAATAGGAAATAACTACTCTAGGAATGAGTAAATAATGTTATTGAAAAAATCTTTGTAACTTGGCGGCGTCTCTGCTTTTAAAAACATCAATACGAAAGGCCTGGATAAAATTTCGAAAATCGACAGTCTGTAAACCGCACTTAGAACTATAATATCAAGGGATTCGTTATATTCTAATTGCAGTAGTCTTGTAACCATAGGAAATCGCCCGTTTCCGCACATTATATTCTCGATTGTAACCATTGTGCAGACGGCGTTATCCGGGAGAATTTTGAACCTAGTATCTCCATAAGCATGCATGAACTTAAAAGAATACGCAAAGCAAATACGCACGGGGGCACCCGAACTGACAGAATAACTTGGTTGAACTCGATTCTATAATTGTATGCAGGTTGTTTCAATAAACACGGGCCCACGTGTATAGATATTAAACGGGCCGGCTCAGTGATATATCAAATTATCTTCACCGAATATTGATCAACATTAGCATGCACCGAAGAATGCAAAGCCTAATACCAATTACAAGGAATATACAGACTGTCCCTGCAGAATAGGTATACGTAAACACCCCACATCCCCTCGCCGGAATATACCCAAATAACCTCAAAGGTGTGCATGTGTTCAGCCTTCGCGAATTGTATCCAGGTATCGACATGGTTTCCCAAAGCGTTGCACGTTGGATTGCCGAGTTTGGAAGGTTCGAAGTGTTAGTAGCATCCGATATCGCCAGGCTGGCAATGGATCATCAATTCAATTTACTTGTCCTAAGACCGCCCGCCGGTTAGACTAAAGAATTGGTTCTTAGAAGTGAAGATCTGAGTCCCGTGTCCATGTTTCAGCATTTCTTTGGCTGTTGTATCAATTGATTTACCGTGGTTATAATGCTACTCTGCTTGCAATTGACTTGTACTTGACTCGACGTTGGCGAGTTTATAATATTATTGTTTGTGTTGGTCCTAATCTTTAAATTTACTCCATCGAAGCCTGATCATGATCATGTTTTATAAGCTTTCGACCACAATTCCAATTAACCCCCACGACATCAATGCATGGAATCCGAGGAAGCAATTCTCTTTGAGCTCAAAACCTGTAAACTTCAATTATAGCTTCTTCCTTACCCGGAAAACCACATTCATCCGCGGCAAAGTCTCCAGATTCTAACCTTTCCACGAGGTCCATTCTATTGGTCCTCCTCCCCTTATCAAGTTCCTGGTCCCTTGCATTTGGGACAGTCCAGGTGGGTCAAGGCAGCGCTGGTCCCTTTCTCCTCCCCCGCTAACTAACATGCAAGACATCGGTCCCACACCGCTAAGCCTGACGAAGCAGGAGCCTCCCTCCCGTCCACAGGTGTTCGGAACGACGTCTTGTTTCTATCTATAAACTATTCCTCATCTGCGTGAGACGGGGACTTCACTATCGCATGATGCAGCTTTTTATTACTCTTTTCTTTGTGGCGTTTTCTTAGCATTTTGACAGCTATCCCGCAAACAAATAAGAACATGTTGGCGCTAGTTACATGTTGTGAAAGGCCGTCCGCATGCGCACCTGGGCCGGCTGGTCAAGGGCTTTTCGGCTATCGAGATGCGGATAGTCCGAACGAAGGTATGAAAGATGGTGTGAATGAATGACCCTCTGAATGACCGTTGTGAGAAGGTGCTGCTTCATAGCTGAAGAGATTGGATCATGCGGTGTGAGTATGGCTTCTGTCCGACAAACACGGTTCAGCCCTGATCCTTCAAATGCAGCATTTAGACGAATGCGAGCTGAGGATATCGAAGGGAGGGAGGCTTCTATCGGTCGCTCCTTCGCCACAAGACCTGATATCCAACGGGTACGTACCGTCCAAGAATCTTGGGAAGCACAATGTGGGATTTTTTCCAGAATGGCTTTCACTATCGATACCGAGTGGATCCTTGTATTTTCGCCTACGATTGGCCGGCATAGCTTTCACACAAAAGCCTCCCGCAGTACCGCAGTACATACAATAGCAGTTCGCGCTTTAATATACATGTGGCCACTCAATAATTCCGAGGCATAAAGCGAGACAGCCTCTAATCCAAAGAAACCGTTGCCCGGCACTAGGCTACAATAACATCTTCATTCTGGATAATTCTGTTTGACGATTGAAGCGCCGCTTGACAGATCCGCATATATGTGCTTTTTCCTCGATCGAAGGGAAAAGGTTCCTGGGGAATGCTTGCGACTTGCCACATCGGGCTTCTACCCAATGATAACCGCAGATTCGAACCATGCGACTTTCGACCACCAACTATCGTTTCAACGATAGAAATTCTAGCTTCTAACTATCAAGATGGAAAAAAAAAGTATTTGTTTCTTATTCCCGACGATATCTTACATGCAGATGGCTTTTAGCCCACCGACCTGCTTACATCCTCCCTAAAATTACGTACTAGTACACTGCCTCTAAACCCAACAGATTTCCCATTACCTATCGCCCCGACCTATCACCTACCCCAGATAGACATTCTTTCCAATCCTGGAAGGATCAACTCTTCACGCAGGTCCCAACCGGGGGGCTCCTCGAAAGTAACCTTAACCCAGTTTTGTATTCTTGCCCTTTTCTTAACCTTCTTTCTTACTAAAAAGCTTGATTGCATGTGCAGCTTCTCGAAAGGTGATAGGCCAACTTAACAAAGGGAAAAAGCATATCTTGGGAACCCAGGATGGGATGAAGAGTTCTTGTCTTTACATTTAGTATAAGAATATATTGCCAAGCCAGGGGGAAGAAAGGATATGGGTATACCTACGAACGAAAATGTAGGGATCATGGATATTCTAGCAACCCTGATGCGCAGCGGTGTGACAACAAGCACAGCGCACGAGAAAAAAAAGCACAGAATCGATATAGTAAGGTTTATTTTATTTTTTTACTTTTATGATATCCTATCGCATGAGTATTGGCAGCTCGTGCTGTTACCTCTCGGGATCTTTGGTCCGATGATTATTGGACTAGAGTGATCTCCTAGTACCTCTTACTCAATTCCATTATGGCTTCAGGTTATAGCTGACCTTTCGGGATACCCGGTCCATAGTTTGTCTCATGAATGAAGGGGGGTTCCAGAAATCTGGTATATATTGAAGCTTCTACCCCGCGACTATTCAGATGGTTTTTGTTTTATTAACCAAGCAAACAAGCTAACTACCAAGCTTCGACGCCTTCAAACCAGATTCCTATTTCAATTTTTATCTCTTTCATTCTCGAGATCCATAGCTTGACCAATTAAGCGGGGAATTTTAAATCTACTAAGCTCCAACTTTCGTACGATACGTCATGCATTCGAAACTTCTTGTCCCATACTTGGCGACACTGTCGATAGTGGCCGCAAGTCCATTGAATATATTCTGTCAAAGGGCCCCAGTCGTTGGTCCAACATGTACTAAAGAAGAAACCTCGCAGCTCAGTACGACATCATTCCCTCTTCATAAGTAGCCATATATATAATATTAGATAACTTCTAACAATGGAATCGATATATAGGTTGTCATAATACCGCACCAGTCAACAATCTCTGCTGCTTCAATTCCCCGGGTGGTCAGATTCTATTGACACAATTTTGGAATGCCCGACCTGATTTTGGCCCAAAGGAATCTTGTACGACACACCCATTGTGACTTCACTACATTGATTCTATTATACTAACGGATCAAAAAAATCAGGGACAATCCACGGTCTGTGGCCAGACAAATGCGATGGTACATATGAGAGTAACTGCGACAAATCTCGAGAAACGAATGATGTTACAGCCGTTCTTAAGAAGTTCGGAAAGACCGAAACTCTGGATTATATGAACATGTATTGGAAGAGTAATAATAACGACGATGACGGTTTCTGGCAGCATGGTATGCCCCCACCCAGAATCTCGGATCAAGAATATCAAAAATAAAACCTCGACTAATATACCACTAGAATGGAACAAGCACGGCACCTGTATGTCGACTTACGAACCAAAATGCTACACAAACTACCAAAAAGACCAAGCAATCGCAGACTACATGGACAAAACTGTCGAACTCTTCAAGGGCCTAAATACCTATAACATCCTCGCCGCGGCTGGTATCCTCCCATCAGACACTACATCTTATACCCTTGGAGCCCTCCAAGCCGCCGTCAAGCGTTCACCCCACGGCCAAGAAGTCGTCTTCAACTGCAAGAATGGTAGCTTGAGGGAAGTCTGGTACCACTTCAACATCTACGGCAGCGCTCAGAGCGGAAAGTATGTTCCAGCTGGTATCGTCGGATCACCAAGTAACTGCCCAAAGACCGGGATTAAATACTACCCCAAGGGTGGAAGTGGAACTCCAACAACTACCACAAAGGCCACTACCACTGGCCCAGCCTCGACTCCTACGGGAACAGTCACCCCAGGAGAACCATTCAGTGGACGTGGATATTTGACCGTTGATAAGGGTGGGTGCTTGATCTCTGCTGGGAAGTGGTACACCAAGGGAACCTGCGCCACATACACCGCCACCGCCACCGGCAACGGCTTCACATTGAAGAGCAGCAAGGGTAACTGTGGTATTGTATCTGAAGAATTCAAATGCGGTACCGACGTTACATCCACTGTCTTCACTGCGTCTAGCGGAGCACTGGTTAATGGAGGCTCCACAAGCTACTACGCTGATGGGGATGCCAAAGATGGAAGTCAAGTTGGAGTATTCACTTCTTCTGGTGGGAGACAGACGGTATTGACCATCACTTGGCTGGCAATTTAGGGGGCTTGGTCGAGAATGGTGTTGGATGGTTATGCTGCAAGTTGGAATGTACGATGATACCCAGTTTTCTCGGTTGGCCGATTGGAATTTATGAATAGCCACTAGATGTGGTTGAATGAGGATGGATACCCAGGGAATATATTTGAGCCTGTTTTTTGTTTTAATACGACCATTTTTGTAAACCAGCACACACTGACGGTTTAGATGAGCTTGTCTATCTTTGCTTTTGATAATGATATTTTCTTGTTTAAATACCAAGTTTAAACTTCCTCCGTCGGAACCCTTGTAAGTTCATGCTCGCTGCGACAATGCGAATGAAACGTTAGAGAAAGATTCAGTGTTGGTTAGGTAAAATTCACTTACTTTGGTGTCTTGTTCTCAACATATGTCTCCTGATATGTACTCCACCCGAGTAACAAAAATGCAATAATAATGGCAAAGCCCCCTCCTATCGTCGCCTTGGTGAGATCGTGACCCGTAAAAATTGCGTCGTACAATGCTACAAGGAATATTCCTAGCATTGCCGCAACTGACGACAGAACGGGGCTTGTCAACGCCGTCAAAGATAAGAAAGCGGATGTAAATACTGATGTCGACTCCTCGTTAGTATTAGGCCATGGATATACTTTAGAAGCAGGACTTACAAACACTAGACACCGCCCCGAACGCGGTCCAAAAAGCCGCGGCACTGCTAGGCAATTCAAATACTTCCCATCCTGTAAAGTGCAATATAGGAAGCGGCAGCCAAAACACCAGTGTGGTAAAGACGCCAATGCTACTCCCAACCACAACCGAGAATGTTATATTCATCTCTGCGGTTGCTTCAGCTGGTAGACACGCCTTGAGTTTATATAACACTCGATATAATCCAAAAAGCACCGCTCCGGCAGCCGTAATAATATTTCCGAAGAGTCGTTTCTTGTTACTGACGACCTCATCAGCCCCACCTTCTGTTGGATTACCGTACGAGATAACAAGAACACCAGCGACAGCGAGTACGACAGCGATGTTTTTGGTCATTCGCATGGATTCTTTCAGAAGCCACACGCTAAAAACATATGCGAAGATTGCAGAAGTATTATTGATTGCTGTCAAATCACTCGGAGTCGTCATATTCTATGGCTTTCCCTTTAGCATACGTTCAATCGGATAAAAAAGTGGTTTTGGATCTTACCGCAGCTATGAACCATGTTACGGCGGCGACATTTAAAGCGCAACATTGTATGAAGCACGTCCTGAGCATATACGGCAAAGGTGATTGTGATGTTTGCGAGGACGTCAAATCCAAGGTTTGGTGCTCGACATACTGTGCTGTTCTACGCAGCACGAAAAAATGGTCCTCGAAGAACCGACTCCAAGGTTTCCCCGACTGCTGAAATCTTTCAAATGCTAAGAGGCCTGGCCACATGATGAAATAAAAGCCGTGTGTCAGGTATCTACACAGTCTATTAATCCCAAATTCGACATGACTAAACAACTGGTAAAAAACCCATGAAAGGTTTCAAGACTTACAAGATCAAATACGGCTTATTCCACCCCAAATCCCTCTGAACATAAACTGTCGCCTCAGTCTGACCCACCATACTAAGAGCAGCAATGGCCATCAAAACCACAGCGGTAATTACCCGCCGTCCCCCACCCGGCCCTTCATGGGTATGCCGAAAGAGGGCAGTTGGACTTCCAGGTTCCGATTCTTCAGCCTCGGAAGATGCCGGGTCCGAATAAACATCCCATTCGACCTCCCAAGAGTCTTCCGGGGCGGTTTCTGAGGCTTGTTTATTTCGGGAAGATGCAGGGGTGGCATCTCGAGCTCCAGCTTTTTGGGATGCTTCGGACATCTCGGCGGCGGGATAAAACACGTGGGACAAGGGCAAGCTTAAGCTACAACCGGTCGTCAGATCTACATACGTAGTGCAGAGTGGCGCTATAGCGACGTGAACTAGGGTACGATATAGTATCTTATTGGCGGCCTTTCAAGGTATTAAGAAACCATTGTTAGATATCTTTGATGCCTCAAGGCTTAAATGCGGCAGGTATATATAGCGTCCAAACTGAAGTGCTGTGCAAAAGAAGTAGCTAAGCTGTCATGTTTGTTCTGACGTTTTGGGACACATCGGACAATTCAACGCCACAGCTTCAAACCAACACATTTATTGAGCACCCGAGCCCGACTAATTTTATGCTGGCTTTGCTCCATATGCATGCTAACTATTGGTTACTACTATTTTATTATGACTAGCTCCTACCACTATTATCATGAGTTAATGAAATTTGAAGGTTGGATGCTTAATAAGGATGAAATCGCATCTGTTAATATAAATAGCTTCAATATTCAGTGAGTATAGACCGTAGAGGAGATGAATCACATCGAGTAGTTGAATACCTTAAACTTCAATTTGTCGGGATACCCCTCTAGCTCTAAGGATTTCGACAAAATATCCGGAGAGCCTGATTCGCAGTAAACGATGGCCCCAATTCCCAACTCGAAGAATCTAGACTTTCGTCGTAATACACCGCAGAAGAGGTATCATTCATCCCCGTCCGGGACTCCGGTTTCCTCCCCGACTCCTGTTTTGACAAAAAAGTCCTGGTGAAGACCGAATCTGAAGCTTCAAGGTACGGTGATTGAGCTTGACTACCAGCCTGTAGCACTACTCCATTACCACCCAGTAAAAGTTCTCTTCTCCTTGCTCGCGCTATGGCATAAAGTGTGTCAAGTGTCTCTTTTGATATCCATTTTGTATCATCTACATGCGCTAATGCCTGAAGCGCATGAACAATAATTGCAGTAGGGCTACCGTGCCATATGCGAGGCTTGTCATATTTCCCTCGTGGAATGGAGTGTCGCCGAGTGCCCAAGATATCCTCCCGAAGGTAAGCCTAGTATAGTCCTCCTGGCATATCTAAATCCTCCAAATCATTTAGATGTTTCTCTTCCACGCAGGCTAGGCGGCTATTGAGTAGGTAGGCTCTGTATTAGTCACCGGAGAGCGATAAGCGACGCCGGATTGTTCCTCGACATCAAGGAAATACTGCAAGTCGACCGGCAAAATAATGACTTGGGGTCGTAAGTTTGCAAAGTAGTATAGCATTCGCTTTATCGCCTCTATGACTGGATGGGATAATTCCCCGTAAAGACAGATCATAGAACTACTTGACCCATAGAGGTTAGGCTCTGAAACGGCCTGGCATATCGAACTCTTCTTGGAAAGGCATAATATAGATCTGGTCCCTGTTGAAAGTTAAATAGTTTTGGAAGCGTAATAGTATCAATTGCAAGGTTGTAGATACATATGCTACCGGATTCGAAAGAAACGTTCGAATTCTATTTGGATGTTTCAAGGCAATCCTTCTTGGTGACCTGCAACAGAGCCTTTGCCCGCATGTCAACCTGCAACACATAAACTCAGTTTCATGTGTGCATGTCACCGCTACAATTGCAATTGCAAGCTAGCTATAGTCCACTTCCATTTACAATTATTCGATATCAATATCTATTTTGACGCTCCCGGTTCCCCCCTCTTTATTAAACAGTCTTTTTGGCAGCCGTTGATTAGTAATGCAGTATCACAGGTAGTCACAGTATCAAATATTTACGCCGGACTTCGATTCCTGAATTCCCTTGAGTTATGATTACGTATATATTTATTGATGGAAAGCCTTTGGGTGACTCCGAGATTCAGATCTTCAGGGTGCACGAGGGTGCACTCACTACTATACTTTATCACTCTAATATAAGGTATTTACTTCGATTCGACCAAGTGTAGTAGTTTTCCATAACTGAAGCTATAGAGCTAATGTACCTGGGAGTACAATGCGATACAATCGTTGCGGGGTGATTTCACAACAATACCGATCTTAAAGAATGTTTTGTGTACTAATATATAAATATATAAAAGCGTATAGTAAAGTAAGTGTGCCGAAGCGTTTTAATACAAGACGAAGTAAAGTATTAGGATAAAGGTGTGACATGAAAAATACAGTCCGTCTATAGCTAGTACAAAATTTGGGGACTTAGAGCTGATATGAAGATTCTCTACGGGACCTCCAGAGTGTTTTGCACGGGGTATCCTGACCTAATTTTCCCTTTTACCAGTCGCCCCATTAATCTAAATTAAGCTAACCTTTAGCGTATTGGAGCCGGCCGTTCCAATCCAAATAAAGCGTAAAGGTAACGCTCTAATTTATCCACCTCTTTCCCATTAAACACTAGAGTATTTAACGGTGGCCGCAAACTATCATAAACAGACGCACGGTTAGTCCAAGGTGATGGAGCCGGTATAGTGGAAGGCCAATTCGGGAAAAGTTGCTGGAATATCTCAGTCCAGGTAACTGCGTGCGGGTTTGCAATCAAATCCAAAGTTTCTCGCGAAAATAGCAGTGAATGATTCCTTTTTATATGGTGGCGAAGGTAACCCAAAGTCTTTGAACCCGAGAACCGTTGAGTTTCTGTTTGTGAGCTTGTGCACTGAAAATTAGGATGGCCAATTACGTAAAAAGGGCAAGCGAAATATTGGGTTTCCCCACAAGTCTCATCCGCAGTGCTAGACTGAGTTTGAGGTTGTGTTATAATTGGGCTTCGAGATGTCGCATCTCTAATGGTCTCATCTCGAGGTGAAAAGGCTGCTGGAGGCACTTGGTACATGCTTTTCGGCTTCGGTTTTTGGGAATTCCATTCTGAGCTTGGTGGACAATTCCACCGCTTTTGACTTTTTTGCTCAGGGGAGAAGTTTCCAGTCGGACGCTTTAATACACCATCTAAGTCTTTGGCGTGGTCGGCAAAATGTTCATCCTGCAGTCCGAGCACCGTGTTTTGTAGAGATTGATCCGGATCGAATTCAGTAGGGACATCAGTATGCTTGCTATCGTCCCACTGGAATAACACTGATAATGTCAAGTCCTCCAGGTGCCGCCCGATATGCGAGGCGAGGTGAGATATCAAACTAGGTAGTTTCTGCTGGCACATCCTACAAACCGATAGATTTGGATCAAGCCCCACGTTTCTGGAGCTGTTGAGTAAATCCTGAATTTCAAAGTCGTGGGAATCATATCTGATATTGTGATCAGCAATAAGATGATCCATAAGCTTTTGTTCGCAGTCGAAAGCATCGTCCTTTTCTTTGCAGGGGTCAAAGGCGCATTTCCATTTTGTTATCAGACGGTGTGATTTGACTTCGTGTGCCATCCATTCCATCTTCGATTTATATCCAGTTCTCTCTTTACAGTTTGTGAAGGTGCATATATATGGCTTTATATCTGCGAGCACATGCTTCCTAGAACCAATATGTTAATGCTTTTAAATTTTGAGAAGGTATATATAGAACTGATGTCCTGAGCTTATGGTATATACCTCCACTTTTCAGGTGTATCCATCCCCCAAACCATCGTATCACAAGTCTGGCAGCGGAACGCCTCAGTGCTAAACCCTTGCGGGGGCGGGGGAACTTGAGGCCGATCTTCGGGCTCATCGGTACTCCTAGAAGAGTCGCTTGCGGTATCAATGACCGGTATTCGTGTTTTTCGGGGGGCCCGTCTGGCCTTTGCCGCGAAGAAGTAGTGTGAAGACTCGTATTCTAGAACCGAAGCCTGGGTTCTGAAAGTCCGATGGAGCACCGAAAGCATTTGAGCAATCATGTCTAGAAGATCGCTGTCGATATTGGGGAAGAGTTTCTGGATGCCGTTTTGATACCAGCTTCCCGGCTTCAGCTCTTTAACAACTTTATAATAATAGTTGCGAAGTGTAGTCCGATCGATGATTTCTTCATCTTCGTCCCCGTTCACGGAACAACTTTCCTCATCTTGTTCAATATCCCCCAAGGCATTCATAATAAACGGAGCAATTCCGGAAAGACGTTTTTGAAACTCCCGGAATTTTTCAATAAAACTTTGGACATCCGTGTGCAAGTTTGAATGTGATTCGAACTCATGGTCATTATTCCCGAGGAGATCTTCAGCGCCTTCTAGAAACTCTCCTCCCAAAGTAACATGATAAGAATACTGTATTTTCTCCGTCAAGGCGAAGATACGGCAAAAGTGATCCCTCACAACCATATCATAGAACTCCGATGTTTCTAGAGAATTCAAGTTAGCGGTTTTATATTCAAAGTCCTTGGGCTGTCAAATACTAGTGACAGTACTACCGAAGCGCGCTACTAACTATCTTTTGTTAAACACCTAAAGAAGACAAGCCACGTCATAAATATCGATTCCTTAAGCCCACTAAGCCCTTTTATTACCCTTTCCAGTCTTCCTGTTGTAGCTTCAACCCCGTCTGCCCATAAATCGAACTTAACCTGGATTTCTTCCAGTTCGGCTGTGTTTTCTATCTCTGGGATATCCAACACGGAGTCGACGATATCACATATCAAGTCTACGGCGTCGGCAAGTACACCGCCTGTATTTGTACTTCCATCCCTTCCTTCGGACCAAACAGATTGATCTTCTATAAATGAAAAGAGGTATTCGCTTGCTTCTCCAGTTGTCGGTACCTTCGTCGATACTCGTGTTGATGATTTTGTTGGGGGCAGCTCATCGTTTGTATGAAAATCCTCGTCCCTCACTTCTTGATCGTCTCGAGGATGGTGAGAACTCATGATCTCTGACAGTTAGCCGGTTGTATCTTAGGCGTTACGGTATATTTTTGTAGTCTCTCGCTATTGAATATTTCATCGATGCATTCGCGGCCGCGTGGCTATTGGAATTCACAGAGTATCGCACGGGTACCAGAAGCGGGGGTGAAAGAATTGTCAGTTTTTTTGTTAGAGATGATTTTATGCTTCCAGTGTTAAGCCACGGCCACGTCGGTTGTGGGCTCTGTATTTTTGCGTCTGACTCTTCGCGCGAGGCTCTAGAAATTGAGATGCAAGGTTTGCTTAATCATATAGTGAAACGGCAACCAATTCAAATAGAATGCATGCACAGCCTTCAAATCAGAGCTTGGCAGGATCATTATGGATGCCACACCTGTACACATAGGATCATGATTTTCTTTCTTATAATTCATGTCCTCCGAGTTCTAGTTTGCCGAAGGGATAGATTATCGCATCTCTGGAGTACGATCGATTTTTCTAGACTACAGTCAATTTCGCCCCTAGCTAGGTCTATAGTCCTAGATATCGCCAAAGAGTCCAAAATCAGTCCAAGCCAAAGCTGAAAAATGTCGGGGGTCGAACTTATTGGCCTGCTTCTTGGGGCGATAGCTCTCATTGAGCCTATCGGCAAAGGTCTCAAATCCGTCAGTGGTGTTATGAAAAGTTCAGACTCATTTCAGGAGTACATGCTATCGACGAGTCTAGAGTACCATTGTCATGCGCAAGCATTTAAAATTGAATCGAGACGGATTTTTGGGGCCTTCCTAACGGAATCTGAGATTGACGACTTATTTGGAGAAGAGGGAAGCAGTGATCCTCGTTGGCAGGACCAAGCTTGGAGAGACAGCGTCAAAGCCTATTTGGGGACTTTCTATGACGGGATCTCAACAGCTATGCTGCTGGTATCTCGGGCGCTTTCGGTTCTGAACGAAAATATAGTCCAGCTCAAAGATCTTGTGAGTAAACTGGGAGCCAGCCAAAGCTACGCGATATACGTAGACATATATTTAGTGTTCTTCTATGCTAACCATGTCATGTTTCGAATTTCAGAATGAGCTCCCTCGGCCAGGCGACAAAGGCCGATATGGTGGATCAACCGCCTCCTCTGGCCAAGAATCTGTTTCGATGAAGATTAAGTCGAAATTAGAAATAAGAAAGGAAGACATAAAGAAATATTTTGATGATTTGATACGATATAACCTGCTATACCAAGGTTCCGTCAACCGTTTCGTGGAAGAACAAAAATGGAATGCGAAGGCAACAACCGCGATAATGAAAGCTGAGAAGCGCTGCCGTCATCTCACCAAATCTGCAAGGGGCGTGCCATGGAATTCAGTATCTCAGGTAATTGATGATCTCCATGAAACAAGTCGGAGGCTATCTTTTGCGCTACAAAAAGCCGCGGTCTGCTCCTGTCACGCGTTTCACCTCCGGCTAGAGATGTTCTCGTCGACCGATTTGTCCACCCCATGGCCACCGACTAGGGGAGCTCCTTGCTTCGGTAACAGAGATCCACGATATCAAACGATAAACTTCAATTTGATCGTACTGGGATCTTTCGACCCACAGCAACGTACAAACTGCCACCGATCGCGAGTTTCATGGGATACCGTGGGATATCCTTTAGACCGTTTGTCTTTGCGTATTGAAGTCAAGCCGCATGCCACTCCTAACTTAAGATTAGGGCGCACACCATTTAAATCTCTCCCAAAAAATTTCATAAAGGAAAACCCCATAAAGGATACTTCCAGTGCACAGAAAAAACCGATAATACGGACCGAGAACGGGGCTACTGAGCCACCAGCGACCACCACTACACCACTGAAAGCACCCACTCCAAAATCAAAGCTTAAGAAAACCGTTGCTCTCGCTCATAATTCCCTTAGAACCGTCGTACCATCTTCTGACAAACGAAAAAGGAAGCCGGTCGCGGTACTGGAAGACCCTCGCAAAGAGCCTGAGCTTAGCACAGCTATGGATTATGAAGTAGCCGTCGACGTACCAGTAAAACCTGAAGAAATATCTGATATGTGTGCTTGGCTAAAACAAACCAGGCTGGCTTCGAGTATTTTGGACCAAGAATCTCACCCGGGTGTTTTGAGTGGAGAGAGTAGTGTCCAATATTTGGTGCACGAAGAGAATTCTGTCGACGTGTCCCCAGAGATCAAGGGTGAAAATCACATGCGGAACTACGGATCTTTGCTAGAATATCTCTTGTCAAGTCGAAACACTTTATTGATCCCTCAGCGCATGGAATTAGCACACACACTTGCCATATCACTGTTACGGCTCCACTCCTCATCTTGGATTCGAAGAAGCTGGAGCAGCAAAGACGTAATGCTTTTTCTGCCATCGGATGCCAGCGCCGCTGAGCGACGTTGGTCGCCATATGTATCAGCAGCCTTTAACGACCTTAGAGATATACAGGAAATAGCACAAGCGGAAAATCAGGATGAACCGGGCTACAAACTTTCGTATGTTGTTAGCCTCGGAATCATATTTTTAGAGATTGGGTTGTCTAGGTCTTTACGAGGGGAACAAGAAGATACGTTTAATGGAGGTCCTCATTTCGATGCATATATGCGGGCCTGCGGAGAAGTTAAGATCCATTCTGTAAGTGGGTTAATGGGCCCAACTTATGATCGGGTAGTAGAAACCTGCATCAAGTGGATGGATTCAGACGAGCTCGACGACAAAGCTGTTCAGCAAAAGTTCTACGAAGATGTTGTTTTAGGATTGGAGAAGTGTATTCAGGTTGCTAACTCGAGTCAGAAAAGGAGAGAGAAAAAGAAGCGTAGTCGAAGCTGACTTCTTTGTAAAGTATTTTAATTTAATCACACGTATTTTATATTTTATCCTTCTTGTTCCCGGGATCCCTCTCTCTTCTTTCAAATATCTTCTATCGTCACCCTTTCTTCCCCCGCCCCTCTGAGGGGCATGTGTATCATTTGGGATTTCGTAGAACATTTAAACCTTATAAACTCGGATCTTTCATGAGGAGAAGAAGCTCCACAATCCAACAGAGGAAGTTGTTGTCGAGTCTCCTTGTCCGACCATAGCCAACGCCATAACTCGCGTCAGCGGTCAAATTACAACATGTGCGGCTCAGAGTCACTTTCAGCTCAGCCTCGTATACTATTCACGATACCCTGCGCGAGGCCAAAGGTACTAAAGTCCTATAAAAAAAAAATCGACATAGCACTGCGCTCTCACCTTACATACCCTTCTTTTCAAACTGCCTAAGTAGGTAATCACAAATACTTTGGTATATATTGCGAACAGTCAACAGTCTAGTGTGGAAGGACACTGTACTAGATCTTCCCCGCACTTTCGCCCATCGCGAGTACGCGTAACTGCCTGTCTATCACGATATAATACCAATCTTCAAAGTTACGTAGCCTCGTATCCAAGCACTTTCGGGGTCTCGGAGCAGTTTGAGGGACCTCGTTCACTATATACAAGAGGTTTTGAATACTTTGAAACTTCATGAATTCAAGGCTTTATAAATATTGAATCCTTGAATATCCAAGCTATATATATCTATATCGCCGTCAATTTCCTCAAGATCCCCAAATATTTTTATTTATTAATTATTTCCTTGACTTGTTGATGCGCATCTATACTTAGTTAACCTCGCCGTTCTCCATTTGCTATTTTCATCTCTGTTTTGAACAAAATGTTTCTTCCCAAAACCCCCCAGTCCTCCTCCCTCGATGTATTCCCCCTCGAAATCCTCCTACAAATCCTCCAAAATCTCACTATCCCTTCTTTACACGCCATTCTCCGCCTCTACCGCCGCAGTCGCATAACTTTTTCGACCTACCACACTCAAATAATCAACCACATTCTCCTCTCCACGCTTCCTGATCCAAAATTCCCTACTTACTTCCCTCACACCTATAAGGGCGTTATTTACCCGCGCCCGCCTAGTAAACCATTACAAACCTCCCATGTAGAAGCATATACCCAGTTACGGTATGCACAATCCCTGGTTTCACTATCAGACGCCATTTCTAGTTTAACCACATACATCTACTCTATAACTTCCCCTCAAATTCTTGAGAAAATAACACCAAGAGGTACAATCCTCTTAAACCGATACGCACAATTTCCTTACGAAGAAGCCTTAACCTCTACAATCTATCGTATCGTAATTTCAAATTCCCAAACCTTCTTCTACACGTCCCAGCTTGAACTCGCTCAGACATTTTCAAACTCTTCACCATTTATCCCACCCCCTCGTCCACCGCCTCCAAAGTATCCAGAAAGCGTGGCAAGACGGATCTTACCCCCGGAACTCCTACCCAAGGAGACACCATCTGACGAAATCACCTCACAGCTTTCGAATCTACATGGCCCCGAGACGTCATTTTTAAAAAGACAAACATATCGATACCTTCGTCGGTTAGTACTTGGAGCCTTGACGGCCTATTTAAAACAACATGAGTTTTTCAACGGTGTTTGTATCATCCCTTCGTGGGAATATATGCACGATTCGGCCTCCATCCGCGACGGACTATTCCTCTACCTCGGCATTCATCCAAAACTACTATTTAAAGTCCTAGTACAATGTAACCTCGAAGATAAGGACAAAGCTATCAGGGGAGTAGGCGGTGATCGCCTAAGTAGCAAGGAGAAGAGAGAGCAAAAGGCGCGTCCTGCGGTTGCGGTAGAATTAGGAAAGGCCTATGCAATTGTTTGCAAGGTCACGCATGAACATTTGGAAGAAATGAAGAGATATGCAAAAAGGAAACCTGTTTTAACCGATTTTGAAGAGGTTTTTAATGTTAACCACCGTGGGGAAAGTCGCACCTAGTTCTCCTGTATATTTGGCCCCAGCGAAACAGTTTGGGATGACATGAATATTGGGAAATCGTGTTTTCGAATCCAAATATCTCTATCCTCGAGGAATAAATTTTTAGACGATTGTTTTACGAGTAATAGAAGTCTTTGATTGATATTAATTAGCCCTGATTTTGTATATATTAGTATAGTACTATTTTGAGACGAGCCCATTAAACTTCAATTTATATCCCGGGGAATGTTGAAAAGCACGGTCCAAAATCTAGTATCTATCATTACTCTCGGTCATACCTTAACTAGAAATCTCTAAATATTCCTGTACAGCAAGAAACTCCAAATATATTGAAGGTAAGTATGTTAATTACAGGCCGTCACCCGACTTGCAAAGTCGCCACAGCCTGCTCTGTAAGATTTATAATTAGATTAGAGACAAGAAAAGCTAGGAGGGATAAGCCTCTGGCATGGCGGGACGGAACTCATCCCCCTAAATAGCAGGGGGGGAATGGAGTGAAGCGCTCAGAACAACCCATTAAAAAGAGGTAGAAAGACGTCCCTGTTAACAAGGGGCGTAAAGGGGAAAACCATCCAAATGACAAAAAGACAAACCCGCTGAATGGAAACATCCTATGCATGTATCTCTGATTAAAAAGCGACGTCGAGAAAGAAAAGAAAAAGAAAACAGGAAAGGAAGTCGTAGGACTCGTCATGCAGCCAAGGTGATGCTCTAGTTAAGAAATGAAGAATAAAATGGAAATGGAAACGATGACACAAGCTGAAGGGAGCCACCAACAAACAAAAGACCCGATTATGTATATACATCCGATAGAGTCGTCAATAATCAGCATGCAAGAAAATATAGAATTGAAGAACGATTTAACACACCGAGAAAAAACCCCATTTTATAAAACAAAGGCCGAAGTGAAAGTAAGGGTTTGAAAAAAGGTACTTTTGAATGTACGTGCAGAAAGAAAAGATACAAAAATAAAAGTGATTTGGGAGGAAAGTAGGAAAGTAGGAAAGAGCACGTGAAGCGTGTGTCTCACCGTTAACAAAAGCCGTGCACGGCGACGCGCTAAAACGTGTATTTAAGTGGTTACAACAGAGAGGGAATCTGGCCTCACTGCGGTGCCACTTCACTAGGCCCGGCCTCAACAGGCCCGGCGGTACCGAGTCCTCCATCAGTCAGCGTCGACGAACTCCCGTACAGTTGTAGAACCTTCCTAAGGTCATTCTTCTTGATCGGCTTCGCCAAAAAGTAATCCATTCCAGCGTCGAAGCACTCTTTTACGTTGCTCTGCTCTGCAAATGCGGTTAGTGCACAGATAGCGGAAGCGTATCCCATCTCTCTGATGACTTTAGTAGCTTGCAGGCCGTCCATATTGGGCATCTGGATGTCCATAAATATGATGTCAAATTTCTTGCCAACAGCAAGAGCTTCCTTGACCCTGGAAACTGCGACAGCACCGTCCTCCGCTAGAGTGATATCTACTCCGATTGTTAGCCTGCAATCTACGCTTTCATTACACACAGTAAAGTATACCTGAAACAGCTTCAAGTTTTAGCATCTTTTTAATGACTTGAATGTTGACTCGATTATCCTCCGCGACAAGAACTTTGATGGACGCTCTTTTATCCTTCAGGTCCTTCAACTCCTTCGAGGACCGTTTTTCTTTCTTGGCCGGCCCAGAACTTGCCTCTCCAGTCTCGGCCTCTGGGACCTTTCTCATTCGGACTGACTTGCTGGGCGAAACCGTAGAAGGCGGTGCTTTGGTCGGTAGGGCACCCTGTTTTTGTGTAGCGGATTTAGGCCCCCCCTGATCCAATGGGGTGGGTATAGGCGGAGCACTCCCATTTCCGATAGAGGACAAGGGTGTTGACTGTGCTTTTCCTCGGTCATCAGATGGTTTCCGTGACACCGAGGAAAATCCCTCCAAACCCCTCGGTGATATTATGGCGGGTGATGAAGAAGTTCTTTCTAGGGTTGGTCGTCGCTGGCTTAGTACTGTTTCCGTCTTATCCCCGGGTGTGGGCGTGGGTGGTGTCTCAGAATACGACGGTATCGTAGGCAGAACTGGAGGAGACGGGGAGTGTTCCTTATGCCGTTTCTCTATATTGCGGCTCCCTCGTCTTTCAGTGAATTCGTCTTCGACAACTTCTGGGGCGAAAAATGGTTGACTCAATCCAACAAGTCGTGTCGCATCCGCTTGGCCGCCGGATATTGAGCTGAAAGCCGTCGACGCAGTCTTAGTGCTGATATTGTCAATATCCCCTCTCGGTCGTAGGTTCGGTGGCAAATTACGAGTATACCTTGTGGTGGCCAGGCTTCCAGGTCTCGAGTATCCAGTATGGGGTTGTGTTGGAAATCCTCCAGCTCGGAGCGGTATCCGTAGAGTAAACGAGCTACCTGCTCCTTCGAATGATTTCAGTTCAATGAGGCCACCCATGAGTTCGGCAAGTTGTTTGCAGATGCTAAGGCCCAGGCCGGTTCCTCCATACTTCTTCGACAGGCCAAGATCCCCTTGGACGAAAGGCTCGAATATCTTAGTGTGCATATGGCTTGGAATACCAGGTCCAGTATCGATGACAGAGAACTCGAACCAGCGGACAGTAATTCTCGGGTCTTCCAATGGTATTCTACCTTCTTGAGAGTGGTCTTCGTCATCCTTTGACTTGTTATTCTCGGAAAAGTAGGCTTCAGTTGTAGAAGAGTTACTAACTTCGCCAGGAGTTGTTAGTGACGGTATTGTTAGCGATGCGGCCTCTTTTTTGGCCTTTAAAGCTAGATTTGCCGGGGTATTTGGGTTGATTATTGCGGTTTGAGGGATATTAAGTAGCGGCATATCCTTTTGTGGGGTGTCTCCCGTGGTCAATGCGAGACCCTTCGTGTCCTTGAGCATAGCGATTCTTAGTTGTACCGATCCCTTCTCACTATATCCATTTTTATTTTGTTAGTGTAAATTCAGATATTTCTGTCCCGAAGTGACGTACGGTGTGAACTTCAGCGCATTGCTCAGCAAATTAATCACAACTTGCAGAACCCGATTCAAGTCGCCTCTCAAAATCCCATTGATTGACGGCTCTCCAGCTTCCACATCACCGGTATCGCTAGAGATTTCAATTCCTAGTTCGACGCCTTTGTCCCTCGCTGTCTTGACAAAAATTGCTCTAACCTGGGTAACGAGATCCCTGATATGAAACTCTCCTTCCTCAAGGACAACATTTACGCCAGCAACTTGATTCCTGCTGAAGGTCAGCAGATCCGTCAATAGACAAAGCAAGAGATCTCCGCTCTTCCAGATCGTATTCAAGCTTCGCTTGATACTAGGTGCTAGACCCGGCTCATTCATCATTATGGAACACATTCCCAGGATTCCATTCAACGGTGTTCGTAGTTCGTGTGTCACATTGGCAATAAACATAGATTTGGCGTCATTCGCAGCATTCGCCAGCTGCGTTTGTTCTTTGAGTTCAGCCGTCCGGGTCGCCACTCTGTCTTCTAGATGGGTATACTGTTTAACGAGCTCGTCCGTCATTTCGTTGAAAGTTCTCGTGAGATCGGTGAGTTCGTCGGTCACAATGTGCTTCTTGTCCGGAACTTTCTCTGGCACCCTGAAACTTCGCCCTTTTCGGCCCCTATTAGTGCTGCCTTCGATTTTCTCGTTTGTAAAGCCACGCCGCCACCACGGTTTCCGGCGCCGAATGGACTCGCCAATAGTACTCTCCCCAGCCGTTCCGAAGACAGCCGGAGGCTCTTCTGTTTCGCTATCATAAGCCGTCGGGCTGTATCCTGGAGGCCTTGTCGTCTTTTCTGTTGCATCACGTAGCCTAGCGATTGGACGCACTGTGAAAACATCTTATCAGTACACGGAAGTAACCTATATAGGAACCCATGTGACGAACCGGCATATGTCGCGAGAATGCATGTCACAATAACCACGCCCGCTCCAGTTCCAAAGACAGTAGCCAGCAGGAGATTTCTGAGGTGTACGACCGGTTGATTGACTTCATCATGGCTCATCTGAACAATGAACATCCAATCAGCGAATGCGTAGTTAACCGGCGCAAAGCTAAAATATATATCCTCAATTAGCACCCACTAAACCTAACAAGAAAGAATTTAGAAAATGACGCACCCAATGGCCACCCTCGCACCATTTGCTGGATTACGAGTATCGATAACGGTCCCCTCATTACCGGGTGCACGTGCGACATCATAAAGGAATCCTCCCAATCTACCCTCTCCCGAAAGGCCAATAACTGGCGGCAACACATATCTCCAGCTGACATTCCCAGGCCACCCAGAGTCCCTATCTGCGAGGTTCCCATTTGTAGGACCAAGAAGTAAATAGCGATAAGTCTGCCCGAGATCGCCGTAGTCGCTAAGGGTGTTTTCCACGTTGAACAGCGAGCAAACAACGGTTACATAGCCTAGAATAGATTTTTGGACAACAGCCGCAGTCGTGTTGTTATATATAGGCGCAGTAAAGCTAGCAATATGTGCTGAAGAGTTGGTTAACGATTTGACGGGACCTAAAAGTAGCATTCTATCTGATGGCGGCTCCGTCGGGAACAGTTCGTCAGGGAAACCTGGATGCCCAAGTTGGGAATTATACCCGACAAGATTCCCTGTGGCATCGCGAATCTCCCTAAAACCCGGTGTCGTCGAGGGGAGGCCGGTTTCGCTAGTTACGTTAAGATATACGGTTTTGAAGTCGGTACTGTAAACCGTGATATGTTGTAAAGCAAGTTGGGTCGATAGAACCAAAGAGTAATCGATCAGAGAGGTATTCCAGTTGGCATAAGTCGTATTCCTAACCCCCCCAATCTCGCCGGTGTACCTTTTTATAGCATTGAGTATCTGCGCTCGGGAGGCAATGCTCGTGACGGCTGTTTCGAGAAGGTTGATATCGGAAGCGATTTGGTCGGATTTGAGAGAAGATATGAGAGAAAGCCGTGATTGCCGAAGGTCGGTAACGAGGCTGGAACATGGTTAATTAGCTCGTTAGCTTAAGATTTTGGATTGGACGAGGCATCATATGTTGTTTTGAAGGTAAATACCTTTGGTTATTAAACCACTATCACAGCAGGTTGATCAGTTTTCATTCAAATTAAGCCAATCTGATAAGATTTTGGAGGGAGTGTCTTACTGTGACAATGGCTAGTACGCCCAGCGAAGTGAGGGATACAACCAGGACGAATGCCTATTTTGACGTCAGGTCAGCGGGTGCCAGCACCAGCAACGGTACAGCCAAGAAGGCCATCACGAAACTCGCCCCCATCTCCTTCATTTCGCGCGTCCATGATCATGACGCCCATGAAAAAATGAAAAAGATTCAACAGATATATCTGGCGACATACACTCAGCTGGTTTCTGATGCCGATATGCATTTTTCCCTACAAAACGTCTCTTTTGCCTCGACTCCTATTCCATGAATGATAAATGTCGCTTCGGCCGTTGGAGGCCGGGGTTTTCTTGGCAGGCCTGTGAAAGGCCGCCTTTGGAGGAGGAAGGAGCCTTCCGTGGTTGCTGAATAGCTAGTAAACGCCTGCTATCTTTTGTCCTTTTTCTATCTTCCTTTCCTATTTATTCTATATTCCTTCCTACGATCTTTCGAGGGGATGGTTGTGAAAAGAACGTGAGTCGGGTCAGAAGGAAGGAAGGATGTGAAATGAAGCCCAACCAGCCGGGTATCCCTATACGGTTATCGCCAATCGTCCACTTCTCGTCAAAATATTAATGAATTTGAAATCGAGAAGATTGAAGGTCGGTGGAAAGGTCGAGTAAACGGGTGAATGAAGGAACTGGGGCGGAGGAGAGAGAGAGAAGGGAGATAATTGATCGTTTGGTTGATGATTGATGGTTGATGATACGATGGGATACGACGATACGATAGAAGACCGTTAATATTAATATTGGAACGGGCTCAAACGGCCATCGGCGCGGAATTGGACGGTGTTGGTTTAGTGTCAATAAACCCCATGCGGGCCCCCAAATCCCCCCAAAATGCCGGCTGAAAACACAACTGAAAGCAACGTCTGCCCGCCGGATCCAGCAATTTCGGTATCACGGTCCCCTCGCCAAGTCAAGTCTCTGCTTCAATAGCCCACCGGGAGACGATCAAACTGATAAATGGACTGAAGTTTTTAAGAGGAAGAAAATTCGGCGGAAACGAGGATTAAGGAGGAGAAGGAATGGGTTTGTTAGAAAATTCTATCTCTTTGTCATGTCAGTGGGAGAAACAAGACAAATCGCGACCTAGCACGGGACAAGGGCCACCCGTTCGCAAAAAAATATTCGATCCTCCCTCAAATCGGGGATATGCGTGAAAAGGACCCACCTGCACGTATCTGCATGGGGGTAGTGGTGGTGGTAGTGGAAGGGTAAGGCCGGAGAGGCTGGGCAAGACATATTGTATGTATGTCCTATAAACCTCATCCTTCCTTCCGCATGATTTCCATGTTGATAATTAATAATGCTAGTACTACATGTATGCCTAATTCATTACAGGTAAGTCCATTTCTATTCAACCGACCAATATCTATTGAAACACATGGATGCATGTACACAAGTACTGATCTATGTATTGTGTACATATACATTCCAGCAACTTTATTTCAGATAGTCGAGATCATATTCAAGGAGTACATAACGTCGTACAAACGTCGATTTGAAGTCGGGTCGGGTCGAGTCCAATGGCCCTCCTTGCGTCTTTTAACTTTACTTTTTCTCTCCCATTCCGCGCTTTTTCTTCTAGCCGAAAGGAACGGAGAAGCCATCTGCATCATAGTCTATGGGGAACTCGGGAGATACTTCCAGCTGTCTCAGCCAATCAGTAGCTTCCACTAGATACGCTGGACCATGGAAAGATAGCTATCTCAACATAACTTCCCGCTGGTGCGTAAAGTCACAAAATAAAATAATTTTCGGTCGGCTCGTTTCTGCAGGTCGTTTTTTATGCTTGTTACAGCACGATATTCCCACTCCAATAAATGCAAAAATGTCTATTCGGAGTTTCATATCCTGTCGACAAATGCAGAACAGACGAGGTGGCAAATCTCTTCCTCCAACGGTTGGAGGTCATTTCAACGCCACAGCCTGACCTAAGGAACCTCCCCTGTCGTGATATCTGGGCATCGGGAAAGTACCTGACGATCTGACAGACGCATGGAAAACCCCATGGCGAAGAGGCTAAAATGCGAGGATTTGCGTCTACTCCCGTCGTGGCGCGTGAACGCTAGTATGGCTAGTGCGCCTGTTACATAGCATCTAAAGCCTCAGGACCTTAGACCGACCAGGTAATCGATCGACTAGGCTCTTGCTCTTTCCCCGACTGGCAGTTTGGGATAGTGGTAGTTCGTCTCAAGTAAGGTTCAAATGCTCCAATCCAATCCAAAATATATTCAATTCAACAGCTTCTTTCTCGAGCTCTTTCCATCGCCCGATCCAATCCCGCAAAAATTTCGGCTTAAATTGCCCGACCCTTGCTACCTTCCCAATTTCGAGAAAAAAAATAATAAACGGACAATTTACCAACCGATTACGTCAAATAATTGCCAAATTATTAGAGACCACATTTTCAAAAATAGTTTGTCTTTGCAATTAATCGCAACGTGCGCAACCCCAGCAACGAATCCCTAGGCTATAGGCCATTTTGATATTATATTCACAGACTTGTATATCTTTTGTGCCAATTCCATCGTTAGAACGCTGGCGACCCTGCGCCTGCACCACAAAGTCCCCCCCAGGCCAGAGGACTGTTGATGAAATAGCATACGTACGGACATGTGCCGTCCGATGTGGTATTTTAGGGATCGGCAAACCACGTCGAGCTTGGTTTCGTGTTGTGTTCGGTCAGCCTCATGCGCGTGCTATATGCCTATATACTAGTAGTTTTTGAAATCTCAAATATGTATTGATACCAACAGATGCCTCTTACCTCTCAAATTGCTAAATGATTAGATAATCGAATTGTCAAAGCTGATATCGACTACTTAATAATATGATAAACAGATCACCAATTTAGTTTTATCTCTTACAAAACAAAGGATTATGTATACAAGACCCTCGGCACGTACAGCACAAACATATAAATATAATCTTAATTAACTGTGCTCGGTGAATATCCGTCTCCAGCCTAAATTAATTGGCTAGGGCAAATTCAATAAATTTGTTTTGAGGAGGAACCTGAAGGCACCATGAATACAGATGGTCAATTCAGGGAGCTCTTAATTAGTATCAAATTGGCCTTCAGAATTAATCAAAGCCAACCCCGAACGGGCAATCCTCAGATCCGCGAACCGATAACTTCTCACAATTAAAGTAATATTACATCAATGAACTTTGCAACGTGCTCCGCCGGCGCGCGCCTCGACAGGGTTGTTTGTGCCAGCACCTAATATTCAAACATCCGTCTGTGCCTTTGAAAAAGCTTGAAACTTTATATATACTAAATTGAGCCAACCCACTAGCCGAACAGAGCACCCGTTGGAGCTAATATTACGCAAGCCGTGTGTTTAGAATGTATAGATCAGCTATGAACTATAACATTACAGTTCTCTTTTACTAAATTTATTAGTGCTTATATAATGGAGTGCGTAGATGTATTATTGTGATGTAACCCTTTTAGCAGGCCATTCTAGTCTTTATCATCAAATCACTAGAATTTTAGGTCGAGTGTAATGTAAAAATTGGGACCAATACGCACTCTTCGAGCGGACCTTGAAGATTTGGTTGGCGCTTGTGAATAAGATGTTAGCGAAAGCGCTAAATAGTAGTATAATATCTTAATTAGCTAATATCAGTAGTTAGCTCCTCATCTGCCCGGTCCTAAATTATATAAAGCTACCCGGAACTCGACGTAGTAGATCTAGGAGGCTAGATTTTTCATAATTCTCCTGTCCGAATAGGAACTAGTTATAACTGCTCTTCCTAATACATCAACTCACTGCTGGGTTCCAGTCTAGTTTGGCTAATCACCTAGGCTATACGGTAGTAGTGTTAAATATCGAATATTCAATATACAGATCCGCGGAATTCTGGTTTGAGCTTTATATTTAGTACACCAAAAATTATAAACTTATTAGAAATTCTGAATTGTCCTGAATAAAATTTCCCAATGGTGTTTAGTTCGAAGAGTTCTCATTTAGTTATTTGGCGGATATTTTAGTTCGCTTGCATGATTCATACATGTATACAATGTTAACAACCAAAGTTACAGACTAAAGATACATTTACTTATTTACCCATCCTTTTATCCGGGGTTTTGACACGATAATTTATCTGCCTGTGATATTTCAGTGTTCAATTTCATGTCTAGAGCGAAACCCAGCTGGCCAGCATCAAACCCCGAAATACAATCCCTCCTCCAAAAACCTCTTCATCTCTTCCTTCAATCCCTCCTCCTCAACCCCCATTTTTTCAAAGGTCTCCTTCCTCGCCCTCAAAGTGCCCAACTTCCCTAGCCCCCCTGAGGTTGGTACATGAACTCCATACTGTTCTTCCCAAAACTTTACCCCAGGCTTTTCTCTCTCTTCCTTCTTCATCTCCTTCAACTTCTTTCCAAACTCCACCGCTCCCTTCGGTAACCACACCCTAAAAACTTCATACTCCGCGAATTCGCAAAGTATACTTCTGGGACATAAAACCCCACCTTCAGATCCTGCACCTCCGCAAACATCATACCATGCAGACCATGAGCCCGGAACAATAACCAATCCCATGTTTTCAATCTCTTCCCTTTCAAATCCATGTGATCCTAAGAAGATATCTAGATATCTTTTCGTTTGGCATTTCAACTCTTCAATCACTTTAACCAGAATTCTGACAATAAACACCTTCTTCCACCTAAAATGCGTCACCGATGCAATCGCCTTCATAAAGATAGTCCTTAACAACATGTTGCCCATAACACCCTCGATATTAATCCCTAGGATCCCAACGTCCTTCTTCTCCTCTGCTTCTAGCCAAAGTGGCTCAATGATTGGTGCCGAAGGGTTAAGATTCCCAGCGATCGGAATGATAAACTCTAATGAAGTTAAGACCTTATCCGCCAAGCCTTCATCGGTACATTCAGTTAACAGCTTCATCAAGGAATCTAATATCGACTGTCTGATATCGCGGTGTGTACACCTTCCTGACAGTAGAGTCAATATCTCGACTGCTGTAGCTGGAGATATGGCGGAGTGTGTAAGGAGTGCTGAGATTTGCTTGATTGTTGTGATTTTCACGTATGACTGTTGTCCTTGTCCTGCCTCCTTGCCCTCGGATCTTTGCTTTTCTTTTTCTTTCTCATTTTCCTCTAGAATTGAGATTATACCCCTCCCGAACTCGATAAGACATTCTGAAGCCTTTGGCTTCGGGAGACTTGATAAGTAAGGAATCTGTAGTAGATGTCTATGCCACGAACTGGAGTTCGGGTATTTTAGAACCGTAGATATTGCAAATGATGACGCTAGGGATGGAGTATCACTCCCAGTCAGTAACCCAATGAATTTGACAATTGTGGGGACATCCTCGGTAGTCTGTATCACAGCGGCAGTAAGTTCTTGAAGAAGAACAGGAGGTATATAATTAACATGAGCAGTTAAAACCTCGATTACTGAGTTAAAAACTATCGCCGTTTTTGGTTGGAATGATTTCTTGACCGGAACTGAAGGTGTAAACCGCCCCGGAAACTCGGGTATGGTAGAATTTTCGATACCGAAATATTCTTTCAAATAGAGAATAGCGGCTAGTATTTGACCTTCTCGGATAGCAGGGTTGTATTTTGCGCGCTTAATCCTGTTTCTTGACCATATCTCATCTTGAGCCGGTAATCTAGGCGTAAACCGTTCCAATTCGGTAGCTGGTCCATCTGTCCAGGACTTTGGGGCTCGAAACATACTATCGGCGTGGAGTGAAAGGTCGAGATATGTCATCTTCAATTCCCGAAGTGGCGAAGACGCAATCCCTTCGCGAGGATTCCATTCCTCTGTACTGCTATCAGGAACAACAGGCCAAAGATCTAGGCCCTCCTCGTCTAAGATTCGATGAACTGTAGCAGTATACTTATCACCGTCCCAAGCATAATCCCAGCTCTTTGTAGAGATGTACTGTTTCCAGAACGTCGCTGCCTCGGCCTTATCCAAGCGTCCGCTAACATTTTTAACTACGTGCTGGAGTACCTTCTTTAACCGCGCCTTCTTTTCCACGAAGTTGAGATGTTGAGGTACCAAAATTCGGAGAGCAGCGCCAAAGTCATCCACAGATAGTCCAATTGAAGACCATGTTTCCTCGTCAGTGGAAATAGTATCTTCGGCGCCCTCCTGCAAATATACCGCCTGCTGCGCCCGTTTATATACATAAGGCGCAGAAAGCTCCAACTCCGAACTCGCCAACGTATACGGCCAAGTCAGGGCCTGGATAGGAAGCCCCTTCGGAAATATTTTAGGAAGGGTAATTCCACCAATTTCCTTCCTAAACTCCCTCCACATCTCATCCCTCGCCTTCGCGAGCTCATCAAAAAACTTGTAAGTCGACGGCGGCACATCTGAGTCCTTCAACTTCAGGCGATGAGGGTTTTGAGATTCATAAACGAGGACCCCACGAATTGTATTCAATCCTAACTTTTCATACCCCGGCTGCAACCCTTTCCTTTCAACCTTAACAACCGAATCTACCAGACCAGCCCATAGGATATCAAAAACATTATCGTTTGTTATACCCAAGGCTCTCTGCACCCTGTCCGAGAGCGTCATTCGCTGTCGGATAACATGGGGGACGAGTCCTAGAGTAGCGTTCCAAGTCCCAAGATTAAAAGAAGGTTCTTTAGCCGCAGCAAACATATTCTCGAAAATGGCTTCCAAGAGCTCATGGCTTTCCGAAATCCGCTTCGAAAGACTGTCGAGGTTATAGTAAATCTCAAGGTCCCCGGGAATTCCAACAACCAAAGCCTTTGCTTCTTTGCTATACTCCCCAAAGATAGCCGAAACCACTGAAAAGTCTCTGATGAATCGCTGAAGAATCCACTCGATGCTTTTCATATGCACGGCGGGCGATCCACTAGCAACTGTATAATAAACCGCCTCCTTCGCCCTCTGAGATCGAATCTGCGGCGTCGAGCCAGCCATGGCTTTCGCTTTTCTAGCATTGAAGCATTTTAGTGCTAACTCATCGGCTTCCGCCTGTCTGGCCGTTTTGTGCAAGAGAGATATTTGCCAAATATCTGGGTCGGCAAGTTGATTATCCACTTGCTTAAGCCCAAGGATGGGACTAGGACTGAGCGTACTCAAAAAGTTCATGTTGCCGGTGACTTCTTTGAGGCGGCTATAGAGGTCGAACACTACCTCTGCCGGAAAGAGTTCTAGTGCCCGTTGACTAATCAAGATACCGGAATTTTTAAGATCGGATTTGAGGTTTATATCCAAACCCTTCGTTTCTATCATGCATATCTGAAGGAGTCGGTAGCGGAATGACATCGGAACCCTGAGTATTAATGGGCTATAGCCATATGCACCCGCGCCCGCGTCCAGACGATAAAGCTTGATGAATTTTCGGAGATGAACTTCAAATGTTTCCGGTGCGGTAGTCCACGCAAAAAGTGTCAAATCCAATAAATCATGAGTTTCTCGTTTTAGTGTCGCGGGCCCCGTTTTATTTTCTTCAAAGTGAGTGAGCGACAGCTCAAGTATTTGTTTTATCATTTCCAACGAAGGTCTCGTCTTATAAGCTCGTCGGGTTAGAGGGTATATTATTCCCTCCACGAAGGATTTGGAGTTTTTAGAGTATCTTATCGGTTTTGTTTTGCGAATATCGGACTGCCATTTATCCTTTTTGGTCCGTTCCAATAGGTCTGAAGAGAATGTTACTGCTAGAGGCGCCTCTTCCGCTGTCGTTTTGAAACTGGGATATAGCTCAACGAATAGACTAAGCCATTCGTCTGCTCTTGGGAAATCCTCTAAATCAGCTTGTAACCTCGCATACTCAAAATACCCTTTGTAGACCTTCCAAGCCAGTTTATCTCTGATCTCTTTCCAGTCATAACCAGTATCATCCGTTTTGGCCTGTTGTTCGATAAATTCCGTCGTACAAGCCCCCCCAATAAGTTCATAAAACCCGTCCAACTTCCTATCATCGGGATTCTTCCACTCCGCATCTTCAAACCTTGGAGAGAAAAGACATTTAAAGAACTCGGTGCATGCCTCCCTTTTCTGAGGCGGATCAGAAATTCTAGTACTCCACGAAACACACCCACACAGAAGCTTTACTTCCGCAGCCGAAGCTTCTGAAAAGATTTTAAGAAGTCCTGGAGTGCCACCGACGCCTTCCCACATATTTCTCCATTTTTTAAGCTTATTGGAACGGAGATGTCTCCACAGTGTTTTTATGGAGATTTTACGGATTGATGAAGAAAACGTCTGAGAAAGGCCGGAGAGAATGGTGAGAGGGTTTGGCGACACACAAAGCCAGATATTGAAAATTGAAGCCGGATAAGTACCGGATTGAACGGTGGTTAGAATATGAGACGTTACGTCTAAGTGAGAGAATTTAGTAAGGGCAGCCCGAAGGTGTTCGGAGACCTCTTTGCGCGCGAGGAGGTGGAGTTTCTCAGGGAGGTTTAGAGTCGCCATTGTCAAGTTATTGACCCTAGCTATAGCTTAGCTTGCCAACTAGAGAATAGAATGTGCTCGCTACTGAGATGGATGTATGTGAAAGAGCCCCACAACAAGAAAAAGGAAGATTCAAGTGTCTTTTATATTGAAAATCTCTGTATGTGACGCGGGAGCGCAGGGTCATTTATGTCAGATACTCTCCAAATAAAGGAGGAGAATACTAGCGTCGTACGTGTACGAGAAATGCGGCACAGGGCTTGTATTAGGTAGACGGAGCCGGGCAGCATAATACCACGCTTCCAACACGAAATCGATAAATCTATTCCGCTGACGCCCCGTATCATAGTGATGCTTTAGGACCTAGGAGTTCAGACCACTGCAGGAGTACTCTTACATAAACGATTGATTCATTAACAGTTAGACTAAAGAGTAGCATATATAAGTATTAGCTAGTAAACTTTACTACCATAGAGAGATAAAAAGATAAGATTATAATTATTATATCTCCCACGTGCACACCATCCTATCGAAATCAGGTAGCCATTTTTCTACGGCATTGCTCGATCAAGCACAATACCCATCATTAACATCCCCATTCGGGAAGTAACAGCTTCTACAATCACAACCCACCGCCGATTCACAGCAGTCCTTAATGAATGTCGATGAAGTACAATGGGCCCCTGGTTTGCCACAAGTCGGTTCTGGGGGTGGCTAGAACATCACGATCAACTTACGTTAGTAAAATCCACAAATTTCTTTTAGGTAACATCAACGAAGAAACAAAGACAGAAAATGAAAAATAAAAGACTATTAGAATAGTTGAAATACATACCGGCACAAGACAACTACAAGCACTACTAACTCTCGTAGGATTCGAACCGCACTGCGTTTGCCAAGGCCCTAACCCGGTAGTTGCCGTCACAGTATCGGTAGTAAAAGAAGGACAGAATTGAGACGCGGTGGAGATCCTCGCGGTCATAGCGCGGAGACAATTGTCGCGGTTGCAACCGCCCATACGTTTTTTGATCCTGCTTACATCATCGGGAACACTGATTGCTTTCAGGCCAACGCCATCCGGTAATCGCTCGATGGTGATGCCGGAGAGAGCTGGGGTGAGGATTGCGAGGGCGCTGAGGATGGTGGTGAACTTCATTTTTGTGATTTAGGTACAAAACGGTAAAGAGTGTAGTCGACGCTGGTTTCTGGGTTTTTGGCCGAGGGCTCGGGGGCCCTTATATATCTCAGCCACCAACAAAGATCTCACAAAAGCCAGCTGAAATAAGGATCTCGATCTCGAGAAAGTTCCAGGGCTTGAATGTCAACAAAACTTTATCTAACATCGCTAAACAGCACCAATATAGCTTGGACATGCATATGCCATGCCGCCGTGATGTCTTTGCCTGCATGCCAAGCATCGCCATAATTCGTGCAGCCCAGTCATTTAGTGTAACCCAACAAATATTCCAACAAACCAACCCCGCAAAAGACTTGGCTTATAATTTTAATCGAAAAGGCGCCAAAAACTTCACAGGTCTGGGCTGCGACTTTTACTAAAAAGGTCTCGGTTACATGCGCGAAGAGAGGAATGTTAGATTGGCACGTTTGCGGCTGAAGTCCATGTACAGCCCTATGAGGTCTACCCCGTCCCCCTTTCATCTTGCAGATAGATTCAATTATAGTCTTATCATATATCACTGGTAGCACACGTATCTCTGGTATTCTCGTTCGCTGTTCTATCCAAATCTCCTAAACTGCATATGCACCCTCGGTTTTTTTTTTTCCGACCCAGAAGCGACTAGTGTACATGTTTCCCGCAAAGAACCAAACTCCGATATACGCCCATTATTTTATCCATGTTTCCCTTGGGAAAGGGCCACAATGGAGAGTTGAAAATTAGTTACAAACCCAAGGTAACAAGTAATCGCCGATATGCTTGTTCAGACCAACGTCACTACTCAAAGGTAATAATATCAGTCTCGAAACCCGAAAAATCCACATCCATCTTCAATCCAGCTCCGACGCCACCGCGACCAGGATTTGGAAAATCTTGGATGAAGTTTGGCCCATAGTGATGCATAGAATCTCCTCCAAGCTCTTGGTGCGCATTGAACCCCGCTAGGCCGCTAAACCCCATGTCCCCTGTTTCCATAACCCTATCAGCCCCCATTCTCTCCTCAAATGCTCTTAGACTATCCCTCGCATCCCCAACTTCGAATTGAACCTTCAACCTCCATCTAACCACTCTAGCTAGCTCCTCCAACTCTCCTGCCGAATCACCAAACTCTTTGAATACGTCCATAGGTGGAGTATTTGCCTCGATTTCTTCTTCCAACCGTCTTAGCCCCATACTAATCGGCATGGACGAAACGTTCATCGAACTTGCAAGTTGAAATAGCCTCGGGTAGTTCTCCTCTATTCTTTTTTCTATCATCCGGTATTGCTCTTCTGGCCTCGAAAATGGAATTTTAGGTGGCTTTCCAAAACCCCTTTCATATACTGCGTATCGTAATGCAAGGACCAACGCTGGCAAAAATGCACAGCCTTGGCCTTGCCTAGGCCCTACATCCTTCAAGAATCGAATCCCGATCCAGATAGCCTGGTCAATATCCTCAGGTTCTAAATCATCGTTGTCCTCCAACATGACTGCGAGAAAATTATATTCATTCGCTAGTAATGTGGACAACATAATTACCAAACTTCGCAGCATGATGATAAATGCAATCCTTAGGTGACCAAACTTCAGTGTGGCCGACTCTTGTTCCCTTGGGCCAAGAATTGGGGATTCTTGTCCAATAAACCTGATTGTTTCAATGCAGTGTTTTATTGCTTTGTTTTTTATTTGCTGAGGTACGCCGTCATACTTGGCAGCGATTGCAGCGATTGCCCACTGATGCATAAGCATCGCATGGGAGTTAAATGAGATGGTAACATAGGGGGATACCAAGTCAACATCCTGCAATGAGCCACCTTGAATCTTATCCGGGAACGCTGTTTGAAGTAGCTCGAAGAGACGGGTGCTACATGCGGTTATTTGTTCCATGCGGGTTCTGAGCTGAACGGCCATGTCATCGGACGGAGGATCGAGGCTGTTAAACGAAGTGAATGCTGAAGTGGATATGCCATACAGGCTTGTAAGGCAAGGGAGTAAAGATACTGCCAGTGCTCCTATATTACTGACATCGAGTTCAAAGTCTAGTGGCATCTGAGAGCAATTAGCGCGGAGAAATCCGAAAGACTTAGTACGGGGGCCCTTACCTCTACATCAATACTTGCTTCTGGTATTGATGGTGGACGATCGTAAATCAGATTGCTAGTGATTCGGTTCAAGCAATAGGCACTCCAGAAAGCACGCCTCTGTACCCGGGTGACAGTTGTCTCATTTTCAAGGTTTTGGCTTTTACTTCGTCGGCTAAGGTGGAATTCTCCTTCGATAGATATATGGAGGGCGCGACGGCTCAACCGCCAGGCGTCTTGCGAAACCTTGGCATGCATGGAAAAAAGGCAGAGTAGCAGGATGCTTTGTACGATTGATAAAGTAGAACCTCGTGGGAGCTGTTCCCTGCAAATGAGCGCGGCTTTATAGAAACGGAGTGCATTAGTTTGAGGGTCCTCGATTCCGGGCGGATGTGAAAGACAGGCTATGGCGAAAATCATGTAGAGGCAAAAGTAGTCTTGGATATTTTTTTGGTTGAATTCGCTAGAGCCAGAGTATATTTCGTTGTATAGACGGATGATTTTACGGCGAGACAGGAACGGGAAGCATCTCTGTTCGTTGTCTAGATAGGAATTGAGTAGAATTTTCCCATTATGCTCTAAGGGAAGTCGTTCGGCGGCATTGATAGATTCGAATGCTGTGGATCTTTCATTAGCAACGAGATGTGAGAGCTTTGAAATACAAGGCCTGTGATCTTTAAGATGCAGAGTTTGGACTAAAAGACGAGCGAGTGATAGGTGCCCATGTGAATGGTCTTCCTGGTGGAGCGAAGTCGGGGTTTGCGATAGAGCTGAGCGTGGAATGGAGGTGGCAGACGATCTCTTGCCAGGTGTGAATGGGTTAGATGAAATAGGACTATTTGTATAGTATGATGAGAAGGAGCCTTGGCGATTATTGATTTCCTTGAGTTCACGGGTCTTGGTGTCGATTAAGGATTGTAACTCAGAAATCCGATTCTCAAGCTTCTCAACGTGCCTACAATCGACTGTTAGCTGAGTGTAATCGGATTAAGGGGCTGTATATACATATACATATACATATACATATATATATAGTATATATATATAGAGAGAGGGATAGATAGAGATCGATGATCGATGATACGTACCCTCTAGCAAGGCCTGCTTGCGAAATAATATCAGGTACGGCACAGGCCACTTTGGCTCTTGTACAGGCCGAACAGGACGGTTGGTTCCCATCGCACTAGAATATCATTAGCCACATCTTCCAATCATATATTAAATAGTACCTATACAGTATTTATCTAAATATCATAGAGCTAGGGGCTAACCTTGATCTTTTTTTGCTTGCACCGAGCGCAAGCCATGGTGGTTGGGTTGACTGTAGCCATTGTGCCTGGCTGTAATGGCAGAAGAAGAGTAGTCTTCTGCTTAGATTGCTTAGATGATGTCGGCGATAAAAGGGTTGGATCGGGAGTGGCAGGAGGAGTATCTAGATAGCCGGTGTAGATGGTATTGGTGGTCGTGGTCGTGGTGGTATCAGTGGTGGTCGTTCGAAGGCCATCGGCGTTGATATCTAGCATGGGGAGAGGTTTGCCCAGAGGAGCTACTGCTGCTGCTATATGAGCGTCAACGTGCTCTACATGTACATCCCCCGTCCCAGGATCCCGAACAGCCATTCCCGATGGTATTCCGGTGATTTTAAAAACGCTATAGGTCTAATAAGAGCGAAGACCGCCGACCGATGGCAGTATATGTCGAAAAAAGTAGGGCCGATGAGGAGTTGATGTCCCCTCGATCGACACGTTCCGAGGGAAGTTTGTATGAACTTGTAAATTTGTGTTGAGGGCGGCCGCGTGAAAGAGCTTAGGCGGTAGTCACTTACGACCAGTACCTAGTTAGCCGCAACCGAATTAAAATTAACTAAGACTGACAATGAGAATTTCCAAGGCGAATGAATGATTAGATATAATCTGTATATCTCGAATTGAATATATCCGTAAGAGCAAGATCGAAACAATTGGAAACATCAGGTGGTGAAATATCAGCATCGTGATCGATTCGATGTCCATTAGCTACTATAATTATACCGAGTCCAACAGTGCTGGCCAGCCGAGTCGCAGCCAGGCCTTCGCTATGACGTCATGAAACAGACCCTCTGAAAACTATCGATTCTGTCTCAGCTCAGTCAATTAACCCGAGCTAACGTAACTTTATCATCTACATGCAAGCTACAACTTCACCCCGGATGATATCAGACCGTGGTCTTCATATCGTCTCAACTACCAAACCAAGATCAAACTCCACTCTCGCATTCAATCGAGCTTCGCTTCGAGGTAAGGTCCGGATACTTTGAACCCTATTGGACAGCGGGCTAACCCACACCTGGACTTGCAGCTTAGGGTTCCTTGGCTATCGCGTTTGCAAGGAAGGTATGACACACTAAATTCCATGGCTGCAGATGCATGTATGATATCATACACCCCGGATTTGATCACTTATGAGAGATATCGTTCCTGCCGTTGGCTGGATATCGGATATTGGAATTCCAGCGAATAGCTAGATTTATTCTTGCTCTGGTTGGTCAATATTTTGCTCCGACCGACTGACCGACCGACTTGTTTGCTGAAAGACTCGGGTTAAACTTGCCAAATACATGCACGGACGCATGTATATGTACATGTACATACCTGATGGCGCCTGTGGCCACCCGGACCGAAATTGATTTGATAGTTGGGATAGTCCAGGCCATGACGAGTGCTAGCTACGGTACAAGTATCATTCCATGCTAACCATTTTTTACAATACAATGTAGTCTGGTCAAGTCGCTGTCGCCTTTCTTTCCATAAATTTTTGTGCTCGACGAAAGGGATTATACTAGTGGCTGTTAATCCATTACCGGGATTAAAATTGCCATTGCCATTGCCATTGGACTGGCCACTGTTATCTATCTAGAACATCCTTCTACCGGGTATCACCGACTCTTTTCCAACCAATTCATTCTGGACTTGAACCCTCTCTTAGTTTCCGCCATCCGTTCGGCATAGTTTCAGCTTTCTATAGGGCTATTCGATATTTGAATCCTTCTTTTACATAGCCTGTTGTGGGCTTGCCTCGGTCGAAGTTTTGTCAATTTTGAAACATACCATCCCTAGTTCGCCACCATTACGGTTTGATATCTTCAACCATAAATAATCAAATCTCGCGGCGGTTTTCACTTGGATTTTTAAAGGTTGATAGATGGCCAGGAATGCTCCACGGTATACGCAACAATGGAACAATCGCAGGACCCTAACCTCCCTTCGGCCTCACAGGCTGGCCCTTCAGAGGATCCACTAGACCCTTCAGAAGAGATGGGATTTGCAGGGCCGTCTTCCTCTACGCACCTTCCAAGGACGAGAATGCTCCTCGCCTGTGATCGATGCCGTCAACGGAAAACAAGAGTTCGTTCTATCTACTAACATACCAATATCTGATATCAAACTGACACCCCTTATCTATCAGTGCGATAGTAACTTGCCATCTTGCAATGCATGTCTTCAAGCAGGTGTGCCTTGCATGACCGCTGAACGCGATCGACCTCTCCGTGCCTCTACTAGAACATTACCCCGAGAGTATGTTACTTTCTCTCATCCGTTGTTGACGAAATATATACTAAGATACGAATGAACAAAGCTACGTCGAACAACTTCAAAGCCAGGTCCAAGATCTCGAGTCTCAATACCAAACCTTGCTTCAACAAGAATCTAGTATGGCTGCTGCTCACCTGATGGTCGACCACTCTGCTGTTAGCATAGAATCTGCTCCAGGGTCATGGGTTCCCCTTTATCCGAACCCTCCCCAAGCAGAAGTACCCCATGCTTCAATGACAATCTCTAATCTGGGAGTCCCTACGCATGACCCTTTGTCATTTGAATCTACCCTATTCGAAGCAATCAAACTCTCCGGTTGCGATCCTCTTCGTGCTGAATCACCAAACTTACTATTTAGTAGTCTATCCGCCGCTCTCAATCACGTTAATGCTTTAGACCTTCTCAAGAGTATGGATTTGCAAAGTCTGAATGCTGCAGTTAATAACTACATCCACTTCATACATGCCCATTACCCGCTCCTCGTTGGAGAGGAAGTCCGTACGAAATTCGCCATCATGATGAGGCCCGACTATCGGCCCGGTCAGATAGCCCCTGCCGAAGAGCTAGTCATTTACCTCGTCGTGGTCCTCGGGATGACCACTGCCTCCCAGTTTCGCTCCGTTCAACTCTTTCCTCAGATGCTATACTATGCAGCCTTGAGAACGCCCGGGCTCTTTGACAGCCTGAGTTCTATCGCGATGACACAAGCCTTGATTCTCATTGCTGTCTATTCCCTTTATGATCCTGCTGCAGGATCCAGCTGGCACATTCTCGATGTAGTTTCTTCACATTGTTTGTCGATGGGCTGGCATCTCATTTCCTCCTCTCTGGGCAACGGCATCGAAGGGACAGCTCGGGCATGGGCGTTTTGGACCCTCTACTCTCTTGACCGGTATGCACTCTTTCCCTAAAAATTCAGTTTTACAACTATACTAATACCCTAAACGATAGCATGGCCGGGGCATCTATGGGCCGCCCTTTTACAATCGCTAATGACGATCTAATCACCGTCCCGGTCCCCGGAATGCGCACCCCAGGTCCCTCGGACGATACTGGCTATCTCTCTGGTCCGTTAATCAGTTACTACAGATTACTTTACCGAGCGCGCCGGAATCCCGAAGCCGGGTTTGAGCATTGGGGTGCGCAATTTAGTGAGTGGTGTAATACCACCAAAAACGGAGTAAACGAGTACATTTCCACCGTCCCTAGAAGTGACGATTGGATTAATTCCATGTACAAATACATCGACCTTGTGTACTACCAAGGGCTTTTACTAATCCCTCAATTTAACACTGAATTCCCCGTCATCACCCCTGAAATTCAACAACTATACACTAGCGATTTGATCTACCGAGCTGCGCAAATGGTAGGATTAAGCTTTGGTGTGCATAGATATCCGTTAGCGTGGACAGCAGGGTATAAGGCCTTTGCTACTGGCATGAGCTATCTATTCTGCGTGGCGTTGAGGGACAGGAGCACGATTAATCTGCCAGAGGTTTATCACGTCTGCACAGCGTGTATCAATTTGATTGAAGGTCTGGCGGCGAGGTTTGACGGTTTGATGGGGTATGCGAGATTTTTAGTACGAGGTGTGGATATGATGTTGAGGTTGTACAATGTGGAGGGTAGGAATAGTGTATGTCCCCTAACGCGTCCCTCAATAGCTTCTTGTTTTCGAATGGAAGAGTATTGATTATCTTTTATAGCCCATTGCACACGACCCGCACTTTTTATATACACCATATTCGGATGCTATCCCTCGGTCTCCGAATTCAGGTATTCCACGACCGCCCGATGTCGCTGACCTACACGTTCGGCGATTTAGATGTCTTTCAAGGTTATATTTGAGAGCCATGGAGGATATTAGACTCAAGTACTTTCCCGACACAAAAGATATTTATGAGTCCGTGGGTCAGGTTGCAGTTGGAGTGTAAATTATATTTCTTAAGAGTGTACAGGGCAGAAGCTGTTTAGGTGCTTTTCGGGACTGTTGGGAAGGAACTGGTATCGTTCTAGCTTAATTTGGAAATTCTTTAGCCTTACAGGATATTAACAAATCTGACCGAGTAATAACACTCGGATCTGGTTCCCCACTTAAGCTTAAAGAAGATAAAACTACCAAGTATAAAAGTTTAGATTTCCGATCATAATCTAGGCGTCCTATATGTAATATATGTCTATGAGAGCGAACAATATGTATCAACATTACAATGTTGTTCACAAACTTATATGCCGGTGCGAGCGTACTATGTTTGACAGAAGTCCTTGCGAAAGTTTTAATCCACTAGTATACGAGTGTATAATAACAAGGATGTTTATATTTATTTATTTACAATTGCAGAGGCAACTCCTTTATAACATATACACTAAATTCACTTCAATCGGTGTCTCTTCCTCCTATAGCTATCTATGCCTTCCTCCAGAACCGCGATATGTTTACCTACAAAACTTCAGTAGCCCCCCAATTTTCCGTAGCAATAATAACATCCCCTTCCTCTCCAAGCATAACCGCCGCGGTCTTAGTATCCGTCGTCTCCTTATCCATATTCAAGATAACTCTATACGCAAAGATTTCTTCCTTATTCCCATCGGGACCATCGATAGTAACATCGAATTTATCTCGTGCCATGAATGCAAGGCGCTTTGAGATGCCCATGGGGAACATGTCTTGGTTTACGGTGTTGTTGGAGCCGATGGAGAGAACGGTTGCGTGACCGGTGTTCTGGGCAAAGTTCCAGTCGTAGGCGAATTGGATTTCGAGAGGAAGGAAAGGTGGGAGATTTCCCTCGAGAGCCTTGGTGAGGGTTAGGTGGAAGGTTTGGGTCGACGGTGGGGGGGATACGGCAGTTGCGGGGGCTGGCATTTTTGCGGTTTCTTTTATATAACTTGTGAGGAATAGATATATGCTAAGTAGATAGATAGACTAAGAATGTCTCCTGATTGAGAAAGACTTGATAGATATAGGAACTTTTGTAGTTTTGTAGTGGTTTGATTGGTATATTCTGGATCTTTTATCGACGAGGACACAAGTATTTATACATCCCCCTCCTTCGTGATCGTAGCTATACCTTCAGGGTTTCCGAGAGATAGAAAACCGTCCGTATGGAGTTCCATATAGAACCCGTAGAGACTTCTGAACAAGCTTTCACAACTTCCCAGTCCCGACAAGGCTTCCCAACAGAATCTCGACGGTCGTTTATGCAACGCTATCATTGCCCCCCGGCCCCGCTTAAAAACCAACCAAGCTGGGTTGTGAATCCGGGGTAGGCGACAATCTTACGTTATCATTCAAGCCGACTTAAGTAGCTAGCCTGGCTCACTAGGTAGGTATCTAAAGGGATCTTCACACCATGGCGCCATGGAACCGTGAGCATTGGGGAAAGCTTAAGCGGGGACTTTTCTTCTGCGCTATCACACCATATCCTTTGTAACGTTTTTCTCTAATGTTGAGTTTGTGTATCCCTGGACCATCTTGTGATCCGTGGTTACAGTCTTTTGCTATTTCGGACCTGGCTCTTTAGGGAGGGAGATGTGACGTGGGATAAATGCCTCTTTTGGTTTGGATGGTGGTTTGGGATGGTGGACAGTTTAGGGAGGTCGTTGGTGAGAGTTGTGGTATTTTATGAGTTGTGGTTTATTACTAGATTCGGAATAGTTGCACTGGGAATTGGCTGTTTTGGGAAGGTTCATGTCAACTGATTTGGCTGAGCTTAGCTATATAATTACAATCAGGATCCCAGGCCGGCCTATTAATGTATTGGGGACGTTTAATAAGTGCTGTATATAAATATATAAGCCAATTTCTTGCCAGTCGAAGCTCTAAATATGCACTGCTTCTGACTACCAACTCCGTAATTAATATTAATGAGATACGGCGAAGTTTTAAAAAAAATCTAAATAGCTGTTCAGGCTTAGGTATCGTTGAAGCTGAGACTTGGTAATAGGTCGACGTGGAATGCTGTATTATCAAGTACACTGTAGCTATAGTTGTATCGCATATATAGCTACTAGTAAGATCGACTTAAAGTGTGGACTGCGTCTGCAATACGAGACTAAGATCGACTACCCCCCCTCCGAATGCCTTGACATTGTTAAAGCTTCTAGAACCCGTGGCCTGGCTAAACAACCTTTATCATTTCATTGGCCGTCCACATTTAAACCTACCAAGGTGCCCTGTATCGAGGCTGATAAGCATACAGCGGAATTTCTGGGGGAAACTGGGAACCCAGCCAGTTATTCTCGGGTGAAAAGCCGAGGTCTAAAGTGCGACAAATTTTGAGGCTTCTATCGGGTGTTGAGAATATTTTTTCCAATGCCCTGGGGCCCACGGCTATCTCCTTCGGATATCGATCTTTCGGAAGCTTTTCCAAATCCTCCCGGACGAGGCGGATGGACTCCCACCTTTTCCAATACATTAAAAGCTGAATGATTTTTGGGATTGATACCCCTAATTCTCCTATCGAATACGAACCTGATGTTGCCCACTTAAAGACAACGTCAAAGATACCGCAGAATAAATTTCCTGGGTATAATTCGCTTTTTGGCTGGAATATAGATTTAATGCGTGTGAGGTCACCATCTCCATGCATTTCGTCGACATTCGGGACAAGAGATATAAATGATTGAGCGATGTGTACCAATCTCGATTTCTTTTTTTGAATATCTTCATTTTCAGCCCAATCATAATCATCATTGCCTCTCAATTCATCGCTCTTAGGTATCCAGTCGTTCGAATTCCGTAGCATATCTTCTACTAGTATGACTCTGGCTCCTAGTGGTAGTTTCCGAAGCTCTCGAATTTCCGAAGCGAATAGATCTGATGAGTAAGATAGAAAAGAGATATGTTTGACAAAGGTATCGTGGAGGTGACCTTTCATTTTAGGTAGAATAAGCTCGGTATATTTTCTTTGGATTCTCTGCAATTCGGTAGCTGCTAAGTGATCGGTCGTGTAAGGTTCGGAATCCTTATTTTCAGCAGTTGGTGTCCTTTCTAAACGGGTTTCCTCCGGAGGTATAGCTTGTAACCGCGCCATCTGCTTCGGGAGTTCCATTGTGCTAGCCAGCGGTATAGTTTTACATGCTTGAATTCCACAAGCGTCGCAAGTAATTGTGTTACAGATGTCTGTCATCTCTATCTGGATGCAATCTGCACAGAAAATATGATTGCAAGGCTGGAGTCTATTAATTAATATATCCTATTAGTACTGACTGGCTGGGTCATTAATGCATTGTCTGATCATGAGGACTTGAATTCTCTTGAGAGCTCAAATATACGTGGGCAACCTACATCGTATCGGAAAAGTTAACTTCGCAGCAGGCACAACTGCCATTAACGTTATACGGGCTTAAGTAAAGGCTAACTTCGGTCGGGGTATTAAAGTCGATCATGCTTACGGTTTTCAGGTTAAACGGAATGACCTGCGCATCATTAATGTCCCTTGGAAAGGCAGCCCGCTTCACTAAATTCGCTAGCGCTTGGTCGGACAGCCTCAACGAGATCCGGCATATTGGAGTGATTCCTGTCACATATTGAAAGAATGTTGCATTAAGGATTTGAATATTCACCAGCTTACTATTCTTCCAATCCCAAACAGTAGTATGAGTAGGATTCATAATTCGTTGATAAACAAGGCCCTGTATCCCAAAGCAGAGCTCAGATATTTCTGGTTCTGGTTCTGGAGAATGAATTCGGGATGGCGTCTCGGCTGGCGAATCCAAGGAAGTGGTACAAGAAGCGGGGTTTGGCGCTGCGCTGAGTTGTTCTTTGCATTTGACTGGTCTTGTTCCTTTGACCGACAATGGTTGAGAAATATATCCGAGGTTTTCCATAAAATCCAACCGTCGACGTCTGGAAGTTTCGAGAGATCCAACTGAAGTATTCCTAGTCTCGCGCCCGAAACTACCGGATGGGAAGCGGTATCCAGCGGGGTTAATAATCGGAGCCGAAAAAATGAAGTTGATCGTACCACCGCGAGCAATCGATTTGGCATCAGTGATTGGTACGTATCTGTAGGGGTTGTATGCCTTCAGAATACCTGTGGCATCAGAGCCATTGATCTCCACAGTGAGATCTCGAGTCTTAGGTTCAAATCCACGTCTTTTCAAATTCTCGATACCCATTTCGAAAATAATGGCCATAAAGTCGGCTATATCAAGGAACTGATGGAATCCTTTTTCCTCGAGAGTTGTGGTGCAAGTCTTTCTGAAAAGTTCATGACCAGTGCAGGTAGTTACTTGAAAAAGAAATATAATTTCCAAGAGAGGTTTAAGAATCGTTGATTGCGGGTGTTGACAGTCCAAGCTACTCGAATGATGCCAGAATAAATCTTCGACGATTGTTTCGCGATGGTCTCGTAATTTTTGAGGAGAGTTCGGGACAAATTTCTGATCATCGTGCGTTTCTTCGTGGCTCAAGGACCCGTTCCTTTCCCTGCCGTTTAGGAACCCTTTGTAGCGTTCATAGGTGCTGCTTGGGTAATCGTAAACGGGGGATTCTTTCAATTTTGATCTTACATTAACTCTGGCACTTTCTCTAGCTCCGGCACTCTCTTTTACTGGTTCCGGGTCTTGTATATATAGTAAAATCTGCTCCCTGTCCGTACAAATATCTGCCGGGGTCTTCAGAATGTCAACGTCTATGTCGCTATCTAAAATATCTTTAAAAGTTCGAAATATCCGAAATTGGGGCGTCTCCTGTAGTGGAGCGGCAACCATAAGCTGCAGTCCCTTGATAAATTCCTCTCCTGTAGATTGTTGTTCGAGACTATACCCTCTCGCAGGGGGCATTGCTATCAACTGGCGGGCAGTGCATTCTGACACTTGGAATCCATTCAGCCGACGTTGCTTTGGTGTGATTATGTAGTCCTTATTAGTGATAGCGTGTTTAGCCTCTGGCAGTCCACTAACAAGGTTAATAGAGCCCACGAGAACCTTCATAGCAAGATATTCATCTGGTGCAAGTCCAAGTCCTGGCCGCGGTGTGCCAGTACTGTTAAAGGCTAGTGCTATCGCTTCTCTTTGAAATAACGGAACCAAATATCCACCCTTCGCAGCTATAGATTCTGGAATCCGTCCTTTAAAATCCGATGTGTTAAATAAAGAGAGTGAACCGAAATCCGTCACTCCCTTATATATAGCCCCGTCGTCGGGAAGGCGAAGCGTCCGTTGGAATTGAATGAAGCTTCCGATTCCAGCTCCATAATGTTGACTTGGTGACAATTTAAGGCCTTGGTGGAGTTTGTATTCAACATTGATTTTTGACGGAGATATTTTCAAGAATTCTCGTGATTCTTCATCTTGGATCAGTTCATTGAAGTAATCGATGAGCTTTTGATTTCGATTGATAAGAAACCCTCCCCTCTTGTTGTAAGAAGGCGGTCCTGATGTCACTCTCAAGAAGATTGGGCGACGGATAGGAGTAATTTCTCCGTACTTGACGACCCCGTCTTCCGCTTGAAACCCACACAAGCTTTTATATCCTTGAATCAAAGGGTTAGGTTCAGCGTTTGAGCTCATTGCAGAGGTAGATTGTCTTGCATTCCAGCTGCCGACTGCATGCCAAGAATGACAACTTTGGATGACAACTAACCTTTGGAATGTAGGATTTCAATAAGCTTGGAAACAGGTGCATACCTATCTATAACGATGCTTTCCGTCGCTTGATCGTCACCATCCAGCTTCAAGTCTGCAACACAAATATGGACCTGTTTTGAGGTTGAGGAGGAATCCTCAGAATAGCTCAGTCTTGGACCGCCAGCAGCGACAGGAGATTCGGCCGGGCTGGCATAACCTATAGACTCCAAAGTACGCTGTCTCTTCTTCTTTGCCTGGTATACTTCTAATTCTTTTGAATCTTTCGGACGTGCAAATGACTGTAACCATTTGTTGAAGGAGTTTAAACCATGGTATTCTTCGGTTCTATCAATTTCGTCGTCTATGCCGACAATCGCTTGGGGTGTATCCGAAGTGTTCGAAAGTCTTCTAGAAGTCCTCCCAGGAAGTCCGCTGGCATTACTTTGTAAAATTGCGGTGTTAGACCACAGCTAATCGTACATATATAAAGTATGCGTGTATTGGCATTTAACCTACTAGTTTCTTACTGTTAGAGATAAGATGAGTGTCGACTTTGACTTCTCCAGATCATTTCTTAGATTCTCCAGCTGCTTCACTTTGTCCTTGTGAGTAAAAGCTATGAATAATTTTAGGATTCCTGTACGTTTAGCAGCCGTTTGCAGGGTTAGAAGTTGGTCCTGTATCTTCTGAACCACGCAGTAACAGCCGTGTATCACTGGCATAAGATCCATCCCTTTCCGAGTCCCTCCGTTTTGACCATGGTAATGGAAATTTCCCCGCTCATTGATCCAAACTTGTAAATGGGATAAAGCACCGCAAAGAAGCTCTATTTCCTTGGAGATGTTTAGGACCAACTCTGCAGGCTCATCTTTTAGAGTTTCGCGGACGTTGTTGGCAAGCTTGAGGAGCCCGGTTGAAAGTGCTATTAATCCAGCAATTGAAGCGGCAAGAGAGAGTGGATCGGACATATCTAGGTTTCATTTATACGGTAAAAGGATAGATAAATTTAGATAAAGCGTTCGAGTTCAAAACTCGCATACATGCAATAATCCCATTCACCTAGGCGGAACACAGCTTCCCTTTATGCTTTTATGACTCTTCACCAGGCCACGGTCACCCGCTTGCGTCAACCTGCGGGAAAGATGTTTATTTAGCGCCCACCCCTCAGTTGAGATGCAAGAAAAAGGGATGTTGTGTTACTTGGCTTGTCTCGTATCCAGACCTGGAAGTTACTTTAGGTGGGTTGATTACGTTGATCCTATTGTAATTGTGCCTGCGCTGCAGCGAAGCGGCACAGTACGAAAGTACTAACATTGTGTGAGGGGAAATGGCGTTGTTGTAAGGGGAACTAGAGTATGCTACTTAAAGTGTGGCAGTGCAATATTATGCAGGATCTGTGTCGTGAATTCTAATCCCGGGATTCTGCTTTTTGAACTCAAAGTGTACTTCGTTTTGTCTGGTACCAGCGAGACCAGACAAGGCTGGGTATGGAGGGAGTCCATGTATACTATAATAAGATGGCCTCCGCGACCGAGTGGTCCTTCGACGTCCGATTTGGCAACACATCCACTTTGTTGTAAAAAGTGCGTTGTGGCCTGCCAAGCTAGTTTCCCAAAACAGACCGCGTAGAGTGGTTGCTAGTTGAGACCGGACGCGCCTTGTCAACATCTTTTGACCTGACTCAGAAACATCACCACATCATGAACCACTCCCACCCCTCGTCGAATTCGACATCATCATTCCTCCAGGAACCTGGCTGATAGCATGATGAGCTTCGCATCAATCCCCCCCACATCTCACTCAGCTCCTATTGACGAGTACATTGTTCTTTGGACGGCCGACAAGTACAAAAAACTCAAGAAATGGCATGATGGATATCTACGATACCATACGTTTAATAAACGATTGATGGTCTATGACCATCTTATGAATAAAGTGGTACGGTTAAATACTACATCCCGAAGTTTGGCCAGGCTCACAGCTAATGAACCGTCGACTCTATAGTGCGATAAATTCTTGCCGGAACCGGAGCCGATAGATGTCGGAGATGAACTGATATTTGATTCACATCTTGTCACTATTGAAGATATCAAAGGACGGCAGACCCAGGATTTAAGACCACTGTTCGAAAAAACCGTGGATAGAAGGAAGGAGCGAGGATCAACCACAACACCAATCAGAACAGTTGGGACCCCTGCCTCTTCAGAACAGTCGCCTACGCCCACTCTACTCCGAACTATACAATCAAGGCCGTCTACAGGCCATGGCCGTCCTGTGTATCCATCTCCAGTAGCAAGACCCTCTCCAAGGGAGGTTGAATCCAATGTCGTTGTTCCTCAAAAGAGAACTTCACAGGGCGCGCCGATAGTCCAAAAGATCAGTTACAAACCGTTTAAAGTATCAAGGGTGGAAGGTAGTGATATTTCTCCTGTCCAAACAAAGATAACGAAAAATAGTAGTGGTGCTGTTATCAAAAATCGTGGGAGGCCAAAAAGCGTCACCCAAGTGTCACCCGACCTTGGCTTGGCAACAAATATACTGGACGCCGACGATGACATAGAAATGTTAGAATTGGATCTCGAAAGCAGCGATTTCGCTCAGAGGCCGAAGCCATCTGGCCGGATACTTCCAAATGCGCCACCTCCGTTCAAACCTCCAAGGCCGCAGAGTACTGCACAAAATGGCACAGAACATCGACCAGACGACATGCAGGAGGAACTGCCTTTACCCCCTCCGCTGGCTCGCACTGTAGTGCCGGTGAGCCAAGTAACTAATCCCTTGGGATCTTCTCCTAGGATCCCGCCATCAACGATCACAAACTACTCGCAGGAACTGCTTTCTTCTCCATCATTCAGGAGTAGACCAAATGTGCCCCCCATTTTAGCCCAAAAGACCCCAAAGAAAAAGGATTCTTCACCAATAGTGCCTCCTTCGCCCGTTCCAAGTCCGGATCTTGTCCCTGAAGAGGTACAGGAATCAGGACGGTTGACCCTACCTTCTGCCACTAGTAGGAGTCGGCGGAAGTTGTTATGTGGTCCGTCAGGTCGAGCAAGCAAAATGGTATCCCTATCTCGTCCAGTCTCAACACTCTCAATATTAGACACATTTCCTAAAGGTAGTGGGTCATCCGAGCCTGTGGGGTCAGGGGTAGTTGATAAGAAGCCACGGAATGAAACTAAATTGAGCGTGCCTCCTCTGAAAACTAACTCTGCAAGGGTGCCTGAGAGGCCAGGCTTCCCAAATACTAACCCTACAGGCCAAAATGCCCCGAAGCGGTCCTCACTTGACCTACCTGGAAAGACCAACCCGCCGGAAGGCCACTGGAAACCGTTATGGAACCATAATAGCGGTCCAGGAGGTTCTAATTCTCCCGACGACCAAACTCCGCATCATCGAGGCGCCCCAGATATCAAAGTATCAGAGCAAGATGACAAATCTAACAAAAAATCACAGAATAAATCTCCAAAACTATGTATTTTTTCATCCGACGAAGAAGATCTCGATATCATGGTGTCGAAACCAGCTCCAAAGAAACTGAGAACGTCACTTCCGCCAGATTCGGATTCTTCTGGGGATGAATTCGAGCCTATGAGGTCCTCTGCAGTGCCGAAGCACCTTGTTGGGCAATCTAGGAATGTAAAGCTACAGTCTTGCCAAGCTGTATCTGAAGCCTCGAGGGTGTGGAGGGAAGGAGAAGGGGAGTTTGAATAGTATCAGCTCCACGAAATGAACCTAACGCTAGATTTCGATATGATTTCGAACTTTCATGTACATACTTACATATACCCAGTAATTTTAGCTTATTCACGTTAGCATGAATCTGCGAATTCATGGTTCCAATTTATTCGTACGGCATTTGCTTTAAGTCCAAACGCCTCCCCAGCGCTCTTGAGGCGGAATTGTTTCATAAGTTAAGCATGTAGAGTAAACATGCACGTACCCTGCCAAAGCACATGTAACCATAACCATCTTCTGTACCAGTCCTCATTTCTGCAGACATCACATAGCATACTTTTTTTTCACCCACAATAAACGACACAAGGCTCCTAATTTTGCTACCTTGAGAAATTGAGGCTGATTACCAAACTGAAAGCGTTTTCAGCTTGTCTTGGCAAATTGGTGGCCCCGCCTTTGGACACGAGGCTGATAGCTTCACATCTTGGAAAGTAGGATAATGAGGCGCAGAAACCGACCACCCGTAAATAATTCTTAGATCTCTCCATACTTTGATTTCGCTTATCCTCTAAGAACCCGCGAGCACCTTCATAATATCATTCTCGGCGCGCGGCCCGCACCGAAAAGAGTACCTTATAGGGTCGACATCCTAAGACTCGAAATCTACTCCTCACATTATAATCCTTGCCCCGTGGTATATAACAACCTAAGCTTTGCGAGACCTTTGCCCGAACTATATATCGTTATTGAGAGGGAACATTCCAATCGTAGAGCATAGATACTAACGATATGTAGCCCTAGTACAAATTCGAGGCTCGAGTCCTAAGAAACAGAAATAGTACCAACCACTAACGAAGTTGAAGTCAAATCTCCGACTTTACTTTAAACGCAATGGCAACCGCGGCTAGGCCACGTGCGGTATGTAGCCCGATATATTTCCCCCAGGACTCGATGTCGGTACCTAGAATGCTAACTCTAGCTAACAAACGTCAAATTCACTTTTAGAGGCTCGAGAATCGTGCCAACCAATCTACGGAAGGCACAAACGCATCTAACGTCGAGTAATAACTATATCCCTGCTATTGAAAGCGAAAGCCTACGACCAATACATGTATATCATACTTATCTCTTCCCTTGCCCAGTGTTGTTTTCATACCAGGTCTAGCTTCCAATGGCAAATATGGAAGTTGGAGCTATCATTATACAGAAAAGTTCGGCTACAGGGCCGCGGGAGGGTGGTCAGACGCCTCAATCTCGAAACTTGCCCCAGGGAGTCGGGCCGTGTGGTTCAATTACAAGAAAAAGGACACGCGTGGCGTGGATCCTCTGCTCCCAGACGGTTCAGTGGTCTCAATGATAGAGAAGCATGCCAAAGAGTTTTTAAGATACCTAGCTAAAACTCGAGAAAGTGTAAGTTCACTTACCTAGGCTTCTCTATTTTATATACTAGGAATGTTACTAACCTTGGATATCAAAGCATAATGGCATAGACCTCGCGAACCGACCGTTAGTAATGATAGCACATTCATATGGAGGGTTGGTTCTTAAAAAGGTATATATGCTCGATCAAGTTTATGAAACTACCAACCCTTCTATTTTATAGTTTCGAGACAGACTAGTCTTGTAGACAGACTATTCCCTCCTCATAAAAAGGCTAGCCGTAGAATATATAAAAATCACGACATATAACTAAATAGCTCGAATTAATTAGGCCCTGATCCTCGCAAGCAGCCAAAGCGGTATTCGGGAATCAATTTTAGGACGCACCAGCAGCATAATATTTCTCGGTACACCACATCGCGGCGCGGAAATTGGCAAGATGGTTGCAAATATTATAAAACAAGCGTTTCCAGATACTAGCCTTACAATCGGCGACGAATCAAGCGAACTTGTCAAAATAATGGAGGCATTCTGTGGTATTTTGGGTCCTATCAAGATTGCGACCTTCTATGAGAGCAAGGAAACGAAACTAAAATCTGGAGATAAACAAGTAGTATGTAAGCTAATCCACCCACAATGTTCTTGAAGCTCTATTATTAAGGGTAATATTAGCTATAGGCTATCTTTGATCTACTTACTAATAGTATGGTACCATAATCCAAAACTCGGCGCACAGATCGTACCCCCTACCGCTACTATCATTGGTATCAAAGACGAATTCCCTACCGGGATGGCCTGTCAACATCATCTCCTAACAAGCCCTAACGATATGGGAGATATAAGATTTTTTCATTTTTGGCGCCGCTTAATAGAGTTTACAAAGACAGCCGGTCAACCCTCAGATCGCAAGGGGCCACAACCTAACCCCCCTCCCTTACTCCAATGGTGCCTCCCCTCTCCCGCAAGACGCTTCTTCGGAAGACAAAAAGAATTACCTGCGATCAAAGATATACTATTACAAAACGGAGAACCAGTTCTTGGAAACCCTTTAACAATATATGGGCTCAGAGGGATCGGGAAATCGGAACTAGTCCTCCAATATATCAAGAGCACAGAATTGGAGAATATTTACTCAGCTACGCTGTGGGTACAATGCTCGGATCGAAATATGATCTTCGATTCACTCAGATTGATTTATAACGAACTATCCTTTCGGTGTCCCCGTATGGAGCACGAACTCCGCATTCTTGAGAATCCGTCAGGAGAGGTTACCCGCAGAACCCTTAAGGCCGTTATACATGGTATTACAAAAAGATTGACCGCACTTTCCCCACGCCCTTGGCTAGTCGTTCTTGACGATCTTCAGTTCCAACTTGAAGGTATCGAAAAACTAGCTGCTCCGAACGGCCAGATGATAATCACGACAACAGAACCAAGAGGGTCATCATCAAATCTATTTGAAATCCGAGGAGTTGGAGACGCTGCCGCTTTACTAATAATCATACAGCCCCGGCAATGCGGGGAAACCATGGATCGATATTCGGCATCAATGCTCATAGACGACATTCAAACTATCAATAAAAAATTGGGAGGCAACCCTTTTGCGTTAAATATGCTTGGCGCAGCGACCCACTCTACGGGGCTTTCTGAGGGTCCCAATAATATCCCACGTCCACCAAATGGCTCCCGTACAACAGGATTTCAAAAAGATGACTTTTTGGCTTATGCCACCGGCCCCGAACATGAGGAAGCAGAGCATATTTTATCCGTGGTGAATCTTGCATTTGGTACCATGGAGCTGAAATCCCGTGCGTTTATAACGGCTCTCAAGATAATCGGCCACTTCAACCCTATAGGAATAACAAGGACGGTACTATCTGACATGATCCTCGGGGGGCATGGCGGTTGGATGTACGTTTGTGACAGCGGCGACCAAGACGAACATCAGCTAGATGCGGAGGTCAGAAGTTTCTCAGAGTTCGATGGGAATGTTTGGGACATCCTCCGTTTTTTCGGAATCCTCAATTCGTCTGTCGATACAGAGACGAATCAATTCAGACTATTACCGCATCCAATCGTTCGCACTTGGATCCAACGCCATATGAGTGCCGCTCAAGTGGTGAAATGTGTCCTATTTTTAGGCAAAAGCTTAAGCCATTATAGAATACTATTGCATAGCTGGCCCATGTCGTGGCCTGAGCTTTTCAACGGAGAGATGGCATCTCAACTTCGATGCTGCTTCAGACATATGGAACAATTAGGATTTCTCAACCCAGGACCGGAGAACCCCTTTGTGAAATATCAAGATTCAGTATTAGTGCTCGAAGGACTAGCAGCTGGATTCAAGCTTTTTGGAGATTTTCAGCGTTGTCTAAAACTCTCTAAGCTTGAGCTAGATTTATGGAATGATAACTCCACGTTACGGGGTTCCAGCAGCCTCTTCGAACTCATTCGGAAAATTAGTAAAGGTTATTGGGAAACCCGAAACCCAGAGAAGGGGCTGGAAATAGTTCAACAGGCCATCGATATTGACAGAGAAGATGTGAATCCTAGGCTGAGAGACTTCCAAAAGAAAGAAGTACTATACCAAAAGGAGCAAATGCAGTATCAACTTGCAAAATTAAATGGGGAACTGGACGAGGATGTGGAATGTATTTCTGATTCCGAATACGAACTCCTGGACGACGAAGTCGTCGATATTTTGGACCTAGTCTCCGGGAAGCATGAAGCCGGAAAACTAGTAGAGATAATATCTCACTCTCTCAACTGCGACCCGGCTGACTACGACCCGGATGTTCTATTTCAGCTCTTACGATTTGATATTGACCTTGACATTGAGGTGGCAGTATCCCTAGAAGCAGAACTAATCATCAAGGCATTTAAATCTTTTATCAAAAATAACGCCGACCTCGGCTGGTGCGATCATCACCGGAATACGATACTACATATAGCAGTCAAGGGGAACCATTCATTGATAGTTGAACTTCTCATGAAATACAGTTCCCGGTTTGATATAAACGCAACCGATTTTACTGGGATGACACCACTAGCATTGGCTGTCACTATGGGCTCAAGAAAATCCACCGAGCTTCTCATTCAAGCCGGCGCGGAACTTGACTTCCGCCCCTGGTCGACCTCACCTCCGCTATTGTTCAGGGCGCTGTCAACGGATATCGAATTAGAATTCCTCAGATACCTATTAGAATCGGGCCTTAAAGACAATATCAACGAGCTGCATCTGAACTATGGTACCATCTTGCACCATGCAGCATTTACACGCTCTGCATCTGTGGTAGCATTACTACTTGAATACGGGGCCGATGCAAACGCGGCCGACTACATGCGACTCACCCCCCTTGCACTCGCTGTTATGCTAGGCTATACAGATGGTGTTTTGGAACTTCTACTCGCCCGGACGGATACAAACATTCATGACTACCGCGGTAGACATCCAAGCCAGCTACAATGTCAAGGTGACACTGTTGCAAAGATTCGATATTCCCATCCTCCGCGATTTATCCGGACCTCACCCGTGCGACTATCAAGAGAATCGAGAAAGGCAGAAGTTCTCGTTTACTATTGGCTTCGGTCGCAAAGCTACAGACCTCGGGGTTATTTTTTGGAAGTGCCAAGCCAGATGTATCATATACTTATGCACGCGGAATTCAAGGAATTTGCAGTATTGGTACGAGGACACGAGAAGTCTCTATCGGTGGATAGGAACGGAGGAATCCGCTCCGATAGGTGTTATGGTTGTGGGAAAGAAATTGCTTTTAATGCTTCTGCTTTCGTGTGCAACAACTGTTGCCCGACCCTATTTTGCGCCGACTGTCGCAGTCGGGACAATAACCCACCTACGCTGACACGAAGGCGAGACAATTGCGATCCACGATTTGATGTCAAGTTGACTGAGGCAGATTGCAGACCAATAATCAATAGTAGAGGCTTCCAATTCCGGAGGATAGCGGTCAATAGCATATTTACGGGCACCATGGAAATCTTTAAAGCCATGCATCCTGAAAAGTACGCTCTGTGGAATTCAGTTGAATCTGGACAAATCAGCCCCGTCAGAGATTATTTTGAGGGGCTACCATTATCAAAAAGAGATATGCTCGGTATTGATGCAAATGATTTTACCGGTTATACAATCCTTCACTATGTTGCCGAAGAGGAAAAAGATGGAATATTCATATACCTGGCATCACAGGGAGTGGCCTTGGATGCCTCTGACATAGCCGGCTGGTCTGTAGCCCACTCCGCTGCTACCGCAGCCCGCACAACTATTTTGAAGTATATGGCAGCACAGGGTGCAAATTTAAACGTCCAAGATGTGTACGGTCGGACGCCACTTCACGTAGCGGTTCTCGAGGGGAACCTTGAAACTGTGAAGCTACTACTTGAACTCGGTGCAGACAAAAGTATAGTTGACGAAGATTGTAGGCGCCCTTATGATATAGAATCTATTACTCCAGAGATGAGAAGGATTTTGTTGGAATCCGATCGCGAGCATACGACAAGGCGTCCGGAAGCCTCACTTTTAAAGGGGGATCCAACATCTGAGTCTAGGAGGGCTATCAGAGCGAGGAAGCTAGACCGATCTACACTTTTGAATTCTAATCCACTTGTCTATGGAAAGTATCTTAATTTAGCTCCAAGTGGTCCCTCCGGCCAGCGAAGTGGTAATTCCAGGCCATAGAACTCTCTTGTATATTTTTTCTGGTTACGAGTTTTGCAGCAATTCCAAGCCAGATTAAAATCTTATATCCATTATCGCTCCTGTGACTGGGCTAGTCGATTACATTGGCCATTATCACGCGTGATCGACTAGCTCGCAGGGAACTTCTGGTTCACAGGCGTGGCTAGGCTTGACTAGAGTTAGGAAATACCAGTATATCAACCAATTCGGACGAAGGCTATTTTCGAAACGGACAGCCAGGTCAGTATTCGATAAAATAAAAGAAACTATAGTTATCGTAGCTTACGCATTTAACGGAGTTAGTTGCCTTCCATATTGCGGAACAATAACCAGCGTGCGCAACCAGTACTGCGTATGCCTGGTAATAAAATGCATATGTCGCATGTCGGATTTTATCTATTCCCCGTACCTCGAGGCCGCCGTGTCAACTGATCATCAGCAACGCAATTCTCCAGATTCCTTTGGCTAAATGTTGCAAATCAGAAACGTGGGTAGCCGCATGGTAGCAAATGCAGACCCATGACGACCAAAGTTGGGACGGTCGGCAGAACGGGCATTACCAAACCGACATTTTTATGGCATGATTCAGGATCCACAAGTGTGGTGCATGATCGTTGAGATTAGATCGTCTTAGTTCAATAGAATTATGTGATCACCAAATTTCCAATTAAGTCAGCAAATGTGCTTCCACAGGTCAAAAACTGTGAATTCGGCCTAACAATCCCCCGCAAAGATCCTGCTAAATTGATATTCTAGATCGCCTCTCGGCCGACCTGTGACTAAGCTTGAGCTTAATTGGCTTTTTTGGCGGCTCGAAACAATTAGCGAGTCAGTAGCGTGTTCTAACGTAACGAGTATTTACGAGGCCAAAGCGAATATTAATGGCCCGTGCAATTTCATCAAGTCAGGGAGTATCCAAGATAGGGATTCCAGACAATGTTGTGGCTCTTGGAAAACTTTTATCGATGTTGTAGAAACGTCCAAAAAAATTCCGACGCTGAGATGTCTTGACATGATTGTTTCGGAAAACTTTTAGGTACTCCTGCTGACAACTAACGTTATCGAAAAACGCGGTATATGAGATAGGGTTTCTCCGAAAGCACAGGCCAAAATTGTTTTTTTCTTCACGATCCGATGGTGAGAGTCATGATGCAACCAGGGGCTGGCTGGATCGGTTTCGCTGGTACGGAAGGCTAGCCTATGTAGGGCTCGCCAAGGACCTTAGTAGCCACAAACTGGTCAAGAACTTGCACCCAATTCGCCTGGACGCCAGGGGAACCTAGCGCCTTTTCAAGCAAAAGTTTGCAATGATTTGATAATCGGTGGGTCAAGAAGCCCGATGGCCGACACCATGCAAGGACAGCTTTGCTTGGTCTCCCCAAAATTCATGTATTGTTTTCTGCGAGAATAGGAAAAAATTTGGATTTTTTTTTTTTGCCTGTTGGAGAAAGAATATGTGGGTTTCTTTTGGGAGATCATTCCCTTGAGCCCTTCCAATATGAATAAAAGTTAAATGTAACGACGTCAGTTTCTGGATATGATGTTTTCCTTTGCATCTATATAAAATCGTTTGAAGCACCCGCTTTCCTGAGGATTCTAGGCTTTCTTTGTGTAAAATATATCACCAATAGGAGAAGTTCCACAAGCTGCCTCAGTGCACAAAGGCTTCCATTCGTGCCCAGTTTACTTGTTGGTGTCACGCACATGCGCATACGACCAAAGCTTAAAAGCTTAAAAGCCACGGCGTGTCACCATAGCGATCCAACGGCTAGTTACCGGGGTCAGGGTCAAAATAAATACCTGCTGTGATCCCTTCTTTATACCTCTTATCATCAGCTATACTTTCACAGATCTCCCCTCATTACCTCAAATCCGAGATCCAAATGGTCGCACATTCAACAGACGACGATACTGTTGCGCCAAGCGTCAACGCGCCCGACATGGATAGCAAGGAGAAAGTCGCCTCGGGCGTTGAACAGCCTATCGACGAGCCTGCACAATTGGCAAAGGTTGTGTCGCGTGGAGGAAATCCGCCAGAAGAAGAGATTGTTTATCCAAGTGGTGCTAAGGTTCTTCTGATTCTCGTTGGTTTGATGTTGGCGGTGTTCTTGGTTGCCCTAGATCAAACTATTATCGCGTATGTATCAGATTACCTTTGTTTCTTTCCCCTCCCCGTCAGGTGGATCAAATGTTGGGGGATCATACAGATTTTTTTCTAGAATCCACATGCCACGCCCAGATACGCTGTGGGTTCACATGGACAATTCGTCCGACAAATCCATGAGAGAAATAGGCGGGGGATGTAGAAACTTCGGCTAACCTCTTGGCGATTGCTTGTGATGATGTAGAACCGCAATTCCTAAGATCACAGATCGATTCAAGTCTATCGATGACATTGGTTGGTACGGCAGTGCATACTTTCTGACCTCCACGGCTTTGCAACCTACGTACGTTTTTCTTCCGCCACAATTTTGGTTTATATTCGCCAAAAAATTCTGCGAAGCATGCACTCGATGCTGACATTCGCACTGTAGATTCGGTCGTATCTATAAAATTTTCAGCATCAAGGGAACCTTTCTTGTAGCTATCTTCCTCTTCGAGGTTGGTTCATTGGTTTGCGGTATTGCACCAAACAGTACTTCTCTAATCATTGGGCGTGCGATTGCTGGTAAGTTTAATTAATAATGAATATGCATAGCTTTCAAGTGATGTTGAACAGGGTTCGAAATTTCCATTTTGGGAGTTTCCGTTTGGGGCGCATGGGGAGGTATCGGAGTATCCGGAGTTACTTAAAGGCTAACCGAATTTCGTTGTTTAGGTCTTGGTGTCGGCGGTATCTTTTCCGGTGGCATCGTTATCCTCGCATATGTTTTACCCCTCGAAAAGAGGCCTTTGGCCTTCGCTTCAATTGCCTCTATGTGGGGTATTGCGAGTATTGTCGGCCCTTTGCTCGGTGGTAAGTATTATCCCCTGTATATCCGAATCTCTCCGCAGGTATCTTCGGGATTTCTCAGATATATATTTCAAAGAAGTTTATCTGACTTTGTGATTTATCTGTAGGTGCGTTTACCGACCATGTTTCATGGAGGTGGTGCTTCTATATCAATCTTCCACTAGGCGTAATTTCGGTTGCTGTTGTCCTATTGGTTCTCAAGATTCCTCGTGAGGCCAATCCGGAAGGCTTGACTGTTCTAGAACGTGTTCGCCAACTTGACTTAATTGGTGCCGCTATTTTGATCCCGGCCGTCGTTTCCCTTCTTCTTGCTCTTCAATGGGGAGGTGTCACCTATCCTTGGAATAACGCTAAAATCATTGGTCTCTTCGTCTGCTTCGGCGGTCTGATCATTATTTTCATCTTTTCACAATGGAAGCTTGGTGAAGCTGCGACACTTCCTCCCAGGATCTTGAAACAGCGGACGGTTCTTTCCAGTTTAATTTTCGCGTGCTTCTTTGGAGCAGCTTTCTTCGTAGATGTTTACTACCTTCCTATTTACTTCCAATCTGTCAAGGGATCGAGCGCCACAAAATCCGGCATCCAAGTTCTCCCGATCCTTCTCAGTTGTGTGCTATCAAGTATTGTTTCGGGAGGTTTAATAACTGCTCTTGGATATTATACTCCTTTCTTGATTGGAGGCATGCTCCTGTATGCGGTTGGTGCGGGTCTCATAACGACATTTGATGTCGACACAAAATCTGCTCATTGGATTGGATATCAGGTTATTGCGGGTCTAGGTGTGGGCGTGGGTTTCCAAGTTCCGATTCTTGCTGTCCAGACCGTCTTGCACATTGATGACATCCCGGTTGGAACGGCTATTATTACTTTCTTCGTAAGCAACTCCCTCTGGATTGACTAAGTGAAGGATCTCACTAACAAATGCACAATAGCAATCTCTGGGCGGCGCTCTTTTCATCTCGGTCGGCCAGAATATTTTCTCAAACGGACTGAAAGAGGGTCTCGAACGCTATATCCCCGAGGTCCCATCGAGCGTATTCCTTCTCTCCGGTGCTACTGAGATCAAGGACGTTCTTGCCAGCCTTGGGCTGCAGGACAGGCTTCCAGATGTGCGAAAGTCTTATATGGTCGGCTTGAAGGATACATATAGGCTCGATGTGGCACTTGCATGCTGCGCGTTTGTCGCTGCGTGTTTCCTTGAATGGAAAAATATCAAGGCGGAGAAGGAAAAGAAGGAGGCGGAGGCAAAAGAGAAAGGCATCCACTTGGAGCCCGCGATCGCTGTTTAAAATCTTCCCTTCGCTCGTTTTGTAATATTAGTCCTGCACAAGTTGCCTGATCAATTTCGATTTGTACATACATACATACATTTCCTGTATGCAAAAGCTTAAGACGATAGACTACGTATACTAAGTAACTAGGTCCTTACAAGGCAATAATGTTTATGCTATTGTAATGTTTCAAGCCCTGCCATCCGATATGACGTACATATTATGCTTTCAGGGCCAATGCCAATTCGTATTAGTCTATCCGGCGACATATCTATATGCATTGCACAATTGCCATCGACCTATATTATAATCATTCTGGACTTGGTAAAGTTAGAAAATATCCCCTTCAACCATCGCTTTTACTCGACTACACTTTTACCGGGATGATTAGCGCTACAACGGGGAAAGCATGGGGGTAGTATGTATGATGCATCCGTGCCACGAACAATACGGCTTTGGGATTAGCCTGCATTCCGTAGCCAGGTCACGGCGTTCGCACTGCAGGTTGCACGTTTCAAGTTCTCTGGACCGATCCGATTCACCCAGCAGCCAAAATTTAGCGGAAATATCCTCCTGCGCAGTAGAATTGAATCGACCCATTTGTGATCGATTATCACACTGCATGCATATAGTATAAAGCTTATCCTTTTTTATTCTATTACAGAGGGGATCCGGGGATCAAGAGATATATTACCCATGCAAGATTGTTTCCCGATCATCGCAGCAAGGCCCATTTTCGATTCCGTTAATTACCTACCCGATAAACGGCCCGTCACTTCCCCCCAAATTGTTCAGATTTTTACTTGCTTTAAGGTGTTCTATTAATTCTTTTTGCAAGCCACCGTTTTCGTGTGGGGATTAGACGGGAAACTTCAAAAGTATATGCAAACAGGTATGTACATATATACTTACAGGTACCTGCCGAGGTACAACTCTCTATTCAAGACATTGTAGGACGTTATCATAAAACAGTCCCGTAGGAACTCGGAAGCACGTCCTGCTATTCCCCCCTTCCCCCTTCTTTTCCCCTGCCCTAGTCGGTGAAGCTAACGACGCCCGAGAACCAATTGGCTATCACGAAATACTGTGTTTTGCTTTATACGAGCCGGTACCTCTTTCCGAGAGTTCTAACCTCGCCGAAACAAGTATAGTCCTCGATACGCCCTGTGGGAACTTTCTCCACATGTAATTTTGGCCCCGCGGCCCGGGACCTCCCACTCCCGGGAAGTAGGCACATGTGCACAAGGCTGAATTAGCTTAAGGCCGGAACTAATAGCACCTATAATATAGGTGTTTGTTGGCTAAAAGTCCCGGCTCTTAACTGCCGAGCTAGTTGATCGTCATAAAGGCCTGAAACTTTGCTTTGTTATCTGATGCAACAAGTTTTTAAGGTTTCTGATTCTCCTAAAGTAAGCTTAATTACGGAGAATGGTCTCGGATCAATTTTAAATTGGCGATTCCTTTTGTTCGTCTCGAGTTGAGCTTGCACAGGGATATCCCTGAGATCCGCCTGTGGCATGAACGCCGTTGTTGTATTTTGTCTCAGGGCAACACAGAAAAGGCCTTTGATATACACGTACATATCCATATATATCTTCCGATAGACGAAGGTTTTGGCGGAAAATGTGGAACGGCGTCATAAGCCGCTCGGGCTATAATTTATGCGAGAAATAGAATGACCGTGGCATACCCAGCCAAAAGCCAATGGGGTACCTTGGCCAATGGGGTACCTTGGCCAATGGGGCTTTTGGAGTGAGACCGCAATATTGGCGCATGGAGCCTTTGGAGGCGGCCACAAGGAGATCTGAGCAACCGGGAAACGATATTGATACCTTAGCTTGTGAGCTAAGGTAGAGAAGAATATGCCATTCGAGAGGGAAACATGATAAACGTGTACATAATTTTTTCTCCAAATTATCAATAAGGAAGCGCTCTCTAACAAGAAACTAAAAAATTTTGTCCTCTATATGTGCTGATGGAGGAATCTGAACCCGTGAAATCAAATCGCTGGTATGCTGGTCAGATCGAATGTCTGTATGTATGTATGATCAGAAGCAATATGTGCTAAAAGAAGAGACAAAATGACCGATAATGCTTGAACTGCTGCAAGCGTGAAAACGAATATCAAAACAATGAATTGCGTTGGCGCGCCCATGATCAATATGAACAGAGAAGCAAGAAAACGAAAAAGAAAAAGAATCTGCGAACACCGGCAATAGTAGGCCTAGGGAAAAGAAGGAAAGGTGCAATGTATAACCCCCACAAAAAGCCATCCCTCGTCTAAATTATTCCGAAATTATGTAAAGATGCTGCAGCCTCCGAGCAAAGAAAAAGGAAACGAGTGGATCTATATTATGCATGTCGTTAAAGGATAATGTTGTTGATGAGCCTTATGAGAGTCGTGAATTCGTAATTCGTCGTTGTTTCGATCGATGCTTTTTCCGTATCCACTAATGCTATGTTGTGAGAAAAGTCCCCGGCATAACCCGGGGTGTGGCTTATGACGCCAAAATTTTCGCTAGGGAAACCAGGTTGCTGCGAAGAGGTTACCTAACAAAAATAATCCTCGACGTCCACATGGTTTCATATTCGGCACGGCCCTGGGGTGTTCGAGGGCGTTCGGCGGTCTCTAGATTATATGTCCGTACGGCGACTAGCATTTACAAGTTAAGTTAGCATTTAATTTTTCCAATTAGAGGTAAATAATATTGCGTCAGCGTGTACCTGAAATATGTTCTCCGATCTGCCTCATCATTCGGAAAGCTTCATTATCAAGCTTGATATCAGTGTAGGTTTGGGCGTCTGGGAGGGTTTCTTTTCGCAAAAGAGCCCCAAGGGGCATTTCGAGTTTCTTGTGGTAATATTCGAAGGCATCAACTAAGTGATTACCAGACCAAGACCATAGGTTCCGGTGGTGGTCCCAGTGAGCGAGAATCTTGTCGCGGTGGAACTATTAAACCCGAAGTTTAGTAAAGTAGACATATGATAAGAGCAGACCCAATCTAAGCTTACGGTAGATCCGAGGTACTCTACGTATGCCTGTTGGGTTTTCAGAACAAATTCAACCGTGTTTAGAATGATGTAAACGGTAACCCATAGTTCCAGCCAATCTGTTTTCTTCTTTGCTTTGAACTTCGTCCATATAGTCTTCAGCAGATGTGCCGCACTTGAAACCATTCCTTTGATAATTAAATTGTCTAGTTGATTGTCCAGCTGAGGCGGAATAGGAACATATCCAAATAGGAACGATGTCTCATCATCGATTATATTCGGCGGCATACCAAGTAGTTGTTCGCCGCATAGGGAACGCTCGGATGCATTTAAGTGCGCTCCTACCCATATGTCTAAGGCGCAATGTACGATACCATTAGGTCTTAGCTTCTATCCTCCGAATTAGTATCCCTATGCGTTTTTGGGAAGGTGTATGACCGATTAAGTCGAGATAAGGCAACTTACCGAGAGATGGTCAGCTAGTTTCATAATACTGATAGTAACAGGGGATGTCCCTTGTGACATCATGTCAATCATGAAGGCGTTCCGATAACACGTCATTCTTGTGAGTAGAGTCTTATACATCTCCTCTGAAGAGTAAGCAATGTATGGTTGCACTTCGATAAATGCGTCTGGCTGCCTTCCTCCAGGGCTCTTTTTGAGGTTATCCCCGGGCTGCGGCACAAATCTTCTGCAGGAAACCACGAGTGGCTCACAAAAGGTTGATACGCTCAGCGGGACACAATGAAACTTCAGCTCCAAGATCTCGTCCGATGCCCACACTTTTGTGTGCTCTGAGACAGGTACGATATGAATTGGGGTGTCTTAAATTTTTGGTTAGCAAATCCATAAGTTCAGCTGCAATTGCGCGAGAAAGGAAAGAGGTCACATACTTGAACGAAAAAAGGAACAATCATCGAGATCCAATCTAAAGCATAGATGGGGCGACCCTTTGCAAGGTGGACAAATACCAGTGTGACTAGCATGGCACTGTACATAAAACAATACCCAGCAATGATACATCAGTTATCTAACCTTATTTCAACGTCAGAGACAAAAGGTGCAGTAACGTTAACTCACCTTCTTATTTAGCATACGGCACCTGAAGCATCCACCCCCAAACTGTCTCACCAGTGCCTTCGACCTTTTCTCCTCGTCCGTCAACTCTTTGAGTGCCCCGTGTCCACCTCTTCTCGCCAGCTCAGGAGGAACGATACTAAACTTGACCTCCCCACTTACTGTTGAATTCGGTGTTGATTTAGCTATTTTCCTCGCCCTCGCTTCAGCTGGTTCTCCTTTTGCATCGACATCGGCGTCCTCGATTTTATGCTTTCTTGAATTTGTTTTTGCCGGGGCTGGTTTTGAAACAAGTTTTATTTGATAACTTTTAAACTTTGATGGATTTTTGTTACTCTTATGTCCGGACTGCGGCCGTTCCACCACAGGTGGATGGCTGACCACCGGAGGCTGAATTCCATGATGATTATGCTGATTCTGATGCTGATATTGGTCTTGAGCATGACAATTTTCCACAAAGCTGCTCGGTATCAATGTGTTGCTATTGTTGGGATCTATTGTTAACTCCGTTGCCAAGCTGCGACCTCCTCCACTTAGACTCGAGGTCGGTCTCGGAATCGGAATCGGAACCTGATGAGAAAACTGGAATGGTGAACAATTTCTTTCGAAGAATGTCATGAAATTCTCGCGATCCCACGGCGTCCATTCTATGCTGTCGTCGATGTCGTATAAGCTTTGACTGAAGTGCGGAGCAGGCCCCGCGGGGAAGCCAGCGAGAATGTCATGATCTGGATGTGGACTCAATGAACGACGGCGAGGATTCGGAGAAACACCACTTGGAACACCTAGTAGATAGTCGGCAGTCTGCTGAGTATGTCCCCCCCAGAAGTGATGGAGATAAGGATCGAGCTCCTCCATCGCTTAGTTAAAACTTTCGCGTTCAAACACCGCTCGAGTCCGTGGGAGGCCGGAGGGTTGGATCTGTGTCTTAGAATCCTGAACTCCCACCAACCGGCCCAATCTTTTACGACGTGTTGGACTGTTGTGTTTGGTTAAAGGGGCACAGATGGAGAGTAAAGGAAGGTAGGGAAGGCCCTTGATAAAATATAATATCGAAAAGAAGCTAACTAGGCTTGAGCGTATGCAGCTGCAAAGATATAGAGATGCAAAAGAGGAATAAAATGCAGTGGGATGGTCTGACCCGTCTTAGAAATTAATGGCGGCGGCTTGGACAAATTTAACAGTTCCCGCTCTGAAATTTTGGATGCCGTTTTTTGTCTGGCCTTCGCTTGTATCCGGGAGGGCAAGCTGGAGCCCAAAAACGAGGATTGTGCATAATCTGCCCTGAGCTGATCATGCATCTAGCAAAAAGGAAACACTGGCTTCATGACCCCACGCAGGATCTCGAACCGAGCTGGTGGGTACGCACCTTACCGTATCGGGACACTACCGGGCCTAGGGCATCTATGGGGAACCTATGGGGCTCCGTGGCTTGGCGTGTGTAGATGGACATCTCTCGCCCACCGGGATGCGCTGCGTAGGGAGATTTTCCAAAAATGATTGTACTTCGTATGCTATGCCGCGTCGAGATTGCCGCTGCACTGGAGTTCTGGCTGCCGTAACTTTCCAAGGTTACTCATGTCGGTGTTTCCTTCTGGAGAAGGTCAAATGCGAGATTGGCTAAGTTGCCAATGTATATATAAAGGTCCCAGCGATGAAATTCTTATTTCTAGTTGTTCGTAAAACTCAAAGTATATACCTTTTAATTCTTACGGGCCGACCCTCCTTTCCTTTGTGCTCTATGGTTTTTTCATACCGTTCGTATCTCAGCTGACATTGTTGTCATTCTCGCAAGCTAAAACACTAGAGGACCCGCCTTTTAAAAAAAAAAATCGTCGTTTTTTCACGGAATGAAACTGCGCGAAGCTTCCCCACGTGATCTTCCTCAGATCATGGAAGTCCTCCTGGAGGGCCTTGTCGATGATCCTATGTTCGATTGGACGTGGCGTTATAGACATCAGTATCCATGGGACAACTACTACTATTGGAGTCTTAGGATCAATTCCATGATCAACAATGCTGGCGTGGTCTTCCTAGTTGTTGAACTTGATGAGGCTGACAAGTTCAGAGACAAAGGAGATCCAATTGGCACCCTAGTCAGCTTCGTCGTTTGGAAAAGAACTGGGGAGGACGAGCACGCAAAACGGCGGAGAAGTCTCAAGGCTGGGATCCTCAATATGCTCGATCGTAAGTATATAGGTTTTACTTTTTTTTTTCTCCGCATAGTTTTCCTTTGCTTTCTAACTATAGCACTATCTTTCGTATTTTATGGGAAGATTCCACAAGAACTAGATGAAAAATAGAGGGAAAATGGGAATTCTAATTCTTATGCGTCAAACTTGAAGGCACAGTCAATACTCTACAAGACTACTCGATGACACAGCACTACCCGGAAGGGAGACGAGATGCCGACTATCGGAGATGGGCGGTCCTCAAAAAGGGTGTGAAAGCAGTTGATGCGACGTATTTTACTCGGTATCAAAATTTCTGGGAGTTAGAATTACTTGCTACTCATAGAAAATATCGTCGACACGGAGCCGCTACTATGTTAGTGGAGTGGGGGATAAGGCTGGCAGACGAAGAAGGGGTGCCTTGTTGTGTCATCTCGAGTCCAATGGGAAAACCCGTTTACGAGAACAGCGGATTCGTTCTGGCCTCGGAAGAAAAATGGGTCTTCCAAGTCAAAGGAGAGGAGGAAAAGGTAGAATGCTTCGTTTTGATACGGTCATCAAAAAACGAGCGGGTCTTATCTGCAGAGACAGGCGATGGATACATGATAGTGTCATCATTATAGGTTGCATATTCCTTTCGGGCTTTCCGGCGTTTTCAATCCTTTCCTTTTTATTCGATCTCTCGTTTAGCAGCAAGCATAAGGATGGTTTTATATGTTTTACATGTCGTTTCCAGCCTATAGGTCCCCCTTCTGATGTTCATTTTTGTCTCCCCGCAGCAATCAGTCGCATGACTGCTGCAGTTTTGCTCATATTCTGGATGATAAACGCCTTAACGAACTATGCATGTATGTACGTAATTTCTAATTCTGCCACCGGCAGCGCAGTCCGATCATGGAAACCTTTTTTTTCTTCGATTCCCCGCACTTGCCGTACATCTCACGCAGTCCCGCTTGCTTTTTCCCGCATCAGTGCGCCTCATATCTTATGGGTCTGTGCTCGCTTTATGATATTGTCATCTGATGGAATATTTGGGGTAAATATTACGGCGAGAGATTATACACATTATCTCGGATAGTATCATTAATGTTCCCAACTAAATTCGGTGCTTTGGGACACGAAGGACCCGTGTACTAAGGGTTGGCAAAGATTCTGGAATATTCTTACCTCATAGAGCTGAATAATTTAAACCTCTCATTCCGGAACTATACATATACAGACATAGTGCATGGCTTCCTTCCCGCAATCGAAGCAGGGACGTCTGGACACTCTGACTTGGGAAAAGGAATTAAAAATGAATTTGAAAATCTCCCAAGCAGGAACCGACGCGGCGGAACGCGGTGGCCAGATAACAAACTCAAGTCATTAATGAATGATATGCACGACATCCAGGCGTACTTCGCATATATATGTCTGAATAGGTAATGTGAAACGAGGAAGCTGGAACAAGGCTTGTCCTGGTTCATGCCCTTCAGAGGCTTCTTGTCCCAATTTTTCAATCGGAAAATCGGGAAGTCTAGACTTATAATTACATCCGACACACACTTAGCGCTGCGTAATGTACCTATATTATGCTAGTTTGAGAATATAAAATGGAATAATATATGGCACTGTGCTGTAGATGCAGCCCTGAGCTCTGAGTTAGCCAGACGGACAAGTCCCAGGCACATGATGCAACATAATCAACGCATTATTGTTAATCGTCCTTACCTGGGGCGATTTCTTGTATCGTGTGGGCATTTTAACGCAGCTACCGACCATGAAAGCTAAGGCCAAGCACTTCATCAAAAAAAATAATTAAACACAAGCTACAAATTTGGAAGAGGGCCTTGCAAATTGGAACCATGAGAAATGGCAATGATAAAGGATTACTCTATATTAAATAGTTAGTTTGAATCTAAGGTATGTACGCAGATCTGCGTATGTATGTATGTACGAGAAAGAGAAAGGGAAGTTCGTTTCGGAAGGATGTCTAAAAATCTAGAACGCTGAAAAAAAAATCAGACCACTCGGGGAAGAAACAAAGAGAACAAGAGGCTAAAACAATGCTTTTGATTGGCGGAACGAATTTCCGCAATTACAAGGTGTAAAAGAAAGATAACAATAACTACCACATGGCCATATGGGTAAAGAGGCAAAGGACGAGGCTCTCCGTCGGGGGCATTGTCAGCTAGCTTCATGCGCTGGTATGGCCAGAAAAGCTGAAAAGACGCGGATGGACGGTGCACTATATTGGAAATGATTTGCCTTAGCCGTTCGTTCCGGATGGGCTTGTAGCAGGTGGGCCTTGAGACAAGGCTGCGAAGTTGAATGGGTCAATGCGGAAATTGTAGTCTGAGGAAGCGATATCATTCGGGTATATCTCGTTAAAGGCCCCGTCAAGATGTCGGGGGAGCCGATAAGCTCTTTCTTCGTTTTTTATAAAAGCGCGGATCAAGTGCCGTCTGCTAGAGCCCTCCCCGATTGAAGCATCTCGGAATTCCTCGCGGGAGTGAACCACGGCGAGGTTGTTCATGAATTGAATATCTCCTTTCTGTAGTTGAATCCGAATGGAGTGACGTTCGGCTGTAAAGTGGACACTGTCTAGGGCCTCTGCTTGTAGAAGGGTGAGAGGGCTGGGAGTATCGCCATTATTCGAACCAGTAAATGGGCGACGGGCAACGAAAAGGATCGGCCTGCCATCTTCATACCAAAGAAGAGGGCGTCTGTAGTATGCTTCGGAGTCGAAGTCATGAGAAGAGAAACTATAGCAGCTAGTTAGTCCATATTTAATTCTAGAGTTTTGGAGCAGATTCATCGGCTAGTAGTGTACTATGGGCTATGAGTATCATACCTATTTAACTTCCAATCTTCAGCTAGAGTTCTAATAGCATGCGGCTTTGTTGCAGCTAGTTCGTTATATACTTTTGCAGAGCTAGCAATCATGCTACCACCACCGTTACCGGCGACTCCAGCGACGAAAAGTGCGATGATATGGGCAGTATCGTTGTGAAATGACTTCAGTGTTGGAAATTGTATTAGCATAATAGACGATATATAAACGACCAGCTGTAGGGTTGTGAGTTTATTACCATGTGGACATTCGTATAGCCGGGCGATTTAATCAACCCCTCGGCATACAAGGGCCGAAGATTGGTCAAATGAGCTAACAAGATTTTTTGATGAGAGTTAGCATTTGTGACTAAATTGGACTGACATCGAACAGGGTTATAACTACAGTGTAAGGAGTCTTACCTAGACCAGTACGGCTTAATGTCTGCATACCAAGTTTTCCACCGACATAGCTGCTAAGTCCCATGAATATGATGGCTCGTTCCATAGGTGTATATCTAGAAGAGTCCAGGCCACGTATAACAGCAAATCCACGTCTGTCATAAAGATTGGAGACGGTTTGTTTCATCTTGGCCTTTAAGGAATTGCTAATTGGGAATGTCTCAGCAGAGACATGATTCACGCTATCATACTTGCCTAAATACGTTGGTCAGCCACGCACACTGTATATTTGGTTATTCGCTAAGCATGAGCTCTGGCATATTGCCATGTGGTAGATGTAGCGTGGTTTGGGTAAATTTGCGATTTCCAAGACTCGGATACTCGTTGCTGTTGCAAAAGAAGGAAGTAACTAACCAAGATAGGACTTCATGGCGGCCTCTACCGACTCAACATCTTCGGCGTTCAGACTAACTAGCCAATCTTCTTCAGTGACTTCTGACGCGGTCCAACTCAAGGGACCTTTAACAACTGATGGGAAGCCATTTGGGAGACTCTGATCGTTTGGCAGAATAGTTTTTAGGTATGCCTCTCTTTTTTCAAAGCCTTCTTGGCATGGGACATAATTGATCTTTGAGATAATTCCCATCGAATCCTCACTTTGAGTCTTGAGAAAGTCCTTGAGGCCTAAGACAGGTGCCCCTTGCCCATATGGAGCCGGCGCCATCCTACTTGCAGTAGACTTGGATGAAGTCGACTGATTGAGAAAAGAAATATCGAAATTTGAATTCGGATTATTCGCTGGAGATTCCGGATTCAAAGCTAACAGAGAATCTTCTGGGCCGATGAATTGAAGGTAAGAGTTTGCAGCTGAGCTGTGAGGCATTGAACAAAGGTTATATAAAATCAGGTATTCTTTCAATTGATGGCTGTAGACGGACTGGGGAGAAAGGTATATCTCTAAAGTGGGTCCTCTTCGTAATCGGGCGCCTGCTCTGATAAAAAAAATATTTTGCGTCGACGAACGGAGAGCGCGGTATGTGACAGGATTAATAAAGAAAGTCTCCTAAGTATAGGGGAAAAGATTTTATAACTAGCTGGGCCATGGACTAGAGCTGGAGAAAACACTGGACGAATATTTCGAGCAAAGGATGGAATCTGCCGATAGAGATGTGGTTTATACAACGAACCCTAGACTTGATAACAGATGAGACACCTGACCCATGTCTCCAGATCGCATCGGAGGGAACAGATTCTAACAAGATGGTCTGTTGCAAACATGAACCAGCGCTCGATGTAGCACTTGGGATTATGCCGACGGGTGGAGATTCCCATCACTCAAAGGCCGCCCATCTCATCCTGAAGCGCTGGATCTCAAGTTCTTCGCAGGCGAAAGCTCTTGTTGGAAGCTGGGAGATAGCACTGCTTCTACTGTATACGGCAGGCGGTAATATCAGAAATCTTCTAATTGTGTTGGTGTTAGCATTTAATTATAAAGCGGGATCGCAAAAGGAAAGAAATCTTTCGCACTCTTTCGGCAATCGAGTTGACATTGCGCGGATTGCCTAGCTAGCAGGTCATTAAGTGGGCTTCTGTTTAAAACGACTCCACTTGCCAGCTGCCAGCTGTATGTTGCTGCATGGTACCTGGATGAGGCTAAAAGGCAAGGGGAGATATATGTAATCCAGTATGTCCAATTAATATGACGTGGAGAACGCCATGCGCTCACGGGGAAATCCCACTTTTTGTACATGCATCGTACATACACTATCGTATTGTGGTGGGCCACTTTAGTCTCGTCCAATTAATAATAAACTGGCCTGACCGCCCGCGCGCGATATCCACTTCTTCAAGCCCATCGACTACTGCTCAAAATGTAGCCAGACCAAGTTTCGAAGAGGCAGAGGCCCTGGGTTTGCGGAATTTCCTGGATCTCTTAGCGGGTGATCCATGGCACCGGAGAGCCCAATCGCATCTAGTCCCCGACATTCCGCGGTCTGTGTTTCACCTCAGCTTTTAGGACCGCCTCGACTCAGAGTGGGAGAGTGTGTGCTAGAGAGCAAAGAAATACTGTATTTGGGCGTCACCTGACTCTGTTTGGGGGTTCCTCTGAATTCCCCCCCCGCCGCTGAGGAATTCTGTCGCGATATCAAGACCACCTTGAATCATCCACATCCCCATCGTTGCTCGACTCAGATATCACAGTTTTTCGTGGTGCATGGGCTCCTCCTGACTGTCACATACAGTATGTACGTACTTACCGGTAGCACTGCCCCTTGCTCGTCTTCCAACACACTTCCGAAGCTAATTTGATGAAAAAGAAAAACGCGGGCACCAAAATCCGCTGTTGCCGGCTAATCTGTCTGTTTGCTCGGAGCGCACAGGCCCACCAAGATCTCTGGATGTCTAAGACATCTCCATTGATAGAAGGTTCAGCGCACATCGATTACTTGATATGAGGTGCGCAATGCGTGAGAGTGAGGAGACATTGAGTCTTCGACGGCATCGCTGCGGCGTCTTCGGATTCGCAGTTTGATCGAAATTCCCTTTCGATTCTATTATTCTTCGCAATTTGCAACATTTAGGAGGGGCATTGAAGCATGAGGTCCCCGATTCGAAAAGCTGCAACAACCAGCTGCAGGGAATCCGTAAAAGTAACGCCGCCCAGTTCCGACCAACCAAATGTGCAGCTCAAACACCTGCATGCTGCAAGCTGCTTCCTTTTTATGCTCGAATGCAACAAGCTTGGAAAGCTCCCAGAGACAGTTCGACTGTCGAACCTCGATTCAGAGCATCGCAATTGAATGGTTCCTTTCATTGCTTGACATTTTGAGAAGGTCGCTTAAACACGTCTTTGGCCAACAAATGAAAATTTCCCAGACAGAACAAAGTCTACCGTTACACAGTCGACCAGTCTGAAAGTAGCATCCATTTCAGACTTTTTCACCAAGATTGGCGAAATGTACTCGCGTGCTCGCATGGAATAATTAAACTAGTACCTTCGTGTTTTACAGTCCCTACATCACAGGGCTCAGTTACTCGTTAGTGCAGGGCCTAGCTGCTCGGATTATGTAAGTCTGAGACCAATTGAGGATTCAAAGTTTATAGGCTCTACCAACAAATGCAACAGGTTCCCCACGAACGGAACTGGTTTCTAAGGGTTTACACCACCAATGGACTTCCCGCGGTCTAAAAAGGCCTGCAAGAGATGAACTAAGTCTACCCTGCGAGATATTTGGAGATTTTTCCCGCACCATACACCCCTCCCCCGCGTCCGACGTCCCGAACGGCGAATCCGGGAAAACACGGCGCATATGTGACATCACAAATCATCCAAGCTTGACGCTACAATTGCCAACGTCGAAGCTAGGATATCTCAATCCGCATTCCTCTTTAGCCCTTCTTGCTTTTGCAGATTTTTTTTTACCCTAGTTTCAACCCTTCGGAATAGGTAGATGTCCTATGTTGCTCTTTGCGAGGGGTCGGTACTATCCGGAGACGCAGGCGAGCATGTAAAGTGCAAGGCGTGCAGCGGGACGAAATTTAATTGACTGGGGTTTGATGGCGAGGGTCCTCGTCTATGGCCTCATCAATGTCACACAAGCTTCTGAATTTGATGGAGTGCATATTCGTGCTTCCGATTTTCCGGCATTTTATTGGACATAAAGCTTCCCGATGTTATGCTTGACGGCCGGGTCCGCCGAAGCAGGTTCACCAGTTAACGAGTTCCGATTGCGCTCCTAAACTTACTCATATTTCTGGCGTGCAGCACGTATGTTTTTCCCTATAAATGATTCGTTCTAGCGGGTAATATTTTTAGTATTGGACAAAAAATTTTCCGATTTTATGCCCTCGCCTGGTATTCGGGTACGTACCGGTAGCCGCTCTGAGATATGTCTGAGGTTTTTGTCTCTGAGTTTTCTCGATTTCAAGCACCTACCAAAGTCGTCTTAGGTATGTCAGTTTTGAATGTGGAAATGATTCTGGAACAATCTTACACTTACCAGCTACTCTGTTCGTGCACCGCTCATTTAAAACTTCTCTTGCAAACTAGCATATGCCAACAAAACAAAATGAAAACGCTATGTTTTGCATTAATAGAAGGAAAAGTTTCATAACGGTTTTGGAGAGCGGTTAGAGCTCGTGGGGAGTCGTAAGCTTATCACTTGCTAGCTATGTCTAAGTTAAGAAGTCATCGGGTCAAATTTCCAAAGCACTGACCATCTTAAAGATAAAACAATCGAGTTAGTAACTAAGTAAGTATGTGTAGAACCGCTCTGAAAGGCTAATGCAGGACGGCTTGCCTTATTAAACGCCCGAAACAGAGGAAGTTGCCCGTATGGGTCTTCCTGCCGCCGTGAATCCCCAGATACTTTTTCTCAAGGGAAAAAATAAATGATGATACAAAAAACAAAGAAAAGAGGCGGGTCCGGCCCACTAATTGAAGGTTCAGCTACACGTTGTTTAGTCTAAACGGTATACCTTTCCACGGATGCTCTAGCTCACACGAGCTCCTCCCATGAAATATATCTATCACATGGGGTATAGTAGAAACTTCATGAGTTCAGCTTCCTGAGGTTCACACTAGCGCATGGACTTTCATAGGCGGTTAGCATCAACCCGTGGCCGGGATCAAGATCGATATCCGGTAGGTGCAAATGATACATACCAAGGCTCTATCTTCAACAAGAATCAAAGCCGGGGCTCCACCTCTGCTAAGCATAGAATAGTTAGCAAGCGTTAACCATCATTTATGAATGAACTTTTCTTCCAATTACACACAGCGGCGACACGGAATGCATTTCCGACAAGGCGTAGATCCTCCGGCCTTCAAAATTTGTATCATAGTTCAGTACTCGATTTGGTAGTCCATAGCAGGATGTCAGATATTTTTTTGAGACCCATGTGCATTTCAGATGATTTTAAACTGTCCTCTGGATGTCTACAAAATTATTCCCAACATCATCGACGTTGCTGCCTTGTAGTTAGCTTTCGTTAAACTAGCTTAGCCGCCAGTAACTATAGAACTACCCCATGATTCATTTTTTAGCTCTATATGTACCATTCTATAATAATAGCTCATGGAAAGAACTTAGAGTCATCGACCTAGTCAGTGCGGCTTGGTTCTACAGGGTCTTGATATCGCGCAATCGATCGTGACCAATGGAAATTTACCTTCTCCTTCCTTCCTAGAAACATCGAGATTGAGATTAAGATCTTTGACTTAGGATTTGCTTGAAATTTTTTTTTGTGAATTCCTGAAAGCCTGGATATCATGAGTTCCAGTCATGACCTGTAATTGGAAATTGTTCCCATTTGCAACCACGCAACTAAGTTCAACACTTCTTATGAAATTGTTAATATAACCCGAGGATTAATGGCTACTGGATTCAATAATGCGGCCCTGCCGTTCATGTGCGGCCGAAGCTATTTTATTCCACATGTGTTCATATGAGTTTTGACAGTGGATTGATCTAACGCACACGCAGCCTTGAATTCGTGACGAAACGGTCTCCACATGTGAGACGCAACCCCCAGCGGAAATCGGGAAAATGTTCAGGATCTTTCCAGCCACACGGGCGGACAGCTCTTTTCGTATATAAAGCCGTAAGCTTTCTTTACTAAAGGCTTAAAGCAGTTTCATGATTTCGAGTTAGGTCCACGAACGCCTCTCCTCAGCTTCGGGGTGACCGGTTGGTTCTCTTACCACCTAGCCTTCGTATATTGGAATCTCCATATGTTGACAGATGTACTATTTGCAAGCCGGGCCCACCATGTTAGCTAGATGCCAAACAGCCCTCAAGAAATGCTTGTACTCCAAGCGAGAGTATTTAAGGGGATTTCCGTCAAAACAATTGTGATCAAGTTAGTGGATTAATCGATTGCGGCCGTGACAGTATCTACCGGCTACCGGATCGATCCGAGATACCTGGAGATTTAGCCATGACTCGTATACACGTACTATATATCTGTAGATCATATATCTAAATAAAAAAAATCATATACGAAAGGACTGTAGGCGTGAACTCTAAAAGCCAGCTCCTACGCGAATCCCTTGATCATGATCCGAAGTTCATTTGTTTGTTTGCCGAAACTCGTCACGAAACCTCGCCACGAGGGATTAGCTATCACCACGTGTGTAATGCCGCTTGCCGCATGACATCACAAACCCCTAAGTTCCAGCCAGCGCCGCATAAACATGCAACCTGTAGCAGCGATAGATTGCATTGCATTGAAAGGATACGGGAATTCGAAACCGCTTAACATACTCGAAACCTGGAATGGGGAAGTTTTAAATTTGTCGACCCTTGATCAATTGATGAACTCGCTAATCGTTAATAAAGTTGAATGGAATTTTGGAGCCGACCCGGCCGGTCGCTTGACATCAATCGCTACGCAATGCATATGTGATTGACAGGTTCGCGGAACGCGGCCACGGCGAGAGTTTGTTGATGCCGTCACAACTGCGTCGTTACAACATATTCGATCAAATACATGGTTGTGCCCGTATTTTAGATTTTTTAATTTTGTTGATTTCTATTTATTCAAGTGATATTTGGAAATAGTGACGTAGTTTAAGGTAGAAATGGCTTGGTATTAAGAACAAATTTATACATGCAATAGGCTAGCTAATAACCCGAATTCTTTCAATCTTCTCTTAGAGGATCAATTGATCAACCGCAAAACTTCAATTGATCGATCAATTCAACAATAGAATTACACACCAGTACTAGTTAATGAACATGGCGAACGCAGCTGCCAACCTCATCGAAAGGCATCTGGGCGAGTACCCTGAGGGTACAGCCGCCAATGCTGGTATTAGCAACTACGGCATCCAACATGAATTCGCTGACCCATCGGGCGCGAAAATGAAAGCCGTAGTATGGGAAGGAAGAAACACGGTGAAAGTTGTCGAGACCGCAAAACCAAGGATTATCGAAAACCACGATGCTATTGTTAAGGTTACGGGGACAACAATCTGTGGGAGTGATTTACATCTTTATCACGGAGCGGTGATTGAGATGCAAAAGGGTGATATCCTAGGGTATGAGACTATGGTTTCAATGCGACTGTGCACCCGCCATATCGCTCAAGGCTAACCGATGCATCAATGTCCCGTAATGCATAGACACGAATACATGGGCATTGTCGAGACCGTCGGGCCATCCGTCAAAAATATTAAACCCGGCGACCGCGTCGTTGCTTCCTTCCAAATCAGCTGTGGCACCTGTCGTTTCTGCGTTCAAAGACTCTCCTCCCAATGCGAACGTACCAATAACTCTTCAGTCGCCAATGCCATGTATGGCCACCGGACTGCTGGAGTATTGGGGTATAGTCATTTCGCAGGTGGATATGCCGGCGCGCAGGCAGAGTATGTAAGGGCACCGTTTGCGGATGTCAATTTACTGGTATTGCCTGATAATGTTACAGATGAGAGGGCTTTGTTTTTGAGTGATGTTATTCCGACCTCGTATAACTGTGTTCAGGATACGGGCATTTATGAGGGGGATACTGTAAGTTTTGCGTATATCACAAATTAAATTACTGGGAAAGGGCTAAATGATATTTTATAGGTTGGAATATGGGGTATGGGCCCAATCGGTCTGTTCGCCGCGAAATGGGCGTTTGTCAAAGGTGCCAAACGAGTCATCGCCATAGATTCCGTCGCCTGGCGTCTTGAATATGCCAAATCCAAGATACCGCAAATTGAAACCATTGACTTTTCAAAAGTTAAATCTGTACCCGAAGAAATCAACAAGATTGCGCCAGGAGGTCTTGACGTCGCTTTAGAGTGCGCGGCTGGAGAATATCCGAAATCAATTCTTCACAAAATCGAGACCGCAATTGGTTTAGAGACTGATTCTTCAGATACGTTGAATGAGATGATATTGAGCGTTCGACCTTATGGAAGAATTGGGATTACGGGATTGTACACCGGCTACACCAACCATCTAAACATCGGAGCTATTATGCAGACTGGTATTCGACTGATTGGTCCGTATCAATATATATTCTTACCATCATCTCAAAGCAGCCTGTGCTAATATAATATGAAAATTAGGAAACGGGCAAGCTCCAGTATTAAAATATTGGGAGGATATCCTCAATAACTACATCATCCCAGAGAAAATCGATCCCAATATCATGATTTCGCATAGAATCCCACTCGAAGAGATGGAAGATCTATATGCGAAGTTTGATAAACGGGACCCGAAGGATGGCCTGATGAAAGTTTTTGTTGCGACAAAATTTAGCAATCCTCCCGGCGAGGGTTCACCTCAGCTCTCAAGTTTAAAAGATTAGTGGGGGTGACAGACGGATGTCCGGAGCGGAATGCATGTGAGAATCAAAGCGCGAGCATGGACCGGGGTAATCGAAGCTCAAGAACCAGACTTCCCCGTGGTGTGATAAATTCATCGTCACTTGCATGATCTCGTACCAACAACCCTGTTGCCTGTATTTCAAATTATCGCTTTTTACCGAGGTCATGCACGCCGAATCGTCTTAATCATGCTGGCAAAATAGTCTTTTTAGCATAACTGTTTGTATTACGTATATGCATATATGACTTGCCCGTGCAGGATACCGAGATCGGAGATAAGACTAGTGGAGGATGTCGTGAGCCCTAGTATCGGTGCCCGTATTAAAATAGCCTACTTCCAGCCGCATATGCATATATGGTCGCAGTCGGCCCGCAGGCGCTTGTGACATGGCTCCGGTATAATCTACTAGCTACCAGCCACACACATCGCTCATTTGACAAGAATTCTTTGTCTTTAAAAAAACAACACACCGAATTGATACTTTCAAAAATACAACCTTCAAAACGCCTGTAAAACAGAATATTAGAATGCTGATATACAAACTTACAAGAACGCGATGTCATTCTATACCGCTAACCTGAAGCTTAATCGTGAATGCTTAGGACTTTATGAGTTCTCATGAACCTCATACAAGGCCTTAAAAGCCGAGCCAGGCTGCCTTAGCAAATCTCCCGGCCTTCCACTTTCCAAAACAACCCCCTTATCCAAAACCACAACTCTATCGTAGTCAACGATAGTATTTAATCTGTGAGCAACTGTAAGCACTGTCTTGCCCGCGAAATGATCTCTAAGTATCTTTTGCATCTTATTGTCTGTTTCGATATCCACACTGTATATCCTCATAGTTAGTGTATTTGTAGTTACGTTGTGGAGGGAGTCGGATTTTGAAAAGCGGTTCATACCTGCTCGTAAACTCGTCCAGAACCACGATATTACTCTTCTTCAACATCGCTCTTGCTAAACAAAATAGCTGTCTCTCACCATGGCTTAAGCTGCCTTCCGGATCAAACTCTGCGTTTAACCCACCTTCCCATCCCAAGACTTTCTCTTTCAACCCAACCCTATCTAGAACTTCCAACATATCTTCATCTTGCAAATTATCGCTATCTTCATCTGAAACAACTGCATACCCCAGGTTCTCCCGAACGGTTCCAGCGAGAAAAAAAGGTTCTTGTGATAATACGTTAAGCCTTCCGCGGAGGGTGTTGATGGGGACGTCGGTTACGTCGATACCGTCTATGGTAATGGAACCACCCTGGACTTCCAGCAGACGGAAGAGGGTGGCTACGAGTGACGACTTCCCACTGCCAGATCGGCCACAGAGGCCAACTTTGGTACCTGCTGATATGGTGAGGTTGATGCCTTTCAGGACGATTTCTGAGTCCGGCCTGGAAATTTAGTTGTTAGAATGTATGACGGAACCGTATGTTTCAACTAAGGGATCCGGGATAAGAACATACTTATGACTAGCCGAAAGATTGTCAAAAACAATGTTCCCTCTACTCGGCCATTCTGGCGTTGAAAGATCATATCCTGGATCATCTTCATGCGGTACCACCTTGCTAAAGTTTCTCATTCGGGCAATAGCGCCTAGCGAAGTCTCAAGGTTTGTATAAAATATAATACAAACTTTCAGCATTTCGCCAATACTCATCTAAAAGGAACATAATACTGGCATTAGTCATGAATCAAATTTTCAGTATAGATAAAGGCTTACCGTATTAAGTAAAGCGAGACCAATGTAACCCGGATTCAACGAATGTCTCAACTGTACCGCAATCAAAGCAATTGCGAAGGCAAGCATCGCAACAATCAGATCAAGCACAAGCGCCAACCATCGCTGTACCGTCGCTAAATAATAGTATGGCTTCTGAGATACCGAAAGGAGCTTTTCACTCTCGTCGTTGAAATCCTTCTCCCATGAAAATGCACGGATTGTGGCAATTCCAGATAAAGTCTCTTGGAAATGAGTGTAAAGCGGAGATTTAGCTTCAATATCCAAGAGACGCATTTGCCGGGATGTGCGGAGATAGAATCGCTGAAGGTAGTAGAATGATGCTGCAAGGAAAGGTAATGTCATTGCGATCCACGGGGTTGCGACCAGGGTAATTGCAATAAGCCCGATAACCAAGAGGGCACCTATTCAAAAATCTGTAAGCTTTTCGTGTAGACCCAGCAATATGGGTAATATTTCACATACTCTCAGTGCAGTTAATCATCGCCATAGGTAGTTCAGTATCGATAAGCACAAGATCCTGACTAAATCGATTTGTTGTAACGCCGACATCCGTAGCACTAAAATATGACATTTTGCCCCTAATTATTATCCACATGGTTAGTGTAAATCTATCTTTGAAAGAAAACTAGACTTTACTAACTTCATCATAGTTGCCAATTGCCATTTATGTAGATTCTCCGCCGAAATAGTCATCGGCCACCGGCCACAATGCCCGACCCAGATTGTCAACAGTGCCAAAAATGAAAACACAAGGAGCGTATAAATCCCCATATAAAACGGCGTCTTCTTGGTATCAGGGTCGCTACTCCATTTATTTAACCAGACAGCTAATAGATCTCGTTAGAATCAATGGAATAACCAAGGGAAGTTCAAGACAATATACTGTTGAAGGGACTTACTCAGTATATTCCAAACTCCGGATTCGATTATTAACAGCACTCCAAAAATAATACTGTGCTTTAACCCTATCGACTTGAAGTAGTGTTTATAGACCATAATATCCCCTGTCTTACGGGAGATATCATCTACACTAGCCTGTGTTCTCGCATTTTCGTCATCATGAGGGGTAACTTCGTGCGGAATTTCTTGATCATCATTAATTCCTGCGTGATGGGTGCCGCTCTTAGTACTTGAAGTCTCTGACTTAGTCGCATCTCGTAGGATTTCCATGAAGGTCGAGTCTGAAGAGAGGGATTCCCAAGTTCCTCGGGATTGAATGGATCCTTCTTTGGTCATGACTATAATCTGGTTTGCGGAAGGGAGGCGGTGGACTAAGCAGGTATTAGTTTTCATGTTAATAAGGTTAAACTCGGTTCGTGTATTGTTACCAGCATGAGTCGCCAAGATAATCGTATTCTTATTCTTCCTTAGTAGTCCATCAGGCCCGAGAAGTCTTGCAAAAATCCGTTCTTCAGTGACGGCGTCAAGCCCACTGAATATATCATCCAAAATCAGAATCGGCTTTCTGGAATAAACGGCTCTTGCTAGTGCCTATACTCCCAATTAGTTTTCATTCTCAATTGACCAACGTACCCCTAGATCCAAAAATCGCTAAGTTGTCGGAAGAGACTTACGATCCTCTGCTTTTGGCCCCCGGAAAGCGTAACACCCTTCGATCCAACCAATGTCTTATCCCCTTTATCATAAAGTTTTAAATCCTCGAGTAAGGCGCAGCATCTAACAACTTCTTTGTACCAATCGACATCAAATAATGACATCCCCACAATGTTGTCCCGGATGCTCTTGTTAACGAGCCAGGGTGTTTGGGCACAGTATGCAATAGAATCGAAGGGACCGTGTATATTTACAAATCCTTCGTGAACCGTCGTTTCTCCAAGAAGACTCTGGAGGAGTGTTGATTTGCCGCATCCAACACTGCATCCCGTTTATAAGTTTTTTTGTTAGTTGAATGTATTGAAGGCTTTAAGGGAAAGAAGTAGGGAAAAAACATACGGCCCAACGATGATAGTCATCTCTCCAGAGATGATATCTAAAGAAACATCATTAAGTATCTTCTCTTCCTGTGACCATCCAGTTGTCAATTGCGTAACCTCTATCAGGGGTTTTGCGCCATCCCTCGATAGTCTTCGAATCCGTTGCATTGGTATATCTTGGCCATCAGACTTTAGGCCTTCACTTTCATCTCCAAATCCATTACTATTCGAAGAAACTCTCGACCTTATCTCCCTCTGAAGTCTATTATCCGACTTGGTCTCCGCCATCAAAAACTCTTCGATCCTCATCAAACACCCAAAAGAATTCATCAACCCGGGGATAATCTGTATCACAATCTGCAACTTCTGAAGTGTAATATTCAAAATCGCTAGAGATGTGAAAAGAACATTCACATTAAGACCTTCTTGCGAGTTATCCCCTTTGCTTTTTTTAACGTAGAATATTATGGCGTAGAGAATGAAAGTAAACCATTTTGATCCTTCACTACCAAGGTTTGATAGAGCGACTCCGACGACGATGTTGAGTCTCCATTTCAATCCTGCCATGTTTTCGACGTGCCGGAGCTTTTCGATTTTCTTGGTAATGAGGGGCACTAAACCCATCATCTTGACGCCGCGCATGGACGCGATGACGGATGATGTGAAGTGTACTCGTTTCTGCGTTTCCTGGAGCCAAATCTTTTGTCGTTTCACAACGATAGTTGACATATAGCTGGCGAGGTAAGTGCAAAGACCGAGTATAAAAAGCGGTGCAAGAAATCTATGTATACTGTTATTAGACTTGCAGATCACTCAAAGAAATAAAATAAGGGCAGAAAGCCTACTTACGCCAAACCAACTTGGAAGTAAAGCAGCACCAGGGCAATTGGAATAATCGCAAAACTGGAGACGGCCTCATGAAGCCATTTAAACCCTAACATGGCCTTCTCAACATCCGTACTCATCAAGGCCACAGAAGCACCGGTGGAAGTTTGTCGTAAATCCAACGTTAAGGTCTTACGATAAATAGCACTGACAAGACAGCCACGGAGAACCGTTAACCACCTGTCAACCTCATGCCAATATATTGCACCAAATACACCGATTAAAATGTAAACAACTGCAAATGCAAGGAGTAGGAGATATCCAACTTCAGTCGGGTCGTCAGAGCGGACAAATGTGATCATTCTACTAATGAGGAAGGGTTGAGAGAAATTGAGTCCAACGAATAGGATGTTCGGGATAATTGGTGAGAGAAAGAGCCATATCAAGGCCCGGAAGCTAGACCGGGCGAGTTTGTATTTCCGCTTGGAATGGGAATAACTTTGCAGCCATGTTTGATAGAAATGATCCTTGACATCCGGAGCGTCGATACGGTCATCTAGATGCCATAAGTCTGAGAAACCCAGAATCTTGGAATAACCTGTACAAAATCACGCCATCGAATTAGTATATACACGTGCGTATGCGAATGAACTTCATTTTTGGGGTTTAGATAGCAAGGAAGATTAGTATAACTCACCAGTCCTCAACAAAGGTGTCAACCACCAAAACACACTCCGACTAAACAATCCACTCGTCTCCTCCGGCGGCTTCTCAGTATCTGGCGACCTCAAAAACACCCTCTTGTCTTTCGCCTCCAATAACAAAACCGATGCCTTTGAAGCAATAGAAGCCGTAAATAGAGCCGTCAAAAGATTATCAAAATTAATCTTAATAAAAGTCCTGGCCCTTATAATATCAAAAACTATCGAAATCGTCAAGGCAAGACTGAGTAGCGAGCTCGGTCGGATGTTTCTGACGTGCTCATGGCTCGAAACTATTCCTATGGCGAGAACTTCACAGAACGATACGACTGCCGCGGCTATAGACGTTTTGGTTAATACTGGGGCTCGGAAGGTCCAGACGATAGCTAATATGAGCTTTAAAATTGCTAAGATGGCTATATTCATCTAATCGAACTATCAGAAAACTTATCCGACAAAAATGGTATGGAATAAGGAACGGAGAAATACATACCAACTTCGACCCGGCAAACGACTTTTCGAAGACTCGCTTCGGTCGTCGGCGTAGTTGCCAAATTCTGAGAGGCGCCAAAAGGATCACCAAACCCGCAGGTACGAGATCAAACATACTTTCCTCAAACTGGAGAGTAAAATCTAGTCCCTGCCTGCAATGCAAGACTGTTGGGCCGAAGCCCAAGTCTTCCATGCATGTTGCGTTCGCCATTGGCGAATTAAAGCTAATGTAACTCGAAAGGCAAGATCAGTATCTTCTAAACAATACTCAAATCTGACTAAATCCGCAGGAGAATCGTCGCAAAAGATTGAAATGAGTGAAACTGCATGAAACGAATCAAGAAAATACAGATTGAAGGAATCGATCCAGTGAGACTTCCAATCATTTTATAAAGCTTAGCTAGAGCAAGCTTATTAACCCGCCAAGCCTGTTATATTAATTGCAAGAACGGCCACCCATAAATCAGTCGACTATGCAATCGATACTCGCAAAAATCTTATGATTGTCATAGCTTACGCGTTTGACCGAACACTCCCAAACAGTAGCAAATGTCCTCGAGGACTCAGGCGTGCCGATGCCTTGCCTCCAATTGCCATTACCAGGGACCCACAACTCCGGTTGGTGGGTCCCAAATTCGACGTTTTAGGAAGGTAAGAGCCGCACTTCGCCAAGTTAAGCTTGATTTTATCAAGCTAGAGCGGGGTTTTTCTGGTTAATCAAGGACCAGTTTCTCGTAACAAAACGTTACATACCATGAAGGGGGCGCCTTGGAGTATACCGGGCCCGCGGCCTTGCGTCTGGGATGGTATCGGTAACGTAATGGCATTGCCTGGCCTGATAAGTATACAATGGTAAACTTTGAGCTTACATACCCCCGGTCATATTGCGATCGTGAAAGAGGTTGACTCATGATAAAGCTATTATCCCGATTTCGCGATAAGTTTGTTTCATCTCACGAGATTCGAAGGTTATACCTTGAATAATTCGACCGAATTAGCAAGAAACTCAAGTATACGTATATTAGCGCTATCTGGCTTCATAGCAGTCGATTGAGAAATGTAAATACCCGGAGCCGCGCAAACCTTATAACCTTGAACTCCTATCAATTCGATTGAATCCTCAAGGATTTAATTGGGAATATCTACCTACCTAATTGATATATTTTCTTAAACCCCGCGAACCTTCCAGCAGTTCGAAATGCGTGTCCGATTCGTATTCAAATTGCTTAACTGTACCCACCCCTAGTGCTAGTTACGTAAGTTAACTTGCATCAATCTCGACTTCATAAATATACCAATCCTTCAACTAATCCGGTCGACACTGTACGTTGTATTTCCGCGTGATTGGAGACTTCAACTCTTGATTTTGAAGGTATGGACCCAATAGTACACTGTCTAGAGATCGATTATATAGTCCTACATAAAGGAATTTACACATGCTACTTCTACAATTACAAGGCACCAAGCTCCTTCAACTTGGAAATTAGCCCATCCACATCTTCGACCTTCCCACCTCCCTGCCTCGGTGGTGGTTCTATACACTAAGTCAGTATAATTCTCCTCCAAACTAAATATAGAACATAATGGGAAAAGAACCAAAAAATAAAGAATAAAACTCACCAGAAACCTTCAGGTTCTTCAACCTATTGACTGCCCTGAACTCAAAATCCTCCAACTTCTTCTTCTCTAGCTTCTTCTTCTTCGCCTTCATAATATTCGGCAAACTGGCGTACCGAGGTTCATTAAGTCTCAAATCGGTCGTAACCACCATTGGTAACTTGCCCCTCACAACTTCAGTGCCTCCATCAACTTCCTTCGTAACCTTCAGATACTCCCCATCAAGCACAACCTCACTAGCACCACAAGCCTGTCCCCACCCCAATAACCCAGCCAACATCTGACCGGTCTGCGAAGAATCGTCATCAATACTCTGTTTCCCCAAGATGACCAAATTCCTCCCTTCCTTCTCCACAACCTCCTTCAGGACCTTAGCAACCTGTAGAGGTTCTAGCATCTCATCCTTCTCGGGGACTTCGACGTGAATACTTCGATCACAACCCATAGCCATAGCAGTTCTCAAAGTATCCGCAGCCTTTGGTGGACCAATTGATATCGCTAGGATATCTTCCACAGTCTTATTTGTGTGTTTCTCTCGTAGACGGACGGATTCTTCGACGCTGAGTTCGTCGAAGGGGTTCATCGAGTGTTTTACACCGGCGATTTCGACGGCTGTTTGTGCTTTGTTCACACGGGGTTTTACGGCGTAGTCGATTACCCTTCATTTTGTATGGGGTTAGCAATTTTGGTTATTTTTTGAGAAGCCGAGGATCGGGGTTTGGTAGTGGGGGGGAGAGAGAAGGTGAGGAATACCGTTTAACGGGGACGAGGATTCTAAGGGTCGACATGATTAGGTATATTCGAGTCCGGACTGGCCGTTACCCCGTCTAGCTAAACGGAGGGTTCGTAGATGGAGAGGAGCTGAGGTCGCGGGGTGGTATTAGGGGAAGAGGAAGAGAGAGAGAGAGAGCTTGCGACAGAAATGAGCCGAAGCAGGGCAGAGCAGAGTTTGAAGAAATGTGTTGCGCTGAGGTTACCGTCGGCTCCGATCTGGCAACTGGAGCAACAGTTCCCAACACAAACGAGGCTTTGGGTTGGTAACCTCGCCGGCTTGTGATAATCTGTAAATCTCGAGCGTCCCTCGAGACTATCTGTAGATCTGAGGCTCGAGACTACGGTTCTTACATGCAACTATTATAATACGCAGTTACTTACTTACCCTTTAAAAGCTATAAAGTAAATTCAAAGTTTCGAACAAAAGCTGTATATCTATAGAAATGCAGTTGCTGTAATGGAGTTTGTACATGTGCTTAAGCTAAGTTCATATAAGCTGCAGCCCGCATATGTTCTGCACCTGGCTGTAGACGCCTTGTTCAAGACAAAATATCCCAAACTATCCCGAAACCAATCTGACTAGTCCAAAGACTTAAGTAAGCGGTTATGTAAACTAGTACTGATTAACTTCGAATTAAAAATATTCAATGTGCATATCCAAACCACCAAGAGCTAAGAGCCAAGTACATGGCATGATCCCATCCGACTTGACCTGACCTGACCTGATCTGACCTGGCCTGTCATATTGCAACCCGAATTCCGAATCCGAATCCGTCAAACCATGGCCACATCTCCCCGGCCCCACCTCTCTCACGTTTTTTTTTTTTTGTTAGTAGCAAAATAATCCACCACTAGCTCCAAAGCCCTCGCAGACCGCGGACGTATGCGTGGATGTATTGTCTGTCTGTCTGTATGTACCCTACCCCGCTATCAAAAGCAACTTAAAGGTAAAAACAACCAAAACCAACAGCCAAACCAAAAAGAAAACGAAAGGAAGAAAGGGGACTGTTAGTAGAACTCTGTCCCTTTTAATTCTCACATAAGACTCTTAGTCCCTTTCTTGTCCTTACTCATCTTTTCCCCCGCCTTCTTCAACGTAAGCTCTTAAGCTCTCCAAGGGCCAAGTATACATCCTTACTGACTAAGATATAAGTATATCTTGAAAGTATATATTATATAATCAAGCCCCGGCACCCACTTACCTGCTTATCCTCCTCCTTCTTCGCAAACAACAGCTGTCTGTCGAAAAAAAAAAAAAAGAACCGTCCTCATCGATTCTTGGAAATCTAAAAACTCAGCCCCGAAAAGAAAACCCACAGCCCTACGAAGAATACACAATCCCAAAGTTAATACCGCCCTCTTCTCACCCCGCACCCAACCACCAGCGGCCCGCAGTTCTCGTTCAGCGATACCCGCACAGTAGCTTATTTACTTGACTAAAAGTATATATATCCAAGCAAATATATAAAATAACGGGAATAATGGTATTTAAAAAAAGACTCCGATGCCCGATTTTCCGTGGTACCTTGCTGCCCCCGCGCGAGAGCCTGGTCAGGCTGCAGAAGTTTGGCCGGCTTGCATAATCCACATTCTTTCCTCGTGTGTACAATTTTAACTTACCATTGTTCTTTCATTACGAAAAAAAATAGACCCATCTACTCAGCAGGGAAGAGGTTCAGACCTTCCAAGATGCTTTCAAGATCTTTGTAAGTTCTTCTTTTCCCCTCTGTATACTTTCATATTTGTTCTACTCGAACTAATAAAGCTCGTTGTTTTCGCAAAAATAGGACAAAGATGGCAATGGTACTTTTGACTCCTTATCCTTCTTCACTCCCCCCTCTCCCTATCAACCCAGCTCGCCCCTCCATCTCATCCCCCGCCACAATGACCTAGTTTTCACAAAATACCACAAAAACAACACCAATTCTCCCATCCCCGCTTTTTCGCCGTCCCTATCTACTACGGGCACGAGAAAATATATAATTATTTCCCTTTAACATGAAAATTTAACTGAGCTTATCACACAAACAGGTGAAATCAGCATCGACGAACTCGGCGCCGTCATGAACTCTCTGGGCCAACAACCCACCGAATCCGAACTCCGCGACATAATCCACGAAGTCGATTTGGATAACACCGGTACCATCGATTTCCAAGGTACTCCCCCTCTTCAGCCCCCCCCTCTTCAGCCCCATCCCTAGTGTAATAAATGAAAATAATCTAACCAAAGAAAAATAAAAACACAGAATTCCTAGCCCTAATGGCCCCACGCGACCAACAATACCGTGATATCGACCGCGAACTCCGCGACGCCTTCAACGTCTTCGATAAGGACAAGACGGGAACTATCGATGCCACCGAACTCCGATTGGTCATGAAGGCTTTGGGAGAGAATCTAACTGATGAACAGATTGAGGAGATGATTAAGGAGGCTGATAAGGATGGAAATGGAACTATTGATTTTGAGGAGTTTAAGGCTATTATGCAGCTGTAGTCCTTCTTCTTTTACTCTTTCTTTCTTCTCTCTTTCTATTTTTTTTAAGGAGGAGATGGGGAAGGATTGAAGTTTGAGGAATTAAAGGGCGGTCATGTTGTGGAAGTGAGGTTGCACACTTGCACTCCTGCAGGTTGCACACGGACGCTGGTTCTTTTTTTTATACTATAATCCTATTTTCAGTTGGCGGGTTTTACAACTTCGATCACATTCAGCGGGAATATTCTACTCTTTTTTTTCTTTTCTAGTTATCCTTTTTTTTGTTTTTCTTTTCTTTCTTAAACAGAGTTTTGTAGGCTTCTTCTATTTTTTTTTCTTTCGGTTGTTGTTTATATACACATTGACGAAGATATTCGAATATGATTCTAAGCTTGACGGTTTGAATGAAGAAAATATAGATCCCCTAGCCTAAGAGGCTCTGCGATACGCGACTACGAGAGGCGAGAGGTTATATAGATTTCAAATTATATGTCATTTGTTATATTATCATCTATCTGGCATGCTATACAAAATTTCACTGCTCCACCCCCTCCCCGCACTTCCCTCCCGATCTCGCCGTTAATAGAAAAACCACAATCTCGATCTCAGTACAAGGTAATCCACCTAATATACACAATCTTAAGGAAAAGTAAAAGTTAAAGAAGAAAAAAAGGTTGAGAAGGAAAATGGAATAAAGTTAAAGTAAAAAAAAAGGTGAGCTTTTGTATATCCGTGAAGAAAGCCCCCCTTCCATCTAACGAAAACCGATGAGCCTGTCGCATATTAGTAGTATTAATAGCAAGTAAGTAGTAGTAAAACACAAATGTTTCAAGAAAGAAGTGGAGGTGGAAGAAGAAAAAAGAGGTTCCAATCACAGTCGCTCACCCATACTTCCCCGAGATTTTCGAACCAATTTACCGTCTATCCCTTGGACTTCTGTCTCTGAATGGGCCTCTTCTATCCCCTCGGCCTCCATCGCGAACCCAATCTCTTCGCTCAAACTCCCTATCTCTCTCACGGTCCTTATTAGTCCAACTATCCCCTCCACCTCTTCTTCCGCCTCTTCCACCCCTTCCAGCACCTCCAAATCCACCTCTCCAAGAATCTGAATTTCCGGGGCCGGGACCGGCATCGCCGCCGCCGCCGCCGCCGCCACGTCCACCAACTCTCCTTCCACGAACCTCTCCTTCAACAGGTCCCCTCGCAATTCTCTCTTTAACAGTAGCTGCATCAACAGGCTTAAAATAAACCTTCGGCTTAGTCTTCGTACTCGAGAACAACTCATCAAGGCCAACAACACGGGCACCTTGGGGGACAGAATTAGCACCAGTGATAAGGTTGTTTCCAGCCGGTCCATTATTTGAAAAGCTTGATCGTCCTCGAGGTCCAGCTGGCGCATCGATTGGTGGAGCACCGCTTCCAAGTCTATTACCGCCGCTAGCACCACCAATACTGCCTCTTCCACCATTTCCACCATTTCCACTAGAAAATTCCTCATGAACAGCTTCGACACCGTCTTCACCGTCGCCGTAAGTGATCACAAATCTAACACCGCGGTTCTCTTTCTCTCGAGCGACCCAGGCGTCGACTTTGTCTTCTGGGACGTAATCCGCGAACAATACTCTCCTATTCCTTTCGTTGGGGAAGATCTTCCCATGCATTCCGTTCCTGGCTCTTGAGCATGCCTGTACGGTTGAGAAAACGGCGAAGCAGTGTGTCTTAATTCCATCCAAATAGATCGATTCCAATGTTGAAGGGTCCGCGTTGCTGGGGTCTGTAGATTTGCTAGCCAGTTGGATAAGGTGTGTTTTAAGCTGTGACTCCTGGAGTGGGCGGACGAGTTCGCGGATATAAAGCCCACGCGTCGCTGGGTGAATCGATGGAGAAGTCTCTTCTTCGTCTTCAGAACGCGGTGGAGTGGCGGCACCAGTATTGCCTTGATTTGCAGCTGAAGCTTCTTCCTTGTTGAAGAGAGATTTGAATCTAGCATCCTTGGTACTAGCTACAATCGATGGTCGTTGTCTGCTTTGTGACGGTGATTCTGTACGAGACCTCGACCTTGATCTAGTTCTCGATCTTGATCTATCCCTTGGTGACTTTCGGCCTCGTTCTGGAGAGGCGGTGCTGATAATGGGAGCATCAGCCATAGCAACTTCATCTTTTCCAATCACCTCCTCGTGGATTCGTGCCTTCTTTGCTTCAACTTCGTCAACACGGACTGACGGTGATCTGGAGCGTTTTCGTCGGTTTGATAGGTCTGCTTCGATGGATTGAACGGCTTCAGGGGGTTGTAATGGTGTGGGAGCAGATGTGATGGGTTCAAGGACGTTCTCTGGTTGCTTTGGTTCCTCTTGTGCTGGGATGGGTGTCGCGGCAGCTGTTTCAACGGTAGGTGCGTGTGTCAATATTGTCGACTTAGCTGGCTTTTGATCTGCCTCCTCGATCTCCATTTTGTCTTCAGCCGCGGCTTCGGGCTGCTTGGTTTCTTCTATTGTTGTCATCTCAACGTCTTCCAGACTGTTGGCGGTCGACTTATCGGCCAACAATGTAGAATCGAAGGCTGTGGTTTGTTCGGTAGAACCAGAAGTATTGGGATCCTGTTTATTTTCCTTCGCCGGTTTAGTATCTTCTTCCATCTTCTCTGGTTCTTCTACTTTCTCTGGCTCTTCAGGTGTATCATCCTCCTTTGTAACTTGCTCTGTAACTTCCTCTGCAGGTTCCTCCTCACCAGCCTCTTGCGGCGCGTCAGCGGGAGCTTCATCCTGCTCGTCTGTTTTCTCCTCTACGGTTTCTTCTTCTAGCTTCTCTTCTACAACTACAGGCCCAGCCTGCTCTTCCTCACCGTCGGCTCCAATCGCCTCTTCTTCCTCCTCTTCAGCTTCTTCCTCTTCCTCTTCCTCTTCTTCTTCTTCCTCTTCTTCTTCTTCAGGCTCGGCAGCTTCAGCGTTCTCTCTTTCAATAGCCTCTGTAAGTCTCTCCACCAAATCCTTCTTCAATCCACCAACAGCCAAACCGCGTTTCTTAAGCTCCGCCTTCAATTCCGTGACCTTGAGAGTCGACGGATCCATGATGTCTTTTTAAAGAAGGAGAACAAGAAGCTGATATTGATCTTTCGCGACGAAGAATTCTAGTTTGGTTAGAGAGAGGTAGTGATGAGATTTCTTTTTTGTTTTTCGCGTTGTTGATGATGTGACGTAGATTGTGGATATGTTTGTCCGAAAGGAAGGCAGGCCTGCAGAACTTTTTGGTTATATTCGGCAAGGGGGGGAAAAGAGCGAGCGAAAAGGGTGAAATGTTTGAATGTCGTGTGTGGGTGTGTGGGTGTGTGGGTCTTGAAGTTGAGGTTCGGAAAACGCCACAGAAATGTTCGTTGCTGTTTGGTTGTTGTTTTTTTGATCGTATTCCAGACGAAGAATAGCAAGTCAGGGCAATTGTGGATTATCTACATCTGTATACAGTGTAGAAGAAAGTCGGAATGATTGCGATGAAAGGTTTAGGTTCGTCAGTTGGTTGGTTGGTTGGTTTGAGGTTGGTTGATGGCGATGGATGTTAGGTTGTCGGAATGCGAGTGAGTGAGTGAAGATGGATGTTGAAGAAAGGGAAAAAGAGAATTGAAAGGTTGTTGACAGGAAAAGGAAACCGTTCGCGTTTTTTTTTTTTTTTTGGTTTGCTGCAGATGTCCGTTGGAACAAAGAAAAAAAACAGCCACAATTGACGCCACAATCAACACATAAATACGGAGGTCCTGAATGGCGGATGTTCTTGTGTTGGTGAGGCGCAGGAATGCGTTGCCAAGCCTTGGACTTCTTGTGTTGGACGGCAACAGAGCCGCATCCGTGTTGACAAGTTATGACGTCAACCGGATTGGAATATGTATCGATATCGAGAGGTGTTCACTCGAACCTTTCCTCGGATAGGTAACACATACGGACACTTGACAGACAGACAAACATCCAATGCAGTGACGTTATGGACCGCTAACAGCTACACTATGTTCATTTAGATAGATGTTACTCAATAGCTTCTACGAAAGCAGCTAAAGTAACTTCAATCAAATAACGATTATAGTTACACTTATTGCATTCTTGACTAAATCTATCTAACTAAACCATGTAGACATAAAACCTGATTGACCAAGTTAAAGCCGCATCTAACCTGCCCAATCTATCGAAAACCATCCTTAACTAAACCAAGGTCGTAACAAAATAATCCAACAAAAGCCGACGCGTTGCTGTCAGAAAGAATAACATCAAAGTGACATCATAACCCCCTACTTACCCAAAACACTTTGATATGATATCATCCACAGCATATTTATTATATAACAACAAGTAGAATATAAATACCACAAACCCTTTCAATACCTCGACATCTTCTCTTCTACAATCTAAACATCATCGCCAGAATTACAATTAATCAATCAATTCAATCAATACAATCGACCAAGTCTAAATTGACTCTTCCAAATACCCGTTGTAATTAATATCAATACGGAAATCAAATACTTCACAATGTCCGCCATCATCCGTCGTACACTCATCACCCGTCTCCCAACCTCCACAATCACAAGACCCCTCTCCACCTCCATTATCCGTCAAAAGACAGTAACAGAGACTGTTAAGGTATTCTTTTCTCCCAATCTCAGCTCCTTCGATATAAGTGGCTATACTAAACACCAAATGAATGCCAGGACACAATCGACTCTGTCGACAAAAAGAGCGGGAAAATCCTGGCAGCAGGCATCGAGGGAGCCGAAAACGCCACTCACACCGTCAAAGAGAAAGTCAGCGATGTAGTCGGCGCAGCACGAAAAAACACACCAACAGCCGAAGAAGCTAAGGGTGCTGTTAAGGGCAAAGCCAGCGAAGCTCAGGGGAAAGCAAGTGAAGTTGCTGGTGAAGCGAAGGGAAAGGCTAATGAGATCAGTACGTCTATCTATCCATAATCTTCCTTCCCCTTTTTTTATAGTAGGCTTTGTGATGTTTGAGGTTCGAAAATGTTATGTTCATGATGATATATAATCTGAAATAACGTTGACAAACACGACATCGACCGGGTGCGTTTAGATCGGAAGAAACTAATGCTGGATGGTGATTATTAAAAAATGTATAGGTGGAAAAGCAAAAGGAGCATTTGAGGAGGCGAAGGGGAAGGTCAATGCCACTGAATACTAAAAGTTTTTGTCCTTTCGGTTATGTATAACGATATTTGAAGGCCGAGAAGATATGAGATGAAATTGAACACCTGGTAACACCTGGTACCGTTATCGGAAGAGAAGGGAAACTATAATGTTTATTAAACGGAATGGAACGGAATGACTTGTACATTCACTGGGTTTTTTCATCCTTCATTATTTCTATAAAGAAAATAGAAGAAATGAATAAATTATAATCATCTCTCAAACCGAGTCTCACTAACATAATCCTTCGCCGGGCCCTTAACATCATACCTCAGCATCCACCTCCTAAGCTCCCCGTTCCCTATCTCAAATTCATATCTTGCAGAATAATTGTCTTTAATACAAAGATGATCTCCTATCGCCTTCCACTTCCCATCTGCACTCACCCCCTCACCTCCTCCTTGATCTCCAAACACTAATTCATGGAATAAATAATCAATCTCCACGTTATTAGCATTACTACCACCAATTGCGTTGTTTCCGGTTTCGCTGTTGTCTTTTTTTCGATTTTCGTCGTCGCCACGTGATTCCTTGACAAACCAAGCTGAGAGTTTATCGTCGGTTGGGGAGTAGGTGTAGATGTATTTTTTATTGGCACGCAGAGTAAGGCCGTTGGTGGTTATCAGTTCTCCGGTTTCGGTGTATAGCAGGGTTTGTTTTTGATCAGAAGAAGAGGAAGAGGAGGAAGAGGAGATGGGAGTGAAGGTGGCAGATCCGGTGAATGTACCGGACGGAAAGGATGGGATTGCAGATGTGAGAGTTCGATGAAGAGTCCAAGTGCCACTCAAGCATTTGAAGATCGTGGAAGCGGCTGTGGTGGCTGCCATTTCTTTTGATAGTTCCTACTTTGGTTATAATAGAAATATCTATTGGTCTTTGAATTTGAATTCGAATTGTCAGTTATGAATTGAATGCATGTTCGGGTTTGGCAGGTTTGAATTCAAATGCATGGTTTGTTCAGCCATGGAACCCGCAGGTGTGGAACTGGCGAATGGGATGCATACGAGGGCTACCATATCCTGCAGCGGATAGGACACCACCTTGCTCTCTATTCCCTCACACGATCATCTGCACTAAACAGACAATTCAGAATAGAGAAATAACAACAGTCAAAGAAGCTTCCTTCTATCTATCAATTCAAAAATTTAAAACTAGAATCAACTTCGGATTAAAATATCACCATGATCTCGTTCGCCCCATACGCTCGTAAATACGAGGATTACCGTTTTAAACTGGAAATTTAGCGAAACCCCACATCCCAGTTGCAAGTCTTACAAAACCCTGTTATTGTTATTCCCGTTCTTTAACTAATAGAACTAGCGAGATCGCGACAGATCCTTGCCACCGGCACCACTCTTTGCAGATCTACTCGCAAGCAATTGGCTGGATAAGCTAAGCTAAGTCGCAGTTCTCAAGTGGATATTTTCCTTCGAGGCGACACAAAATTAACATGCGACAATTAAACTCGATGGATGGATGGAAGGGAGGGATGGAGACGGGAAACACCGTTCGCCCCTTCTGCCGCACTTAAACACCACTAGCTGGTCCACCTGTGGGGTCTGGAATCCACAAACCTACATGATACATAAATCCAGATCCTTATAAACAAATAACTAGTGGATCAGCCGGTTTATCTTTCGTTTTCTCTTCAGCTTCGATCGTATCATTCGTTGGCAACTGTTGCCAATTTTTTATTCTTGCTCCCTGGCTTGCATTCAGCCATGCAGGCTGCGGGCGCAGGTAACAGCACACCCACGTTTTAATACAGTTTGTTATAGCGGCCGCGGGTGGGTTTTCGTGAATGCTAACCTGAGAAACTGGGTTTTTTACTGTTTCTGTCGGAACTGGTTCAGCCGTACGAAGCAGTTTAAATATTATTAGGTAAAGAATAAATATTAATAAAAGCGGGACAATGTCCTTGGTGGTTCTCTCTTTGCTCTCCTTTCTCTCTTTCCGTTCTGATTCATGTCGCCTTCCCCGCCACTGAATAAACGGTTTATAGATCTCTAGATCTATCTACTATATACCTATTTTACTATCTATTGGCTATCGGTCGACATAAATTTACTTAATTACGTTCTACAATACAGTTTTGTCTAATAAAATAAATAATAAAAAATGGCCGAAGCCATCGGTCTCGCCAGCGGTATCCTGGCACTCGCCTCCGCCGCCATCAAAACCACCAAAGCAGTCGTCGAAATCATCAACGGCATCAAAGACGCCCCGTCGCACATATCCGACCTCCAACATGACGTCCAATCCCTCCGTAGCATCCTCCTCCGTCTCGAAACTGCCGAAAAGCAAAGACTAGCATCTTCTTCTCTTAATGATAACAAGAAACTTAATAGTAGTGGTAATAATAGTAAAAACAACAGTAAAACCAGTTTATCGGCTGCAACTGCAGGTGCGCATGCGGGGGAAGATGAATACGATACGATAAGAGATCAGTTGAAGCATTGTAAGACGGTGTTGAAGGGGGTGGAGGATGAATTGATGCCGATAATGGCGCAGATGAAGGGAGGGAAGAAACAGGTTGTTTGGGCGTCGATATGTGTGGCGTTTACGGAGAAGTCGATTAAAGAGCATTCTTCGAGGTTGTATAAGGCCAAGACGGAGTTGTTGGTTACGATGGTTATTGATATTAGATTGTTAGTATCTTCTATTAACCTATTGAAACTTCAGAAGATACTTCATGATTTTGAAAGGGGTGTGAGGCTAACTGATAGAAATATATATTAGTGCTGTACTGGCCTCGACGAATAAACAACAGCCCCAAACTTCCAATCCCATGGTTCAAGCCGATGACCCTCCACCAGAATACTCCGGCCCAGATCCAAAGATAAAACGTCGAGACAGTAATTTACTCAAAGATACCCTCCGCAGTAACTCCGTCATCAACCGTTTTAAATCATCCGGTAGCAAAACAGCTGCAAAAGATGAAACATCAGCACAAGATGAAACTTCAAAGCTACCAACTTTCTCACAGGTCATCAGCTCTACGATGGATAATATGAGTAAATCAGTTGCGAATGAAACGAAGGGAGATTATAGTATTTCGACGTTTAAGATGCTGTGGAAGGATGATTTGGAGAGGATACAGTCGTTGTGGAGTTTGGAGAAAGAGACTGTGCAGCATTTGAAGAGTACGTTCTCAACCCTTTTTTAATAATCTGATATGGCTATGGAGGATGTCTAACTGACTGATGATAGGAACGATTAATGATCATATGTGCGAGAGTATGCCGTAACTTCTTAACTCCTTATTTAGTAATTTCAGGGGATAAATATTGATATACTTCTATAGTCTTCACCTCATCTTTATCCGCCAACATAACCACCATGAACGACATCAAAGACGCCGCAGAAGGAACCCTCACCTGGATCGATTCAACAGACGATTACACTCAATGGCAAAGTCCCTCGGACCACAAAGTCCTCCTCCTAGAAGGAAAAGCCGGCTCCGGTAAAAGCGTCTTTACCAAGACCCTCTGTCGAACCGTTACACAAAACTCCTCTGCTCCTGAAAAGGAAACTCCAGTATTGCTCTCATACTTCTGCAACAAGAGAGTTAGAGCACAAGAATCCTGCATTGAAATCCTAAAGGCCTTTGTCTGTCAATACTTCAAAGGGAACAAAGGCGATTTTACAACGGTATATAAGCAATGTAAATCCCTTTGCGATCAGTGGGATCCCGCTCAGCCCGCTCAGTTCAAATTTGGCGTTACAAATCTTTTGGATATTTTCACAACGATTCTACAAGTCTCCAAAAACCCGGTTTATGGTGCTGTAGATGCGATGGATGAATGCCATTCCGATAGAGATATGGAAGAGTTCATGACGCACCTTCCAAGTCTTCTAAAATCGAATACAAACTTCAGACTTTTCATGAGTTCGAGACCGGACTGGATCGCAGATAACGACCTTTCAGAATTCAACCCTCTAAAGATCATTCTCCACCCGGGTATTACCGAAAAGGATATATCCCAAGTAATCGAACTCGAGCTCTGCAGACTGCAGACAAAACTCACTATCGACGAAAAAGACAAATTGGCATTGAAGAGGAAGCTCACGAATAAAGCAGAAGGAATGATGTTATGGGTAGTTCTCGCTTTCCGTCGTATTCAAGACCATATCAAGCGAATGCTGTCACCTACCTTAAAATGGTTGGAGAAAATGGTAGAAAAGCTTCCTCGCGAGATATTCGGGATGTACGACCACATTATGGCCACCATTCGAGAGAAATATGGAAAGACACCCCATTCACCCGGAGAAGTTGATTCATCATCCGAAGAAGAAGAGGACGAGGAAAGTTCGAATCTTGCAATATACGGAAAACTAGTCCTCTGGGTCGCAAGATCCGGTCGTCCACTCACAGTCAAAGAACTGCAATTCGCTTTGGCGTTGGATATGAAGGATAAATGTCTCGGCGACATGAAAAAGAAGATAAACTGTGATATCGAACGAGTGATCGGAAGAATCCCGTTTTTGGAAATAATATCCGCAGAAAGGTTCGCTGAATCGCCTGAAGATGATCAAGAATCTCGGTGGGGCTTCTTTATACCAAGACAAGCCAGCACACCTTCTTGCACAGTACGATTCATCCACCAATCCGCCAGAGAATATATCCTCAGAAGCGCCGACAACCCTCCGACCGAAAAGACTCCAGACGACGGTACCCGCTTCGCATACCCAAAACTCGACGACGCCTGCATCGGTAACCTCTGCGTAAACTTCCTCAGCTTCCGAGATTTTGACACCGGTCCACTCCACCAATTCGACGAAGGAATAAATTTCAAAGAAGGGTTTAAAAAATTCTTAGAAGACTGCGGTTTCCTAGAATACTGTGCTTCATACTGGGGGTACCATCTAAACCGTGCTTCAAACTTAGACGACGCTACAAAGGCTCATGTAGCAGATTGGATTTCAAATCGAAAGAATAATATGAGATTATACTTCCAAGTCGTCAACTACACGGCCTTTGGTCGATGGGGTGATTACGTCGACGGTGAGTTTGGAATCATTGCCGCTGCAGGATTGGGCATCGGATGGCTAGTGGATTACATGATCCAAAAAGGCCACAACCTCGATCAACGCGACGAATGGGGCAGAACAGGGTATCAGCTAGCAGACGGACGAGGATTCGCAGAATGTGCACAAAAGCTGGAGGATGCCGGAGCTTACACCGGTCAAGAGTTTTTGATAAACTTCCCTATGGTAAGGATGTGCTGGGATACCGTGACAAATCTCAAAAATGCACTTGAAGAGAGCGGTGCAGACGATAGTATGGAAGCAAAAGACGAATTTGGAAGAACAGATGTCTTTTATGCTTGTTCTAGAGGAGATGCGGAGTTGTTAAGTGCGGTGTTGGAGAAGAATCCGGATTTGGGGGTTAAAGATCCATACGGACGGTTACCGATTGATGTGACAATAGACCTTGAATGTCGAGAGCTTATGCTCGCAAAGATGAAGAAGGATGGGATGAAGGTTACTCCGGCGATGGCAAAGAAGGTGACTTGTTTGCATGATACTTTTTCGTATCAGGTGCCTTACTTCCTACAGACAGTTTATTGTAATTGTTGTGGAAGGGCGTTGAGGACGTTTTATTTCCGTAAGTCTCTTTTCTCGTCGTTCATTCCCTCTATGCTTTCTTAATACAAGAACTAACGTCGTGTTGCATTTTGCATATAGACTGCTGCGGCTGCTCAACCGAAAACGAAGGTTTCAACATCTGTAGCCAATGTCACGAGAACGGGAAACGATGTCTTGATTCAGCGAACCATAAGCTTCTTGGGCGAGTTACAGCTGATTGGTTGGTTTCATGGCTGGATTATACACCGCATATGGAGAATGCCAAGGTCGAATCACCAATAAAGTGGAGTTTGGATGGTATTCAGGGTTATCACGATCAAGACGACAGTGACGAAGAAGAGGATGAAGACGGATCAAATGCACAAGAAGAGGAGATTACACCGGTAAGAACGGTAGGGACGGAATCGGTGGTTTATCAAGAGAAGGATAAGTCGAAAGGGGCTGTGGTGAGGATTCAGCCTGTCGAGGAGGCTGAGAAGGGCGCTGGGTGCTGTAAGTGCGTTGTTCAGTAGTATAATATACTACCAACTGGCTCATGGTGGATATCCCGACATGCACCTCCAGGGCTGCACTTTTGGTAGCCGTTCGCCAGCATAGCCATACGGGAGAATACGGACTTCAATGATGTCTACACGTATTTGACTCCCTCAGCAATTACTATATATTCAGGCGATCATGTATTCATTATATTGTGACTAGAATTAACCCGTAAGCGGCATATGCTTAATAAATGTATAAAGGATTACTAGTAGAAGTGAAATAACACTGTATACATGCGCGCCTTTGAATCTTATACATAGTATATACTAGACTTTACCCACTGATATACATGCGAGTAGCTTCCTAGACAATACAATATCTATGCTACAGCTTGAAAACGTCGAGTGAACGAAACTATCTCGTCAAACACACATTTGAACGTAGGCTATGTATTAACTATACTATGTAAGCTACGTTGGCTGCGCGAGCCTGCGCGAAGGGTACACAAGTGCAAATCTTCCACTTAAACTTCCCATGTTGATCATGCCTCCAGTCAGGTGGAGCTCTCTGTTTTTTCGCGTTTGTGATTCTGGCGACGAACCAATGCAACTATGACAGCCTTGTATGTGTTGGGGCCCATATACTAGCGGTGGACTATGTAAACAACGAACGAGTACGCACGAGTAAAGCTGCCAGACTTGGTCTTATTGTGGTCAAAGCCCTTTCAAAGGCCTTGCCATATCAGCATCAGCTATTATATCTCCGGATATCTCCGGATACCCCCGCCCGGCAGTTGGCCACAAGCTCGGGGCGAATTATCGAACACCTTTCGGGCCAAAAGATAGCCCGCTCTCAAGACCTCTTCCTTTTTCCCTTCCCTCTTTCCCTCCGGGTTTCCTCGTTTCTTATAGGCCAATATTATTTGTGATAACGCTGTTTTTATTCCGGTCCTCAGCAGCGGGACCTGAGCCGCTTCGCGCTTCGCGTCGTGAAGTTTATAGATATTTACAAGCAATAAACCAACTAAGCTATCGGACGAGATCTAGAGACTACCGTTGCAGGTACTTTGTCCAAGGTTAAACTTGAAGCAAGCTTGACATACTTAGTAGGTATCTATTAAAGGTCTACAAACTAGTACCCCCCCAATACACACTCGAATATTCTGGTGAACATAGCTGGTCAGCTGATCAGGCGTTGGTCCTGTTAAATTTAAACTCTGTGGACTAAAAATTTGAAGATGCCACTTACCCCAGAAGCTACAATCGGGCTTGTGGCCCTGGTTCTTGGGCTTCCACTGCTTTTCATTGGGTTATACCAGCTTTTGTTGCAATTGAAAGCATTAAGGTACCGAAGAAGGGTCGATATTGAAGGTGGGGTCAATATTCCTCAATTCTGAGCAAACGTTTAAAACCTAGTGCCCCCGGTGATACATATAAACAAACCTATTCACTGCCCGGGATGTAAACTTACAGGCCAATGCTAATATAAGCACCTGATTCTCTTTCGGCTTTATAGCGGGACGCCGACCTAGCAACTCGCCTGTCCATTTAGAAGCTGTGCATCACGTGCACGCACACCCCGGCCCCTGCCCGGGGCCCGCGAGCGTCGCGGACCGATCCCGATCGCCGCCCGGATTAGCCACAAACCCCAACACCTTCAGGGTGACGTCAAGCTCAAGCTTCACCCAAACGCAGACGTTAACGCGAACCTACACAATTTTAAATATTCCTATGCCTAGGGGCAGAAGAAACGTCTATTCTACTCCTAGATTTCGACACGTTCCCAATGTAGAGCATGAGTTGGAAACTGAATACCTCGTAACCGCCAGCGCCTGACTATCGATACCCATATACATCTCTTATGTACCCGACGCAATCCAAAAAATGTAAGCAGATTTTATGATGTCCTTATTCAGTTGGATAGATCGGTTACTAAGCCTTTCAAGCTTGCATCCCGATACGATATATAAGTACTTATGTACTTATATCGGCATGAACTCCAGGCCACACCCAAGCGCTAGCCACGTCCCTCCATATTCGACCGAGCTAGTCGACGGCGTCCAGTATTCCACTATATCCTCCCGGCCAGCTCACAAGAACGCTTGTATTCCCTCGTTGATTTCTCTTCTTTTTCCTTCTATATGTTTCTTTTCGAGTGGTTATTTCAATTATTTTACTTGTATTTTAATATAGAGAAAAGTTTTGATTCAATGGTGTACTCATTGAAAGAACACGCGATATTATCCCGACGTATGATGTTGCTTATATCTTTCGGCCTATGGGTACGCCCTAGCGAACTAGATAATTGGATTGGTATAGATCGATTTCCTCAGCGATATCCAAGTAATTGTGTGTAATCACATAGGGAGTACACAATGCAGATACGTACCCGAAAATACATATTCTAATTCTCGAGATTGATAAATCTTTATATATCAAGGAGCAAATATTACAGCTTATTAGGTAATATTCCAGAATTTCCAATTCTGCGGACCCCAACGTCATTATTGTTCTTGTTAATTAACGTTAGGTAAGTGTGCTCCCTGCATAGCCTAGGGTTTGCGAGTACTATAGTGATATCGATGGAGAGCTCGGTCGGATCGATTTCTGAGTACGTACCCGGATACGAGATCACATTTGGGTTACTTGACATGCTATCTATAGATCTACGGTATAGCTATCCATCTGCTACCCTCTAAGCTCTTTGTGCCCAATTCAAACTCAATTCTTTAGGTTAAACACCCGACTGAAAAGAAGGGGTTCTAACGGTTGTCCCGGTATCCGTGCCCCGCATGCAGCCCTCCCGACAGAATTCGGTACTTCTAATTTCCCTGTATAAAAAAATACATTGTTTTTCTTTAACATTCTTAACATGCATAATTTAACAATAATTGATCAAATCTAGCAACCAAGAGAGACCAAATCAGACAATAATGCCCAACTGAATTAAAGGAAGGGTCTCTAATGGTCCTTCCTGTGTCCATGCCCCACCACTTCCTAAGCAGAATTTGATAAGTTGGCCTCCCAATTTTCCATATAAAAAAAGTATTATTTTTACTTAGTGCGACTTAGCACCCTCGATATTACGAATATAGATTAGGAACAGGATTAATGGAAAGGAAAGCTTTTTACTAATGATTGAAATGTTTATTTAATTAGGTGTAAGTTTTAATTTTTTAGGTTTTGTATTTAAAAATTAAATGAGATTTGATTTTGTGTTGTTGATGTGGTATTTTAGGTCATATTTTTTGCAACACAGCTAGTCTGCAGTCTCGGGATCAGGCTTTTTGCTCGTCCGTGGAGCTCCATGAACGCAGCCTGAAACTAGACAGCGGAGCAAAGTTAGGCTGATTGGAACAGTTGAACAACAGTCCCGTATGTTTGGAACACAGCTTGGTTATGAGACTGTGTTTGGAAAACAATTTGCCTCCGCTCGATCTGACAGCAACACTTTTCTTCTCAACTTTCTCAACTCCAATCTTCACAACTGTCTCCAAACTTCAACGGGTGGTCTCTCTCCCCCTCTTTTTTTTTTTAGGGAGAAATTAAAAATATAATAAAATATAATAAAAGACAGAAAATAAACCCTTCAAATAACTTCATCGCCAGAGGTCACCGCATTCATCTAAGCTACGCGTATACGTGTTTCGCTGGTCTCCAGAACTCGACGACTAGCGGCTGCCTCGAAATCATATGCACATATATATATATCCCCCTCTTTTCGTAAACGCATATATTCTTGCAACTCACATCATACTCCTCAATTTTATCTTTATGTATGATGGGATTATCTTCAGAAGCTATAATCGCAATTGTTGCTATTGTACTCGGACTACCATCATTATTTATTGGCATATACCAACTCTACCATCAGATGCGAGCCTCGAGGGATCAGGGAATATTCGCTGTCGCTCCCCACAACAGTATGATTATTTCGGTTTAAAATCTCACTCTAAGCTTAACGAAAATTAACCAAGAAGACCCTCAAGTTCATTCTTTAGGCATTGATTACGGCGGCGGACGATATCCCATTTTACCATTGCACGTATACCATTCTTCGGCGACACATACACAAGGTTATAGCCATCAAGTTCAAACTCAAACATCTGTCTATCTTAACTCTAGATTTTCAGCAGTCCGGACCGAATCTTTTCGTCGGGGTTTTTAGAATTGAGACGGAGGCGGATATAATGATCTTGAAATATTGGACGACTCACGTATGCAGTATGTGAATTGGAATTCATGAATTGGAGTTTTCTCGAGATCTCGTTGGTATTTTCGAAAATAGCTTCGATTATCATTCCACCCGGTATATTGTGTTGGAAACAAACTTATTGCGTGGGATATGGTGTGCCAAGGCTGGGACCGAAAGCTTGGCCTTAATATCGACAAATCCTAATAGTCTACATCACCAAGGTACCAGTTGTGTAGACATATCTATCAAATTTGATCAACCCGTTTTAATTATAATTTTTCGAGAGACAGTCTCATAGTCTATTATGCTGAGCTTGAGTACAGTCGGGTGAAAATGCTGCGTGCATGCACAGCCTTCCAGTTTAGAAACCGATACTAGGTTAATTAAACACGCCAATTGTCAGCCCACTATTGCATCGCCCTTAGGGTGGTCAGCTTAGCTTAGGCTTTCGATGCCTACGGACTATTGATACGGCGTCTACAGTTCCCTAGCTTGTAAAATTAAAAAGATATCAGCTATTGCATACAATTATATATCCTCCGAGCTTTCTTCTAATCATTTATTTCATTGCCATCCATGGATCACATCTAGCTAATATACTGAAGAAATCTGCACTTGTTACCAGACATGAGATATATATATATATATCGATACTATGCAAGTAGTTTAAAATTGTTTCTAGGTTAGAGAAAAGGAAGGGTAACGCTTAGAATTGGTAAGGATGAATGAAATTCTTTAAAAAAAGAGGCTTCGCATTGGTATATATCGATAAATGATTATAAGTCGAAAGATCATTAAATTTATAAAGATAGAGTGGGCTAGTCTTGTTGAGAGCGATGATGTCGACATGTCCATTGACATCGGCATTTCTGAGTTGTCCCTGTTGGATTCGGCCGGGACATTGTCACACAAGGGTGTTCAGCGAGAGAGCCTAACAGTCACGTCACACCGGGTAAGAACCGGAACACTGGCCATGGATTATATCGATTACCTACTAGCTACTGGACGATTCGATTCCGGTCCGGACGTCGTCCATGGATCCAAATTTAAGGCCCCTACACTAGAAGATCTTGTTACCCAAATACCTTCTTTCAATTGAGACGTTCAGAACGAGATTGAATTTATCCGAATATCATCTTAAGATCTTGATCACTTCGCCTCAATTGGCTAACATCGTATTCAACCTAATTTAGCATATATATAATGGCTAGTTGATGCTCCCGCTCCCACGAATGGACATCCTCTTTCACTTCTCTTTCGAATTTTAATATTTTTTAGAACGGAACTCCTGCCTAAAGTTCGCTTTGGGGCTAATTGAGACCTCTTAACCACTAAATAAGCTGGTGTCCCGGGCCCGCGGGCCCAGAAACCAAAGGAGATATCAAAATCCCATAAGATACATATATAGTAATGATAGCCGGGCCAAGACTTGCACGCAGATGGTCTAGTTTCCAAAGGTCACAAAGGGGGGCATCACGCAGGTATTATTTTGTCTCTCTCGCTTTCCATTGTCAGGTCGATAATGTTGAAATGTAGTCGAGCAAAACACCCCTAGGGTTCCGCGCCAAAGTAACTTTCTTCTTCGCCTTGGCCATGGCCACATATTTAATTATCAGATTAGGTGCTTTTCCAGAATGAAGTCTTGCATGCAAATTGTCTCCTACTCAACCTACCCCGAAGATGAGACAAGCTTTCATACCCCTCCCTGGGTTGTGGTATTTATTGGGGTTTGATGCTATAATATTGTGAAAACCTGCGAAGGTGGGTTCTCGGGTCTGGTTTACGAGACAAGTGGCGGGTGAGCCCGAGAACACGGCACTAGAGCAAAGAATACCCCGGTTCAGATTTTGGTCGGTTCAGATTTTGACCCTGTTCAGATTTTGACCCTGTTCAGATTTTGACCATGTTCAGGTTTTGACCATGTTCGGATTTTTGCCCGGCTACGCTTCGACAAAAGTGTTGGCGACGCTGCATCTTCCGAGTACCCTTCAAGACTTACTATACAATCAGGGTCATTAATTACAGAAGCTGAGGATGGTACGCGGCATATATAATAAATGGGACAAGTCCTCAATTGATCAATTCCCCAACTTCAGAAAAGATCGATCTCTTTTTCAATTACTAAACTTCAACCGGGAAGGAGACCACTTAGAAGGTTTATTTCCTATTCTATAAGCTCGGTCGCCCTGACATCAACATTCAATTCGACAGTCCTCGACTCGAGAAGTCATATATTACCCTTGATATAATCATTACAAAGGGATTCATACCGAGAACCGACGAGATCATTAAGTATACTTTTCGAAGTATCTGGAAAAAGAATACTACGACATCTCACATGATGGGACTTTCACCAGAGGCTATAATCGCACTTGTCACACTTTTCCTTGGGCTACCACTCTTATGTATTGGAATATATCAACTACGCCTTCAGATCCGAGCTTTGGAAGACCAAAGAAGACCAGCCGACCTATTCAACGGTATGGTATTTCTAATCTATCTCTCTGAATTTATACTAAAATTATATGAGCTAAAAATTTCCCCACTATGTCTATATATTAGGAATTCCTTACGGCGGTAGAGATCATGAATACATCTTACCGTTGCACACGTATCGTGCTTCGTCGGTTCACACTTCTCAAGCCTACAACTATCAAGCGCAGACGAGTCTTAACTTTACTCCTGCGGCTTCTGCCGCCTACGGATAATGTTTTGCACACTATTTCTACACTATCGAGATATCTATTCAAAGGCTACGGGCGAGTGTTAATGGTAGGTTTGGGGTATATGGATATTTTTGGAGTTCAAAGATGTGTTCATTTTGTTTGCCGTGCATTAATATACTTAATTGAACACAAAAAGTCCGGTCACGAGACTAGTTGATAGCATTTCATTCACCTATGGTTTGGTCAATCTACCTGTAGTGATTTTTGAAATATGTCTGCGTGCATGTGGCCCACCGAAGGTGGGTTCCCGGGTCTGGTTTACGAGACAAATGTGGAGACTGTGAACTTCTCTCTTTTTTTTTTTAGAACAGAAAAAAAGTGACAAAAAAGCGAATCAAAGAGAGTGCGTCGTTCAGAGTTGACAGTGTGAGGAGGAACAGAGATTCCGTTCACTCTTTTGGCGGGGAGCCAAAGCGCAGCTTTGTGGTGGGTAGGTGAGAAGGCTTATGAGATCAGAGTGGTTGTTAGCCGACGTGGCAGTGATGTGAAACCATATAGAAGAAGTTTTGTGCAGAGTAAGCCAGCCTTTTAGCCCTTGTTCAGATTTTGGGCCGGCTTGCATGAGTTACATATGTAAGTACTCTGTACGCAGGAGATACTGAACCCTGTTTAGATTTTGGATTCGGTTCCGATTGGTTCTGATTAGCTAGCTCAGATTTGGATCCCACACAGGTATTTACATACACGCACAGCCCTGCGGGCCAGCCCGTGTTCAGATTTTAGACCATGTTCAGATTTTGGATTCCCGCCAGTTAATCCTTGGACAGTCAACTCAATCTGCATATATTCGCCTTACGCTCGAAGTCCAGTCAAAGGGTCCCTCTAGAGCTCTATTTGACATCAGACGTCCCTTTTCAACATATAAATCCACGGCAGGTCGTTATCGTCACTTTGACTGAAAACTTTTTCTCTTAGGACAGGCAATTGAAATCGCAAGCTTATCGCACCTCTGCGACCCCCGTCACTCCTCCCAAGATCTCACTTTTAAATTTACCCTAATATCCTCCGGAAATATATCAGCCTTTTCAGTTGATCAAGAACAACACGAACTCTCCCAAAATGCCACAAGCTGTGCCACATACACGGACTGAAATTCCTTGGGAAAGCTTGAGAGGAACAATAGAAGAACTTTATCTCCGTCAAAACAGAACCAATAAAGAAATCATTCAGTATGTTGCTAAAGCTAGAGATGGCTTGACTATCACGTATGACTCCTTGGGCGCTACCATTCAGAGTAGTTCTCTACAATATAATATCGGAAATCTAGCTAACAAGACTTGGCCCCCTTTAGCAAGAGCCAACTCGAATACCAACTGAAAAAGTGGAAAATTCGCAAAAATTTGAAAAAAGAAGATTATATACTGGCACAAATCGAGATAGATAAGAGCAAGTCGATTGGTTCTGTAGGTCACGCTACGCATGAGGTTTACCTGAACGGGGTCCGCCAATCATCGCGGAAGCTTAGAAAGGGTTTCTGGAGGCATAGAGCTTTTGAAGGGGCCCAGCGGAAAAGTAGGTGTAAACTTCACCGTAGAGCGACATTCTCTACTTTATTATTAACTAACAAGCGTTATGATCTTTGCTATTCGCAAAGGTGTGAGCGAACTACAATATTGTACTTCAGATGGCTTGGAGATCATCGATCCGATGTTGTCCCAGAACGCTAGCGGATCTCAGCAAGATAATGCGCACTTGCAGTCTTCCGGCTCGGGGCTTAGGGCTCAGACATCATATGAAGTCACTGATGAGCCTATTGCAAACTACGATATCGATATGCATGATTTGGCCCCGGACCTATATCCGCATGCACGAATCGAGAACTCCCATGTTACAAGGAATGTTCTGGAGCCATCCAGATCTGCTTCGGGTGTCCGTCTCTCTATCACTCGTGCCGGAGAAACCAACTTTATTTACGATTTCATCCAACGAACACTCTCTGTTATGCATAACGAATTCTGGGACGATTTGGAATGGGAGCCGACAGTTCTCAAGCTGCTCAAAGCTCACAAGCTCGACAGTCTTCTCACTTGCATAGTAAGCATAGACACAAAAGAGTCGGTAAAATTGGGAAACTATCTCGTCGGTGCCGTATGTCACAAGTATCAAGAGAACTATGGTTTCGACGACTTATATGTTCTATTACTGTGTGGCTGCAAGCCAAGCGCTGAGACACTTAACACCACCTATCGCTGTGAAGATATCCGGAAGACTCAATATCTATGTCAGTTCTGGGGTGGGATGGATTTGGAAATGCACAGCCAGTGCGACCTTGGACTCCGGCATAATTCGACGGCAATTTTGGAAGTATTGGCACTCTCGGCCGGTATTAACCGACATACCCGTCTTCCACACGTGTGTAAATTATACGAACAGAGCGGGCTCTCTGTTGGCCCCTCCTGGAAATTTCTAACATTCAATGATCAAGATACGGTAGGCTTTAAATTTAAACCACTGCCTATGGAAGCATGGCCATATGACTGGGAACGAGACTGTCTGGATCACATGATCGATCTTAGCTGCATTAACTTGTTAATGAAAGCGACTAATAACCGACACGAGAATTTCATTAAATTTTTATCCTCGAGGATGGATCTCCACAGTCCTAGCTACCTACTCTATGCAATTTCTATGGGAGACGAAGCAACAACTCAGTTGTTTCTTGAGGCGGGAGCGGACCCAAATAAACGTTTTTTTATACCCCAAACCTGTGAACTACCATCCCGTAGCTTAACAGACCCTTGGATAAGATTTAAAAAGATGTATTCCGTTACGCCATTGCTAATTGCGGTACGATCAAACTTCGGAAGGATCATTAACCGACTTCTCTCAGCGGGCGCTGATCCGAAACTCACAGGCTCTGTACCACCTCTATATTGGTGCCTTGAGGACGATACTGGGTGCAGTTGGAAATCAGAATGCCAGTATTTGAAAAGTTCATTCGAAGAAATATCACCCCTTGAGATTGCGGTAATACGGGGGTGTGGGATTGGCATCTTGGAAGGGTTATGGGTACCTGATACCCGATTTCGCCAGCCTGAGGTGGTGTGTATGTTTTTATTGATATATACACCAATTGACAGCCCCGAGTTTGATTTTACAGTTGAGGCCCTTCTTTTCTCAGAGTTTGGCTGGGGTCTCAAAGATTTACAGAAAACTCGAAGAAGACGCCGTTTCCATCTAAGATGGAATGAAAATACCTCTAAATTCGAATATACTATGGTTCTTGACGCTACGGCAACAATCGATTCTTCGGAGCTTGTTATTCAAACTTACAGTTCAGATCGCTTTAGGTCTATGATTTATCATGTGGCAAATTACCGGGGTGAATATCGTCGGGGAACACTAATTGACAATCTGGAAATGATTGGAGATAAAAAGGCGGTTGATACTGGATTTCGTGTACTGACGAGAGGTTTATCACGACTTCTTGGTATCACATCCCGTGATATATTTTCGTGGGGGCGAAACGCTACTCAAGCTTTAAGATTTGCCAAGAATATACAGAAGTTTGGCTGGTATATAAGCCGCAAGCACCGAAGCCCCTTCCTGAGAAGTATCATCAAGTCTGCTTGGCGGGGAGCCATCGATATACCTGCTTTAAACAAGTATTTACGATATTTTTCTGGGTCAAATGAATCGGACTCGAACTTATATCGGCCGGTTATTCAACTTTTACACGAGGGTAATGTTAATGATAATATTACTAAACTTTTTCTGGAATCAATAGATGAAAGTGGGGGTGGAGGCCAGAGAGAAATCGGTCAAAGTGTGTTTGAAGTATTCGAATACTTTGTAGACATTGGATGGGATATTAATGAGGGAGCCTGCCATTGTGGCGAGACAACGGTATTGGATGTTGTCCTTGATAAATGTGTCCCGAATTCCACGACGTTTGCTATAGTTAAAAGGTTATGCGATGCTAGGGCACGGATCAACCGTGGGGTTAGTCACTACTCTGCGCTATCTCGTGCCATCAAGGCTCGAAGGAGGATATTCGGCGGGGGTTTTGGTCGAGGGGAGTGCTGGGCACTACGGGTGATCGAAGTTCTGGTACAAGTCGAAAAGCAAAAGGGCTATGTTTGGGACAGGTTCGCCCTCGAAACAAAAATAGGTGTGTATCTTTGCACACCTTTGCAAGAAGCAGCATACCACGGAGACCTGAAGTTGGCTAGGTTGCTTATTGAGTCGGGCACGCATGCTGGCTTGGAAGAAACCTTTGACTGGCAGGATTACAATATTTGGCGTCAGATTTACTTGCCAAAATGTTCCGAGACTGGAGCTTGGGCGCTTGACCTTAAAAGCCTTACTTCTTACGTCTTGTATGGGACACCGCTAGAATTAGCGGTAGAACAAGGCCGGCAGGATATGGTAATACTTTTACTACAGGCGGGTGCTAAAGTTACGGGGCTGGCACGTCGGCGAGCTCAGTCTATTCATCGCGCTCGAATATTGCGACTTTTACCAGTATATATATCCACCGACAATGCTGACGACGGTTCTGATGATATATGAGCTTTTCGACTCCTATCTTTCGACGCTACCGGAATAACCTGACTTAGCCTTGAAGTCTCGAGATGGTGACTGTATTATAATTATGTGTTGTCTCTGTTGTATTTAGAGCCCCGTTTCCGGAGGCGAGGCCCTTGTTTGTTCTGACGCAAATTTTCTTGGACGAGTTCCTCTTCCCTCGAATTTAACCTCACCATCCTTCCAACCTCCCCGCCGCAAATTTTTTCACCAAGGAGCCTCACTCGACACCCTTCCGATTCCATTCAGCTTCGTTCTGACTGGCTGCCTTGCTCCTTGTTACGGATCCCATCTCCGATTTGAACGCCGTTCCAAGCGGTACCTTACCAAGATCTGACTAGCTCTATCTGAAGAAAAACCCCCCAAAAGACTCAACGATTCCTGCGAATCTTTTAGCTGTTACAAACAACCATTTCCCTCAACCATCACAGCTTCAACAACCTCCCTTCTCGGAAGATCATATTCTCGTGATCAGCTCCGTCTGCTATTCATAGAACTCTCTCAATTGTTCCTGCGGGAGGTTTGACCTCTACCACCGCACGTATGCGATTTTGCCCAACAACCTTTACTTCCCAAGTAAGCTGCCTTTGATGTCTTTCTTTCTGTTGTTCTTGAGCGTGTGACTAACGTGGCTATAGGACTACATCTCAGGTATGTTTCCAATAAATCTCCCGAGTTTGCTACTAGAGTATTGGAAGCATGATATCATAAACAGGGAACCTTAATTGGGTCGTTTATGTGTCGTGTCACCTGCCTAGTTTGTAGGCACGGCATCATGACGGGGAGTAACGAATAACTAATAAGAGTTGATGGTGCGGAACAGACCATATTTGGAAAACCTGCTCACAGTAATTGAGCGTCCGTTGATATCGCAACATCTTCACTCATTTCATATATTCTACTCGCTTCAAGATATCATTAGCCAGTTTCTCCCCAGCATTACACATAACCAGAACAAAAATGATGGCTACACGAATGCTCAATCAACACTCCAAATCCCTGCTCAAGGGTGCTCTTGGGAAGCGGTACCTCGCCACTGTCACGGGTAGCTCTGGCCGATTGATGCCAGAGATCCACCGTGGTGCCACTCCTGTTTCGTATGACCGGGCTACCTTCACCATCAGGGTAGGTTAGCTTAACTATTTTGTTACATGGTAGTTTGTGAGCTAATTATATTATACAGGGAGGTCCCGTCTACCATGGCAAGTCCTTTGGCGCCAAGCAAAATATTTCTGGAGAAGCAGTCTTCTCTACCGCTCTGGTCGGATATCCAGAATCTATGACCGACCCTTCATACCGTGGACAAATTCTCGTCTTCACCCAACCCCTTATTGGTAACTACGGTGTTCCCGGACGTGACCGCGATGAAGCCGGTCTTTTGAAGTATTTCGAGTCTCCACATATCCAAGCCGCTGGTATTGTTGTTGCGGACGCCGCCCTCCAATACTCACACTGGACTGCGGTCGAGTCTCTCGGAGACTGGTGCGCCCGTGAGGGTGTCCCAGCTATCTCTGGAGTCGACACCCGAGATATTGTCACATTCCTCCGTGAACAGGGTTCTTCCCTTGCTCGTATCACCATCGGCGAGGAATACGATGCGGATGAGGACGAAGCTTTCATTGATCCCGAACAAATTAACTTGGTCGCCAAAGTTTCTACTAAGGCCCCATTCCACGTCTCCTCCTCTGGAGATCTTCACGTTGCCGTCATCGACTGCGGTGTCAAAGAGAACATTCTCCGATCTCTCGTTGGTCGTGGAGCCTCTGTCACCTGTTTCCCATGGGACTACCCAATCCACAAGGTTGCCCACCACTTCGACGGTGTCTTCATTTCGAACGGTCCCGGTGACCCAACTCACTGCGCCCCAACCGTCTACCATCTTCGAAAGTTGATGGAATCTTACAATGGCCCTATCATGGGTATCTGCCTTGGACATCAGCTTCTCGCTCTCGCTGCCGGTGCCAGGACTATCAAGCTCAAGTACGGTAATCGTGCTCATAACATCCCAGCTCTCGACCTTACCACCGGTCGATGCCACATCACTTCCCAGAACCACGGATACGCCGTCGATGTCTCGACTCTCCCAGCTGGCTGGAAACCATACTTCATCAATTTGAATGATCAGTCGAATGAGGGAATTATCCATGAGAGCAAGCCCATCATGGGAACCCAGTTCCATCCAGAGGCAAAGGGAGGTCCATTGGACAGCAGCTTCTTGTTCGATTCTTATGTCAATCAGGTCACTGAGTTCAGGGAGAAGGGTATTGATGGCGTTAAGAGGGAAGGAAGGCCAAATCCACTATTGGTCGATTTGTTGAGCAAGGAGCGTGTCGGTGTTGAACCAAAGCCGGTTAAGGATGCCCACAGTGGACCAGGATCGTTTGTCGGACAAGGTTACTCGAAACCTGTCTCTGTTCACGCCTAAGCGTGATTCGAGGATTTGCATGATAGAAGTGAATTTCTAGAAGTAGTGGCTAGATTGTCTTTGGTTCTTTGCCGCAAACATTTGAATTTCACTATTACTCAGCTGCTTTTGACGTTTAAACTTTATTTTTGATTCTCCTTTGTACTACTGGTTGGCGGGGTTTCACATTTTCACGGCGTGTTTTATTTAATACCATAATCAGAGATAAATTTTTTCGAGTAAAATTCCAGACGAACGTAATATCTATCCACGACACCTTTGGCTAGTCAAGGCATAAATGGCTAGCGAACCGGTTGGTATACTCAGGTAAGATCGTACTCCCAAGGGAATAGCGCAGACGAAAGACCCGAAACTCGATTTGCAGACCTCATTCCACGACCAGTCCAATGATAAGAGTAACCAACTGAAGTCAGAAAGCTCTGAAAGAGTCCTTGCGGACGGAATATGCATATGAATAACCCCCATATATCAGATTAAATATGATCCAAGAATCAACGTGCTTTCGCGAGTAGTCACGCGCCATTTCTTCGCGTCGTTACGTGGCATCTTTGGCTTAATCAAACGAAATGACAAAGAGATGGTGTACTAGTGTACGTTGGGTGTGCTGAGATTGGGCTGAACCGAGCTGGGCTGAAGAGCGAACACCTCAAGGTGACTCTTTGATTCAACTACCAACTCCTCAGATCAATTTAATCCAATGGCCAACACTTGCTGGTAACACAAAAAGTACATTTAACTTACCCCGCCTCTGCCTCGATCTCGAAAAGTGAATGCTCACGCGCCTTAGACGGGGATCTTTTCGAAATTAAACTGTCAAATTTTTTTTCTTAAAGTTACGATTGAGAGTCGATTCAAGCCATGTTCTCCGGGTGTTACGATATCGGTTCGGCGGGCGACAAGAAGGATTCAGATGGTCAATTGCCTGATATACACAAAATCGAAAGAACGAGGTACATCCCATCGACAGCGGCAGCGAAACTTGGACGAAAAAAGCCAAAACGTTCTCGATTGGTTCAAAGCAGTAAATTAACAGCGACGAAATTCGATTTCAATCCTCAATTATTAACACCAGAGGAACCGGTTACCCCGAAACCCGATGAAACTACTCCAGATCCTAAGCCAAAATCTGGCATGACGCTTCCACTACTACCTCTCGAAATTCATGAGAAGATCTTGGAATACCTACCTTATGAAGAGCATTTCACACTGGCGCAGGTCTGTGATGTCTGGATGGAACTTCTTCAAACCGACAAGTTTGCTGTAAAGCGGTATCGATCACTTCGAGTCGGGCAGACTGCTGTGTTAAGACACTGGTTCGAACCAACCTTATCCGAACGGTACCGAAGAGCTACCACGAACTTCTTGTTATACAACCAAAAGTTATTTCTGGAGATGTATAGAGGTGAAGATCGTACCGCTACTTTGATAATCTCAAGTAAACCGGACGATAAACGGGTGCTTTCACGGGAAGAAAGAGTTTTGAAGAAAAGACGGGATCAGGTGGTAAATATCTGTCAAATACTCCCCGCGAATCATCAATATGTGGAAATTCAAAAATTGGCCTTATTCGAAAGAGATACCATCTTTTTTGTCGGACAACACCCGAGTTTGAAAGCACATTCGAGAGGGGGACAGCGCATATACTTCTCGACGGTCTATCTCAACGCCCATACCTACCGTGATATCATAAACCCACCGGATGTCGCATATATCACGGTTCCAGACGTATTTTGCTCTGCAGAAACGACATTAAAAGTACTCATGGAAGGGATCAACAAACATATTACGAAACACGTATTAGATAGGTACAAACAAGTCTGCGGTTGTGTCGCTTTCTTCACTTGTTACTCGAAAGGAGGGGTTTCAGATCTTCCTGGGGTTGTGGTCAGATTACTGGTCTTCGTTGTGGAACCGGAACATCAAGATTTATATGTGCAGGACGAGGAGGGTTGCTATACTGCACAATTGAAGGATCCTTCTGCTGCTGAATCCTTTAACTTTGGATTTTCGGGTTCGCAGGTTTCGTTTCGGGCAAGGAGTATTACTACTAAAAAAGCTATGTCTGAGATTTCGGGACAAGGATTATCGAAGGATTCTGGGGGTGAGGAACCGTTTAAAGCCGTTTTGGGGGATATGGATAACCTTTTTATTTCGGATAAGTCACTGTTCTCTCCATAGAGAAGTGCTCGATTATTGATATATGTATCTACGGTGACCATTAGCATCAAATTCCTTACACATATACTCACATGTTCATTCGTACGACTTAACTTTATACGGCAATTATTTAAAGCAATACGATATATTTCTAAGCTCGACAATGTCATGGCGGAATAGAAATAGCTTCTGAGCAAGTCCATATCGTCGTGTGGATATCAATGTGCCCTATGATCTACAAAGGTTGAATCGCAATTAAGTTGCGTACTTCCTAGAAATTGTATTTAAATATCCCATGAGTACCTTTATAAAAATTAATAAAGCGAAACCGGGATTCATATCAAGAAAACCTGCTTAGGATTAGCTATATTAGGATTGACCAGGAAAGTGAGGCTGAAAAAAATGCAACAGGATATTTGGGTTGTTCGCCACGTGGTTGGCGCTGTTGGTTGCACATAGCATAGGCTAGCATCCAAGGCTCCTTCAATTCGATCAGATCAGTAGCTCACAGTTATCGCCACCTTCGAACAATCTTGCTCGCACGTTTTCATCTTCTATTACCAACAGCTCAGACTGGAATCGTATTCACGGTATCACTAAAGTCGATTTCCCGATCTTGCATTGAACGCGAGACAACCCCACTCCAGGTTCAGTCATATGTTCGTCTATGCATATTGACCCCGGCCTTGCAACAACTCAGAGTCACTCGCTACCATTTCCGCTCATTTACCAACCTCATAATTTCCAAAAGAAAGCAAAAAAAAGGGAAAGAAGGCTAGAAAGAGAAAAAAGTGAGAGCGAGAGAAAATACAATGAAGATCCTCTCCCTCCCTACCGAAATCCTGATCCAAATAATCGAACATGTAAACTGGACAGACCACTTCACCCTCTCAACCGTCTCCCCAGTATTCACTTCAGTCCTGCAACACGCTCCCTTCCGTCGAAAACGCTACTGCGAGGAAATATGGGATGATAATGAAAAGATAGATGTTCTCGACACCAGTTTTCGAAGATTTGATCCAGATGAAGTTAGATACTGGCCCGATGGACCTGGGTGGAGGTCCGAATTGGGGTTACACGGGTTATTGACCGCTGGCAGGTTTTTGTTAAAACTTGAGAGAGGGGGGAAGAGGACGAATTTTCTAAGTACGAGAAATAGGTATCTCGGGAGAGAGTTGGAGAGTGAGGGTTTTAACAAGTTGGATCCGATGATGAAGGCGTTGGAGATGCAGTGGGTTGGGACATCAACGATGGATATATCGATGGATCTACTGGCGGAAGATCGACAGTATTTGAAGAGTGAGGAACTGGACTCTGAAGCGAGTTTTGAAAGGAATTCTCGTAAGAGAGAAGGGGGAGAAGGAGATGTGGATAGATCTCCGAGGGGGGGTTATTCACACGTAGGAACTTTGGATTTCGTTCGAGACAGCGATATCAATCAAGGAGATGCCGTTGAACAAGCACTCAGGGCGGGGAAATCATCGGTCTACGACGTAGTTGGGAAATACCCTCAAATTATTCGGGTTAAACATCCCGTATACTTCACTGATGGAGGGGTTAAGACTTGTTACTTTGATCGTGGGTCTGATCGGTATTGGACTATTCATATACCGTGGGGTGGACCTGGGAGTAGTGTGAAAGATTTCATTGATACGATAGCGGAAGGGTTTACGAGAGAGATTCTCGATCGGAATGAGGAGCTACTCGGATGTTGGGTTAAATTTTGTCAGTATAGTTTCTTTCCTCGGCCGGATCATCTTGATCGGGTCCATCCGCGGTGGAAGATATTCTTGGACGTCCTGGTGGTTAGATAACTGGTAAATTGGGGAGTCGAAATTACATGTAGTTAGTTCGATATCATATAATAGCATAGTACCTGCATATCGATATAATCTTATGTGCAAGATATCCGACAATTCATGAAATTTACCGTAGTCATGTCGTCAATGCAGTCATCGAACAGCCGTGAAAATGCAACAGACATTTCGCGTTGTCACTTCTTCGTGAGTCACGTCGCAGCCTTGCAGCCCAACTGGCAGACACATTTTATTGGTCGATACATCCACAGACGTGCAGGGTGGCAGATGGATCCTTGTATATAATCCCCACAACCTGTCAGACCCTCCTAAAATGCCATCCCTCAATTCTCTTCCAAAACCTCCTCTTCCCCTCACAGGAAAAAATATTTATATATATACCTTATATAGATAAATCAAGATCAAAAATCACTGGAAATTCTGGAAAGAAAATGACGTTGTTATATACCCCCAGGGCCAGCGCTGCTCCCTCGCGAGCCGCAGTTTCAACAATCCCAATCAAAAGATACCACTGCAAAACCAAACCCAAGATTCTAATCGCGAAACCCGTCGGAATGACGGTTCGAAGTCTCCCCATGGAGATCCAAGAGAAAATATTGGGCCATCTCCTCTGGTATGACCACTTTGCTGCGTCGATGGTATGCCCCGAATGGGCTGCACTTCTGCAATTGCCCAAGTTCCGACGAAAACGGTATTGCATTGAAACTTGGACCGAATTGGAAGATGAAAGAAGTTTTATACGAATAAATTCCGAAATGGAATTTCAACGGTATCATCCTGGCGAAACCGGACCGAAGGATTCCGATGGGTTTCTTATAGATATGGGAATGCATGGGTTACTCAGTACCGGGACAATGGTTCTCAGCATACGAGAAACTGGGGAGGCGAGGATTTACTTGGCTATACGGCAATCCAAGGAATCGTGGAAGGGGAAGGCTAAGGGGGAATATGCAGGGCCGATGACAGGACCTTATGAAAAAATGGCCACGGCGGACATTGCGCCGAAGCGCAGTCGGACGAGCAGGGATACGCAAAAGATTGAATTGAGTTTCCACGACATCACGGACTCGCCGTTGTTAGCCACGGATACTCAGTTTTACTATGGAGCTGATACGAACGAAAAGGTCCCAGATCATGTTCAAGCTATGGTAAAAATGGGAGCTAGAGCGAAATATTGGGCCAATGGTTACGAAAGCTGGAAGGAAATCAAACGGAGAGGGGATGATATCTCAGTACGGATTCTTGATAGAGAATATCTTACAGATGGGACCAGTTCACACTCTCGTAATCGCTGCGAGTTCGAAGACACGGAGGACACGACAATACCGGGTGTTCTCCCAATTTCATCGATGTCCATTACCACTGGAACAACGATCCAAGATATACTCGAGGGTATTAAAGAAGCTCTCATAGATGAACAAGACCTCGATGGTTTAGACGGTCCATTGGAATGTTGGGCTACATTTCAAGAGTATTTTCATCAAAAAACAGACGAGAATGGGCCTGAAGATGTGGACCTTCACCCTCGTCGGAAGATTTTCTTGAGCCTTTGGAATTTGAGTCGGTGCTCGTTGGATATGAAAAAAGGTTATGTGGACTGTGGTTGCGATGGAACTTCACGTCATTGTGCTTGTCACTGGGACATTGAAGGAGATGAGCGGCCGTGGTATGAAGGTGAGATGCTTTATAGAAGGCATTTTCTAGGATCCGCGTCTAGTGATGAGGATGAATACTAGGTAATATATTCGTCAAAAAAGCTTTCTCACCGAAGGGACCTGTAGTTGTTACAGGATGCTGATTGGAATATGCATAGATATTGCAGGAGCACTGGCTCATAAATTCGGATAACGCAGGAAAACCGATTCTATATTTAATAGGGTGCTGGAGTATACATGCAATTAGATCGAGCAACGACACAAACGACATAACGTCCATTTTAACTTCAAGGAATAGTTCGATGTTCCCGGACCGGGAGCAATTCAGAGGATGGTGGTAAATGTGGCCGGCGGAAGATGTTACGCCTTTTGTAATGACCTTAGTAACTTTTATTATATAGCGTATTGCAGCGGAAAGGGAAACACTTACAGTCCCTCGTTTGGTATTAAAAGCGGGTATCTCCTTAGTAGCTTCCATTCGGGATCACGATCCATAACATCATCAATATTCGCAATCTCCAATTTTATAGCCTCATTGTCATTTTTGGGATGTATTGCTTTCCATAGTCTAGGGGTGCGTGCAATATTTTGAGGAAAAACAAATTCAGGGGAGGCCAGTCCAATCGCAACAACTTCCAGTTTCCTTGAAGGCCTCAGTAGCGAAGCATTTCCGTTTTCCTCGTTTCCGTATTGCTGCTGTAGCTTCTCTCTTTCATAGAGCATAGCTTCAAATGCCGTTTTGACAAAGCTAGATTCTCCTATTATACTGTCTCTAAACACTTCATCCTCTAAAATTTCTCGATGATCCGAGTTAGGCGGTATTTCCAAAAAAAGTAATTGTAGGTTGCGAAAGGCGTGAAGGGGAAATTCCGGGAGGGATCTCGGAGGGATGGTGGATCTGAAATGAGTTTCATTCCGTACTTCAGCCAAGCTGAACTCGACCTTCTGAGGTACTGCAAGCTCCACAAGATTGGGACATCCGCGACCTAAATTGACAAGACTCTGGGTGCTAAGGCAATTCTGAAATAATCGGGACGAACTGAAGGAAGATGTTGAAACTGTACAAATGGACAAAATCTTCAAGGTATTTCCGGCGCGCTTGGAGATTATACTATCGAGGTTTTTGGGGCCATTGGTTGCACAATTGAACACTAACTCCACAGGTTTATGTAACTTCGGTAATATGGTATCCGCATATACGCCTTTCTGTCGGTTCGTCAGTCGAAACCGGTTAATTTGAGTTATTGGCACCATTTTCTTGATGATCCGGCGACCATAGCCGTGAATGGGTGTCTGGTACTCTGTCAAATTCGAAATTTTAATATTATATCGTTTTGAACCGACTATGAGGCCGTCATTGAAAGTATAATTCACGCTGAGCGATCTTAAAGAGCCTGCGCTAGCTTCGAGTATTCCTAGCAATGCCGGCATGTCCTTTACAGTCTCAACATCTCCCCACCGCAGCGTACTCAGGGAAGTAAATTTGCTGAATTCGGGCAGATCTTGGTCTCTCAAGCCTGTCAATTTGTCAAAATAAAGGCATTCGAGAGAGCTACCGTGATGATTGGCCAAATGAACGAGGATTCTTCCTTCTGGGTTCAGACTAGATCGCCATCTATCAGATCGCCAAATGATTTTGTTAGCATAACTGATTTTACTGCTATAGTCTAGCATATTGATATTTTTGAAGGCTAGCTATATAGATGGGTGTATATAGGTATTCTAACATAAACTTTCGCAGCTGTCTATCCCAAAGTTTCAAAAGGAAGGCATAGATCAATTCGTTGACCATTTTACTAGCCCCATCCCTCCAAACCATTCGGTCTGAGGGGTCCGGAGATTCTACGTGAGCCAATAAGACTACATTTTCGACTAAATGTATTTTCGAGTGATTCGGGTTTCCTACGACGAAAGATCGTATGAACTTGGCGGGGAGGGTGATTCCGCACCAAAGCCCGATAATTATGGTTTTATAGAGAGTTGATGATGCGACTTCATTGAACCGTCGAGATACAAGTGATAGTGCCCAAAGATCATGTCGTGAGAGCTGTCAATTTGCGCAGGCTATGTTAGCCTCGATGCGCGGGGTTGGCACCCACTTCGATCTATAGATCTATAGAGGAACTCATTTTACCAATTTGACGATAGACTTACTGAGCGGAAGATTAAATCAAAGATTTCTTGGGGGAACTTCATTCTGGGATCCGGGATCAATATAATTTTATATAGCTTGTGGCAATAATTTAGCGGTGGGTGTATAGTAAAGTGAATCAGCAGTCGCGTTCTAGTTATTATCACAGCTGTAAGGCATTAGGGAAGACATTAGGGAAGTTCGCCACGCATGCGAGGGGAGCACCATGCAGCAAACCTATCGGAAGAAGTAAGTTTGCTGACTTGCTCAACGAATGGGGGAAACCGTCGTGGTAATAGAATGATTAATTGATTTCAGGCTGATAAAAATCGATGTTCATTCAGCTATCACTCAGAAAAATACCGAGGAATACTGCGTTAGATGCTTAATACCATGAGATAATTATCCGATATATATCGCGATTCTATTAGCCAAAAATTTGATTCCCGAGAGCTTGGGCTGGATCCTTGTAGTAACAATTGGGTACATACACGCAAGTACCACAATTTGACTATTATACCTGAAGCCTTGAGCTACACCATGTTTTTTTGCGTCCCTTTACCACCCACTTTCTGCTGGGACGACCTCTTGTAAATTTTAAATCTGTCTCTAGAAGTACACAGTTGCGATAGCGAATTCCGAGTTCGATCATGGTGCCAAATGTTAATGTTGGAAGTACCTTTCGGCTAGAAATTAGGAATTCAACTAAGCCTTTCAACCAACTCTAAAACTTAATCACGACCATAACTCTTAAGATCTAGCTGACATATGGAAAATCAAAGCGGCGAATTCGAATATAACGGAGCGTATATGCATGAACATATAGGCATTTCAGATGTCCATTCTTTCCCTTCCAGTGGAGATTCAAACAGAAATACTCCTAAACATCCGATGGCCTGACCACTTCACCGCCTCTAAAGTCTGCCCTCTGTGGGCTTCAATCCTCCGGGCTAAAGAATTCCGAGAAAGACGCTACTACACCAAGAATGATTTCAGATACTACCACAAACTTCCAATTTACGACTCGTTGACTCCATATCTACCTCGAGCCTCCGAGCCCGGTGGATACGTTTATTCCGATGACATTATACCTTGTCAAAATGTTCTTCTTCAATACTGCGTTCTTGTGGCACAGTTCCGTCCTGGGAGAGAAAGTACCGTATTCTTGAGGGTGTTGCCTCGTTGCAACTCAAATGCAACAGAGCTGCAAAATCTGCTTCAATGGCCTCATGATCACCGCGACTTGATTACAAAATATGCGTTGAAGGATATGGCGAATTACCATAGATCTATTTCGAGTTTGATCACATACGATTTAATCGATATTACGAATTCACCTTTGTTATCATGGGATACGACTATATTTTCGGAAACCAGTCGGGGTCTCAACAACGACATAAGTGCTGGGGTTCACCACAGCCCGCGCCTTCTCGAATTCTTGTATAAGTTCTGGAAGGTGACAAGATACGGGTATCAAAGGACAGCGCATCATTTATCTACTCGAAGTGCTGCAAATAGGTATGAAGGTGGATTCGAGAGGGAAAACTGGGATGGGTTCGGACAAACGTTTCAGGATCTTTTGGAAGCCGTGAAAGCTCGCGTAGAGGCTGATATCCTCCCAGACCCTGCAGTCATAAGTTGTTGGAGTATGGTTACCGATTACCTCTGGTATGAGACTAGTCCGGTTGGGATCATCGTTGTTCATGTTGAGATTCTGGTGGAGAAGCCGTAGGTTGTACGCTGTACTGCGGAATTAATTGTACAGAATCAATTGTCGATACAAATACTGCTATAGAAATGCAACGTAGAATATTTGCTGCATGACAGCGCACCGCTCGAAATGAATGGGGGAAGTTTCAAAGCTCAGATGGTATCTGGGAGAAGTACGGAGTAGTAGCAACTTACAATCAGAACACAATTAATATACCGTGAAGTTGAATAAAACGTGATACCTAGAACTATTTCATTAATGCATTAGCTATAGCTCAAGCTAGGCTACTTAAAGAGCGAATAGGAGCTATCTAATCAGTGTTGCTGGCTCACTAGCTTCCCCTGTTTCATCTTCTATCGGCACTTGAGAAAACCTTGGCCCACCAAACTAACAGGGCGAAGGACTAACGAAAATTGATGCTTAGAGAAGTTTCATCCACGGCCAAGCATGCCGAATTTATACAGTTCATCGCGAATCGGGTTGTTTTATGTTTTGACCGACGTACTCCTGTAGACATGGTAGCTCTACGCCTCGCCGCTGGTTTTCGGAGATATTGTGACTATGGTTTAACTTTTTTGAGATATCGTTATCCGAGTGTCGTTCTCGAGCTATCATAAATACTGAGGCGTCTATCTTCAGGTAAATTTCAGTACTGTCACCTCTTCAATCACATATAAACCCATTTTTTCCCTATTTAGATAATTTTACGTAAACTTACTATACAATTGCTTTCGCACTTTTTCGCTTCTTCTCTGACGACCCCTAATTATTTACCCCGAGAGATTTCGAGCCTCAAATAATCAACTAATACACAGCGATAGCTCGCATTCTATATATACTCCTAATAGTTCCCGAAGCGAAAAAATGGATTCTTCACCTCTCGCGGCGTTAACACTCGAAGAGCAAGCAAAGCTACAAAAATTTTGGAGTCTTCTACTAGAGACATTCGCAAAACCTCCTTCGACAACTGGAAGTAAAATAATAGACCATTTAGAAGTAGACGTCGCCAATCAATATGAACTTGATCAACTTAACACCGCCTTATCCGACCACACAGTAGAGCACCTCCATACAGCATTTTGGCAATTCGTCAAACATGAAAACCCCGACGCCGTAGTGCTTCGTTTTCTGCGCGCAAGGAGCTGGGATGTTAACAGGGCTTTAATGAAGATAATATCAACCCTCTGTTGGCGGCTCAAATTCGGTGTCGAAGATCTTCTCAGAGGAGGCGAATTAGCTGCCACTACGGATTCCGATCAGGGCTTAATACATCAATTTAGAATCGGAAAGGCTTACATCCATGGTTTTGACAAAGAAAACAGACCGGTGTGCATCATTTCTCCAAGATTACATCAGTCGGGCGATCAGAGTCCTGAGAGTATAGAGAAACTCACGGTTTATATTATGGAAACGACGAGACTTTTGTGCCAAGAACCTAACGATACATCGTGTATTGTGTTTGATATGACAGGTTTTGGATTTTATAATATGGTATGCATGTTGAGATCCCTAATGAGTATATCTTGCACGCTAAAACGTTCAAATCTTAGGATTATACCGCTGTCAGGTTCATAATCGACTGCCTTCAGTCACATTATCCAGAATCTCTTGGCGTGTGTCTTATTCACAACGCCCCATGGGTCTTCCAGGGTATTTGGGTTAGTATTCTACGTTTTTCTGGTGGTATGAAGGCTTTTAACTGATATTCTGAATTTAAAACAGAGTGTAATCAAGGCGTGGCTTCACCCTGTCATTGCGTCTAAGATCCAGTTTACTTATACTGCAAATGATCTTTCGAAATTCATAAGCCCACAGCATGCCCCGAAGTTCCTAGGAGGCAAGGAAGACTGGATATATGAGTACTTAGAGCCTAGTTCCGACGAGAACTCTGCCATAACAGACCCGACTACGGCCAACATTCTTGAGAAAGAGACTGCCGAAAAAGTTAAAAAGGATATTGTCAAAGAATATGAACAAGCCACTGGAAGATGGGCTAAAGAGGATATAATGGGCGAGGTGACAGAAGCGAAAGATGAAAGAAATCCATTGGTAGAGAAGCTAAAACAAAATTATTGGGCATCAGATAAATTTGTACGGGCGAGAACCTATAGCGATCGAGTTGGCGTATTGGGCGCTTGCGGGAAGATCAATACCGGTTCTGAGAAATTCTAGTGCTGCTATGAAGCAACTTCGAGTCTATGATATATATATTCCAGATTGAGGTCGAATCGCATGTAGATTTGATATAGAGCAAAGATAATGTACTAAATACAAGACATCCAAAAAGAAGCACGCTATGAACAAAGGAGAACGTATCCTTCATGGGCTATCATGCAACTGATGATAATCCAACGACGATAAAGAAAAAAGTTTGGTTCACTAGGTACTCTGGACCGTCATCATTACCCTTTACTATCTACATTCTGTGCTTCAAAATAAGCCTTTGCCTTACCCTGGAAGGTTATATATAGGAAAGCTATCAATGGACCAGCTCATCAATAACTTTCGCATCACCATCTCCCTCTGCAATAATATCTTTCTCGGCTCTTGAAATCAACTCTCTGCACTTCTCATTTCTTGGTACAAAGCAGCACTGGAATGGATGCGGGTGTGAAACGGTCCCTGATGTCGCCCCCATCTCTGGTTCAATCTCGAGTCCAGTAACCGGATCTACCGGTTTCTTGATGTCGAAGACGGCAAGAGTCTGGGCGATAGTTAGGAAAGTACTAGCGTCCGCCAATTGCTGCCCTGGACAAATCCTTCTTCCGAATCCGAACACAAATTTCTTTGGGTTGAGTTCGGGCTTTTCCTTGAGAAACCTCTCAGGGTTGAAAGTCTCTGGGTCGGTGTAGGTTTTTGGGTCTCGAGAAAACCAGTGAATAGAGGGCACAATAATAGCTCCCTTTGGAATGCGATATCCGCCGTATTCGTCTTCGGTATCGACTGTATGAGGAAAGCCGGCTGGTACGATCGGGTTGAAGCGTAGCGACTCTTTGAACACAGCCTCTACATATGGCAAGTCCACGCGATCATTAAATCCTGGCAATCTGTCGTTTCCAATAACGCGATCGATCTCCTCCTGCGCCTTCCTCTGCACTTCTGGATGGAACATCATAGTTCGGAAGAAAAAAGCCAGAGCAGCAACCGTGGTATCTGAGCCACCGCCGTACAATGAAATGGCACTATCTTTGATAAGTTTCCATTCCTCTGCTCGGTCTTTCTCATTCAAAACTTTCTTTTCGTGTCTATCCAACAGCCCGGAAACGTACGAAGGCCTATTCTCGCTACGTTTTCTCTGTAGAACGACGAACTCAAATGGCACGTTTGTTGTATCTGTAACCGTTTTATTATAGCCGCGCGCAATGCCTTTGAATTCCATACCAGGTAGCCACTCTGGGAAGTGCCGTAGCCAAGGGATATTGTCGACAATCCAAGCACCGGCTGCTGTAGCCTCGCTAAATGCCGACATCATTCTATCGACGAGGTTGATGAGGGGGTCAAAACCGTTGAGATTCGGTTTGTATCCGTATAAGGTATCCAATACAATGGAACTCGAGGTACTAATTAAGTAACAGTCATTAGTACCTTGTAAAGTCTAAGGGTATGCCAGAAAGGAGTTTAAACCTACGCATGTAAGTTGGCTACATATTTATCAGGGTTACTCAGGGTCCGGAACAAGAATCGCTGGACGTGAGTGTGGATTAATGGATGAAGTTTCCGTATAGCAGTGTTACTGCCAATCTGCCATGCTGCGAGTTTACGTTGTTGTTTGAAGTTCTTGTTGTAATCCTGGAAAGTAACGATATGACCCATGCCGCACCTACATACGTGGTTAGGAATGTTAGCTATCTACGGTACCAGAATTTAAAGTGATCTTGAATGCGTTTTACATTTCGCCAGCGAAAAACAGATGTGGCCTAGAGGAATAGTTGGACTGCCGTCGAACCAAGAGCTCTTCTGCAATATCCAAATCGTGGATCAGGATTATTGTCTGCCCCAGAACAGTTATAGAACTGATCGGACCATAAAGGTCTTTGTGTTTGAGCCAGTGCTGCCATTCCGGAGGGCCGGGTGGTGGGAGATCATTAATATTTCCCACAATTGCTGAACCCTTGGGACCGGGGGGCAGTGGTAGTTTCTTTTGCTGTGAGGCAACAATTTGTCGAACTGCTAATATAGCAGTTAGGAGGGCACCTCCATAGAGAATCGGCCCTCCAGTCTTGAGGTCATCCACGGAAAGCATTTTTAATGATGAACGTAAATATAACTATGTTGGTGCAAGTAGAGTACCCGGCGCACTGGCGCTTGGGTTGCGCGGGATCCATGGTCCCTTTATATGGAATTGTGCGACCTCAAATGCATGAACTGCAACGTGTCGGATAATCCATATTTTTCTTTCGTATTTGCTGTTCAAAAGTAGGGGGGCGTCTGTTCAAAGAGTTCATGGGATATATCTGCTGGGCATGTGTATTTTCCCGCCATTTTTTCTTCCAGACGTACATTCAGCTGGTTGTCTGTCTCGAAGAATTTCTCACTTTTCGACTGGGGTATCTATATCAAGGCATATGCCGGCAGACAACGCCCATAATAGATGCTGTCTGTTGAAAAAGATTGACCCACCGTGAAGACAATGACCCGGCACCGCGGTATCCACACCTTGCTAGGGTCCTATGGACGGGGTTTGATTCGTTCGCGAGTTGTTAGGCTAGCCGACTTTAGCTTAGAGCCGCCCCACTATCATGGGTTATCCTGAGACTTCCCGGCCTTCCGACACTATTGAAGCCAATTGCGCCAGCCGATTAATAATTCGGCTAGCCCTGAATAGGTCACCAGAGCATGCCAGAAAGCGTCCCCCATACCACAGAAAGGCTAAAAAAATTATTTGTGAAATCACTTTTTGTCGAGATGCTCAGACTTAGACGTCTAGATTACCATACTATTTGCAAATATGAACATATTTATGTGCGTTACTTCGTCGGTTGGAATTGCAAGGCAGAGTATTTTGAGACAAATATGGGGATCTTTCGCCACCTATTCAAAAACCTGCTTTGAAGACGAGAAAAACTCGAGAACCGAGCGGATAGATGGACTGATGTTATCTTAATGCAAGGGTAACCTGAAAGCGCACATGCATATTCCATACACAAAGAAATATGAAAGTGGGCCGGGCTTTGCGGAATAAACAATCGATCACGACAGCTCAGAGGAAACATGAATAAACCCGGCCTCGCTGCTCTATGAGTATGTAGACTCCTTTGTCATATTCTTTATTGAGGTACAGGCCAGATCCCAAGAGCCCCAGATAGTAGATTTAACAAAAACCCCGCCTTTTCAAGCCGATTACGAAAAAACACGTTAGCGTCCATGGGTCCACCTAGACTATATCGATAAAGCCGAATCAGCTTACGAATGGAGAAGGTGGAAAAGCCAAGACTTGGTGATACACACGCTTCCCACATGGCTCCACACTTGGAACGGAGACTACCCATTTTGGTCGTGACCATGCATGCGTATATATATATTTCACATAACGATATTATTTTAAGGAAACTGGCGTCTTTACAGACTCCACGTGGGCCGCGACTACCACGATAAGTCGCCGTTTGGTATGTGTTGACCTTGTTGTATTCGAAACGGTGCATGTTCCTGAGCTTAAGATGTTCACAGCCATGTTCATTTGGTCGGTTATGCCGTTTACGCAATAAACACAGCTATTGTTTGTTCTTTTCGAATTTTCAAATCTACATTTATAGTATCTATAGTGTATAAGTCCGACGAGTAGACCTATCATCAAAGGTATTGAATGGAGCCTGCCACAGCAGAGTACAAGATGAATCAATATTTGCGTTTTGTTGAACCATATATACTTAAGTACTTCTACATGGAGCTAGCTAGATGTACCTTTGGGTCTAGATCATGCTGCCAACCAAACGAACCAAGTTTCATGTATGTGTGCTTGTGGAGATTTCTATCGCACCTTCGAGTCAAGGCTCTACACAAGTTCGAAACTATATGCAACGTTTGTCGTCCTCTGTCCCTTTTCATGAGAAAAAAGATTAAATGCTGAACAACAAACTCCGCTTGTGCTGATCTGTAAACTAGAATTAATCCTGCGCCAGAGCGGCACAGTTTTCGACTGGTCTTCTATAGCTATAGTCAATTTTCGCTGCAAGAAACTTTTTTTAGAACTAGAAGAATGATTATAGCATACGGCGGGACTTTGTTAGAACTTTTAGAACGACGCCCGTAATTTTCCTACTATTCAAAGTCTCTCTACAACGCTAAAATTACCTGGAAGATGACTCTGGAAAATTACTCTAGACTAGATCGATATGTGGCTTTTTTGAGGAAGCTTCGAATTTGAAAAAAAAGCGCTATGCAATTGTCTCGTAAGCCGATTAAATACGAAATAGCCCAAAACTAACCCGTCTTGAAGAGAAAGAATTCTATCAGGAATATACTGATAATATTTTGGTTTTCCATAGGCTGTGGCCACTTTATTCATTCTTTAGCTCCAGTGTTTTAATGTAAGGAGAGAAGTTAATATGTGATACCATAATCATCCTTGGATGAGGCAGCCAACCGCCAACCTGCCTATCAAGGACCTCCGCTAAAGCTTCAAAGATACTGTGGTCCCAAATGGGAAACCTTCCCCCCTCCTGCTTCTCTAGGTTCTTGAGAAAACAATTATATTTATCCCAAGAAAGATTTAGGTATCTCGCTTCCCATTGATGGGCTTGTAAGCGGGTGTATTTGTATCGACATTCGGCCAGCGCAGCATACCATTGCTCATGTCTTTTATAAAAGTGAGCTATCGCACAAAACAACACTCCATAATCTGGACTGTAGTGCTTATCTAAAGACGGGTCAGTGCCATTACTAGTTATTGGTCGATTATATATGTCTCCTATAGCGTCAATTGTAACTTTCAATGACTTCACCATAGTTTCGAATGGCACATCCGCGTAGTGAAACAAGTAGCGTAAAATAGAAACCAGATCCTTTTCTACACCTAGTCTCTCCAGGAGTATACCAAGTTTTCCAGAGAATTCTTCAGCCACTAAACTAGGTTCAGAACTAAAAGCTCTGAAATATTGATCGGGGCCTATATCGAACATAATAAAGTTTTTTACGAACTGATCGTCGATAGCTATGTAATCCATGTCGTTGTAGAAGACCAAATTGACATGATTCTATGTTTAAATTCGTTAGGTTATCTCGATAGACTGGATTAATTGAGCGACTTGCATGTTAGTCCTGAAGGCAAAAGTTCTTACAATTGATCCTAAGAGTATGCACTTAAGTAACACTCCTGAAGGACTCAAGCCGAATTCAAACCCCGCCAATAATGCATAGCGCAGAATTTTATCTAATAAGGTATCGTTGATTCCTCGATTCTGGTCCAAGGAATTAAAAGCCGCCGTACAAAGCCAAGAAATTACCCTATTAGTAAAGATTTTGTTAGTTTAATACTGCTAAGGGCGCCCAAGTAGTTAATAGTTATGGCTTTTTGTAGATACTTTTCGTTTTCAAGAAACATATCTGGAGCTTCAGCTGCTATCAACTTTACTATGCCCATACATCCCTCTCGTCTCTGTACAGGGGCCTGAGAGACAAATGCTCCCGAAATTGCGTACTAGATATAAAACCGCTGTCAGAAAATCTTATTGAATGTAAATACCGTCGCTATTGGTGGGTCTCAAAGTTTAGACCTGGAACACGCAAGCAATCGATGGAGAATTGATGGATGGCTTAGGGCCGTACGCGAAGAGTAGATATCACCTGTTGATCGCAACTCCGGAGCGACCACTCTCCTTTTGAACACCGTTGCTGAATTTCTTCGAGGTCCCCACGCAGTGCTACCTTGAGGATATTATCGATACCATCTAAATGTTCTATCGCCTAGTATGATCTTAAGGACACCAATAGGCCTAGTGTATATTGCTCTCTTGATCGACACAGTATATTTAAAACTCTGCTATCGCCGAGCCTAGAATGCGATTGGTCTCGCTTCGGTCGTAGTATTATGTTTGTATCTGTCATCTCAAAGGTCTCGTCGCCCGGGCTTCTAAACTGCATCTTTTTAATATTCACCATCGCCGTGTGTCCTTTGATTTTTTTAGTTTGTGAATGAAGCAGAAGTTTTGTCAGTTTATTTGTCCGGGTAATTGATGTAATGCCCTGTTCAAGGTCGCGAGTGGAGGATGATTTTATGAGACTTAGTCCTCCTGTATCGACACCCGTCGTAGAAATACCTCTTAAGCATTTTAGTAGCTTTCGGAAATCTTCGGACGCCCCTTCATAGGTCTCTAGTTCCGGCTCAACCTCAATTGACTGGGCTAAGCGCGGTAGAATTTCTCGTATGTTTCTCTCTGCGAAAACTTCGAGGTTATTTAGTTCAAGCCTCTCAATATTGCTAATAAGAGCGTCGATATCATCATCTAGGAGTTTTGGTGGCTCATTTGTGAATTCTTTAGCGTTCGATTGAGGTGGTGCACCCGGCTGGTATTGAACAACCCATGATTCAGTACTTTGCCTATTTTGATAATTAGTAAATGTTCCATACACCTTGAACTTAGGAGAAGACACGAAAAGACGCCTCAGTATCTACCGCACCTTTCATGAGCCGAATAAGTCATAATGTTGGGGAGTGAGGCAACAGCGAACAAGGAAAACAGGCCCGAAACGCCCGACTTTGTCGAAGATACCATCGGGAAGGGGTTTCCGGGCTCCAAAATTTTGGAGGTTTGTCTGTTTATATTTGGTGTTGGCGTAGCTATCAAATCTGTTGGATATCCTGTCGGTGTCGGTGGGTTCCGTCGTGGTTTCTTTTGAAAACCCCATAGTTTTAGGAATTTTTTCAGCTGGTCAATACTATTTATCCATTACAAAATCATAGATGCATGTTAGCAGATCATATCATATCATGTAGACAACAACATACATCCGTTCCACGTCTCTGATGAAGAAGAAGATATACTCTTATGGTCACAGACGATTGGCGACTATACTATTAAGATATAACCCCGCGCTAAAGTTATACACGAACTGGAGTTTAATTTACCTTATTTCAAAGCTATGGTCGTTCCTCAAAGTTTCAATGGTGGATTGGTATGTGCCTTGGCTAGCAAGGTCGAGTATGATTTCTTTGTGTTTTTCGATATCGGTTTCGTATATGTTTGCGGCTGCCCTTCTCTTTGGCCGTGTTACAGTCGATACAGGGGGTTTCCACTGTAGCTCCATGTTCGCCTGGCTATAGCGCCTATTAAAAATCTCAAATAACAACCGAAGTAATAAAGCTCGGGCCGATATATAATAGATAGAGATCACCTACTAGGTAATATAGACCTTGAAACTGTGTTATCTTGAACGAAATCAGATCAGGATATTTGAAGTAGAGATGGCGACTCGAGCTCCTTTATATAAGAGATTACGATAGCCCAATCGCTCACAATTGCACAATCTCGTTCTGGAATCGTTTTTATCAGCCTGATGATAGTCCACGCATGCCACCCTGTTGTTCCTGCAAGCTGGTTGATGTTGAGTAACCCACCCTTCTGTTCTATTGGCTATACAGCCAACAACCGGGCTGCCAAGATGTACTCCATCCTTCACCATGTTCCGCCACATCCATAAAGGGAATTCCACTATCCAAAATTGGAGCTCAACTTTATTCGATCCTAAATAGGAATTACACTTTCAAAATAATACTACACAACACATTTTCTAGGATATTAACTCTCCCCAAACGTCATGAGAGACGAACCAACTTTTACCTCCAATTATCACCAGCTATCAATAGAGTCGAAAAGTATCTTAGTAGAAAAAGATATAAATTCTACCTTCCACGGGTCGTGTTTTGTTTATTACAATATATTGCCCATCGAATTCATAGTTTTGAATCTTGATCTCGTTCCTCGACATCATCAGAGAACATATATCAGCCCCGATGATGCAGAGATATTTAGATACAGTTCTAGACCGACCCAACAACACTTTTTCTGCTCATATGGAGGATCTTTTTATCCTTCCAAGACAGGATGCTACCGCTGTGGCCACAGAAACATGCCCCTCTCCAAGTCCTACTGGTCCCAGTAGCAACAAACGTAACTTTCAAGGTTCGTAACTGCACCCTCGGCTACCCTCCTTACACACCCGAGCATTTTCCTGATGCATGGACTGTTGATTAATATTTTATTTGCATACGAAAAGATTCCAAGCGAGCAGACGCACCTGTAGATAATCAATATCACTCTAACAGCCGCAATACTCCCGAAAAGAGTGCAGAGCACTCGACCCTTCCCCTACATCAACTTGGCTCTGAGCAGCATGACCCCATACTCCGATGGCTAAATCAAGGCCTTAAAGAGGACCCTTGGACATCGGTACAGCGAAGAAATCATTTTGATGATCAATCCTCAAACCTTTTCACCGGACCGTTCGTTTCGGTTTCGCCCAGTATCTTAGGGGACCTTGGGAATATGCTGATCCAACCTTACGGGTACTTTGATTAAGCATCATTCCTGTCAAATCTCTATAGCTTCGCTAGATGTCTTGCTTCTAGACAAAGACTTTAATGTTTCGAGATGAGCCATAGCCAACCCAACCCAGCCTTATTTGTCAAGCTGTTCTTTGCACATATTAGCATCCATGGATTCAATATGTAGTACATCTATATGTATTTAGTCTAGTTCTCAATTTTTTCCTTTAGCATTATCCTTCGCATTCCCCTCCTTGACTACCCCGATCATTATTGTCATTTCTTTTTTAATATGTGGGGATAACTAGAGCAAAAAGTCTACACCCGTAGACGCTCTTGTCTCTTTTCTTCCCCAAACTCACGATGCAAGTATCCTATCCCATTATTCTGCACTTATAGCATCGGTTTTACAGCCATTCCATCAAGTTTTTAAAAAGAACATCATTTCTTACTTGAATCTTTTCCTATCTATAACGCATAGACTGTCTGTATATGTAGCGCTGCTTACCTAAACGCTCACTATTCCTCTCTTCAGAAATATAGCCGTATCTCGCCCTAGTTCCCAGAATTCTCGATAATTCTACCGAAAGTTATTTTTGATCTGAATACTAAAACGCTGAAAGCTGGGTGTACGACTGTTCCATGTAAAAGCTCGTATTCCACCCAACACAACGGCACGCAAAACGACTTGCGCTTTTGCTACCTGCTTCGACCTTAGATCTATGGATGATTCATTAGTCGGTTACTAACTTTTCCTTCATTCGGGTTTAGAACCTCGCGTTGCACTGATAGTTTAATTAAGTGTAGGTTTGTGCCGATTTTACAACAGCATAGCCTAGGACCACACTGTTGACTGTTAACTTACCTACACTAGATCTAGGTTCAAACTTTCTATGCATCATCTCGCCCTGTTTAGCACGAAGCTTTGCGGCCGTATACAATCAGAGGAAACAAAAATTTAAATACTTTTATAAGTCTTACTGTGTCTCGTTTAGCTCAGCATTGATTCTCAAAGCCTCATGCAGGCGCCGCTATGGCTCGATAATTAATTTCTTTTGGAGAAGTTATCACTGAGGTGGTGGTTTTCTACACCTTTACTGCAAACGAGAGACAACTATTGTTCGCCAACAGGCGAGCTGCAAAATAAATCGGCGATGTGCAATGGTGGCGCTGCTGCTACAGATGCGATGGAAGGTAGAGAACTAGTAACGACAGATTTGATACACCATAATAGTATTGCGGAAAATATAGCTTGGGTGTACGTTCTAGTTTCCTGTGAAACGGTGCAAGTTGCTTTCAAGTTTGTTGCAATTGAAATTTAAATTTGCGTCCCTGAGAACAATATAGGAATGAAGTATACAACTGTGGGTATTAGTAAAACTAGAAGAAGGCTGCTGCGTAATTGCCTGGAGGGGGTGACTAGAAGCAGGGCTTCTATCGCATGGGGGATAGATACACAGCGTTTTAATATTTACGCTTATAGAATCGAATTTCTGGAAACATCTTTATGCTGATGCGTCGGTTGTTAGCTTTCGAAATCAATACCGGCATTCGGGCGTACTGCATGAACGGATTTTTAAGCCTGAATATATCGATATCGCGCCCGAGATAGTTTCTGTTTGGCGGGCAATTAATGTGGGCGACATCGACCAACCGTATATGGCCATAGTCTAGTCATTTACGGAAAGTTTACTTGAAGGATCTGGGCTGTGAGGTCAATAGAGCTAAGGCCTGGATGTATGTAGAAACTCTGAATTTCGGATAGGTGGGTACTTACCTAGGCCTACCGCTGATTCGTTTGGATCCACCATGCACCAATTGCATCTGCGAATCATAAGGGGGAAACTCGTGTACGTATTCGTGGCATACCCCAACTCAATACGAGACTAACCCCAACTCAGGTATTCTATAGAATTCTATACGTAGTATGCTCATTATAATTATAGGCGTTTGTCGCGACGTTAGTTGTCTTTAGCGGCACGGGTGGAATGTGGGGTGGACTCGGACGTTAGTTGTCTTTAGCGGCACGGGTGGAATGTGGGGTGGACTCGATGCTGGTTTGCAACATTAACGTTTGGGGGTCGCTTCTGGTGAACGCATCACACCATGCGGAATAATACTATTGGTGTAAGCATACGTGAGTGATGTTGATGATTGACATCACAACTAGTCTGGTGGATCCGTGGAGCTCCATGTACATTGTGCAACCATCACAACACATAAAAGAGTTGAGGTATATACGTATATATACCAGAGAATTCATCCAATAGAATACAGCTGCAGCTGGGACACACGGTGGAAAACTGTACCAGTATACTATTCGCCCTGTATTCACCTGCCTGTGCTAGGTATTTTCATCCATAAACCCGCTATGTGCAGATTGGCATCAACCCTTATCAATTTTGAGAGAAAAGCTGTGTATAGAGTTATGTCGTCGTAAGATATATAAAGGTAGCTCAGGTCCATACTAGATACCATTATTTCTAACATAGACCTTATCAGTACTAGTACCGTCCTTTCTACTTTTTTTAAACATCGGGTCCGAACTTTACTCTCAAATTATAGATATATATACTGGTCCAAACTTATCATTGATTGCGGACTCAATGTCTTATACATCATAATTGAATTGGTCCCTCAGAATACCCAAGCGCCAACTTTCTTACACTACTTCCTAAGAACACGAACAATATGACTCTGCTTCCCAAACAATCGATTGCTGTCACTGCCGAGCAAACACATGTAACCCGTCCTCTAGGCTATTCTAATGCTACCGGTTGGTGTCCTAAATATCTTTTTTCTTCGCAGTACCGAATCTGATCTTGTAAACTAAACACAAAGTTCATACTACAAATTTAAAGTAGCGCTATAGCTGGATGAGCAGCCTGCTAAGACGTCTCGGGTCAGCGAAGGGTTAGAACCAATAGCTAATTGTTTTGTTGAAAAAAATAAAATAGGGAACGACACCAAAGGTCAATTGGAAGACCAGTCGAAAAGCCTCATCGTAAATGACGATACGACCCAGCCCCCAAACCCGGCCATACTTACACCGGCCTTAGACTCTGGCAACAACAACTCTATACTCCGGTGGTTGAATCAAAGTCCTAAAGAAGACCCATGGAGCCAACTCCGAAATTCTTTCTAGCCCAATCAAGTCACCAGATATTTTCTATGGCTTCCTTGCCAAACCCATAGGCCTTCTCAATCTTCCCTTTCCTTTTACATACTATACTCCCCATAAGCTTGTCCCCCTTATCGAGTTCAGTTCACTACCCGCGGTGCTAAACTGCTTTCGTTTTTATTTCATACATCTCTATTTTCTATTCCTTCATCCGTCTCGAGCTCTTAAGTACACCCCTGGCTGTTTTTTTAGTGCTCTTCTTATCCTTCCATTTTCTTGTAATTTAAAGCCACAAATACAACATGGTACTACCACCACATTATTTCCTTTGCGGCCCAGCGCTATGATGGTTAGCTTCCCCTTCTTTGCCCTATAAGGCTATGGTTTTAATATTACAGCTCTTCGGCGGGATTGAAATCCAAACGTTTCCTTTGTTTGTTTCCTTTTGTATACATAGCAAATCTTTACATTCTGCACCTCCAAGCATTAGGTACACAGTTTTCCCAGATCCGTAGATACCCCTTGGTATATATAAAATGTGAAGCAAGAAGTATGGACAAGAACAAACTGCCTGAGCCGGAAGTAGTAATTCTCTTTTAATGTGTCTAACCCTGTAGGCATATTAGAATCAGTCAAACACCCATCTGCAGCTCCATACTACCTACGAAACATCCATTCCATAATTTTCAAAAGTCGAATGATCAAACATCGGTATAAACCCGGACTCCCCCCCAGATCTCGGTCAAATTCTGAATCAATCAACCCCAGCAATTGGGTATCTTCCTCAGGCGCGTTTGATTCATTGTACAAAGCGGCGATCCTGTACGTACAAGATCCGGGCCAAGATATAAACTTGCTCGATAACTTCAGATGCTCCAGATACCGGCTCCAATGAATCCATCAACTCTTGAAGTAACTTAAATACATCAACTAGCAATTCTTAAAGTAACTTAAGATCATCGCTATCTGAATTTTCAATGTTATAGCAGACCTGATGCCACGACCCCTGCGCCATTTAAGCATACTGCCTTCGGCCTCTCTCCTAAAGTCTTTGAATCGAAGCAAGCTCGAAGAACGCCGCCAGAGCTAGAGGACTTTGAAGTCGTCTGAAGCCCCCCCATTCGGGCCCGGCTCGCCCATTGTAACACAGGAGCAATAACCGGCAACGCAACTGCTAACATGTTGCAGCGAAGACACCACCAGAATCTATGCCCAGAACGGAAATATTGGCAAGGATATCGATCGGATCTCGATCGAGTTGTCGTTGGAGTTCGTAGCTGACAACACAAAGTTAGTACGACATTGTATCATATTGTTTAGCACCATTCGATTCTTCGCTGTGCTCTTGATAGCCAGCATTGAGTATCAAAGCACGAATTAGAGAGAGAGAGAGAGCCATCTGCAACTCTTTTATTGATGGTCTTTGCAATCAATCGCATACTGGTCGGCTAACTTGGAAAGATCTAGCGAATATTCCACGTGTTGGTGCTGGCTAGGTGCTCGTGAAAGGGTGGCCTGAAGTTTTGTAGCTGTTGGAATGTCTCAAGCAGTATAGACTCCATAGTATTCTGCGGAGATCTCACTGGACGAGATTATGCGATCAATGATTGCTGTGCCAAGGCCGCCGTTGGCTCCTGTTAGAAAAATCGTACTGGAGGGTGGCATATTGATTTCGATATTCAATATTCAAGTAGTTATGCATATTCAGAGCCTTTATTTGTCTTTCATGGGACTTAGGCCGGTTTAAATATATTTGCTACTTCTATTTGCTGCATTCCTCGATCTAAACTTCTACAGCATGTTCGGGAGGCTGCGGGGCTCCGGTGTACTCATCCCTTACCACATTCAATATATTTTAGCTACCGGTCGGAAAGGCGTAAGACATCTGTACTGTAACGGCTCTCCTAAGGGCCTCCAAACAACGTTACAACTACTTCTTGCTTATTCCCGAAAGTAAATACTCAATTAATACGTATCGATACACCCTGCACGTCGGAACAATCGTAAGGGTAGTACAAGACTAAGTGAAGGGTTCGAAAGCTTATTGATTATCATATTAACCCAGTCCCTTTACACCGTCGTCTCGCAATATTAATGTCTGCAATATCATTTTAATTACCTATTTACACCTTAGGCTTGTCGCCAGGCTTCTCAACTATGCCTTGAGTTCCATTGTGGTATTCATTTCAAGATGCACTGTTTGTCTTTGTGCAACCCCTGCTAAATTTAAAGATGAATATCCAATGAAATTTAATGAGATGAAACCTGTGTTCTCACCTCAAAACCGTTGGCCTCGCCATCTCGTGACCACATGACAATGTCGAAAACCGCACCACCGTGAACGCGGCTCTAGATCTAATCGCGTCGCGTCGATGAAAGTACCTTTCCTCTTCCGAAAGTAACTCGCCAGGTATAGGTGCGCCTAGACATCGCCACTACCATCAAATTATTCCTTTAACTACCAGTATACTCTTCCTACATCGGAGGTTAGAATTGAAGTCAGCATCGCGGCTCTCCTTCATCAATTATAGAAGCTTCCCATTCGCATTCAGATCAATTAAATTATGTCCGAGGCCGAGGGAACCGAACTTACGGGCGATCGCCCAGACACTCACAACACGATGACTTGCAGACCACCCAGCGTCCCTCGGCCGAAGTTAAGTAGAACCCAAAACCTAGGTGCCGCGCAGGTGCAAATGGCTTTCAATGATGAATACTGGCTTCGCAAAACCGAAAACTGGGAAGGAAAGGCTGTTATGGCGAACATTCTTACGTTGATACAGGTAAATATCTTCTGTATTTGTCACAATTTCTTTTACATCGCTACAGAAGCACCATAGCTGCTCTACAAAATAGCCTTTAATGTTGGAATGTGGAGATTGTTTCAAGCTAATATTTAATTATTCAAGTCAATTTGCGAGGAAGTACTAGAAGAGTATGAAGGCCGCATGTCGAAAACATTTCCATCTTATCTGAGACAAGTCGGGCCGATCAAAAGGGCAATGTATGGCAAGTTTCTCGAATTACTTCAAACGAGTTCAATGGAAGAGGAGGATCGATCTCTCATTTTTGAGATGATGGAAGCAACTGACTTCCGGGACAAAGACCTCCGAGGAAGTCAATGGTTGTTTGAGTACTGTATCCGTCGGACTACTGAAAACCGCAGCTCTCGAGCTAAGTCCAGAGATCCAAAGGCTAAGAAGAGACATCGAGGCGTGGTCTATTTCCAAGGGACTAGGTATGTAGTCCATCCAATTATAGAAATGTCTTCAGAAGCCGCTTTAACCTTTTGATCTCTATAGTAATATTCAGAGTACTAGCGAAAGCACTGGGCATAACTTTTTGTAGTTCCGGATGTATACAGGGTTAGGATGAATCTCACTATCATCGTTAGACGTCTATCACGCATCTCATAGCAACTTTCTCACAGTCACTGCCTTAATTTGTCTCGTGCCTGCCTTAATATTTTATACTTCGAATTCGACAGACAACAAAACCTGGTGTTATCACACTCTGCTAAAATTATTGGTTTCCAGTACCTAGATATTTTATGCGTATTTTCCTCGTTAAGTCATCCATGTGGAACGAAATTTTTCCCATGCCACAAAGCTAAGAAGCCATGTATGCTAAATCTATGTAAAAACAAAGGCACCGTCTTCCATATTAATATTTCCCTCTCTCGGAATCGGTGCTTCCACTGATCACAGATTGGACATACACTCTGCGCAAATGCATTGTCCATTCTCGTCCATCGGTTCCCAGCTGGATTCGAGGCTAGGTTAGCCAGTCTCGTGAACATCTTTGTGCAACACAAACACAAACCTTGGAATATCCAAGTTTGGACAAGTCTCGATACGCTAATTCAGTCTCGGAACCAAATTCCCCTTTAGGATGTTGGATTCCAGTTACAACATTAACAACACAATAATTACTCAATTTCGTGGGTCCCTTGTGCAACCCACAAGCGCATGGCTTCTCTAAGCTAGGACATTCGACAAATTTATATAAATTTATTGCGCACTAGTTTAACACTCCGTTATTCAACGTAAAAGCTTCCTTTGAAGCAAAAAAAGCAATAAATATTAGGAATAAAAATAGCAATTTACAGAGGATCAGTTGAAATATAGCCATGATGAAAAGTGTGTGCCACGAGCGTGGGTTCATCGGTGTCACACTGGACGGGGGTATTCATATTTAAGCGAAGCCATGCCGAATTGGTTATCCCTGTTCCGAATAAGCTTCTTAGTGCTACTTAAGTATTTATCGCGTAGACTTAGTGGGTACTTAAAGTTCAATGTCCGATCTCATATTCCATTCGTTCTATCTCAACGTTACTTGTGCTAGCTAAGGTACATGATAAGTCGGATATACATTTTCATCGTTCTCGCTTTGAAGCCCCTCTTTTCTATTTTAATTGTTGTCCTTCCAAAATTTGATGGTTGAAGTGTTCTAATCTTTGTAGTAGCTCGTTTCCGATGCTAGCTCAAGCTATGGTGCGTTACGTATAGCGTCTTAAGATCTTGGTCTCGCAGAAATCTGAACTTGCTAGATCTAGTAGCCCATTTCCGCATCCTCATCAAGTTCAACATCTCCATCGTTATCGCCTTCATCGCCGTCATCGCCGTCATTGCCGTCATTGCCATCGCCATCATTAGCTGGGGTATTGTCTCCGTCTGCGGGGACTTCACCATCTTCTTCGTCTTGCTGGTCCTTAAGCTCTGGGTCGCTATCATCATCCTCGCTAGTTTCAGTGCCGCCGGTTTCGTCCTGGAATTCTTCCTTTTGGATAACAGTGACGGTTTCAATAACGGGCTTGGCGGTGACAGTAACAGTCTCGGTGATAACCTGGTTGACCTTAGTAGCACTTGTAGGCGTTGCCTTGCCATTGATATAGACGATGTATCTGTGGGGAAGTTTGACGACCTTGACAACTCGCACGGTCATCCTCGGCGGAGGACGTCTAGTGACAGTTTCAATGATGGTGTTTGTAACAGTTGTCACTGGTTGAACGGCAGGGCTCTTGGATGTTTCAGTGACAAATTGGGTGACCCTTACGGTCTTCCCTCCGACTGTTTTGTTGACCACGACTGTTCTGACAGGGTTTCGTCTTCTTTGTTGAATTGGAACACATCCACCGAATGGGCCGTTGCTATTATGAGTTTAGTTGGTTAGTATAACGATGCAGAGGTTAGAATGGGCTTAAATGCAGTTTAACTTACAGAGAACCCTCCTGGCAGCGCACGATGCAGATGTTCTTAATTCCCTTATTTGCTCCATAAGATCCGCGACAGTCCATATTTGGTGGTAGCTGGAATCTAAATTTATTGAAAACCTTGCCAAGCTTGTTTACCGAACACCCTGCGGTGAGCGGTCGACCAGCCCGACCACAGGAGAGGAGTTTCAAGTGCCTAGTCCAGGTCTTTCCATTACCATTATAGTCGATTCTACAGTTTAGAAGTCTGGCATTCCCCTTGATAGTTCGTGACATAACCACCATGGTTCTTCCAGCGACAACTTTGGGGATACCCGTCCTGACTCCGCGGCCATCCTGGGGACCCCAGCGTCTCCTGACGTTACCCTTGTTTTCGTGGAGAGCTAGACCCTCGATACCCCTTGGCACATTGATACGTCCCTCGGGATCAGCTTTGCGTTCGAAGAAAGTCTTCTTACGCTTTTGCGCATTCCAAACACCCGGTTTGTTGGTCTTGAGGTGCCAGCCAACGCTGTTGCCTGAGAATCCACAACCGTAGTTGAGGTAGGTAGCGTTGTTTCTATCATGAAAGACAGTTCGGTCGAAGACAGCTACGTCTAGAAGACGGCCCAAAGGATCCCTGCGGGTATTCTTGTAGCTGAATCCGAGACCCCAGCCATGGAGTTTAGGGTTATTGCTTCCCCAAGCATCCATGATGACCGCATGGGCAGATGTGATATCTGTAAGTCCGACGAGGGCAACAGTTGCCGTCGTCAAAAGAGTGGAGAAATGCATCTCGAAAGAGTGTCTGGATTTTTTTGACCCGAAAAAAAGAATGAAAAGTTTCTTAATGAATGAAAGGATCCGTGATCAAAAGAGTGACTGAATCAATGAGTGGATTAGCGGAGAGACTCTGCTAGGTAAGGTCAAGGAGCTAGTGAAGGTGCTCTTGCTGATTCGAAAAAAAAAAAAGTTCTCTCGTCGACTTCGACGAAAGGTTTATATAGACATTATTTGACAGAAGCTTCCTGTGACCCAGGTTTCCAAACTATATCAATGCAATAGTTCTCTACGGCCTCGATCATTCCAACGACGATACAACAAACCGCGACCGCTTCAGATTGACAATTGGGATGAACACACCATTCCAGATCGTGAGAACTTCCGTCGCGCGTCGACAATCCCCAAATAAGCAAAATGATATGGCTACATGCGGGTGCACATGACAGAGGGCCTACGAAAATCGGGTGGTCTACAAACGATATAGGTATAACAGAACACAAGGAAACCGGCAGTCGAAGGCCGGAAATCCGGAAAATGCCGGCCCTGGTATGTTAACGTCAAGAAGACAGGCGCACAGGCAATATGGACGTGCTGCTAATGCGTTACACAGGAACGATAGCTATAGCTACTAGCTAACCTAAGCTTCTTAACGAGACCCGCAAACGCTTCGACGGTCTTCCTTAAAAATAGGGTTCGAAAAACCATTTCGAGCCCTCGGAAGGGCATTCCCCACTTCAAGGAAACTTGCCTCCTCGGCTACAGGATTACGTGGAATTGGAGCAAGCGAATTTTGTCGCGCCCCAACAATCCAATCGGCTTGAGATCTGTGCGCCGTCGTGTTACCAATAGCGCGATTCGGATATAGGTGGTATAATGGGCGCTATAGGCTGCAAGAAGGATCGATCTAAAAGTGATATAACCACCGAACTGGCGAGTATTCTTTTTTAACACATATTAGTTCTTATCAAAACATTGCATATGCAGGTGCGTTAGTTGGAGCACGAATTGAACGTGGACCTTGGCCTCGAATCCAGGCTTTCTTGAGGCCATGAACCCTGAACTTGTTCGATCTGTTCGTTTAAAGAAGCTAGCTGGTTAAGCTAAGCGAGTGGCAATGAAGAATGCCTTCCCGAAACTAGTGACCAGCGTAGCGAGAGAATCCATCCTCCGTCAAACGACCCACATTTTTCGCACGAATTCGGACAAGCTTTTGTTGGAATATGACCAAGTAGGTGTGTTGCTAGCTGTAGGATTCCATATAATATGCATAGATGCTCCCAAGTTACGAGACTACCGGTATACCTAAGCCCAGTTATATTATGTATCCATATCTATCGACTAATTGGACGCCCTGATGTAAGTTGTTCTCCCTTCTTTCATATATTATGAAACAACAGAATGACAAGAGCCACATCTTGTCTATTATGTATTAATTACTTGGTAATTTGTTGAGAATCATTCGTGGCTTGTATGCACACAAATTTGGGTAGAGTTAGCTAGCTAGCCAAATGAAGAAACGAAAATCTTCAAGATGCGGTCTTACGCGGGTTATAACCGTTAGGATTCTTCGGAGAAAAACTGACTTAAGCTTATAAGTACGAGCAAATCATACCGCGACTTTATCAAAGCTGACTTCGCTATAAACCTAGGAAGTGTGTGGAGTAATAATAAGTTACACTAGTAATAGTCTAGAAGTTCCATGAATTGGTGCTCTTCCATTTCCATTATTGCGAGATATTCCTTCATGGGAGGAGCCAAATATAATAATAATTAAACTACCAAGATGTACATGTGTGCGCAAGGAAGCCTTCAAGTTGCAAACTTCAAACCCGATAATTATGGAGACCTACTGAACCGTACTTGGGAACTACTTGAGATTTAATAGGCGGTATATGGTAGATAGTCTCGAGGATAAGAAGTATGAATACACTCTTGATTTGGAGGCCAACTAAGAAATCAAGGTATCAATCGTGTTAGCAAGAAGACTAGAGGCGGTTTGCTTTCGGCCGCCATTCAAATTGACGATGCCGACTTGCACCTCGGCGACCTCGGAGACAAAATTGAGTATTTAATAGACGAATAAAAGTTAATCGTTCGATAAATTACGGACAAAGGAGAAAGATGAAAATAATATACGAGGGGGGATAAATAAAAAAAACATCTGAGTCGAGGAAAAGGATAGAAAATATGACATGTGTCTATTCTAAATATTTTCATGGAGTGATACCTACCGAGTTCTCACTTAGTATCTGATTCAACTTGTCCCGTTTCTACAGACAACGCAATACACATCCCGAGCCAGGCTGGATTTACGGTTTGCGACAAGGCCCCGCTCCCCAACCGTGTTGAAGATCCCGCCATATTACTGCTTGGAAACACTAGTTTTAGATCAAGCCCGAGGGAATCCCGAAAGATATATATCATGGATTTGTAAATTTGTGGTAGGGTTAAGAGAACATATGCATGATTTGTAATTGGGAAGCATGATGTTATCACGTGACATATCTGTTAGGCCAGGCCAGGTGACAAAGTACCCTATACTTTTGTTGTCATAGATTCCTTCAAGTTCACATAGATCCATGGATACTATTAAGGGACTTAGGCGAAGTAATTATAATGGGAACTAGCAGACTCGGATATGGCACCATGATAGCACGGTCTCCCATCATATGCAGTTCGTCGATCACGCTGATATAGTAGACTTGTAGGATATTTACTGTGTAGGAGGTCTAGAGACGACGAGAGAGTCGCAATTGGAATTCTCGAGAACAGAGTGCGCGCGCTGCATGCAGCTTAGCCAAGGACACAATTCTTGGGGACTTAATTATGAGGCCCGAGCTCGAAAACCTATGCAGATGTGTAATCAATCATGGATTGCGCATGATGCGCTGTACGTATCTGTAAAATACTAGTTGTTTGTAGTACTTAACGCCAAAAACCCAAGATCAAAAAGGCAGAAAATCCCAGATCAAAAAGGCAGAAAACCCGCCATGCATGACGTACGTGGGTAAGCCGGTCCTAGACGTCCTGCATGGTGAGCTGCCATTGGGCGCAGAAACTGTAGTGCCGGCATGTTTGACCAATTACGATTAAGAGAGACATTTGAAAGCCCCTGGCTAGCATGTGCATACACGGTCTCGCTAATATGCAAGTTACTTCGAATCCTTAGCTTAATTAACCCGTATATCGGTCGGAATACTATGGGTCCCGTTTGGATAGCCTTCTCCCTCTATTAACTCTAACATTAAAAAACAATATAAAAAAACCATGTTGACCCCTAGAGAAAAGTTTTGTCTACTACTGTATGCCGTTTTTACTATCAAATAATTAATTCTTGTCGTCGAATTCGAAATCAATTGGTTTCTCTTGATACATAACTTCACAAGTCTCCGTTTTAAAATTTGCGTATTGCGATATTAATTTTGGATATAAACATACATACTTAAGTATCTTTGATAGCGATATCTCGGCCACAATCGATCAATATCTTGTTACGATTATATTATCTTCGCTAGTTAGGCGCATAATTATATTATATAACCGCTCTCGATTTTCAAAAGGTTAGATAAATTTCTTGTGCATTATTCTACCTAAACCTATCACCATCCTTATCTTATGTAGTATATCTAATATAGCCCCAAACATTAGAAATGAAGAATAACGTCACACGCACAATCGGCAATAATGCGAACCAACCTTCAAACTCTCCTTCGCAGCCTCCCAAGCCTCCTTACAACCCAATGCTTCGATGGTTGAACCAAGGCCCCAAAGAGGATCCCTGGACTCCATTGAAGCAAACGTTTCAGTTTAACTCGAGTGAGAGGCCCGGGTTTACTACCCAACCAACTGACAACGAACCCAAACAATCCTGATCGTTAAGAGGGTTTCTATTTGGGAGACCGTGGTTATGGAACTTCGGTTGCGGCTCGGGCTTCAAGTTTAGACGTTGACGATGCCTTCTAGTTCAATGGAACCTGCATTACATTGTCTCGGCCGGTTGTATATGACGACTTAAGTAGGAAACATTCATTAGCCGCTGAAGAAACCACCTGAAGATTTCAAGGATATCCCGAACTCTCCATTACGCGGCCCCGCCCAGATTATCTCTACGTTCATGAAACTCATTCAATCCCTTCTACTTCTTGTCGCTCACTTTATCTTTTGATCTTCTTTTGATCTTCTTTTGATCCCTTTAAAGCTTTATTCCTTCTTCGATCTTCGATCTCCAGACATTCTTTCTTAAGATCAAAATTTCCTTTTTTAACCTCTTCCCACTTTAGGAAACTCTGCCCACGATTTCTTTTGTCTTTTAGCACTACCTGCTACAGTTAGCTTTAAAATCACCACTCGACTCATGCTTTCCTTTTCTTTTTTATCTTCCCGAATTTCCAACGTCATCATCCGGTTTGGTTATGAGACTGGTCATCATCCTTATTTAGACGATTATCACATTTTCAATATGTCAACGCTCATTTGATACCCACTTCCTTTCGTTTGTATTCGTTTCCCTAGATAAACCTCATGTAGATTTAGTTCGCGCAATTGATTTTTCTGAATCTCCCCACAATTCCTCCGGCAGCGCTTTAATGTGTCTAGTTCCTCCTAAATTCTCGCCCAATTCGCATTTGTTGTAGACCATATAAGCTGGTGCCAAGCGCAAGAAACTGTCCTAATACGCACAGTATGTTAAGTACTATGCCAATGGTACTGCCAAGACAGAGCTACCCTTACCTTAAATGAACAGTGGGGCATACGTGCACGTACTTCCCCCACATACTTCCCCCACATGCACATTCAGGGTCAAATATCACGATAATTTCCCCAGCTTCACAACATCTTCAATCTACCAATTCCACCCTTACTACAATACCAGTTCACAAAAAATAACAAATAGAAGTAATAATATATAAAAAAAATGAGCATCATAAGCCTCCCAGTCGAAATCCAATCCCACATCCTCAGCTTCATCCCCTGGCACGACCACTTCCTCGTCTCCACGGTCTGCACACTATGGTCTTCAATCCTCCAACGCCACGGTCTACGACTTCACCGCCATTACAACCACCCAATCCCACCAAGCTGGGATCTATCCGAAAACTTCTATCCTGTATATGACGCTCCAACTCCACGAGTTTCACCAACCCTCTACACTCCCACCGAGGCACCAAATACCCATGTCTTACTCGAAATGGGAGTATTCATGCTCGAGGTCCGAGAAGACGGAAGGACCACGATGTGTGTCAGGGTCCCACGGGAGTATGTCAACGACAGCTTGTCAAACAGCCATGGAGTTATCAGACAAGACGAAGGGACGACGGATAGCCGTCAATACTCCGAGTTCTGGGAAGCTTCCACAGTAACCGCAATAGACAGCGTTCTGATCGATATAACCACCTCCCCACTTCTTAAATCCGACAAACTTTATTTTGCAATCCAAGAATCCGATAGTCTGGAGGGAATCGATACCAGTAGTTTACAAATCCCGGGGTTGCCGAATGATACCCGAACACTTTCGTTTAGGATATGGGATTGGAATCGAGATAATTCACAGATCCAGCCATTTGGTACTTTACCTTCTGGAGTTGCAATAAATGACCCGGCGTGGTGTTCAAAGACGTGGGATTGGGTTAGAAATAGCCCTGAGGGGTTGGTGGAGGTCGTGAAGGAGCATCTGAGGACACATGTTTTCTGTACTCCTGGGGTTGAACGGTGTTTTGTGCAAGTTGAAGGGTTTAATATGTATGGAGATTCACCCGGGGATAAGCTTAACATCACCGTAGCTGCTTTTCCGAGGGTGGGTTAGCCAATAATAGCACCTTCATGTTGTAGTTACTAATCTTGTGAATGAATTGGATAGATGGATGTGGAGATAGTCTCGGGATGAGGGAATAGTTGTCGTTAAAATAGTAAAATAGAAGAGAACGTTTAACTAACGAACCGGACTGTCGGAAGTTTATTTGACGTAATCGGCTTGAACCATCAAAAAATCCTGTGTTGCGCCAATCCGCTTCGTTCCCTTCGTCAGCAACTTCTTCTCCCAAACCACCTTCAAATAATCTTTCAACCTTTTCATCACCTTCATTGACCCCTCCAAAACATCACCAATTATACTGATAAACCCCTCTCGAGTCTACAAATCAGTAAACTTCAGCAATCGCATGTCATTGCCTGCATATACGGCTTCCACAATCCTCCCAAGCATGTGTCGTCCCGTCGTCGCCGCCACGAAGTTCATCGGCGTTGGCTCGCTAGGTCTATTAACTGTATGCATATGTCCCCCCTTCCCACCCATTCCCCAGCTATCCACGTAACCATAGCTACGAACAGGTACTAACTCCTACCTCAATTGCCAGGGCGTCTCATTTGGCGCTTCCTTTGCGACCATAAAATCCTTATTAACTCTTCCATCGGCTCGTATGTCCCCTTCAAACCTCCTTACAGGCCTTGCAAGCCTTATCTATACCCTTCCCGTTCGCTAATCAGATCCTTGTATCACAACAGCCGCTGCACACCGCTCTTTCACACATCTAACAACCACCCTTTCAACGCTCACTACGCCATTGACATACCTAACCACCGTCTCCTTCTTAACCGCCTACTTATTCTCACCATCCTATAAACGACATCCGTATCTTCTCATCACCGCTATGTTACCGGTATTAAGCAGTGGATATGCTAGTATAGTGTTATCGCCCAAGACGAACAGGATGGAGAAGTTGATTGAGGATAATGGAGAAAAAGGTGTTAATGGTGAAGAACTTAGAGATGGGATGTTGGATTGGGAGAGGGCTTATTGGGGGGTTGTCGCTGCGAGGGGTCTTGGGTTTTTGATGGCTGTTGTCGGGATTTGGGGGGATGGTGCTTGATTTACTCTCTCTCTCTCTCTCTCTCTCTCTCTCTCTCTCTCTCTCTCTCTCTCTCTCTCTCCTTTTTCTCTCTTTCTTCGATTGAGTGGGCTTGGAAATGTTGAAATGGTTTAGGTGATGATATTGGGATACCCTTCTTTCTCCTTATTGATTGGATGATATCGTTGATTCGGAGGTTGAATAATATGGACGACTGTGAGGATTTTACGACGATGATGTTTTTTTTTGAGATTGTATTAGCGTTTTTCTGTTTTTGCTTTGATGCACCTTTACCCACCCATCTATCCCCTTGAAGTCACTTATGCCCTGAGTCCAATTGCTTACATTCAGTCTATTGATTTAAGCCATATGGACAAAAACAGTGGAATGATACTAAAACTTGATCTATACCTACTAATCAATTAGGACTCAGGACTTTCATATTCTCTTCTAAACTGTATATAAGATCGAATCTATACTCCATAATATAGCATACCACTGCTTATATGTCACGAAAAATCACCAAGTCTCCTGTCTATACCTCCCCTCCCCTTCCATTCCCAAAAGATAAGCTTCAGCATCCTCTCTCTCTTTCCCTCCAACCTCCACAAACACTTCAATAAGTGCCTCTCTCACCGCTTGCGGCATTCTTCCTGAACTCCTGTATAAGAAAACCCCGTTATCATTAGTCTAAACCGTTCATAACGCATGCTTGGGAAGGGATATATATACTAACCCACAAACATAAACAAACCCACCCATCTCCCCGACCAACTTCCAAACCTCTTGTTTTTCATCCTTAATAACATGTTGAACATACCTCTTCCTATCCTGGTCCCTCGAAAACGCTGTTTTCACTTCAAATACCTCGTTCCCAAATCTCTTACTTAACTCACTCCACTCGTCTCCAAAGTAATTATCCAGATCTTTACCTCTACACCCAAAAAACAATAACGTCTTCGCCGGTCTTAACCCGCCATTATTATCACTGTCGTCAGATAAGTGCTTTTCAACACCAATCATTCTTTCCCATACCATCGCTCTCATGGGTGCAACCCCCGTACCGGGTCCTATTAGTATTACCGGTGTTGAATGTTGTATCTTTTTCTGAGATGAGGTACCGAGACCGCCTTTGGTGATTGTGGCGTTTAGAGTGCACCCGGGGGTTAGGGACGAGATGTAGCGGGTACACATTCCGCGTCTGATGCGTTTTATGACGGTGCGGTATTTTACTATTGCGATTAGGAGGTCGAGGTGGTATACTTTCTCCTTTTCTCCTCCTTTTTCTTCTTCTGGTTTTTTTTCCGAAACCGATGGAAGGGAGGGGAGGGGTGAAGAGTATTGATCTGCGGCGCTGGCGATACTGAATAATCTTCCCTTGATCTTTGGAATCATTTCGACGAGGTATTCTAGCGGGACTTTGACACTTCCGAATTCTTGGAGGACTTCTAGGATACTCCTTCTCGGTCTGGTGGTGTAATCGAATAATTCTTCGGCATACAGTGGGTTCGTAAAGTCGATAAGTCGCTCCTTATGCGTTTCATCATCCGTGAAAGCCGCGCAAAAAGTGAAAAAACTGCGACGGGGGATAGCGGTGATATCGAGGTGGTGGGTTAGTAGAGTGCGAAGGGTTAATGGTGTTATAAATGTTGAGGAAGAAGGGGTTATGATCAGAGGTTGGTCGGGCGAGATGTTGAAATTTAGGATTTCGAGAGCTTCGGAGACGACTTCTGGGGGGTTTGTGGCGAGGATACTTATTGCGTCACCTGGTGAGTGGGATAGTGGGGTTGAGGAGGTGAACGATAGTAGACGGGTATCTTGGAAGTGAGTATTTGGGGTTAAACGATCGTTCTTTGATACTGTAAGTTTGAAAGAGTTGGGTCCGCGGGGGAGTGTTAAGTTCTCTGAATAGGATTCGTCTGAGTAGATTGGTTTTGAAGTATCAATCGATACCCGGAATTTGGGAGGTAATAGTTGGTGATCCGGGATTGGTGATATTCCGTCTGGTAGAGGGAATAGTTCTAGTAGCTTTGAAGTTAACCCTGAAACCCAGGGGATTAAAGTGCCGTCTATCCTAAATTTATATCCATTTTATATTAGTCTGAGGTCATAGAATCAATGAGGGTATTGAAGTATACGTACCCTTCTTCATGCTGCACATCCCCTTCCCCTCTAATATAGAACTCCTGTGCCCCAAGCTGTAGCAACCGCTTATGTAACTTCTTAACCGCCCAATTAAATCTACCATTCCAATCTCGACGTAGTTTAGCCATCCACCCGATACGCCGGTTTTCATACACCAATCCTATTATTTCCGGAGGGGAAGTCATACTTCGGATATGTACTATCCCCCAACCCAAACGTCGAGAAGCTCATATGAGAAAGTAAAGTTGACGGTAACTTCTTTCTTAATAGAAATCGCCAGAACTTTTGCATGTTCTCGGGAACGTCTCCTTGTCCTGTTGTTGGACACATGAAGATTGCGAGGGGGGTGGATAATAGTAGTTTCTATAGCAGAACTTGTTTAGTAACTTAATATAATATTTCTTTCTTCTCGTAAAAGGTTTAAATATAAGGAGGTCATACCGGCTCGAATAAGTCCATTTCCACGATTCTGACTTTAAAATGTAACCGCTCGAGTGTGCGCCCCAGTTCTTCGGCATAGTCTTCTGTTGTGCCTGTTTCTGAGGCGTATAAGAGTGTTATATTGCGTCCTTCCATTGTTCAAGCTTAAGCCTCTTTTTTTTGATCACCAAACCAGCTGTTGGACAAGAAAAGATAACTTTAAAATCTCTAGTTCTTCAAGAGATTTAATAATTATAATCCCTGCTTTGTCATCGCGGGTGTTCTAGCCCCTTGTCCTGGCTCGAGTAATTAAGTAAGTAGTTGTCGCAGTTAAGTTTCTCCGACGTCGGTAAATTGGGGTGGTTGTTAGCTTTGAGCTTTAGTCGAGCTAAGCTTGCCGAGAAAATGCAGGGACGTCATACAACCAACCAGCCTAAACCTCTTTCAACCTTCTACCTTCGACCTTCAATCCTCAACCTCACGCGACGACGAACCTCGAAAAACATCACCATTTTTTATATCATCACCAGCTTCACCAAAAAAACCCGAATCAGCCCTCGAAGATATCCAAATTTATTCTCCACCTCATCGCGATCCAAAATCTTCAATTTTCCCGCGTTGACACCCAAAAACGCGGTAGTTATAGCTATCAAAGATGGTCACAATCTTCACCGCCCCCCTCGCGACTCCCTCCCAACTTTCAACCTCCCCATCACAGCTCGTCGGAATCCCCGAATCCGTCGAACAAAAACTCCGTCTGGTGGCTTGTAGATTAATCCAAGCCGCTGCTATATTAATGGAACTGTATGTTCAATTCCCGTCTCTTCCATGTCGTAGCAAATACCAGCTCGTAGTGCCAGTGGTAGCAGCATACTAACTTTATATATATAAAAAAAGTCCCCAACCAACAATCTCAACTGCCATCATCCTCCTCCAACGCTACTACCTCACAACCTCCCTAACAGCCTCCCCACTCCTCCAAACCTGTCAAGCATCACTATACCTCTCCTCAAAACTCACAGAACACGCCCAAAAGCCTCGTGATATAATCAACATCTTCAAATACCTTCTATCCCCAGCATCACCTTTACACCCTCCACACCTCCTCCCAAAGGATCTAGAAAACGAAGATGGAACACCAGGGGCAAAGAAAAAGAGTAACAAAAGCCTATATTACGTCTCAGAAGGCGACTATACAGCTCTAAAATCCCTGCTATTATCAACAGAAGCAAAGATTCTTAGAGCATTGGGGTTTAACACTACCGTTAATCTACCATATAGCTTGGCATTTAACTACCTACAATCCCTGGGTGTTCTATCCGAGACATCTACGCCATCTTCCCCGCCAAACTCAGAAAGCCCATCAAACCCCCTCCAACATTCAAAATTAATATCAACCACATTCGCGTATTTGACAGATTTATTATGTTCGCCGTCGCAGGTATATCTAACACATCATCCGCATGAATTGGCTGTTGCGGGGATATATCTGGCGGCGAGGGATCATGGGGTGAAACTACCGGAAAGGTGGTGGGAGGTGTGGGATGTTGAGAGGGAGACGTTGGGGTTTTTGGTGGTGGTTTTGAGGGGTGGGACTTATGGTAATGATGCGAAGAAGGTATGGATTGTAGAGGAGGGAGACTTTGAGGAAGTCGAGGGAGGGGAGGTGGTGGCTATCGGGGCGGGCAGTGTGGAGAAGGAGGTGGAGAGGTTGAGGGATCTGTAATATACTCTCTACTTATTGTACTATATGACCCAAGGGGTTCTAGGGGATATGACTATGCATTTTAGCGAATTTGGGTTGGAGTTTATAGGCTATTTACTTAGTACTTGATTTGGTCTTTATCATATCAGGAAGACGATATTGAATTTTTAACGCGTAAAGCCAGATGCAACCGAGACAAGAACAACCGATTGCTCCTATGATAATTCACATTATACGGCATTACCTCACTACCACGTGGGTAATACCAGAAAGCAAAATAGCACCGCCTTCTTCTATAATCAAAGCCGACCTCCGGTCCAAACCAGTTCCCCTCATTGTCTTATTTCTATACCAGATTCTCTTCAAGAATCAAAAAATCTTATCCCCCCAAACTGGGGTGACAAGAAACAAGGGTTAACGTAAACGTTTAGAACCTCCTTCCACCCATCCTAGCCCCTCCGCTATTCTTCAACAATCCTCCAAGCGTTCCCATGAGCCCACCTCTAACTCCCATTCCACCTCCAAACCCACCGAAATCATCACCAGTACTATCATACCCTCCAAACTCCATCATCCCGCCCCCTTGTCCACCAGGGCCACCGGCACCAGGACCACCCCTCTCCCGGCCACCTCTACTAGCCTCTACAGCTCCAAATTTCCTTCCAACTTCCTTTGAAATCTCAATACTCGATGTAACAGCACCCAAGAGCGCAACGAGGTGGACGTCACTGAGTTCTGCTAGAGATTCTGATGAAAGGCTAGACTCTGCTGTTGCTGGTGGTTCGAGTAGTGGGAGACGGTTTGTCAGCGAGAGGAGAGAACGGAGGAGGGGATGGGAGATTTTAGGTTGTTGAGGTGATGGAGTTGAGGAGTTTGATTCGATGGAGCGGAGGTAGGCTAATAGGAGTGTTAGACGGGAGTGAAGCATTCGAACGGCATTTGCTTTTGCTGTTAGAGTAGATAGTACTATATCACGAAAGTTAGTAAGAAGTTTCCTAGATGAATGGGTATATATGAAGAGAACATACATTCTTGGGTTTGTGTGGGCAAAGCAATACTTTCAAAAGTAACCTCTTTCTCCTCCTTAGAAGATGAAGCCTCGGTTACCTTTCCTTTTCCTTTAGCTTCCTTTTTAGACTCATCCTTTGAGGATATCCCAGGTGGTTTATCTTCTTTCGAATTCCCAGTAGCCTTCCCACCAGTTTCATCACCGGCATTCAAAGGACCCTTTGCAACCTGATCAACACCAATCATTTCTGCTTCCCCGGTTTCAACGGTATAATCCAGTTCCGTGAATTTCATCTTAAGAACTTTCGTCTCTGGAGTATCCCCTTCTTCTTCATATACTGATTCGTAGATTGTAAGAGGTAGCTTCCCACCATTGGAAGTTGATAAAGCTGACGGGTGAAGGGCCAAGAAGATGAGAGATTCATTGTGAGTTAGGAGCTGTGTCTGAATGTTTAACTGTAGTTGACGGGGGAGATGGTTCGGTGGTGGAGGTAAATATGTGAAGTGCCCGATGAAGTCAAGGGTTGGGTGGACGTCCTTGACTATCCTCATCCCATAACCACCACTAATTAGCAAACCAAAGAACCAATTATTCCGAACAAGGAGGGATGCATACACTGCTTCAACTTTTGTACAAACCAACTCTCATCGACCCTAACATTCTCTTCTCCATCCGTATCCATCTTCCCATCTTCAACCGGCAAATCGATGAGCTTGAGCTCATACGCGTGTTCTATGGAAATCTCTCTTCCATTCTGTGAGCCTAATAAAGCTCCGACGATAGGTCCCTTGATCTGTCGGAGTGTATGACGGGAAACGTAATCTGAGATCGTGAGTAGTGCGAGTGGATGTAGTGAGATTTTGAGCCCGGAGGTGGAGGCATGAGACGATATGAGGGGGTGTGGGGGTTTCGCGACGGTCATGGCGGGCAGCTATCTACGATAAGTAACTACGAGGGTTTCGGTATTCCGTTGGAGCACCTTGGGGAGGCGCTCTGGTTGAATATAGATATTGTGCGGATGGTTAGATGAGAGCGAGTACAATGTTGACGATGGCGGTTGATGTTTAGGAAGACGTGATGTTTGGACGCGGAGAAGGAGTGAATGTAGCTTGGTATGACTGGGAAGCTGCACTTTGGTAGCTCAGAGATGTGGCGGTGCATCTGGTTGCTAGGTATACGCCACATAAATACCGTCTACAGCACCGCCACATACAGATCTCCTTGAGACTAAGATTACCTCAAGGAGCATCTCCCCTCGAGACTAAGAATTTACTTGCGGCTTTTTAAGTGCCTACCAAGCACCCAGATAAGTTACTGAAGACTCATTGAACAAGTAGCTCCCTAGGTATCCTATATACACATACGCCTTGATTCGCCCCTAACCCACCTCTACATCACCAATCATCACCCCAGTCATCATTCTTCTTTCCACCAGCTCCGCTACCACCACCGGCCTTCTTAATCCCACTGGTTCCGATGGCGCTATTCTTAGCTGTTGGTTTATCATCATCCCATTCTGAATCACCAAACGAATCCCAAAAGTCCCTTTTCTCAGGTTGGATAGCCTGATAGTTCCCACGAGCTTGTTGATCGATCATTCTGTTGAATGTATCCGCCCCAGTTTTCGCTGTTGTGGCAATTCCACTGCCAACTTGTAGAGCAGTTCGCTGGACGTTACCTGCAACATCTGATTCGGCGATCTATTACTATCATTAGCTATTTCCCCTTTGTCATCCTCAGCAGAACATTGGGACATACCATCTTAGCAGTGGGTTGTACAAACCCCTCGTTGACTTGTTTAGCTCCTTTAGCTACCGAACTAGTAAAGAAACCCCACCCCTTCGTCAATGCCCCCACAGGGTCCTTGGTGACATCATCCCACCCTCCAATACCTCCATTCGACGGCTCTTGCAACGGTGTACTTCCAAATCCCGAGTACTTCCCTCCTTGATTTGGCGGTAAATCCTCCCTTCTACCGGCATTCTCAGCCCCCATTTTCTCGAAATAGGATTCATTTCTTTGCTTCTGAGTCGTAACGGCAGGACTTGAGGACCGTGGTGTGCCAGCATTGCTATTGCTTCCACTGCCTAACCCACCCGTTCCAGTCCTCCTCACATTTTTATTAATAGCAGGTGTAGCTTCCCGTGGTTTTGGACCAGTCCATTCGGTACCCTCCACCAGGCAGGTTAACTTTTCTTTATAATCCTCGGCGAACGGTGCAGAATATCGTTCTGCGACGGACATGGACGAAGAGTATTCTGGACAGGATTCGAAGTATTCTTTTAGAGTCTTGTTACCGCCGTGGGTCATTCGAAGAATTTCGGAGGTTTTGAATTGGTCCATTGTTATCGAGCGGACGAAGGAGATGTGTACGCCTAGGCCTCTGTTATTGAGCGATTAGCGATGGCTTACCGGAAGTAGAAGTATGGGACAAGAAACCTACCGGTGGACACCAGCGCAGCTAAGGCATAAGAAGATACCGAATTTGGGAGATGCCTGGACGTAGCATTTTTGTTAACACCTGGCCCATCGAGACCTGTCCTACCTCTGATCGACCAGGGGTGGTGGTAGAGCATATCGTACCCATTGAGGACTCGGAGAATCGCAATCGACGCAAGAGCCGTTCCCGGGCTTCTTCTGTAGCTCTAGAAGCTATATTATCGCCATATCCATGTTAGCCTCTGTGTTTTCTGTACCCTGGTCTATATTTGGTGATAGCTTGGAGAAGACAGATAAGCTCCTTCTGTACCTTTCGACGAGTCTCTGGGTCCACCTCCCACATGCCGGAGGAGGCCATGATGGATTAAAAGGACGCTTATGAGTTGAGTAGCGACAGCGGTGTGGCTTATGACTAGAATTTGGCAGTTCCTTTGAAGTAGTGTAATTGAAGGTTGTGGATATAGTGAATGGTGGTTAGAGCTGGTCGAGGAGGTTGAGACAGGGGCCATTCCTCAGAGCAGGTCTCGTGTTGCCAAGCGCTTCACCAGAATAGCTTGGTCGCGTGGCGGGAGGCAGGTGTAACCGGTAAAGTGGCTAGTGTATTGTGGCTGAGGAAACGCGGTCTAGTCTGAAGCCTGGATTGGGATGCTCTTGTCGAAATACAACAATTCCAATTTGTAGAGCCTCGTCGCGTGTTGCGCATGGGCATGGAACAGAACAGTCTCCGCACTCAAGTCTAGAAACGAGGCTAGGGTCACAGTAGTATAATAAGAGCAAGCTGAGGGTAAGAAATTGTGATGGCACGCTGAGCACTCGAGTATCCTTGCGAGGATATCTGCCCCATGCTAGAAATGCTCACGATACTCGATTACGGATTTAGGTGTGCTGTCTAAGCTAAGGCTCTAGTGGACGATTGGACATGGGCTGGTCCGGCTCGGCCCAGAGTTCGGATTAACAATCAATAACCCTCAAAGCCGATTAACATTACCAAAAGGGCAAAAAGAGAGGGCGAAAGGAATACAGGAAACAAAATTTCACCGTGGCTTAGATTATATAGGATGGGCTCTAGAGCTCCTAAGTTTGCCTTCGTAAATTTCCAACCATCACAACATGTGGGGTCATTTCATGGCGGAGGAACGAAAGAAAAGAAAAAATTACAACCCGACATTGCGATCTACACTAGATCCCATCTCAATAGTATAATCGTGTATTGCAGACGAAAGCTAAGGGTTCTGATCAAGGCTGCAAATGCGTACCTGGGCCACTTACTATCATGATTGAATTTCTAGGAAATTCCGAGTTCCTACCGGAAGGATGTACGTACTCAGCTGATCAGATAGGATTCACACACTTAAGGTGCCGCCGCGCGCGCTTTATTATTTTTCATTCCCTGGCGTTGAAGCAAAACCTAAAAGTGCAAACCACCAGGTTTACCTCGAGGTTGCAAGTTGTTCAGCCCAGGCCGAGAATGACAAACATGCATACAATGAAGCCGGGCCGTGCAGTCTCGCCCCTAGGTTGCGTTGCATACTATATATGCGCATCTGGCCCTTATTTACGATGAAACCTAATCCTTGGGTTGGGAAGTCTGCGGTGATTTAGTCTGGCTGGTGCCCTGGGCGTAGCAACAACAGCACTTATCAAGGTGGAAACCCATTTTGGGGCCTAGATTCTTGAATATGTTGCTTCCTGATGTTCGACGGACCAGCTATTAGGCGGTGCAGTATACGTAATTGAATCAGCAAATGGCTCAAGAATGACATGTACTAACTAAAGGCTCCCAGTAAGGCTATCCGATCATCGTTATCTATACTTTGACCAACATCGAGGCCTCCTCTCGAGTGCTCCCCACAGTTTTTGACCAGCCTCAACGTTGAAGTTGGCCACTTCTGCATAATCCGTGTTCAAAGTTCAAAAGCTTGGAGGTCTAATACCTCCCAAAGCATCTAAACCGAGCCAGCTCTGCTAATTTCTCTATATTCCGGGAATCGCTCGAGCGCTCATCTCTGCCTTGGCTATTCACAGTTCGGATGTAGTCACCGATTCGCCCGGACCCTGTCAATAGAAGTAACTAGGAGATTCCCAAACCAACATTATTCAGGATTTTGCTTCGCCCGTATAATGGATACATACACCGCCCTTGCAAATGTGGAGATTGGAGCTGTCAGTCGATACCATGACATTCACAGTGATATCATTGAGGCTTTGCAAAGTTGCTCGCGCTCGAGACTTCAAACTCTAGATCCACCAAAAAAGTAAAGTAAAACGCGTTTTTGCGACCTTAAGCCTTGGGTACGTACGGCGCACATATACATATGTACATTTGTGCGGTAGCACGGCGCATCGCCGCAACCTAATGAACAAATGCAACCTTAACTTAAGTTAGGCTTATAGCACGTCCACAAGGCTGCTAGAATTAAAGAAAACGATTTTACTTCGTAATCCCGGAATTCCCTTCATACCGAGCACTTTTTGCGAAGGTCATTCCTGATACATCTGGATCGGTTAAGATCTTGTCTTGCTTCATCTGAATGACTCTCGTGCGAATACTTCACCCATCCTTGTAAAATCCCGGTTCCTTCCCATAGCCTCTATTAGTTTCGTGGGAATTTTTGATTTTTGGTCTAATTTACTATGGTTGGAGGCATCCTTATCGGTTGAAAACAGTAACTAACCGAAGCAGCTAGCTGCAGACTGCCTACCTTTGTGGCGTCTGGGAACGGAACCTCTGCAGGCCGCCGTCATTTCTTTTTCAGGATCTCTATCTATATTTATACCCTTCCCTCGGCGCCCGTTCCTACATCACAACTCAGCTCAGATACCTATGATCTCACATGAGTAGGACTCTAGCTACGATACGGAGTCGTCAACTTTATAAACTAACCAACCGCTCAATAACACCTTTAAAGATCAAAGATCCACAGTTTAATTCAAGAGAAGTATTAGGATTGGACCCCTGAGATACATATTCGCAGTTCTAATCAACAGAACCACAGACTAGTCGACTTCTATTTGCGCACTCGAGGCTACTCAATCCGAAAAGTTGACAGTATCCAGGTCGCCTTCAGGGAATCTGTAGGATCTCTTGGCATGTTTTGGAAATACTCTCGATTTACTGTTGGTTCTGTGGCTCGCCCTCGAATGCTCAAGTAGAGGCTGAGACCGTCACTCCAACTTTATTACATACCCTATCCTTCCGAATATATCGTCGCCGTATCCATATTTAAACCATGGACTCGCCTGGCTACCGAGTAGCTGGCTTGGCGCAAAATTGCAAATATCGTGATGTCTCCTATTTCCTAGGAAAGAAAAGGGTTGTTCGCAAAGATGAGCGCTGGTCGATCTACTACTTTCCAAAAGATGTAGTTGATAGTACACTTATTGTGCGCGCCACTGATCATATCGATGCCCCTAGTGAGCCAGCCTCAGCCACATCAAGCACGACATCTGCGACGCCGCGTAAAGCATCGGAAGCAGCAGCAATACAAACTCGAACAGACACTATTAGTATTGCCGAGGTATTAAGATGCGTGCCCGAGTGCAAGCAGTGCCAATCCTTCCCAATCCCTTACCCAAGGGCCAATATCCTCGCCAATGAAATTATCAAGGAGGGAACTACTCGTAGTGTTCGACTGTTGGCGCTTCTTTGCTGGCTAGGCACTCCATACCTCTTCGAACCCCTTTATAGAAGGGGCGTTCGTGATAGAGATTTGATTCCAAACCGCACATCCAACCTCATCACGCAACTTAAAATCCTCATCGATGAGAATAAAAACCTAGACTATTTTCCAGCAATGGGAGTGCCGGGTCAAAGTTACGGGGCTGTTAAACCAGAATCTCAAAAGATGGAAGAGTTCGAAGCGTTCAAAAAAACGTACGATGAGGCTGTGCGGCACTTCACCCTCCGTAGCTTTCCCTCTGAATGGAATCTTCAAGAGATTTGTGAACCCGGCCAAGAAATCCTCCCTATCATGGATAAGCAGTTTGTCGGAGCCGGGAGCTTTGGGCAAGTGTTTAGCTTCTCGGTTCATCCCTCTTATGATAAAACCCTTAGCTCAGCTCAAAATCAGAGCCTTCAAAAGGTAAGTGTATCCTCGTCTTATTCCTTTGATAAGTGTACAAGTGTCTGGCCCCAAGGCTATATTATTCCTAGTTTAAATTATATGACGCTAACTTTGTGATTATATTAGCCCAAGAAATATGCTATGAAACAGATTCCCAAAAGGAGTAGAACTGAAAGGATCTTGGAAGACCCGGAGAGTATCGCAACAGAACTGGCTCAGGATCTGAACAATTCAAGTATCGTCAAGTACTACTGCGCCCATGAAGACTCAGAGAACCTTTATCTCACTTTTGACTTTATCCCCTACACTTTGAACAGCATCTTCGATGGCTGCCCCACGCTCCCGCCTGCTTTGAACTTGCCTAATTTGCATCCAGGTTCATCACAGAGCGAGGGTGGTGTTTTGGATACTACGCTCTGGAGGGGTATGGAAGGTGTGATAAGTGCATTGAATGACTTGCAAAACAAGGACCGCAAAAAGATTTGCATACATCAAGATATCAAGCCCACCAATATCCTTGCTAATGAACAAGGGAAACTCTTCATCTGCGACTTCGGACTTGCTAGCTTTTCTTCTCGCGTTGAAAACCCTCATCATTATACGTCCGGTAAAGTGCCAACGAACCACGCGGAAGATGGGACCTATGCGCCGCCTAAATTAAAAAACTCTAAACAGATGTCCCGGACTCCAGATATGCAGCTCGCCAAGGGCGATCCCGCGTACGATATATGGTCACTTGGTTGTTGCATGAACGAGCTGGTAGTCTTCCTTGCTGGATTTGACACACCCGACGGCGTTAAAGTCGGGTCAGACGGCGTCAAGGCATTTCGTGAAGCTCGTTTTAAAAATACAAATCATCAGTTCTGGAATTTGTCAAAATCTCAAGAACCCCAATTATGCCCAGCTGTCGAGGGTGTTTTGAAAGACATTTCGAACAGACATAGTCAAGACCTCTATCTCACGGGCATGATTTCTATTATTCGGGGCATGCTTAAAGTTAATCCCGCAGAGAGGCTTCTATCAAGTGAAGTACTTCAACGAATAAACCAGCTCCGCGACGAAGTTTCGAAAAACGGCAACAACAGGGTTGGCACAATCGGGGGTGACTCAAAGCGTATCTGGCTAGAGAACCGCCGTGCACAGACAAATGCAGAAATAAAGCCTATCTTTCCATCAACTCGAAACTCATCGAAACTTACCATCTACAATATTGCAAGAATGTAAGGTGCTCAATTATCCTGTCGTCTCAGACGTGTTGAGCCCTAATGCTAATTAGGAGTTTCATCTAGGGACGATTTCACTGTCAGTGACGCGATACCTGGGTATGAGTTACGAAATTCGGTGCCCCCATGCCCTAATCTTGACCAGCCAGAGCTCAGAACTGTTCGGAATCCTAGCCTCCCAAGAGGGGAGCAGATTCTTCTTTTATGGCTCTGGGGGCCATTTGAGTTCACATATCAACTCGGAAGCTCCTTCGATGGGTTGAAGATCATATCTCATGTAAGTTTTTCTAATCCTACCTCTGGCAAAATATGGCGATTAAATATTCGATTTGAAAGCCAATTACTAATATATGAATGATACTTTCCGAGAATCAAAGCTTATCGCAAAGAGGAACGGGTCTACCCGCTACACCTTTACAAAAAGCACTTTAATAATGTGTTTTCGTTCAAAGAAATACAGCCTACTTTCAGATTTCATATTGAAGATCATGCAGGTAAGATTTAATATAGCTTCGATCTCGACCTGCAGATCTGATATTTCATGGCTCGCAAGCATATCGCTCCTAAATATCTAACACATCGAACAATAGACTTTAATCGACTCTTTTATCAAAAGATGATAGGGGTTCAACTCTGTAAGGATGACTACGGGTAAGACTAAAGATCCTAGGTTTTAGACCTCTAGTGCTTCTAAAATTACGCTTTTAGGTCAAATCTCTAATCCTGCCCAATTTATATTTAGATCGTTGTCCCAATTAAAGTTTACAACCGTTCAGATCTATCAAGGGTCCTCAAAAACTAAGCCTCTCGATAACACTATGCCAGGTAGCGTATCAAGCGACCTCGCTGCATGTGTGCAAATATGGGTTCCTATATCACATCGCGACTCGAGTCCTCCAGTACAGATTTCAACAACGGATAATGAGCCGTCGGGGTTAATTTCCCCTGTGACCCAAGAAGTTCCGTCACGATCACCTCCTACTAGCGAGGAGCCTGCAGCAAATTCTCAAGAGGATCTGCCTCTAGAAGGGGCTTCGAAGTTTTGGTTGGTAATATTTCGACCAGACTCACGTGATTACCTTACGATACCCTGTGAGTGAACATCAGGCCTTTGACTAAGCGCCCATATCACCATTGGAATGAAGATATTGATTACTAACCGATGTTGCTGTATTTTATAGGCGAGAAATTTCAACTAAAGGTCAAGAAATCTGAGAAGGAATGCTCTGTGACATTAAAGCGGAATAGAAAGTCAAACCGTGGAGGCTTTATATTCTGTTATCAATTTGTTGCAGGGCCGGAGGACCATGGAGTCCCGTCCATACCGACGAGCCTCGATGTTCTTATTAATGAGGAGCGAAAAAAGCTGGAATCGTCAGCCGAAACGTTCATCAAAGCTAAATCAATTGTCATCAATTTCGAGGCTCCAACGTCGAACAGTCAGGCTATTTTTATGATTACAGTATCATTACTCTTTGAGGATCGCAGGTAAGCTGACCGAACGAATATTTAGCAGCTATACCGGATGACTGTACCCGGTTCACTGACGCCTTGAAGTCCGCTCTTGGGTCTTTCTCGGATTGATCGATATAATTCGTCGAACGTAGTATTTGAGACTGAATTCAACTTCAGCCGAGTACTTGAAAGAAAACAAAAAAAAATTCAAAAAGAAAGTTACGAAAAAAAGGGTAAAAAATAAAACTTGAAAAGGAAGTACCTGTTGGGATTGTGGATGGGATTGAGAAGGGTTTGAGGAAGACTGCCATGCGCGGTACGAACCATAGTGATATTGAGTTAAGGGTGTATGTGTGGAGGATTGGCTATAATAAATGCTACTTTGTTTGCGGTTTCAGCTAGTCAGTTTGTGATCTTGGAAGTATTTTGTCGCTTATTTTTTGTTAGATACATGAGCACCTAATTAAAAAGTCGATTCAACATCTACAACCTGCTTCTTCTGACGCCTTCTAGTAAAAAGGTTCTTGAGATTCGATCGATATTGCCACACGTACCACCCACCAACAACGGCGACAGTTAAAGGTATTGCAAGTGCTAAGAGCAAGAAAATTTCTGGCTTGGCTTCTAATTGGAGACTGCCATTTGGTGTCTTTGTGACTGATATATAGTCCAGATCAAGAAACCCCTATATATTCGATCCATTGGGTATACAATTATAATTAGTAATGTAAGCTTTGAATCTTAGCTATTTATAATACTCACGACTATAAAGGTAGCTGGTAGGAAAATAAGAGCGAGTAGTGTTATCGATTTCATGATTTGGGCCTCGCGAATGCTTTGCGAAGTTAATGCCGACGTTTCATCTGCTGCGCGTTTAGAAAGTCTGGCAAGGGTTTTTATGACATAACTATCTCGTTGACTAGCAATATCTCGAAACTATATGACGGTTAGCTCAAGGAGCTAGCTTGTAAACTAAACGCTACCACCAAGTAGTATTTTTCAATGGGCCCAATAGCATTTGTGGCACGACGCAAACAACAACTATGCATGGGGAGGTGGGTGCAAACCGTGAAAGCTGCTCTTGATGCTCTTTCCAATAAGCATGTAACATTTTGGAATGCAAAATTCTGTCCGTAAATGCAGTTTTTAATACTCTCACTGAGACTATGATATCCATTCCTGTCGTTTTCGCTCAAATCACCTTTCTCATGCTCATACGCCTCCTTCATATGGCAAGATAGCTTATCCACCGTTTCAACGTTTAATTGAAGTGCCTGTTTCGTACGAATTAACCAGTCAATTGTTGACTGACACTCTTGTATTTTGTGAAAAATTCGCATTTGGATAGCGTTATCCTCTTCTTGATCCGATGAAGAAAGTTGGGGGAATAGTGTCTCCGCAGCCTGGACGAGGTCATAATTTCGAAACTTTTGTCAGATATTTTCCACTAAGTCTGTAAATCCCGATTTTATTCCTACTAAAAAGAAGCCCGATGCGAGGATATAGAGGGGAAAGCGTAATCAATAATTTCATCGTACCATAGTAGCGACCGTTTCTTCCATATAGTTAATAAAATTTTTCCATTCGTCTTCTAATGCAATTAAAACCAGCGAGTGGATAGTAGTCCAGTGCTGAAGATACTTCAAAATACTACTTTCAGCGGTCGAGTCGCGAACGAGTGTATCGAGTCGATCTGTAGTACCTCCTGAAGAATGAAGGATGATATTTGTCTCTGTTTTTAAGTCAATGGACGAATTTTGACAAATGGCCATTTGTCTGATTGTCCATGGCATCTTCGATGTTTCCCGTCTATGGAGTTCGGGGTGCCTAAGGATATATGTACATCCAGAACCTAAAATTTTGACGATCACATATTAGATTACTCGCGAAATTTATTGACAACGAAATAATATATATGCACGCTATTCCTGTTGTTCAGAATACACATTAGAGGTATTGACGCACCTAGAATTCGGCATGAAAGTTTGTCATCGCGAAGCTTTGTAGTGCTCCTAGAATTGAGGCAGCTACAATTCACTCTAGACCAAAAGCAACCAAAACCTGCGTCTTTGTATTTGTTCCGGTCGCCAAACGCCGTGAATGGGGTAAAAAACTCCGCAGGGGCTTCAGTTACATCAAAAAAGTGTAAAATTCCAGTATCGGTTGTTTGAAGTTTGCCTAATGAATGTGTAGCGGATACACAGCTTGTGATATCGCAGTCTCATGAATACGGCTTGAACATACTCTAACGCAAGGCCATTGGTGTTGGGAAGGATATACATACAGTATCCTTGTAACCGAATCATCAGGTGGGCCAGACCTTCGTCTCGTCTCCATCTCCATCGCAATATCCTATTGGGGTTGTTAGCTCGTAAAGTCATATTGCCTTCCTAGCATCACCGGGTTGCGCTCAAACTCCGTGGATCTGAGGTCAGGACTTGAAAACTCGAGGGGATATTTGCTTTCTTACCATACAATGGCCCCTCAATTGTTTTTCGTTTTGTATCAATTCTCTTGATATGGCTAGCCCGGTAAGTTAGTCGGTTGATGTACTCTATTTGTTGAGACCTATATGTGGATGATATCGTCTACCTGAACTAGATCGGATGTCAATAATCCGCATATTGATGTTGTTATTGCTCCCATGGGGTCGGAACAAACGGGGTGCCTCTCGATCAAATAATTGTTCATTGAGCTCGCACTGAGAATACTTGACGTAATCGACCGTGGAGGCCGACTCTTCGAGATAATACGGCCACGACATTTTAAGGTACGAATAATTGGCCTATAATTTGCAAATTTTCGTGATCGCATTGGGCTCTGCGTTAAGAGGATAAGGCTTATAATGTGGAAACTGCGACAGTTCGATTGGGACCCTAATATCGATAAATATATGTATCGTTTACGGAGCAGCGAGCGTCGTGATACTGTGGTAAGTTTTGAATTACGATAGTAGGAGGCTACAGGAGGAGTCTGCCAATGGCCTGACCTACATCCAGCGACACAATATATATACGTGTAAGAAAGGTGGTAAGGAATTGGATCTCAAGTAGTTGCGGAGGTTAGGAAACCAAAAAAGGCCTATCGAATAGAACCTCTAAGCCTGAATGGAAAAAAAGGTGCCTTACAAACAACCTGCGTCAACTTGCTTCGACGAATTAAACCCGACATCCCGTAGGTATATAAGCACGAGGCTAACAATTTGGGCAAACATTACATGAATTGCGGGTCTCCAATTATTGCCAATTCGACGCGCGCGCACATAGGAAAAAGAAAAAGAAAATCCTTGACACGACTATTGATCTCGTCGAAGATATTTTTCTAATACCTTCGTTTAACACGCTTCGAAGCAGGGTCCATCTTAATTATTCTTTCTTCTTGTTGGTTCTCTTGCGCCCGCAGATCCGCAGATTGCTCTCTCAACACAGAAATCCGGAGCTTTTATGAATGCAACATTAGGAAGGATTAGCAAGGCAAAGCTCATATTCCTCAAAATTTGCAAGATAGCAAGTACACAAATTACATCGATGCTCAAGGTTTTGACTATAGCTTACCTTGGAGATTCGTTCCGGTGCCAGAACGCTCGTGTAATCTTTCTGTATCTTCTATATCCGGTTCCATAGTTTAAAAAGGTTAGCAAACTACATGAAGGAACGAATGGCGACTTGCGGACTGCGTTTGAAATTTGATAACACCACCACTAACCTCCGTGAAGACATCTGCAGTATTAAGTCCAAATTCTTGCTCTAAGAAGCTATCCCAAACTTCTTTTTTGATATACTGAAAGTCGTAGATGATGGTTTCGACATAACCAGTTTGTTTCATTATTCTCCGAAAGGTAGCGGTTCGTACGAGGGTGATTTCGTCACTCATTTTTGATTAGGTCCGGATAGGTTCTCGGTAGATACGATTGCGACTTGAAACTGCGCATCAAAGTTGCGAGATTGAAGACAGATAATCGGAAGATGAACAATAGTGTCTCAGCCTTCATTTTATTTTGCTCCGTATTGGAGCCTCACTGGGCCCGATTTCAAATCCTTCTTCTAATTGTTCCAATATACTTACCAAATCCTGGTTTTGTTAGTACCATATTGAAATGTGTGCTTTATACTTTATACTACAAAACTTGGTGTAGAAATGCGGGAAAGATATCCTGAGCGGGATACCACACCATCTCGTCAAAGGCGCATATCCCTGCACTTGGAGCTGCACGAGCCAGAATTTTCAGAAGGCTTTCGAATTTCTGCCACTTTTTGGTCTCGAGGCTATGGCCACTTTGCAGCTCAGCCAAGGTCATGATGCATGTATGATAATGTCGTAGTGTATGCACCATCAAGGACAATTGCCCTTTCATTGAATCGACAGAATCTTTCTATGAAATTCGCTTTTCTATGACAATGCGCCCATGAAGTAAACTCTTCGTCTATAGATCTCAATTTTTATCATGGCTTGAATTCATGAATTTTATTGCGCCAGATCCGCTACAGAAGCAGCCCTAAGTTTGTAAACTGTTTAACTCGGTGAAGCCAGTAAAGGCTTGAGCGTCAAAGCTTTAATAAGTGCCAAATTTGCAAATTGTGCTATACGGATCATGCACAATACCTGCAATGTTTGATTTGACCCCCCTTGTATAAAACTTTCTGGAAAAACAATAGATATTATGGGGATAAAATACAATAATTCAGCTTAATATCGCGATATCGGCGAGTGCCTGTAATATTTGCGATGGTTGTATATGTATTTGGTAATTGATTCAAGTATGAAGCATATTTCGCTGATACCATGTGGCACCACGCATAAATTTCTCGATGTATATAAAAGTTACAAATTAAATTTCTCCTACAGCTTTCAGAGAGCAGCTAATGGCATACAACGTGAGCTGAGATGTCGCTCCTAGTTAAGAAAGCTAGCGACGAGACAATCTGTCGCTATTATTTACTAAACCGCTGAGGAAACTCAAGGATAAATCTGCTAACCCGGCTAGATTTCTGGAGGATCCATTGAATAGGTGAATTATGCGGATTTCTGTATGCTTCCCCACTAAAGAACCAATCCCAAAATCGATTCGCAGCCGTGATTGTATATTCATTCTAGACTCGAAGTACGCTATCAGTTTCAATTTTCTCCGCTACAATGATCGCAGAAGCAGATTCCTTCAGTCGGTAGGGCTAAAATACGTACCGGGTATTTGAGCTCTAGCATTGTTCTTCTGCCAAATATCGGATCTGTTTTTTCTGCATCCTTCAATTCCCCTTCATACCCATTAACCCGCCAGCGCCAGCTCCCGGTCCAAAAAAACTTGATCATCGTGAAGTAACCGATTGCTAACCCGAATACACCAAAGTTAACTACCAGAAATACCCACCCTGGAATGGAAGCAGTAGGGTTGCAGTAAACAAAAGTTACAAGGGCGTATAAATTTGCAGACAGAGACCCTAATATTGAGATTAATGATAAGACCCAATTTCTTCTCTTCGCGAGTTTATTATTACTGTTTCGCCTGATACAGACGAAAGCGCATCGATTTTCGTAATCCTCGCTCTGGACTATTTTGGGCAGGAACCAAAATCCAACCACTAGAGGAACTTTAGTGGTGGTATCTCATTAGTACACAATGAATACTGTAATGTGTGGAGATTCTGACTTTATGGTAAATGAACATACTGATTAGGATACAGTGGCCATATGTCCGAATGTTGGCGACCAAAGTTATTCGTTCATCCCTATTCTTGATTGATGTTGCTGCCAAAATTAATATGCAAGAGAATATCCAGTGTAATAATACGCCTCCGGTGGGTGTACTACGGGTCTCGGATACTCTTGTCCAAAGTCTCGACCACGGTAGAATCATCGACTTCGCGAACACAAGCTTGACTAAAATATTACGATAAATATTGTTAGCTTTTGATTCCCGTTGATTATGTCCATGGGAAGATTCAATACCTCGCGCAGCCGTATATATGACTGAAACCAAATTCCCACAAGCTGAAATTGCTGTAACAATAGCCCATGTCCGGATTACTCTGTCACTGTTTCCGAAAAGCTATTTAAATTTTGTCGATTGTCAGCTTCACATGAGGTTCTCGGTGGATCAAGGGGAAGTGGGATTGAAACAGAGAAAGGCGTACACTAGCTACACTTTGAAAATCGTTCACATCCGATCTATATGCCAGGGTCTTGGTCAAGTTAGGAGGGGCTCGGCCGTTTAATCCGCTTGCGAGAGAGTTTTACGACACTTACAAAAAGTGTTCCAATTAAGCAGTAAAATATCCCCACCAACCCTATCGCTAGATAAGATCCGGTTTTCAAGTGGTAGTAGTCTTCCACTTCTCCTAAAACCTGAAATTGACTGACGTTATTATATTTACCCAGCTAGAATGATAATGCTCAGAGGAATTTTCGTACAAACGAAGAGTTCTCCCATCCCTGATAGGCAAAAAGAACGTAGAGAAACGCCAAAGCCCGACGATAACGAGGAGCCAGTTGATTAATACCGGGTGCCAATGGAGGTCCCCTAAGTTCTCCATAATCCTCCATAGCTCCAAACTTAACTGCAGAAATGATTCCTTTAACGAGCAACGCAAATAATACTCCAACCTTAAGGAAGGCAAATCCTTTGTTCAACCTGCGCCCAGCCTTAACAGATAGATAATTGATTAGACAGAATATCGTTACTACCCCAATGGCAAAAACGGTTTGTAGAGGGAGGCTAAGATATGCATTGCTACTTTCAGACAGTCTTGCGAGATTGGGGTCCGAAACTATTAAGATTTGGTGGCCGAACTGCATGCTATTCGCTTCGCTGTTGGATAAAAATACGAAATAGAATCCGTAGATCACAAAAGGAAGCATTTTTGGTATGCGCAGCATCTTCCATCGAAACTTCCGAGAAAGCTCGTCGATCTAGCGTGTAAGTTAGTGCTAATTCCATGGTTTCCTATTTGAATTTGTATATAACAATCTAGACATCGGATCGTATCTAGGGACTTACATAAATAAGTTCGCCGCCGTTGAAGAACCAAGCTTTGCCCAGTCCAAGGTATATGTATGTACTGTGAGAACGGATTATATTAGATGTGCCCCGACCCTATACCGAAGTAAATCTAAGGTTCGCAGGCTTATAAAAGCCGTAGACATACCTAAAAAATGTGTATACAAACCCAACCCACCAGAAAACTATTGCTTCCGATTTGCTCTGAGTATTTTGCAGAACTAGAGGCGGATACACTAGAATCCCGGTGCCGACCATATTGTTGATAATAAATGCGGCGACGTCCCATGCATTGAGTTTCGGGCTTCCAGAATTCGGACCTCCGGAAACCGCCTGTTTAAATCTACCTGTGTGAAATTCACCTTGGCATTGGTCTACTGAGTGAAGACTTTCGGGCCTTTCTACTGCCTGACTTTGGGTTTCTAGGCCAGTCCTTGATTGCTGCGGAGTAAGGTGTCCCATATCGGGACCTGGGATCGGAAGGTATGCGCTTTGATCAATTTCAGTGCCTTGTGGTATTTGTGGTGAAATAACTTGAGGTTTTTGGTTTTCGTTAGGCTGAAGTAACGATTGTGCGGGTGGAATATTCGTCCCTAATTGAGGTTGTCCCTGTTGAGTTATCGTATTTTTACTACCGCTTGTCTCGTCACTACCCGAGCTTGAGTTCGAGCTTTCGGACTCAGTTCTTTGAATACTTCTTGGAGATTCCGCACGAATGGCATGGGTCTAATGTCACCGTTACAAGGGATTAGTTTTTTGTTTCAGTCGCTAGTGGACTCGCCAGTGCATATTCAGGCCTGCAGGGTGGAATACTTGAGTCTCAGAACCATTTATAACAACTTTGGACGGGAGAGCCAATCGGTACTCGCTACGCCCGACGGATGCCAGAGAGTCAACAGAGGGACACCTTCGGGGGCTCGAGTTTTTATCAACTGCAAGCGCCATTGTATTTCAATCTCTTTCAGTTCAGTAAAATAGGCTGAGATAAGATTCGTAATACGCTTAACGTTTAGTTTACAGTCTAGGTTAATGTGACATTCTTCAAGATGAATCGATGCCGGGCTTTTATATATATTGGCTGTTTTTCTCAAACTGGACTTCGTGAGGAAGGAAAAAAATGGGTTTGATAAAATACTTAGTAGGTTGAAAGCTCCAGCCTTATGGTCTACCTAGGCGTTATAGCTTCGCCGTTAAGGATCTTAGGATATAAAGATATAATCATACAGCTCCGACCAGCGCTGCGGCGCAATTCGCGTTCCACATTTACACAAAACTAGGATTCTTGCTATGGTTACGCGATATACTCATTGGACATTAAGCCTTCGAGCCATATACGCACAAACATATGCATCGACATCATGATACGTTGTGAGCATTAGTAGTATGTGGAGCCAACCTTGGCTAGATGTACCTACAACGTTGCAACCCAAGAGCCAACTTAAACAGCCTCCAAAACACTTCAGCCAAAACTTTAACCAATCCTTCCATACAATTCCTAAGGAGTCTAGCAATCGGCCTTGGGCCTTAACTTTGACTTTCCTTAGGTTTTATTATTATTGGTTCCTACGTAACTCATGGCCCAGGGAAATTTCGGAAGTACTTGGGTTAGCTGACACGCTTATGGTGCTAGGTTACTACGTGTATACAGTGCATGTGTACCTGCTTAGCCAGCTTTACCGCCAGACATGCGTATGATTTAGGACAATCACGGTCGTGTGGTGGGTATCTTTTGGCGTCTTGTTGTGCTGCTTTATGCCTTTCACTCTGCCGATGGGGGCTAATTTCAGGATTACTGACTGCTAGTCCAGCACTCAAAGTTTTTCGACATTGAGATCCATAGTGATGAAATTTTCGATTTGATCAGGATATCTACTAACTACTACTTCAATAACCAGAGCTCTCATCTCCAACTAGGTAGAGCTCATTTACACACACATCAAGAACAAGGCCCACACCTCGCCTGAGAGGCTCGGGTATCGAAGCTACAATCTCCTATCCCTTTCTGTATACATTTCCCATGCACAGCCTACATAATCATACCCAAAGCTACCTTCCCCATATGGCCAGCTATCAGCTAGCTGCAGCCAAGTAGTTCTTGCTGCATTATGCATTATGCCGTGTTATCAGCCTACCTGTCCGCGCACCGGGTCCTTAGGTCCGGTTCCTATGCCCGGTGTGCAAGGCTGCTAAAATCTATGTAAGTGTCTCAATTCGCGAATAACCCACAACAAAAAATTCAGGTTTTTCCAACCTCGGCGCTTATGTTGAACCGCAAAGCCTGCTTAGGTATTACATGGTCCAAACAAACGGCGAGCTCGCGTACCTTTGATTTTAGGGAGCGTAGGGTCGAAAGAGTTTATAATGCTTTCACATCATGATATTGTGGAGTAATTATACTATTAAACTGACTTTTTGACCAATTAATCGAACAATTTTTTTCGGCTAATGTTTCCTCTCAAATCATAAATTGGAGTAAAGTCTCCTGCTCAATCATAGTTTGACTTGTTTTCGTTTTTCCTGGATAGTTGACCAATGTGAAGGCTTTACATATGGTTTTTCAATGCCTCATCAATATCCAGTTCAAGAACGCTATATACTAGAATCGGTGACGTCGTAATAAGGCTATTATCCATCGTAGTTTCTATGTTTTCTATTTGTGCCTGATCTCGGGACTAATTTCTCCACCGTATGTATAGAATTTGCCGACCCGCATGCGGGCTCTCCTCTGAAAACCTTTCTCTAACTGAAGGCTCCGCTTTCGCGTCGAAGCTTCCATGCATGTCCGTCTAATTTCCAACAAAACCAATGGTGTTGCCACAGACTTAACAATGTGCGGTTAACTATTTGCCAGGCGACCCCACCTGATAGTACTAAATCCCCGCGACAGACACATGTTCGAAGAGAATAGCATGATCTTAGAAGACTTGGATTTATTCATTTAATTTTGTGGTAACGGGCTTTTCGCTGGAATGTATAATAAACACTATACCTCACCCAGCTAACCAGGTCTGAAAATCTTCGAAATGCGTTGGCAAAGCGCTACTTTTCTAGCATTGCACAATAGCACTGGGCCATGGGTCCATATGTGAAAATATTGTATGTAAAATATATATATTAATATATATGAATAATAGTACATATGCTACTCATGAAACACTCCTTTATAATAATATTGACATAGCGAAACAAGATAACAGGGAACATACTCTTGACCAACGAGACCACTCCTGACCGACATCGAACTCCAGTATGCGACCTATACCGAAGATTCGTCGTTTATTCGGACGCATGGAAAACCCGCACGCAAATGATGACTGCTGAGATTCAATATGTATCTCCTTTTAGAGTTTACTACCATTCTGCTTCTTCGCTCCCTTTGTCGTCATAAAATCGAAATTCTCAGCACCCGGCTGAAAGATCGTAGGATACAAAAAGTTTGCAATAGAATTGCTATTCCTCCAACTTCCGCCATCTACACGTCCCCCAAAAAGTCAGCAAATCTCATTTCAAAACCAATTCTATTTAGTTCAAACAAAGCGGGGAGGATAATACTCACCAACAACCAAAGTAATCCCATTAACATACCTCCCGGCGTCACTAAACAAAAAGATCGTAGAATCTGCAACCTCACTAACAGTTCCCCACCTCCCCAAAGGATTCAACTTCGCCGGATTCTTCCTCATATCATCTGGAATCATATTCTTTGGTGCCAATCTTTCCATACCCTCTGTATTCGCAATAGCTCCCGGTGCAATAATATTGGACGTAATCCCCGCAGGACCAAGTTCCAATGCCAAAGTATGAGATAACGCATCAATGCCAGCCTTAGCAGCTCCGACATGTGCTTGCAAAGCCGTACCAGTATAGTGAAACGTAGCTGATACAAAAATGATTCTCCCCTTAGTCTTCCTCAACTCTGGAAGACATGCTTTAACGGTATTGTAAGATCCGAGAAGATCGATATCAATGACTGTTTTGAAGGCATTACTAGATAACCCTTCTATAGTACTTAAGAAATTACCAGCGGCGCCACAGATCAAAAAGTCGATTTTTCCAAGTTCCTTGACTGTGGCTTCGACGGTTGAGACGAGGGCATTATAGTCCCGGACGTCGCAGCCGAAGCCTATAACTTTGGATCCTGGTCGAACTTTGGCGATTTCAGCAGCTACGGCTTTGGTATTGGCTTCGCGCCGGCCGAGGATTGCAGCGTTGGCACCTAGGCTGACTAATGCTCGAACTTGGCCAGAGCAGATTGTCCCAGCGCCGCCGGTGCAGAAAACCACTTTGTCCTCTAATTTGTAGAAACTCCATGTTAGTTTGGATTCACGATACGCGGCCATCTCTAAAAGAGAGAATACTTACTGAAAATATCCTTTGCCCATGCATTGGAGTATAGCTCGTCTTCTGGCGGGAATGGAACAGCTGGATTTGACATGGCTCCGGTTCTATATCTATTGAACCTCAAGAAAGAACAAAAAAAGGGAACGTAAGATCTAAATGTATGTTGATCCCAGGGAACACAATTCTAAATGCGGAGGCGAAACTTGGAAATGCGGAGAGATGCAATAGTGTGTAAAAGGGAAGGAACGATATATATCGCGAAACTCGGCTTTCCCGTCTTCGGTCCGGCCCAACCGATAAAATCGGGATAACTTTACGACGTCTATAGAAAATAGTTCAAGGGTATCGGCGGAGAGTTTTAACGGGCCATTCAGAGAAACAAGGGGGAAAGCCAGACTAGATGATCACGAATTCCGTTTGGCGCGAAGATGTTCAAACCTGGGGAATTATTAAATGAACCGAGGTTTTCGGCACCTCGCTTAGCATGTTTCCTGGTCTAACCAAGACCCATGTGTCTGTATTCCAATACGGGGGTGCAACGCATAAAATGCAACAAGTTGTATATATGTTCTCCAACATATCCTAACGAGAGAACTGAGTCGAAACTGAGTCTGGTCTAGTCTCCAGTCTCGGGTTCATTTATACGTATAAAGATTACACATGCCCAATCAGTGTTGTTTAATCTCTAGGACCGCTAGCTGTTGTGTAGTGGGTTTAGTCGAATCAGGGACGAAGATTTATGTTATTTCTAGGCGTAATCCGCTCTTCGGCTTTTACATATTTTCGCTGGAGGAATTTTAGTGAATACAGGTACAGCATCGAACGCTGAATCAATACGCCAATCTAAAACCAGTCCCATTCTACCCGTTCAGATTTCATCTTACCAAGAAACAATATCCACCTCCGCCGCTCCAAAAAAGCTTGTCTTTTTAGCCTCGCAAGCACCAGCATTGGACGACCCGTTGACAGCCCCGTTTACCTCCCTCTCCATGATATCCGGCATAACTTCATTCATAAACCCAAGAATTGCCTCATTCACAGTTTTAAATTCGATCAAGAAAGCATCGTGCCCCTCTGGACTATAGATTGTACTCAGCTGCGCATTCGGGATATATTCCGCCAACTCCTGTTGTTCCGAGAACGGAAACAGCCCATCACTTTCGATCCCAACGATCAAAGCAGGTTGCTCAATCATCGCAAGCGCCTCAGGAATACTATCAGCCCTTCCACGGCTCACATCATGAGTGTCCATCTTTCTAGATGTGGCAATATAACAATTGGCATCGAAACGTTTGACGAATTTGTCGGCGTGGTAGCGGAGGTAGGTCTGCGCAGAGAATATTGGGCTTTTGTGCCGTCCATTATATTCTCCATTAGACCCTCTAGAGGAAACAGGAGACCCTGGAGCTGATTGAAGCTTCCTTCCCGCCCGAAAACCTTCGTTGTGGTTCGCCCAATGCTCTTCGGAAGGACTTGAAGGCTGTCTCACACCACTCTGATGTGTGATTCGAGATGGATCTGGCGCATTTCGTCCAAAACGTGATTCATATGAATTGCGAGAGCGATAGGTCAAAAGGGCACTCATGCGAGCCGCAGCAAGACCAGCAACTGGCTGATGCAATGGATCGTAATAACCGTCGTCTGTAGAAAAGTATTAGCCCCCTCTGATACATATAGCTGCATATCGGCGTGGTGAGAAACTAACCATAGACAGGATCACTATAAATGCTTTGCCTCTGAGCTTCCCCCCAGCTGATACACCACGCAGAATTCCTAGCAGATGTCGCTAGAGCTACGACATTCTTAACGTATTTTGCTCCGAAATAAGCCCATTCGAGGGCAATCATACCACCAAGGCTTCCCCCAATTACAACAGCAACCTGTTTGATACCAAGATCGTCAAGCACTAGCTTATGAATCCTGGCGTCATCGCGAATGGTAGTCAAAGGGAATTCTGGGCCATATGGTTCCCCCGTCTCCGGATTCGTCGTAACCGGACTAACAGAGCCGTATGGACTCCCGAGGTTATTCAAACAGACAATGAAGAATCTTGAGGTATCAAGAGCTTTTCCTGGGCCAACGAGTGGCCCCCACCAATCTCCAACATCCGCACCTCCTGTGAGTGCATGACAAACGACCATAACATTATCACCGGATGAAGAGAGTTCGCCAAATGTCTTGTAAGCAACCGGGGCTTGCTTTAAAGTTACACCGGACTCCAAAGTAAAGCTTGGAATGATACAGTAAGATTGTGTTAAAAACCGCGAGAACGGGTTCGAAGGCTGCGAGGTTTCATGAACTGTAGAAATAATAGCAAAAAGCAAACCATTAGCACTCGCATTAACGCCATATTTTGAGATAGATTCCGATGTCTCGATTTCGAGAAGCAATGCGTGCATGCACCAAAGGATATACATATAGAACCATAGTAGGATCCAAGAGAAGACATATTGGGAGGCAGAGAGCAGAGAAGGAGCTGAGGGATTGACCCACCATATTTTCGAACATGAGCCGGGCCTGGCGGAGAGGTTGGTGTCGAAGGCATTTTGATTGATGCTACAGGCATAGGGGCTATTTTTGCGGTTTTGATGGCCTCCGCGTGCAAGGCTTGTCGGTGAAGGATTCGGGTAGGAGGAGATCTGGGAAAAGCCGTCATGCAAGACAGAGCGGGTACCCGATGACTATGCTGTGCAGGAAAATTGCGAAGAGAAAGTCGATAAGCACAAGATGAAGTCGTAGGGAGGAACCGAAACATCCAAAGGAGCTAGATGGGATACGTTTGAGGCGAAAACTTGATTTAGGATAGTGATCTGGATGGGGGCGGCTAGTAGATATAGCAAAGAGAAGCTTAATTCAACGAATCCTAGGATTCTTTCCGGTTTGACAATAAGAACGCGTGACAGCTCTTCGATAATAAAATCTTGGGGATTTTAGTTTGATAGATAGTTGGTATGTTCTCAGCTGCATCAATTGAACAGGTGTTGCGTCTGTGGCCCGGTATTTTGGTCTGGTTAGATATGTGTATGTCCGTGTGTGTACTATGCTCGTCGTTGTTGGATAAAGTATCGATGATATGCGTGGGCAGTCCACACCCTTATTACTTAAGGGTTCCCTCTATAGTTGGCCTTGGAAAAAGCAAAATATGAAGTCTCTGTAAAGGTCATGATGTTCGATGAGCAGTCAGGTGGTTTTGAGGCGATTCAAGCTGTCAGACGAGTGTCGACAGCCATGGCATGCTGTCACAGTCCGATGCGATGTCTGTCAATGCAAGATGGATTGTTGGAAGAGGAAGTTTGTTACGTACCCAAGTTGGGGGGAGCTTTTATTGGCTGCCCAATCAGACGCCGAGTTCGCAGCCAGAGATTTCCCTCATTGGCCGTATCCGGAGCAACTAATGTGTTGCAGAGATGGCATCATTCGTGCAGCAACAACACATCCCGCAACACATCTTCAACTTCCTTCGGGCCGGAGAGCTAGTACCTCGCCCTCGTACGCGCTCGTACGTGGTACGTATACGACGGAATATAATATTTCGCTCAAGTCCGAGGAGAGGCCTCCCAAGTCCTATATCTGCTATCTTATATCTTATTAAAAAGAACTGTTTTGCTTTCTCTCACTCAAACTCATCGTTCGATTGCATTTCTAATCTTTTTGGTAGTTGCCGATAGGGTAACTCGAACATGCTGGATGTTTTTTTTTTAAAAAAAGAGGACATTCGGATACGATTTGATCGATATATCACGATCGACGTCGACCCGTCGTTCATATTTTATATATATACCAGGTGGTATCTCAAAATTGGCATCTTTAGTGCCATATCAGATCGAGAACTGCCAAATATTATGGTTAGAACTCATGCCGGTGTCCAGGCAAAACCTATGCATGACTATATGCAAACTCCAAGTTTATTCGCTGATATGCATGCCCGTGTCACATTCCAAAGGCACCGTCGACTGTACCCCACATTTGCATGCTGCCGAGGGATAAGTAACCAAGATATTAAGCTTCAGATATGCATATGTCCTTAGTGGTTGACTGTGCCGTGGGATAAAAGAATGGGGGATATCAGAAAACGAAAAAGCAACTACTGCCGACCCGCCCCGCTAACACTAGCTTTTGCGGGGGCTTCAAACGGCGGGGGTAACCTTGCAAACCCATCTCAGTCTTTCAGTCAATCTTTCATTATCGACTGAGATCGGAATACTCGGAATACTCGGAAGCACCGGAGTTGAAAGAAATTTATCCTAATTTGGCCAAACTAGGTCGATATGACACAGTAGTCTGGTGATAGTACGGTTTCTATAGTTCGCGAAATTCAGAGCCGTGCTTAATAGACCAGACCAGTCTTTTACAGCGCTTTCCGGGTTAACCTTGAACTTATAAATCTAGACTTTTAAAATACTATTAAATTCATTGGGTCATCTTGTTCTCACGGCGAAGGTTTATGCTGCTTGAATGCGAATGATTTCTATTCTCAACTCGCTAAAACTCGATATCGATCTTGAAATACCTAGGTATATACTTAGGCTTTTAGACTTCAGCTTTCGCCAGTAGTATACACGTACAATGCCAAAAAAAATCTGCAAAACAAGATTATGTAATGTCTATATTAGCAGCTTTGTCTTTCTCGATCTATCATTAATAAGAAACTTGCCTTCCTACTACTGTTGGCCACATTGTACCTATATATATATCCGATTCAGTATTGTATTATAACTAAAAGTTAAATTAGGCTATTTTTTTCGAAATTTAATGCTTAAGCGCTTATAATTCATAGGCCGGTTGGTTAGCTACGTTAGTTGGTAATGCATTTTGAGGGCTTAACTTCAAGACTAGGTTAACATCAGTACCCAAAAATCTTAGGACGCTACGAAATGTTGCATGAGATGAATCTTGTTCCCTCGAATAGAATCGTATCATCTCGGGCGAAGCCAAATATGCAAATTTACAATTGAATATTTGAATTAGCTGAAATACGCATGATATATAACTCTATGCTCCAACCAATAGCCGCATGATCTTTTGTTATAAAATAACTGCGGCTTTTTGTTATAACTTCATGCATGACATATATATGGTTTCAACTTTCAGGACTTTCAAACAATGTCCAAAGTACTCTAAGCTTAGTACACTAATATCCCCGATACTTATTCACAATAGCATCTACCCACTCAGATACATATACCATAATTTTCGATTCAGGGCGCCTATTTCCCGAGCTCCTGAACTAATGGCCGGTTTCATCTACTTAGTAATTATAACCCTCTCTCTCGCGAACCGGACACCACCAAAAAGCTAACAAAAAAGGACTTCACTACCATTCCCTAACCTCTGAAGTGTTTTTTCTTGGGGAATTGCATGCCGCTTCAGATTTTGCTTTTCAGTTAATATTATTGCTACCATCGACTATTAGATTTAAGATAGCCCAGGAAGCAATGCATATTATATCCTGGCTATAATGTGATATAATCTTGGAGTCAGGGCCAGCGTACCATGTATGCAGTAGCTTCCGAATGCATGTAGCATTCGATGTTCCTAAAACCTTCTACTATAAACATATACCAAAGAGCTGGTGGTATTTACTAGCGTACACCTATATAGATCCGTGAATGACGACCGACTTTAGGGATACGCGTGAGAAAATTGGCATCTAGAAGACAAGTGAGATGAAACAATTGATACTTATAGAAATAAGAATAAATAAATACACAGGTAAGGGTAAAATGTGCAGACGTACATCAAATAAAGTGAAATCAAGCAAGTGCAAACCCCACAGGATCTTATCGAGCCATATATGACAGCATTTTAAAGCAACAGCGGCTATTCCCCGGTCTTGAGCATAGACTGCCTTAAGGCTCCTCCACCATACACGGTATTCAGTGTGATCAGAGAAGTCCTGGACATGAGACCGAGTACTATCAGGATCTAAGCACCTTTCTAAATTCTCCAGGTTCTGGACTGAATTGTGAGATACCTTAAAACTTCAATGGCCATATATGCCTGGCCTCCCTTTTCGCTTGCCTACCTCCTTTCAAGGTACACTAGCCATAGCGCCATGGCCGCGGATCCCGAGATCACGATACCTTCTCCAGTATACCACCTTATTTCCTCTACTTAAATTGAGCACCCGGACTCTCGGCGCCGGCGTCTGACTCGTCAGTATATATACCTCTACCGAGGTCTCGCCTGAGAAGTCCATCACGGCCTCCGCTGCCACCCTCCTGGTTCGGCCCCGGCCAGCCATCCGATAAGAATAAATTTTCCCATATAGGATCCTCTCTTCTTCGCTCTCTCTCCTCTCGCAGGTCGTTTGCGTATAAAACCGATTCCCAGAAAGCTTGAGGATTATTCATATCAAGCTCCTCCGCATAAAGTTGATCGAGTGGGTCTTCAATTGGCCCAGATTCTATCATCTCTGCAATTGAACCTGGTTGCGGATCCTGAGAATTAGTGGTGCCAGCCCAGACCCAGTCTGCATTCGCAGGATGGTTGCGAATGAAGCTAGGTATTTGGTTGATGGCATTGTCGTACTCTTCTTGAGGTACATTTGGATCGCGCTGTGGTTGCCCCAGCTGTCTGAAACAGGCGCAAACTAGATATAGATAAATATAAAACATGTTAACAGGGCAAGTTTATCAGCACCGAAATATTATCACCATATACACGTATCCGACCCAAGCCGTACAAATCGTAGATATTATAAGGTTTGATATGACTAGGTTTGTTTCTAGGAATCCCAAAGAACATTTACATGCGGGATAGACCCCTTCATAAACAGTAGTACCGGATGGGCTTTTTATTAATGGTTCGAATAAAACTTACGGTAGATGTCAGCGCAAGTGCGTGCAATTATCTCCGATCTACAACCCGGCCTCGTGCTCCTCACTCCAGGGCTAAAGGGAATAATTTCCCCTGATGTTGGATCGCATCTGCAGTCTAATCTACAACGGGAATGATTGGCTAAAACTCTGTTTCGTACCACTGGCCCTCTTGTATAGTCATTGATATCGGCAAAGGTGCTTTCCACGCGTTGCCTAACATCTGTGCTTACAGTATGACTGCGAGTGCCCGCCACTATTGCATGCCAGTTGGCCAAAACCCGATTCGACGTACTGCATATGATTCGGAATCCGCCGTCATAAAAGAAATCCGGAGGGAGCACCCGTTTGTAAAGGGTGAAATTACCCGTATCTTTATAAAAACCTGAAGACGGCTCTTGTAGTGACGGTGAAGGTAGAGCTTGGCTCCCTATCACGGATATAAAACCTACCCAAAGGAAATTTGATGTGCATATGTATGTCCTCATGGTTCGTTTTCTCCTGCCACCTACAGCGGTGCAACGTCCTTCCGGTGGATATATACCTATAAGCCGAGTAAGGGAAATCGTTAGTTTTCTAGGACGGAAATTTAGTTTCAAGCCTACTTTAGGGTGATGAAGACGTCTTATTTAACTAAATAAAGCGTCTGGAAATTAAAAAGGATCCCAAAGGGCCATAAAAATCCCCTACCAGTGTATGTATTTGTCTGCGTATGTGCGCGCGTGTGCACCGGTGGATGGACACTGATAAGTCCAAGGTATATCTATAAATATACCTGAAGTTAATTTGATAAACTTAGCCAACTGGTTCAGACCAGCTAACTGGTAGGTAGCGATGCACCAGGTGGAGTATATATATATGTCTACAAATTTCTGAGTATAGTTTCGATCGTAGATATATGTATAATAAAGTGACTACAAGTCATGATCACATTGTAGTCATACCACTGTATTAAATGTGAAATGTTAAACTTTGCGTCCGAACCATGATAGAATACTATATATAATTAATTTAAATTAAAGCTTGTACGCATTTATATTTAGCCTGACCAACAAAACATGTTACTCCCATGCGCCTGTTGGTTTGGTACCTGAGAAGCCAAGCGCTCACTTCCTGACCAACAAAACATGTTACTCATGTGTGCATTGTAGTTTGGTAATCAGAGAAGCCAGGCGCTCACTTCCTGACCAAAGAATAAAGGTGGGTGAATCGTGATATATAGTTCGGCGACATTCAAACGACCTGCTACATATTACGTTTTGAGTATTTTGGGGGTTGAGTTCAATGTATCCCGGTTACTCGTAGTCACGTAGCTGTTCATATGCCACAGAACAGTGACAAGTACCCTATTAATACTCTGATCCTCCAATATATTACGATGTCTGCGTCGCTCAGACTTTGTTTCGTGTACGGACATCTATATATCGACTTAGTTTATGGCTAACAATATAATAACCTTGTCTCGTACCTAGACTTGGAAATAATAACCCCCCTGCAGAAATATATAAAACAAACGACATAACGGACAACCAAAACCAAAAGCTCGATACTACAATTAATTTGCAGAGCACGGAAACTCGGTTCCACGAGAACAAAGCTTCTATATAACGTTTGTGGCACAAAAGCAAGGCTGTGGGATATTCAGCAAAGTTACATCACAATGTTGTAACCCAAGGATATTCAAAGTGTACGTATACAGGCGTAGTCTTTAAGTGGGTTTGGGGTATAAGTATCGTATCAATAACACCATAAGAAATGAAGTTTGGTCGTAAAACTCCCTTGATCAATTGATGCAAGTTATATTACGGTGAGCTCAGCCAAAACGAAAACATTGTTTATCTGGGATTCCAGCTTAGCTTTGGGTCTTCTGATAAATTGAATTCAGGTTGAAGGTAAGGCATCTTCCATAGAGTGCCCCGACTCCAGGGAGAAGTTGTATCAAACTTATGTAATCTACAAGTGTGTGGCCCAAGGGTGTATCATAAACTTACCAAAAATCCCTAAAAGTGCTTTATGATAACACGCATTAAATACTACCGCGCCAACTGGGAGAGTTTCGATAATTACCATTCAAACCACCTACCCAACCACCGACAAACCTATTCAACTAGTTACTAAACTGCATTAACGTCAAATACTGATACAATTGCTAGCACTAAACTATTTACCAAACCGCCAACAGCTAGACAGGTGGTTTAAAGCTGGCATGCTAGCAACTGCGCATACATGTATACAGTGTAACAACTACTAGTACTTAGACAGCAGTTCAATAACTCTCAAACACGCCAGCTGCGAAATAAAGAAATATACCGATAGCTATCATAGAAGGTAAGCAGGTACCTCACTAAATCCGCGTAAGCAAGCCGGTATACTAGGCAGGCCCGGAACTAGTAGAAATATTACATAATGACTGCAGCATGCAACGATTAAACTCATATATAACACCTTAACTCAGATCTACAAATTTAACGCGCGTACGGTAAATATGTAGTCGGGTTAAGGGTCGCAGGTGCGTATTGATTTCACGTAAATTCGAACATGGCACTTAACTTAATATATCTCCAATATTTTACAGCGGATCAGCTAGGAGCTATATATGATCTTTGTTTTTTCAGATTCGATTGCATCAATTGATTTTAAGCTAAGAGCTCTTTGTCTATAGCTGCCTTCCTACCTCGGTTTTCTTCATCATGTTAGGTTTGGGAAGTTCGTTAGTAATCATGACAATATAGCCCGCTTGGCTGGACTAGCACGGATAAAAGGTACAAGCTACCACTAGCATATCTCTCGATTAAAAGCTTCTTCTTGAATTATGTATATCAGAGCACGTCAATACATGCAGGGGGTCGTCAAATATACCGGTATAACCCCCCATCAAGAGTAAATTGGAGAGCAAACTACGAAGCAAAACGGGTGCAATTTCGTGCAAGAAGAAGCCTCAAAGAGTACGCCTTCAATAGGCTCAGCTCTCGTAAGGCCATTAACTCAGCGGACAAAATCAAGGATCTTTGAATCTATAGGTGAGAGACAGTACCACGGACAAGCCCAAGGTTTAGACCTCCAATGAAATGGCTCACAAACTCTTCTAAATCGAATTGGTGGTTTACGCGGCTTTAAGCTTTAGTTTCCATTTTTGCCCACAAGATTAGCCTCCGATAATCGATCCTCGTTTTCTCGAGTTTTGATCTTATCTCCAGCCCCCCTAAAACGAAGGTAGGCGGGTATAGAGTATTAAATTGTATATATTCAAGCGTATATCCCACAATACTCAGATTCGAGGCTAACAATACCCAAGGCTGTAGCCGAATTCGTGACATTCAAAAACCAACCTCAAGAATTCAAGTAAGTATCCCGGCTTTGGAACCAGGCCTTCCGAAGAGTTAGAGAGCAGTAAATGATCAACCTCGCGCACCAATCTCATGCAGATGAGTGCTTGTCATCTAAATTCTAGCTACCGGCCCCTACGTGTTCTCAAATCGGGATCGGGATCGCACTGATCATATGTATAGTTATATGTGCTGTCATGCACCCCATGAGCTGGACTATTGCCTCCGCGATTGGAGGTTGCCCCAGAAAAGCCCCGAGATATCTGTGCATGTTGCATTCATATCGAACCCACAAAGCCTTAAACGTGGAATGAATTATCCTCGTAGCGCGAGTTCCATACCTGAAAAGGTATCCAGCTCATACCTTTATGCATATATGACGCAACAAGATGCAGAAAAAAGCCACTGCAGAGTGGTCAATGCCTTCGAACATGCCCCTTGCTCCATCGTGGTTCCAATCATGATATCAACCTAAACTACACTATCGATTTTAAGTTAGATGTTCTCAAAGCTTTAAAGCTCAGACCAGATACGTCCTCCAAAGAACTTGATTTAGGTATATTATGCAAGGAAGGGATGTGCCAGCTAGTGCTATCCCTATCTTTCGACTGAGGGTGAATTTAATAGTTAAGCGCTCCCATTAATCCTGAGTCCCCACTAAGACAGTTGTCCCACCCCGATCATGCACGATCGGCTTTTTCGAATCGAATATTGGTTAATTGGTGTCATGAGGTCCACGGTCTAGTTCCTAATATATCTGTACCTTTCGAACTTGAGACCTCACCAATCAAAATAATGATATCACATTCAATACCTAGAACAGCTATTGCGCTGAGTCAGAATACTCTATTGGTTTTTAGCGTGCGAAGGCAAATGCCGTAGCCAGTATTCCTACTCAGTCCGCTATATATATGAAAAATTAAATTAAATTAAATTAAATTATTTTTTGAAGAGTAGATCAATAGAGGTGTGTGTTATTATATATCTCGCGTGTGTGGACGTCGACGTCTACCAATCATTCGATAAGGCATCTACGAACATCACCTGAACATCAACAACTTAACTCCGCGAAAATGATATCAACCAATCTTATAGCTTATGCACAGCGTTATGAGATCCCAGGATTTCGATGTCTCCAGATTGTGGCGAGAGTTATTGCACATAGCGTATTACCCTGAGGCGCGCGCGCGACCAATCAGACCGCGAAAAAATATACATTCCTCAACACCCAAAAAAGACATAATACAGATTAGACAGGTCGTGCCATATATATACATCTACAAGATTCAAAAGTCCGAATTCGACGCGAAAGGTAACCATTTTCTCCCTATAATATAACATAATCGTCCAAAGCGAAGTTCTGGCGTGCAACTCCTGGCCTGCTTGCCATATGCATACGTTCCAACTAGGCTGCGCAACAACTCAATGCTAGCCAATCAAAATGCAATACAGCTTCGAGGCCTGGGTGAGCTGATCGCACTCGCTTATACACAATTGACTGACTTGGAGCTAGGAACTCCGAAGGGCAGTATCTTATTATTGGCTGAGGGCATCGGATCTCAGCTCATCTCATCTCAAAAATGTTCTAGAAGAAAGATAGGATGAATCGGATTTAATCTTAGAGATTAAATCCATTAGGAACAACTATCCTACGATCGCATTTGTAGGTATTCTAAAATTCTGCTATGCAAACCAGGCCTTCTTCGACATCCAGGTATCGCCAAAGCAATGCTTGCACAAACATGACAAGCAAACCCGCGCTTTAATTTCGGTTTTACCGCCAAGGCAACAGACAATCAAGGAACCACATGACACAGGTCAATTGACTTATTAGGAATGGTGCAACCCGTGCCGTCCCGTCTATGCTGTGCGAGGAAAGAGAAAAAAGAGAGATGTTACAAAATTACGCGGTTCGATCAAATGCGGAAAATCTGAAGAACTAAAGGATCAAGTACGATTGAGATATTTCGACAAACTCTATTCTTACAACTGACAAGGCTTTAAAGGATCGGATAGAAGGAGGAACAAAAAATGAAGGGAGGGATTAGAAATTCTAGGATCCAATCTCGCTATAAACCCAGCGGCTGGATCAGGGGAAAGAGGTTTGAGGAAGCTTAGAATAGTTTCATGGGCAAACCACGGTATCCCGACGGGAGATGAGGTAAGACGAGACAATCGGTAGCTGTGGTCTCGGAAACCCCAGGCGCAATTAGGACCCGAAGGACGGGTTTCGGAAAGCTATGCCACCGAGTGTGTTCCACAACTTTGTCCCATACTGAAGTAAAAGAAGAAAATGATATCCACATCATTAAAAAATCGCAACCAACACCTTAAGCAAAGGACAAAGCAGGCGTTGAAAAGGAAAAGAAGAAAATTTTGCAAAAAGCGCCGCTTTGTTTTCAATATGTGAGGTTGCTTGCTCCCAAAACTCCAAATATATGATATGATTTCAACGTGAAGAGAAAAAAATGATCGAGAGAAATGATTGGAAGAAATGTTAGAATGGAACTCAGAAATCGTCTCGCTGAAGATCAAGATGAATAGATAGCAAAGCATGTGGCAGAGAAAGCAGTGTCTATAGCATTGTTCGTTTCAAGTCGTGCATGGTCGTGAAAATTAACGGAGTTTTTCCTTTTTTGTTTTTTGGGTAAATTTTGTTTTGTCGTAGCAAGGATAGCAAAGATTCATGAAGATTGGGTATAATAGGATCATTTGGTCGTTAGAGTCGTAGGATTGCGAAGGAAAAAATTTTGCGGGTTTTTATTTGGGACCAGAAATCCTACTAGAGACCGTGCAGGATCCTACTAGCTTCCTGCAGACGCTCTAGTTGGCGCTGTATATCAGGGTGAGCCGTCGAAGACATAGGACTTGTTGGAAGGCTATCCAAATCTTTGATAACCCGGCTACCAATGTCCACCATCCTGACACCTGACTCAGCGTCTGTAGAGGAATTAACCTGCGTCATTGTCCCATGTTTAGCAATCCGGTTCGACGAGGAAGGGTAAAGAAGCAATCGACGGGACCTACCCAAGAAAAGAGATCTTGTGAAACTGTTGACGTTTGCCTTTTGTGGATGTATTGTTTGGGTGTTTCAAAGACCTCTTCATCTCCCTTGTGATCCATATCTACTAAATCTTTCATACTCCATCTTCTCATTGTATTGCTGACTTTGGTTCGAGAACCTGGCAATGCCGGTTGCTGAACGGGGGTTTCCGTTCCACTCATATCCCAGTCACCCTCAATATCTACATCGGAAGCATCCGTTGAAAGGCTAGAACTGCTCGGATCACGTCGGAGAGCTACGGGACGCGGTTGGAGGTGTTGTTGCTGTTGTTGTTGCTGTTCCAACTTCATCTTCAACAGGAGCTCTGGCGGTGGTGGAGCTGGAGGGAGTATGTACACGGAGCCGCCATTGTGCAATCCATGAAGATCAGGAAGAATAGAAGAAAGGTCCGCGGTAGACTCTAACGCATTGAAAGCCGCTGCCGGAATTAGTGCAGGGCGTCGGGAATGCCGTGCACGACCCGGAGATATCGTTGCAGCCTTCAAGGTAGATTGGATGCTTACGTCGGGCCGGCGAGGGGAGTAATTGGACATGGCGACCTGTGAGAAGGAAGGGATGAAAATCTAGGCAGATGCGGATGCGATTGGTGCTGTGGAATGGACGGTGGCGGGAGTAGCAGAGGCAAGTCGTACGAAGGATCGGGGATGGTCACGACGGAGACGATGGCAAAAAGTCCTAAGTATCGAAAGCTCGGTAACTGAAAGAGTAGAGGAAGATTGTCTTGGATGCGATGTAAGGACACCTGCAGGAGCCAGATGCAGGATGATGTAGTTTTAGCAATTAGCAAGCTTATGATGATATGAAGCAGATGGACGATGAGCATTGATTTCGCAGCTCTCAGGAGACGTTTTACCGGAGCTGTGGAGAGCTCGTTCTGGAAACGGCTAACCGTGTCGCCTCAGATTTCCTAATATGTCAAGTCCAACACAACACATTTCATATATATACGTCAAGGGTATATTTCTATCACATGATTATGAATGATCATGCAATGACCGTTGGAATATATGATTCTGAGGCTACTTTGATTTAACTATAATATGGGGCATGGTTGTCTTCTAGGGATATAAATCTGGGGTATCGATACGTGTACTCTAAACTAAATGTTGTTGCACATCAAGAACGTTACGATGCTTCAGTGACGCGGCGCCTGGCCTGAGAACTTGAACGTGTACCGTTAGAAGTAGTCTTAGAAATGACAGTTGCTAGTAGAAAGTTATATCACAACTGAAAGCAAATAGTCGAGGCGACCAGATCCGTGTACGAGCTAATCTACAAAAGTGAAGTATATCTGCTTTGTGATCGATTTTGGCTCTGTGTAGCTCTATGAAACTATGTATATGCATTACGACACGTATATGGTGCCATTTGTGTCGCATCCAAGTAAGGCTTCTAACTGCCTGATGATACATCGACAGCTTACCCGGTCGTCCGCGAAGGCTGCAGGTAGTCTGGCCTACTATGGTAAGTCGTTTTCGTAAGGCCTCCAGGCAGACATGGAAATAGTAAGGCGGCATGGTTGTTTTGGCATCCGCGTTCTAATAGTTACGGTTGTAATATCAAGTTTTATACTCGACTCCATTGGATCCCTCCATTCAATATGACGAATTCGCGAAGGGATCTTATTACCTAGTAACGACAAGAGATACCGGAAAGAGTTATCCTGTAAATATCAGAACCTAGCTGAAGGAGGGTACAATAGCTATGGGATTAAGTACTTAGATTACTTAAATCCAAATAGTGAGTAGGCTTTAGTATGAAACTAGAGTGATATTGGCTGCGCTAAAGCGCGAAGCTCAGCCCTCGACCCATAGCCGAGCTGATCATTATAACCGAATTCATAAAAGATAATTTTAGACTGTGTCAGAAAAGTAATCATATGAGCCTATCATTTGTCACTGGGGAGAAGCAGGCATCTACTATTGCAACTCTGATCCATAGACCCATGCATAGACTAAATGCAAATGTTCATGTAGATGGGGTACGTGTATGAAACCGACTTTTATCTAGGCGTACATACTTACGTAGGTCCCATCTGCGACAAAAGTGAAATGTGTTGAATTGCGGTATGTGAATTAGTTGTCCTTTTTAGGGAGTACTTTCCATCCCGACTTACACCCATGCTACCGGTCAATTCAAGAGACGGTTTAATCAAATATCACCGCCATGATACTATAATTAATCTTTCCTAAAGGTTGTGGAAGCAGGAAGAGACGCAGTCGTTGAGTTGTTGTTGCATTATCACTGGTCAAGTTGTCTAGTGTGTTGTACTCACCTTGTATGTTACACGAGATCTTTTACTTGTCAGACCAACGTCCGGATCTACCCGGTCTGGCAGACATTTTGACGCTACGTGGTGGAAGGTAGCTAGTAATATTCCATATCGTTTGCTTCACAAATATTGCGTTCTGAGTAGATGGGTTTATGTATGTTATGACGGGGCTAGAAAATTCAAATCTGAGTCAAGTTTCTGAACATAGTAATTATAAGCTATCCGTGGATCTGTAAATTGATACAAACGTTTAACCGTTATTATAAGCTTGTGCGGGAGCTTTTGGTTGAATTGAGTGCTATAGTAAGGTAGTTTCGTTAGTACTAGTACCGTGTCCCAAAAAGATGAAATAGGAAATACGTTCTTCGGAAATCCTGGTATTCATCGATTCAGCCATTGCATGATAGCGACGCAATTACGCAATTAAACCAATTCCTTCTTTTGCAAAATCCGAGAACGAGACCATATTACTAGTACTATTACCTAGGTATTCGTGACCGTTCACAGATAGTATACGCATGAATATTAATCCCACACTACAAGATCTTAAAATAGAGACTTGCACCCGCCCTGCGCTCGCCCGCCAGATTAAACAAGTTACGTTTAACCTAGCTTCACTTTGCATTGTGTGGCTACATAGCCTTGGTTAGTTTTAAATTTTATCGGATACACATAAAGAAGTTCAAGATAAGGGGATTTATTCGCTATGATTTCAACAAGCGCCAACCCCTGTCAGGTCAGCTCGTCATAGAATATTCAGGGTCAGATATATATCTACGATACGGCCGTTGACAGAAGGGTCTATCTGACTAGAATGTTAACAAAAAGAAGGGGCCTATAGCACTTGATAATAAGTTCGAAGCCGCAAGAGAAGTCAATATGCAAAGATGTTTGATAGGTAAATGTTGTCTGGGTCTAGCCTCGAATCGTCTGGGTCTAGGTATTCCTTTTCGCTAGCTTTGTGTGTACTCAAGTATGTATACCTAGGACACATATCTGCATAGATCTAGAGTCAACGCTAGTATTTGTCAGGCATCCAATAGATAAGAGTCGAGTCTCGATATATCTAAACTTTGCATAAAATTTTAAATCTGGGGGGCCGAATCTGCAGGCGTCAGGCCATCCAAATCCAAGCCAAGCTCTACGACACTAAATATTCGAATCAGGGACCAAACATCAGAATATTATACTCAAATAATCAATATTAATCATGTTTAAAACTTCCTCCATACAAACCAGTTGTCGTGAAAGCTCTAGCCTCGAGACCAGGCGCAGATGTGAGGGCAGAGCCAGGTGTGTTGTGTTGTTGTGTTGTTGAAAGAGTTTGATTTTCGTGCAACGGGTTGACACTCGTTAGCCAGCGTTGCACGCTCGTCCCGTCATCTTGGACAATTGTCTGCACAGCCTTGAATTCAACCCAGCCGCCCATGCAACCCAGCCGCTCAATCGACCAAGGCAGGTATAGTATGGTCATCGGACTGATGGGATTGGCGGAGAACAAACTCCTCTACAGTTATACTATCTCAATAGATTTCGTATCGATTCCATGCAAACCGTTAACCCCGCATTGGTGTCCTAATGTTGTGCGGACGTATGTAAATTGTGGCTTTCGAGAACTGAGACATTGGCCCGCTATAGCGTATAGCGCTAGCCGAATCGATCGAACGGCAAGACCAGATACCAGACTGCCGGACCTATGTACGTCGACTGAATGACTCCTAGAAATCATGCAGGTAAATTAAAAATCTTGATTGAGGCTCTTATCAGCAAGCGGCCTGTCGCCGTAGACCGATAGCCTGCACTTTTTTACCAAGGCTGGCTCGATGTCTATATATTCAAGGCTTAGAACTAGTGTTTTTGGTTTCGAATTTAATAGGAGGATTCGAGTTGGTGTTTCAACCTGCAAACTTGCCTACCGAAGCACATACTCTTGTGCGGGAGCACGTCTTAGCCCAAACGGACCGGTAGAGGCTTTTCGTTGGGTCACCATTCACGGTCGAGTCGACAAGAAAGCCTTTTGGATTTATTTTAATTTGGATAGCAAGAATAATTCCCATATCCTACGCCTTCTGGTTCCGATGAGAAAAGAGAAGAGGATTGGTTAGTCACCTGACGATATCGGCGGAATACCGTCAGCCCTTTGCCTTTCTGCAAGATCCCAGGTACTTAACTTTTGATTTAACTGATCCTTCGTAATACAGAAATTCGACTGCGATCGACCTAATTCCTTAATGATGGCCAGAAGTAAGTTCCCGCTAGAATGCTGAGGGTTAATAATTTTTGGGGGAGCACCTAGCAGCAAATTTCTGGGAATTGAGGATGGACTCGAGTAGCAAGTAAAAACTGGAGTCGGGCCTTCGCGTTGGTTCGCGAACCTGAAAAGAAAAGCAAATATGTTCCCAGCGCGAGGTTTGACGCACGCTCATGCAAACATCCTTCACCGGTTTGCACACCATGATCAAATGAAAGCGACCAGCCTCAAATGGAGCTTTGCTTCGCATCTTGAATGGATGAACAAAAAAAGTGTATATAGCTCCATCGTCCGTGTTTACAGTACCACTTTTTTACTCCAAGCAAAACATTACTTTCCATCGATCCACTTTTACAAAGAAAGCCCAAGACCTTTTGATTTACACACCCAATCTTCTTATAACAAGCTCATCAAATATCCCTTGACTGGATATCAACTGGTAAAGTTGATACCGCACCCATATTTTGCCTTAGTGTCTGTCTATAGAAGTAAGTGCAAGGCTTGCGGCTGTCGCTCTCTTCCAAAAACCCCCGCACCCCGCGCGCGAAGATATCAAAATATCTAGGGGTCCGAGAGTGGCCGCTACATGAATCACAGGCTTTCGAATTTGAGATCCTTATGATTCTCGATCCTGGCACTAGCAGTACTTGAATGAGTATACCGATTTGTGGTACGCACACGAATGGTCGAGGACGAGACTCATCAACTTGAAGATTTCTTATATTTGTCGGAGGTGCCACGCCTTCTACCACACAAACACCCTCCAAAATATTGTAAAGGCAACGTAGCCATTTTTGAACCACTCGCCCAACAGACCAGACCAATACATCCGCGCGAAATCCAGAGCAAAAGGGGGATTACTGGGAGTATTTTCGGATTCCTGGATAGAAGGTATCTACTGGATTTCAAAAGCGTGAACACACGGTATGTGCTGAATATCACGTGACTCGAACCCAAAGTCAAATATGCATATTAGCTACTTTGACACTTTGCGTAAAATCAACGATATTGACGTGTTTGCGAAACTTACTAGATAAAACAATTCGACTTCGCAGCATTTAACTTCAAAATTTTATATTTTTTTATTTTACTCCCTTAGAACTTAGCTAAGACGTAAATTCCCTATAAAAATGGGCCCCGAGCAAAATGATGCACCTTTGAGCCCGACCGCCGGGCCGGATATCAATTCTCGGTTCCAGGCTGGTATGAGGGATAGCAGGGCAAAAATTGCCTGTCAACACTGCAGATGGACCGGGTCGAATTTGCCGCGGCATATGGCTGAAGAGCACGGGAATCCCGTGATAAGGCAGGAAGGCACTGATGATCTGAAGTATGTCAAGATCCCCTTCCCTGATTTTGTGGGTTTATCGTTTGGTAAACGAAACTGGAGGGAGAATCGAGTGATTGGGCAGGCGAAGGAGCTGGGTTTATATAAAGAAATCTGTTGGTGGGGAAGTAAAGACGGGAGCGGTGGCCGTAGCATTAGCTATGCATCGTCCGCCCCGTCTTTACTGCATCATCCCAGCCAGCCATCACCCACCCACGGCTATGCCCATTACTCTGCCCTTCCGACGTTTACCGACACCTACCCTCTTCCTTCTATGTACCCCAGAATGAACAAGAAGCCGCTAACCAGAAATACCTATAGGACTTTCAATATACCTGCTGCTGCTGCTGCTGCTGCTCCCGCCTCGTTTGGGCCGGCGCCTCAGGCACAAGCGGAAGATTCTATGCAGATAGATGAAACTTCTGCTGTTTCTTCGACTACCCCTGCTACAGCCCCTACGGCTAGGCCACCTAGGCGCAAACCTGTAGCTAGTGGTGGGCGTCGTGTCGACTCAGTAGACCCGGATTTCGTCCGAAGTCCTCGTCGGGGAGGTTCCCAGGTCGCTGGTGGTGGGCGGCTTTATGACCCAAGGAGTGATTCGATCAAGCCTTCGGCTCAATCATCATCCCGACCTACTCAAGCCCAAAGGGCTCAAGTTGCTTCACCGAGTTCACCTCGGACAGCTCCAAGGCCATCCAATCAGACCTCAAGAAATCCAGTACCTCCTACAGGTCCTAATGCCCTTATTATAAAGAAGCAACCTGTTGATGCTCCTGCCCCTGCTATTACTACCACTACTACTACTCGATCACCTCCACCTCAAGGCTCTACATCTCTCCCTTCGCTTCCTATTGTCCAAAATTCTTCTGATGCAGATGAGTCTGAGCCTCAACAACCTACAGAATTAATTCTTCAACCAGAAACACGGCCTATCTCCCAGGAGCAGTTAGTTGCAGAAGTTAAAGGCATTTATGCCGGCCTTGTAATGGTTGAAGCCAAATGTATCGAAGTCGACTCAAAGCAAGCCGCCGCAGCTACTCAAGGCATCAAGCAAGTACCTCCACTCAACAATGATCAATGGCAAGCCTTGATTGCTTTGCACCGAACACTTTTACATGAACATCATGATTTTTTCCTGGCCAGCCAGCACCCTTCAGCTGCGCCGTCTTTGAGGAAACTCGCTACTAAGTATGCTATGCCAGCACGTATGTGGCGTCATGGCATTCATAGCTTTCTAGAACTGTTGAGGCACCGTCTCCCAGAAAGCTTTGAACATATGTTGGCGTTCATATATCTTGCCTACTCCATGATGGCCCTCTTGTATGAGACCGTTCCTGCATTTGCGGACACATGGGTAGAATGTTTGGGGGATCTTGGACGTTATCGCATGGCTATCGAAGAAGGAGATCCTCGTGACCGTGAGGTTTGGATGCACGTCTCCAGGTTTTGGTACTCTAAGGGTACTGACCGACAACCTCACGTTGGACGTCTCTATCACCACCTAGCAATTCTCGCCCGCCCGAATATTCTCCAACAATTATTTTTTTATTGCAAAGCTTTGGCAGTAGCTCAGCCATTCTCTGCTGCTCGCGAGAGCATTTTAACCCTATTCGACCCTACAGCGCTTAAGGAACAAGATGTCGAAGGAAATCAATCCGCTGATGCAGTTTTTGTCCTCTTACACTCCATTTGTTTTACCGTAGTCAACCAAGATGCCTTTGCCGAGAAGAAAGATGAATATTTGGAACTACTTGACAAGAAGATCTCTCTTTCAAAGCTCAAATTCAAGGTTCCTGGCGTGTATATTGCGATCTGTGGGATTGCCAGTTTGTTTCAATACAACCTCAAAGACGGAAGGATGAAATTGGCTACAACTGCCAAAGAAAACCAGAAGGCTACCGCTGATGCCGAAGCAGCCTATAAAAACACCATCCAGAATAACCCGGAGAAGGAGAATCTTCTTCCACCCGGCCCCGTCATCGATGGCTATAATCCTAAAGATGCTTTACTTACCCAACCTCCAGATCTAGATCCTTCTGTTTCTTTCGACATTTCTCTTACTCACGCGCAGGAACTTGCTTTCGACATCCTCTCTCTTTTCTTCGACCGTGACAACGATGCAGCAGTCCAACCGCATATACACGTCTGGCTTGTTTTCCTTGATTACCTTAAGCATTATCCTGAGGGGATGGCGTTGGTCGTTAAGACCTTCCCTTGGGAAAAATTGGCGGAGTACGGAACTGCCCTCCTTAAGAAAAACAAAAATAACGAGTCCATTCTTGAAAAAATCCAAGCTAGTGGCACATTCCCAGTTGCTCAAAAGGGTATCCGGCCACTTCCAGAGGAATATATGATGCGTGGACTTGAGAGCGCCAGACGCTACTTCCCATACGGTTACTTCAGCAAAATGGTAGATGATGATGAACGGCTGATCGAGCTCCCGTCGATGGGTGCCGTCCGTGAGGAAAAAATGCTTTGGCTTATGGTTAGGTTTGCAAACTATGGTCCATGGATTCAATTTGACCCCGTTAGATGCAGCTTCAGTGTTTCCAATGGGTTAAAGGCTCTCTTGCATAATTATACTGCTCAGCCAACTGATACATATGAACCTTCATCTATCATGGAGGAAGATGACTCTGATGTTGAGATGGATATGAGTTCTGCAACTATGGCTGACGACGAGGAAGAGAGCTTCGACGAAATTGAAAATCCAGAGCTTACTCAGCTCCTTGCTCAAAGACGAGAACTCAGAAAACAGTTGAATGATCCAATTCCTACCGTCGAGCAAGAGAAAAAAGCCAAGAAATCCGACACCTTCTCCTCCGAATCCTTTAAACCAGATGTCACTACTGTAGTCGTGGACACGAACAGTTTGGTTAAGTACCTTGATATCTTCAAAAAAATGCTCGAGGGGAATCAATGGTCAATTGTTCTGCCATACTCAGTGGTCACAGAACTCCAAGGCCTCCAACGCAATGAAGGCAAAATTTCCGAAACCTCGCAACAAGCCCTCACTCTAATCAACCAAGCTTTGGTCGAAAAACGCAAACTACGTGTTGTTACCGCCAAACAATCCGCCATCACCAATGTTAGTAGCCAGTTCAAAGAACTAATCGACGACTATAGCGAAGAAGGTCGTAAGAATTTGGATGATATTATCATTGAAACCGCGAAAGCCCAAGGGGAGATCTCGGCCAAGAGATTTAACCCAAATGACGCCAACAATGAGCTTCGACCGGTGGTACTGATAACTGATGACGCGGTTATGAGGGTTAAGGCAATTACTCGAGGAGTCGCATCCGTTGGCACCAAGCAATGGGTCAAATATATATCCCCACCAGACGCAGATACTCAACGACGAATTGCAAATACCTATCTTAGTCTGGTAATGAAGCACCCACGGCTTGATAAAGACCGTGTTTATAAGGCTGCACAAGAAGCTAGGGGGGACGAAAGCGGAGCGACGAGTCTTTTACGCAGGGATATGAGTATGAAGAAAAGGCGGGCTCGAGCACAAATGGAGCGGTATAGACAGCACGGGGTACCGTGCTAACCCCGGCTTTCGGTGTTTGGCATCTGGGGCTGGACCCTAGATGCCTACACTTTATATTCTTTCAAAACTGGATTTCAGAAGTCGCCTCCAAGGGGCTATTCTTGTGGGACCAACTTTTAATCTTAGTATGATTGGGCATAGGATAGTACTATAGTATGGATACTCGATGCTATTATTTTTAAAAACGCAACGCTAATCCTTCTGGAATCCCTGGAGTTAAAACTTTTCTTTCCTTTTTCTTTTCGTGTTTTGCTTTAAAGTATTCAGTCGTTTCTCTTATATAGATATGTAGTTAGATTTCAAATTGTCGCGTATATCCCAAGTATCGAGATCATTAGTTTAATATGATTTGTTTTTATCCTCATAATTCTAAGTTTATAAAAGTTCATGATCACGGTTTTCTAAAAACAAAGAAATATCGCAATGCAAGCTGGAATAGTAATCATAATATTCCCCCGAATTCGCTATATGCATTAGATCTCTTTTTACCGACGTCTACGGAGATTTTTTACCTGTCCGAAATCCCCTCAATCTGGTACCTGACATATCATGAGACACCTAAAACCTCAGGATCATGATATCGATATCGCCACCGTGCATAATGCACTAGTACCGTAACTACTCCACCATCATAACCATATTACAGGGTTAAACCCAGCTTCCATAAAATTTAGCGAAATGCAATACCGTTGAAGTATGCAGGGGCATTGTTTAACTATTAAAACGGCGTAACTATATAATTTAGTACATGCAGGTTTAGAGTTTTCTATATATATGTAGCACGTTATTCATCAGGCCTTCCGATTGATATCATACTGCAGACCAAGCTATTTTTTTGCTCAGTTTCGGATCTTGAATCTTTGACGATTGATTGGGTAATGTTAATTACAAAGCATGCGGGAGTGCCGGGGTGTATATAAGGGGTTTGATGTTGAAATAAGGTTTATTGATACTTAGGGGATGCACATGGGTGTGGTATAAGGTTAACCGGTTAGGAGCTAGAACTATCTGGGGATGTGTATTTACTTGGGTATCTAGATCTATTCTTAGATATTATTGGTGGGTATGATTTTAGGGTATAGCGATTAATTGGGTGGTATGAGTTTAGACTATAGACAGAGACACGACGTTGAGGGTTTAAGGGGCGGCCCGTAGTAATGGATTGTTGCCAATTAGGTTTTGGATACTAGATTGGCGAGTTGCAATTGATGAATTAGCTTTTTATCATATAGGCCTCTTTGTGTACACTGATCATCGGTGGTGATTATATTAGGGAATCACGAATAAGCCTAGGGTCTTTTACTTGGAAGATCACAAATAACAGTATAGGGTTTGATACACCTTATCAATCTTCGTTAGTTTCCAGAGCTTGCCACCGGCACCAATCGGTCTCGGTCCAAAGGCCTTGAAGATAAATTTGGGTTAATCTCGTGGTCCATTGGTGCTCTCGAATATACTTAATTGAATTGATAAAGTGTGGTAGGTTTTAGTCCGTCTCCCATACAAGAATAAATGCAGGATATATCAAGAGAGCATTCAGAGGTACAGTAAACGCCCATCTTGGCACAGCGATATAGGGCATTACAATATTCGGAAATAGAGGCACCGTGAGTTTCAAGATTTACCTCCCCTCCTTTTGATTTCTGATCTTTTTCCTTGCCAGAGCTCTACTATTCAATTCGCCACAATTAAGCAATTCATCGATCTCCCTCGCGCGCATGCATTCCCAGACACCCTAAGGGAGGGAAGGAGGACATATGACACCCAGTTTGGGTTGCCATTCATCTCGAAACATTTGCGTTGCATCATGATACCAAGGCCAGCGCTCCGAAAATCCATAGCCTTGTTAGAAGCATTGCTATGTTGTATTTTGATATTATAAGAGTTGAAGCCATGAGGATACATAATGGATTGATATGGTCAGCGGTTAACGTTTTTGGAGAGCCTGGCCTATTCACAGCAAAAAAAACCCTTTTGGAATATACCATTCGCTACTGTAAAGCTAAGAATGATAGTCTGAGGTTCTTCATTTACGTTATTACTCATCCTTCTCACGGCCGTTTTCACAAAAGGTTGGCTTCCATTCATTTAACTTGAATCAACGATATCGACCCTTGGGGTGGCGGCATAGGAGACTGTGAATTCATGGCCTCCTATCTCCCGGGGGGTGGAGGTCCGCCAGAGATGTTGGAGAATGCAACATCTTGTGCAGACGGCGACGGACCGCTATTGTAAGTTCGACCGTTAGGGCTCTGCTATCTGCTTCTTATTCGTTAAGTGCCGAAAGGTCACCCCGCTAGCGAGTACAATCGAGGATCAAGATCATGAAGTTATACTCTCGAGCTCTCTAGGCTTAGAAATTAATAAACCCCCCATAGTATAGCGCCAGCTATATCAGTCATTCGTTTTAGATGCGACTGAAAAGAGTTTATACTACATCGAAAGTATACCCAACAGTTGCTGTCATAAATCTAGGCCCTTAAGTGTTTTCTAGGCCATAGTGCTATGTATTAGGCACGACATAGCTTCATCAGATTTATGAGCCTAGGTTTGGCGCCGTGGGGTGTGTTATTCCGTATACACAAATTTGCTTTTACGTATATATACAATCGATGATCGTATTTAGTGACGGTAGCTTAAATTTCCTACTAGCTTCATATATCCATCTACAAGTCTACATCGCATTAAAAAGTATCTAAATAACAGGAAATCTAGGATTCTAAGGGGACATCTACTGGATTTCCTAAACCGACACCGGACCGTATAGTCTAGATGGATTCGAAAATTCTAGTCAAACTAGAACCCGTTGTTATTTTGGCCGGCCGGAGAATAATAGCTTCAACCTCGGGCCCGACACTCCGGACGAAAAATATCTCAGTCAAATCAGGCCAGGATCAGGCCAACCGAGCCGTATCCCGAACTCGCGGTACCAGTCTCCCGGTTCGAAAAATTTCGTGTGAATTGCCGACGTTACCAAAATAGAGGCTGTATCTACGGATAAACGTAATGCACAGCTGTACAGCCCCGCTCATACGCTTGAGCCGGCTTCTAGTCCTCAATGCCAACTGGGAAAGAGATAACCCCATACCTCCATGTACCTATACCATGAGATTTCGGGTGATATACCCCTCATTTGAATGAAGGATCATCATTATAACGTATAGCTGCAGCTGCCTAGAAGTGGGGTGATATAATTTTGAACTAACGACAGCTTGATATTGTGGGTTCCGGCTGTCAAACCTGCAACCCGCTATATCTAGTACAGGGGTACGGCTCGCGGTATTTATTAGACGATCACCGACCTGCTCGTGGAATTCACAGCCTTGTAGATGGCTAGCTTGTGACAATCGATTGGTCCTATCGTGGAGGTGTCCGCGGGGCCTACCCCGCCCACCATTGTTCGAAATATACTTCCTGTTATAATTATCGATGTCGATAAGGAACTTTCCATTATCATTCGCTAATTTAGCAAGGCTACTTCTTTTGAATGTGCCAGCTGATCACTCCAAAGTCGGCCCAGGCACACTTCGAGAATTACGCACGTAAATTTATAACTACATAATGATAGCTATAATTGTCATAATAGCTGGGTTCGATACTTTATGAACTAGTATGTAAATTAACAATGTGGGTATACCACAAGAAATCATGATTCATGCGAGTTTGCTAGCTCTGCAGATGCATATTCAGGTGCAGTTAAGATACGTCTCTACCGCCCTGAGAGTACTACCGTTAACAAGCCGCGGTATTTCTGTTTCGAGAAGAATATTGTCCCATTCCGAAGCTAGTTTGAGGCTGATGTATCGATGCTGGAATGAAGGAGCCCCGCACGCAAGCAGCCGAGTGTTTTAACGGCTGGTGTAATGTACCCAACCAACGATACAATACAACAACTCAAAACACAAGAAATACATGTTGTGTTAGTCTCGATAACTGTGTGCTTAAGTCCTTAGTATGCGCGGGCGATTGGATTGGGTTATGAACTCCTCCTTTGCGCAACCCAAAGTTACTCAAATTCTCTAAAGCAAACCTGAAGTACTGAGGATGGCCTGAAAACCAAATATTTGCTACAAAAGTACTTGTCTTCGGGCAATCGTTTTTGAAGACGTGGCACTTTCATAGCTAGGCTATCTGAATTCACTAGGATGCACGTCGACGCACTAGGACTGGCTAGATATTCGATTCAATATTAAACAACCATTAGTTCAGGCCCGGGTGCTAGCTAAGTTAGCTTGCGTTCTTTAGTGCAATACCCCTTCGAATCCGAGATTTCGTATGCATGCATATACCGCCGCTCCATAGCAGAGATCATTGCTTAGGCTAGAAGCGTCAGTCTGGGGTGTTCCCGAATATGCACCATTGAATTTCGAATAACAGGGAAGCTTATGTCTAGTGTAATCGTGTAATTTTTGCGGCCAGGCGGTCGTAATAGGTTTGGCCTCCATCAGTCTCAGTCGATCCCGCCTCACGCGCATTCCTATAGCCTAGGCATTTCGACAATGATATTGTAGCTATCTGAATGACGACATCTACGGTGCTACCACACACGGCCCGGCTTATATCATATATCTTACGAACTTGATTACAGGATCGTCAGAAATGTGAGATCATAATCGCTCGCAACGAACGCTCGAGTGTTTAATCTGCAGACTGAGAGAAACGTTCCACGCTTTCCAGAAAACTATCCTGGCTGGTCACATCGGGTTTTCCCGCAAAACGAAGCGTTGAGGGCTTAACAGCTTTGACACGGCACAATTTTCTAGATCTATACTCATAGAGATATATTGTAGGGAGCTCGGGCCCGCTTCTGACATGCCCTTTATTTAAGCGAAGCTTATATGCAGACCAATGTGCAATGATCCGTACATAAAAGTCGGTGATGGGCTACAGTCCGTGATCAGTCGTGAGAAAGGCGCAAAAGGATCTGAGTTTCTCAAGCCCTAGACCCTTTATTCAAATTTGTTCGTACCAAGAAAGAACTTTAAACAGCTGGGTAATGC